TGATGACAAAACCCTGATTGAATTACAACATCTAAACAATGTTATTAGGAGTGGTAGCCATAGAATAAGCAAAATAACTTGGTGCAGGAAATATTTTCATGGTGCACTTTAAGCCCCTTATTGCCAATTGTCCATCAATCATACATACATGCATTCATTCATTTTCCAACACTTGTCCAGGGCCGGGTGACAGGGACAGCAGTCTCAGCAGGGAACCCCAGACTTCCCTCTACCCAGACACTTCCTTCAGCTTCTCCGGTGGGAATCCCAAGATATTCCCAGGCAAGACGAGAAACACATTCCCTCCAGTGTGTCCTGGGTCTTTCCCTCCCAGTGGAGGAGCCCAGAACACCTCCCTATGTAGGCATCCAGGTGCAATCCAAAACAGATGACAGAGACAGCTCAAGGGCTTCTCTCTACTTCAAGTTCCTGCCGGGTGACAGAGCTCCTAATTCCATCTCCGAGGATGCGCCCTGCCACCATGATGCAACCCTCATTTCTGATAGCATGTCTTTTTGATAACGATCCAAAGTTTATAATCATAGGTGAGACTAGGAATTTAGATTGACCTGTAAATTGAGAGCATTGCCTTTTGGTTTAGCTCCTTCTTCACCAAATCAGGCTTGTATATTGACCACTGCTGGTTCATCCTTCCCTCACTTGTGAGCAAAACCCCAATTTGAACTTACATGAACTTCTAGGACAAGGATGGGCAAACTCTGTCCTGGAGGACCAGTGTCCTTGAGAATTTTGCCACAACACTAATCAAAGACACCTGAACATGCTAATCAGTGTCTTCAAGGTCACTGGAAATCTATAAGTGTGATTAATTAGAGTTGAAGCTGTATTCTGCAAGACACCAGCCCTCCATGACAGAGTTTGCCCATACCTGTTCTAGGGCAAGGACACCTTTTTCCACTTAAGCACCACGGCTTGGGACTTACCAGTTAAACAACATTTAAACTCTACAGAGAGCCAGAGCAATGTTTCTGCCCATTCCTTCAAAGTCAACCCATTGCTGCTTCCAACATCTTAAATGGACCGTTCAACTGCAAATCTTAATATACTCACTATTTACTCACCCTCAAGCAGTGTTGTCTACTATTTTCATTGAAAAGCCACCAAGCTTTGCCCAAAAAAAGTGCTAAATGTCGGTAGATTACGTAATACGTCAATTTCCATATTACTGATGTCATCACGTCCAACCATTTCTGTTTGTTTAAAAGGATATGCTTATTAAAGTGGTATTTATATTTGCACTATGCTTTATGTATGCATGTCAATTTAACTAAATATATTGCTTTTTGAATATGGTACATCAATATAGATGCGAAGTTAATTTGCAGTAATCTCTTAGACTTAATAAACTTCAAAATTTCTGTGATTGTGAACAAGAAAACAATAAACTCAACAAATTAAACTGTTAAATTTAAAACAAAGAACAAGCAGATCGGTTGGACTGTACAAGGAATTACCTCACATTCGCAGTGCTAAATCATTTGCTGTGAGTATTCAAGGAATGATCAGCTCTCAGGCCGCACGTGGGAGAGACTGCTGTACTAGGACTAGGCCACTTGTCAGTGATCTAAGGCAGGGAGGGGCCGATGGCATCACCCGCAGCTCGTTGAGAAGAGTAGAAACGGTAGAGTATGGACACATGAGAGTCTATAAAATAAGTCGCCGGATTTGTGGCTAGTCGCTTTTTTAAAAAGAATTCTCTCTAGGGGGGCTTGATAAGTCGCTAAATATAATGACAAAGTCGCTAAGTTAGCAACACTGCCCTCAAGTGGTTCCAAATCTTTGCCAGTTTCTTTAACCTAGCAATACAATTTAAAGGAATATGAAAACCTGTAACTGTTTACATCTATAGTAGGAAAAAGATACTTTGGAAGTCAATAGCTACAGGTTTCATCTTGCTTCAATATATATTCCTTTATATTCAGAACAGAAGAAAAACAGCTAGCTTTGGAACAAGCGAAGGGTAGCCTAAGTAAATAAAGGATGACAGAATTTTCAGTTTTGGATGAACGATCCCTTTAACACCCCACATCACAAAGCTCAAATCATATCGAAATGGTTTCCTGAACATGACAAGTTGTACACAAATGTCCTCCACAGTCACCAAATGCTAATCCAAAAGGTTCCTTTGGGATGTGGTGGAACAGCAGATTCGCATCACGGATGTAAACAAAAATCTGAAGCAAAATGGACCCAAATCTCTGAGGAATGTTTCCAGCACCTTCTTGAACCCTTTTTGTCACAAAGGCTAAAGGCAGTTCCGAAAGCAAAAAGGGGTCCAACCTGGTACTACCAAGGTGTACTTACTCCCAGGGTGGTTTATATTGAAGCTGATATTTCGTCGCATCATGTTGGTGTTTCGTAACATCAAATTTTTAAGAGGTGGGTCATAAGCCCACCGCTTAACTCCCTGACCAGGACATACACTATGGAGAATTAAGCTTACCCAATTCACCAATAGCACATGTATTTGGACTTGTGGGGGAAACCGGAGAACCCGAAAGAAACCCACACAAACACAGGGAAAACACAGAAGTACCAACTGACCCAGCTGGGGCTCGAACCAGTGATCTTCTTGCTGTGAGGTGACAATGCTACCCACTGCGCCAACCTGCCGCCCACCTAAAGTGTATATATGCACATATTTTGTATAGCTCCTTTAATCAGAGGCTACATCACAAGGTTTTTCCCGAAATGCTGTGATTTGTTGTGATCAGAGATATGAAAAGATGACTTAACGGGAAGCAGAGACGTCCTTCATCACGCCGCTCTCCCTCTGTGTTCATGTTTCTGTCAAACCCCGTCTCCTTTTTCCATCCGCTTTCTGAAATGAATACCCCCTACCCTTCCATTTAAACACACACACTCGCACTTAGATGTAAAACGCTCTCTGCAAGTGGCCGGTCGGCAGATTACATGTTGAGCGGAGGCAATTTGCTGACAGACAAGCCTGAACATTTCAATCATCTGCTGGAAGACGGTGACAATACTTCACACCTGACCCTCCGGCCGCTCCTCTTCCTCCTTCAATGAGACGCAAATTGAAGGCGCGCAAATTTGTCTCGTCTTTTCTTACGACAAATGACGGCATTCATATGGGGACGGTGTTGCTTGATCTTCCAAACCTTTCATTTAGGTTCAGGCTGTCTCTTTCTTTCTCTGTCTCGCGGATAGGATTTCATTTTGATCATCACATTGAAAACATGGTGGTGGAGAGTGAGATGAATCTGGGTTGAAATGAGGAGGCCGCTGCGTCTTGCTGCATTTTTGATTTCTGAGAGGTGGTCTGGGATCCTGCGGTGACAGTCCAGAGGAAAAATGTACAAGGCTATTAATTTTAGTCTGTGCCTAAGAGGACAGAGATAAATCTTTATAGAAGAACAGGATTTTGCATTACTTTTAAACGCTTGTTTGATGTCATTTTGATTAAATTCATGTTTCATAATTCAATATGTTTAAAGCTGGACTGATATAGGTCTTTGATCCCAAAATGGATTCTTTGAGGTCTGATCTAATAAAAAAAAAATTTACACACTCACTGGCCACTTTATTAGGTACACCTTACTAGTATCTGAAAGATTTTGATCCATACTGTCATGATAGCATCATACAGTTGCAGCAGATTTGTCAGCTGCACATCCATGATGCGCATCTCCCGTTCCACCACATCCCAAAGGTGCTCTATTGGATTGAGCTCTGGTGACTGTGGAGGCCATTTGAGAACAGTGAACTCACAGTTATGTTCAAGAAAGCAGTCTGAGATGATTCGCATTTTATGACATGGCGCACTGTACTGCTGGAAGTAGCTATCAGATGATGGGCACACTGTGGTCATAAAGAGAAGGACATGGTCAGCAACAATACTCAGGTAAGCTGTGGCATTGTCACAATGTTTATTGGTACTAGAGGGCCCAAAGTGTGCCAAGAAAATATTCACACTAATACACCACCAGCCTGAACCATTGATATAAGGCACGATAGATCAATTACTTTCATGTTGTACATGCCAAATTCTGACCCTACCATCCGAATATTGCCCAATTTTGGTGAGCCTGTGCGAATTGTAGGCTCAGTTTCCGGTTTTTAGCAGACAAGAGTGGCATCCAGTGTGGTCTTCTGCTGGTGTAGCACATCCGCCTCAATGGTAGACTGTTGCCTTTCTATCAACTCGAACCAGTCTGGCCATTCTCTTCTGACCTCTGGCATTGACAAGGCATTTGCGCCCACAGAACTGCCACTTACTGGATATTTTCTCTTTTTCAGACCATTCTCTGTAAAGCCTAGAGATGATTGTGCATGAAAATCCCAGTAGATCAGCAGTTTCTGAAATAGTAAGAGCAGCCCGTCTGGCACCAGCAACCATTCTACGTTCAAAGTCACTTAAATCACCTTTCTTCCCCATTCTGATGCTCGGTTTGAACTGCAGCAGATCGTCTTAACCATGTCTACATTCCTAAATGCATTGAGTTGCTGTCATGTAATTAGCTGATTCGACATTTGCGCTAACGAGCAGTTTGACAGGTGTACCTATTAAAGTGGCCAGTTAGTGTATATATCTCAAATCAATATCAAATAAAAACATTTTTATATTAACAATACTAAAAATACTTGTATACACAATAAATAATAAACACTTGAATATTATTTAACATTAATAATGCTGCTTTTAGTAATTACGTTTTTAGTATGTGTATAGATTTTTAATTTAAACAATATGTCAGTTCCCGTGAAATAACTAGAGTGAAAAATAAATAAATAATAGAAAAACAACAACAACTTAATCAACTATGTTTGATTTTAGGACCTTTTTCTGCAATTATAGAATCAAATTCTATAAGTTCAAAATGTGCAATTATTGATTGATTACACTATTACCAATGACCAAGTAATTATTTGACATCAGATATTATGTCATATCATACAAGCATAAAAATAACCAAGTAAATTCATACAATATGAAGAAAATCACATCATGCCACACATTATGAATTCTCAGCTGTTTAATTGGGACTACAATAAGCATCTTTATACATGAAATACATGTATGCGATTATCGGACAACTTAAGATGTCCACTCATATACACTATACAGGCATAATATATTCCAGACAAATATATTCTTGACCATATTAGTAATCATTCTTCACATTCAGCGATGTACAATAATATTATTTCAAAGCAGGAATAGTACATTAGTCACCGAGAAGAGAGCACCTGTCATTGACTAGTAATACACCAAATACATTTAATGTAATACAATTTTAAGGTCCTAAACAAAAACGATTTCCATGTATCAAAAAGAAAACAACAACACTGTAACAAAATGGAATAGTCCTCCATGGAATGTTCATGAAATTGCCGAGAGCGCTGAAAAATTAAATAAACATTGGGGGACAAAAAAATGTTTGCGACAAATACAGTGAAATCCACAGTGAGCATCAATGAATATAGATTCGCCATAGCTTTCCCATGTCCGTCGAGTCCTGTCAGCAAAACTGAGCAGATATGGGGCATATGGTGGCACAAGGGTGGGCATGAGGTGAAACAGACCAGTCTCTGCTTGTCTGAAGCGGAAATAAGGACTGATTTAATTCAAGCGATCCAAACAACTGCTTGCCATCTGCACCACTACACCAAACCATCTCATTCTAAGAGGAGAACAAGTCGTTTTAAAGGGCCAGTACAGAATTTCAGTTTTGTGAATATGGCTAGGGTCACACTAGATTCTTATAATGTATAAAAATCTGTTAATAAACAGTTTCTATATTTAGTGAGGAGCTTTCTGTTCATTTATGCAGTTAAATTGTATTAGGACCTAACAATTTGTGTAAAAAATGCTGGCTTCCACAACATTTTTTCATGTAGTTCCAGCTCAAATTGATTAATTTAACTTAATAGTTTTTACAAATTTAAGCGGATTGAACATAAAAAATCTTAAGAATTGTATATATTTTTTTAAAACTTATTTAAAATAAACAGTTTCAACATATTTTTTTTTTGATTGCAGAAAAATAGTTTTATTCATGTAAAACAATGTATGAGGAATAATTTATTGAAATAATTATGCAAAATAACAGGCAAAAGTACTGATAGGTGAATAATCTCCCAGCAAACTATTTTGCATTTAACAGACGTCTAATAGACATCTAAACGTCGACAGCTTAGCTAAAACAAGGCTAAAATGTTCAGTGTAGAAGTGAACATCTAATTGACATCTAAGAATAGCCCAAAACTAGACTAGTCGTCAAACAGATTAGACAGACTTTATATGTGTAGTTATTCATTTCTGTTTATTTGAAAGTTTTGGCCTATTCTTAGACATCTACACGATTTTTCGCTGACAGCCCAAATTTAGCCTTGTTTTAGTCTTTTAAAAACAAAAAATGCTTGCTGGGCTGTTTTGTACATAAATTAACATGATCATCCCAGAAAATATACTATTTCAAACTATTAAAAATGTCATTTTGTTTTGTTTTTTCAACTTAAAATGTTGTTTAAACAGAAAAAACCTGAATCACACAATACAGAAAACTGCAAATGAACACTGTCAGTCTGTAGTACATAGTTTGTTTTAAAATAATCCTCACTGAGGTCAAATTGATTTACTCAAAGCTTTAAATATTTCCAAACATGCGACAAACCCAGATTACATTATACCAGAAGCAAACAGACCCATGTTCAAAAGGAGACGAAATCACCCCAAAAATAAAAGACAATGTGCAGCTCCCAAAAAATATGACCCATAAAAACATGAAATGTACTTCAATACTAGCCTGTAAAGCTTCTCAGTTGTAAACAACTGCTGAAATAACATTACTAGCACAGAATTATTTTAAAATGATTAAAACGCAGCACTTTTTCTGGCTTGGTTGTGAGCGGTTGCAGCATATCCTTTCTCAATGTCACCAAAAACAATATTTTCTGGATGGCGGCCTGCTGAAGTCGGTTACTGTGAAATGTGTTGATAAATGTTTCTGTGATATGCTGCAAAGCAAGTATAATGCATCATCAGTACACGTCAAACAGCTTGAATCTGATACAACATAAATCAGTTTTTGCTATTTTTCTTTGCAGTTTTAGATTATTTTATGGACTCATTCAGTCACAGGGTTAAAAAAAAAAAAAGAATCCTAAATCTAACTTTAATTTACAAAGGGAAAAAGGACAAAACTGTGAGAAATAAACTCACAATTTAGTTTTTTCCTCAGAATTGTGAGCTAACAAGCTTAAACATTTTAATTTATGGGCTTTTTTAATTGTGAGTCTATTCTGATGTCTTTTTTTGCTTTGAGTTTTTCTATCACAATGTTAATTTTAAGTGCTAATCTTGAAATTCAGAAAACACAAACAGCAATTTTGCGAAATAAAAGCACAACTGTTAGATTTGAACTTGCATTTAAAGAGTTTAGAACTCAAATTTGTGAGATATAAACTCAGTTCTGAGGACAAACAGAGATGCTGTGTCCCAATTTGCATACTATGCATCCTAAATAGTTTTCTAAAATAGAATTCGTATATCCCAAACCATAGTATGTTGAAAAGAGAATGCCAAAGGTACCGGGATTGTTTACTATTTCGGATAAAAATTCGAAGAGTAGAATGGTCTATACTCTAACCGCTAATATTGCCCAAAATACATTGTGCGTTGAACGTGAAATTTTAGAACTACAAATTAGGGTGAAAAGTGTAAACAAACTACAAACATGGTGTTCAACCATCAAGTAGAAAGGCTTCGGTGAAGTTGTTTGAATGACTATAAATCAATATCTAGCCAACTGAAACATATTTAAACCACATTTTCTGTGTGATATTTCATCTGTAACAACAATGTGAACTTATATCAAGATATGTTTGGATATTAACATCTGAATGCATAATTACCCAAAGATTTTTCTGCATGAAACCCTTGCAAATGGCAGATTAACCTGTTGTTGCTTCTCTAATGTAGGTAATTAAATATGAAAGAAATGTGGATGATGTGTTGAGATGATTGACAGGGCTCATAACCAAGCAACATAGCGATCTGTTAATGAGGAAGTAGTATATGCCAAAGCTTGCATACTCTTCTGTTACACACTCAAAAGTAGGTACTTTTCCTATACAAAACAAATTTAATACTTTTAGGGCTGTAGTGCAAGTATGTGAATTGGGACGCACCATCAGTTTCAGATGCAACTGAAACTGCAAGAATCCATGTGATAAAATAAAAACAACTTCCAGATTAGATCCTATACATCTGAACTTTGCACATTTCTTCCCTTTAATCCTAATGCGAAAATATAAATTATGTATATAATCTGGTGATCTAATGTAATAATACACGCTTATCTGAATATAATGTCATTGGAACCATCTTACGGATTCTGGTAGCAAAATATAAACACTACTTTTTCGTATGCGTGCAGCATCCTGATGAAAAATGCATTGGGGTAAAATGTAATAGAGGAATCCCATACAGGCAATGCCTACAGCGACAGTCTCTGAACGTGTAGATGAGACACATGTAGAATTAGATTGCAAGCCGACGTGTTTGGGGACGGCAGAGATAAAGCTATACACCAAAGAATGGCTCAAAGAATGAAGATGAGCTTCGGCTGTTGATCAAAACTTTTCACAAGCTTATATAAGGCGTACCGAAAGAACCAAGTAGTGTCATTGTAAAAGGAGGGAGGGTATAGTGTAGCACGCAACATGCAGCTGCACACAATATATACAGTATGTATGTAAAAATATACAAGAATCTACAAGAATTTTTGGCCTATATGAGATTCAATCCAGTGCTGGACAGTGTGATATACTCTAGAAATTCAGCAGATGTGACGAAACACTATTTACTGATTAGATAGCTTCCAAAAAATACACTTCTGGTCATGTTTCTAAACTGGAATTGGAAAAAAGTCGCATTGACTTTATTATGGCAACATTTCGTACCAACTGGGGAAATGCGGTTTTCGTAAAATGGCTGGTTTGTCCCAAGAAGTCAGTATTTCTACTGGAGAAATGGCTACCACAAGTGAAAAAACACCATATTTCAGTAACATATCAGACTGATGAACTCATAAATTTGGTCATTTTTAAGCATTGAACGAATCATGGACAAATTTGCCAACACCTTCATTAAGGTTAAGGTACCAATGCATCCAAACATGAGAGGTAAACTATGGGACTGACATTGGAGATAAGGGTTAGTTCACTCAACTATTCATTAATAATTATTCACCCTTATGTTGTTTCAATACCCTGAGACCATTCATCTTCAGAACACAAATATAGACCGAAACATTCCATGTGAATTCAGTGGTTTAACTGTGATCATACAAAGCTTCAAGAACACAGTTGTGCAGCAAAAAAACTGTAAAAACAGCCATGTTCACCAATCTCTTTTGTTCTACTTTAGGCAAGGGTATGCGTTTACCACATAAGAGTCAGTTGCACAACACACAAATGGCAGATTTCCTAGAGTAAACATGCAAATCATGACGTCAACAAGTCATTTTTTAGTTTTTTTTTGGGTGCACGAAAATGTTCTTGCAGCTTCGTGTCACAGTTGAATCATTGACGTTAGATGGAAGGTTTTGATAATGTTTTGGTCTGTATTTCTGTCTAAATAGCAGTGTTTCTCAACCACATTTCTGGGGGACCACCAGCACTGCATGTTTTGGATGTCTCCTTTGTCTGTCAAACCCATTTCAGGCTTTTCAGTCTCTGCTAATGAGCTGATGATCTGAATCAGGTGTGTTTGGTTAAGGAGACCTGGAAAATGTGCAGAGCTAGTGGTCCTCTAGGTACATGGTTGAGAAACACTGCTATAGAGTGTCTGAGAGCTCTTGGATTTCATCTATAATTTCTTCAGAAGGTGAACAAACATCTCAAGTGATTGAAACAACATGACATTGAGTAATTAATAACCAAACTTTCATTTTGGGGTGAACTAACCCTTTAGGAAATCAGATTTGGGAATTTCTTGTGATGTACATCTCTGGGGAATAACACAATAACAGAAAGCAGATAAAACGTCCCTTTGAAATCCCGACTGCAATCTCCTAAAATGCCATTCTCAACTTTCTACCCAAGAGGAACACTTCTGGGAAGGTGTTGCGTGTTCAAACTCCATTGGCTCCAGTGAAGTTTGCGTAAGTGCCACAATGTGCAGAAAAAGCTTCAATGTTTAATTCCCTCCAAATGGTCCAATAGACGTTCCTTTGAACGGAATCTGCATGAGTACCTCAGAAGTTCTGGAGTTCAGGTAGGTTCTTGTAAAGGTCCAAAGAGTCTGGGTTTGAGAAGGCCCCTCGCTGAGTGACTTCCTTACCTGCAATCACCTGCTTTACTGCAACTTCCACCTTCTTTCCGCTGATAGTGTACTGCGGGCAAAGCAAATTTAAAGTCAGTCAGGTGGAAAAGTGCAGAAAATGGAGGCAGAGAGAGGACAAGCAAAAAAAAAAAAAAAAGATGTGCAGCCGTGCTCACCGGGATGTCTTTGGTCTCCAGTATCAAGGCTGGTACGTGTCGTGCAGAGAGAGCTACTCTAATAGCACCACGGATCTTTCCTACTAGCTCCTGGCTAAAGCTCTTATTGGGTCCCATTTTCAAAAACAGAATCACCCTCTCTTCTCCGTCACTGTTGTACTGAGGGACACAAAGGCTGTCGGACACTTCGTCAAAGGCTTCAACTGGCGAGAGAGAGAGAGAGAGCATAACAGGGGTCTTAACAAAATGTCTTGCTACTGTATAATGTTAGCACATATACACTCAAAGAAATTACACTTGCACCTTGTTCAAACTACTTACTGAAAATGATGTCAAACAACACAATTTGCTGCTAGAAGGGATACAGCTCGACTTGAAGTTAATGAGGATTATTTGTATTATTAAATTACCCATGTTAATAGCATCTAACCCTACAGAAAAACTAAACGCAACCTTCATGTTAACGTAAAAATATTGATTATTGTTTTACGGTTTCAGAAAAAGTACACTATATTGATGTAAACATCCACTATATTGATGTAAACAGCAGATGATTCAGATCATTAGCTCATTAGCAGAGACTGAAGGACCTGCAAGGGGTGTGAGAGAGAAAGGAGACATCCAAATCATGCAGTGCTGCTGGTCCCCCAGGAATGTGGTTGAGAAACACTGAACTAAAGTTTACCATTTTAAGGGGACACTTTAATTGTTTTATGCTCAATACACTAAAATTTGTAAAAAAAAAAAAAAAAACTAAAGAGTTAACTTAATTTATTTATGTTGTCTTGACACAAATAGATTTCTGAAGTAATTCCATACGTTATAACTGATGTTCGATACATGGAATACATTTAAATTGTATGTATATTAACTTAAAACTAACAATATACAGCTTAAAACTGAATGGTTGAGAAATATTAGCAAACTAAACTGTATTTTGTGTAAAAACTGCATTTTATATTTTGAAATGATTTATTTTTGAGATTTGCCAAACATTACATTTAACAATATTACTGAATATAATTAAATATTCGTCTTAAGCACACGTTAAATCATTGTTGCTCAACCATCTTCCTGGAGAACCCCCAGCTCTGAACATTTTTCAAGGCTGCGCCCAAAATCGTCTATTACTCAGTAAGTACTGCATTTGAATTGAAATGCATTGCTTGACCATTAGAAAAGTACGTTCTATACAATATGAATATTAGTAATATGAACAGTATTCACATGTATTACATCCGCCATTTTGTCATGAGCACGTGACCTAGCTGCATCAGTTGCATCCCTTCACTCCCATTCATGAATTCCATAGCCGGGCATCATAGGATATCGTAGCATGCATCGGATGCGCACTTCAGAATCTCGCCAGAAGTAGTAGGTCATCCGGATACTTCTCACATATTGATTTTCGAATTCTATGAATTTGGACATAATACTCGGCTTGCATACTGTTTATAGCGTACTATATAGTATGGAAGTATGCGATTTCGAACGCAGCCCATGTATCCTTAACCAAACACACCTGATTGAGATCATCGGCTCATTAGCAGAGACTGAACGACCTGTAATGGGAAATTCTCTACTTATGCTAAAAAGTCAATAATGGTCCAACATTCCTGCCCATTATCACCAGTAAAGCCTGGGAAACTAGGGCATCAGTATATTGTAAACCAATAGGTTCAAATTTTCCTTTCCAGTTATCAAAGAAATAATCTGTTCCTTTATTAAAGTTTTATTAAACTATAATTTAATTGTAGTTTAATGTAAACTACAATTTAAACTATTAAATTGTTTTGAATTCAAAATATAAAATATACTTCAGTGTAAAACCGAAGACTGATGGAAAAACATATGTGTTATTGTGTACCTGTGTCTCCACTTTCGCCATGGCCTCTTTTAGCTTTAACAAAGTTAAAGTCAACCAAACTCAAGTATAAGTCAAGTATAAACCAGGCTTAAGCCAGTGGTTCCCAAAGTAAGGGTGGTGAGATAATGAACGGGGGTCACTTAGTGATTCCCAAAAATCTAATTCATTTTATGAAACTATTAGAATTATCATATTTATATTTACAATAACAGTTATAAAACAACACATTGATTGATTTCATGGCACCAGGGTAAATAATAAATAAAATTAAATACAGTAAATAAAACTAAATACAGGCCACGACTGAACATGGAGGATGATGTCTAGATGGCTTTCTCTAAAATTAAACAAAGAATAGATTGGGCCTGTTGGTGCGTTTGCGCTGTTTTGCATTTGTATATTTATAACCACCTCAGAAAATATTGGGGATCGCGAGTCACTGGCATTGTTATTTAGAGGGTCACAGGCTGAAAAGTTTGGGAACCCCTTGCCCAAGTAATTCTTTGTATATAATGTGGTATTTGAATGTTAACATTTTATAAAGTAAGCATCTTAAATCCAAACGTAGTCTAAAAATGGTGAAAAATCATTTCTTACCTATATTATAAATTTCAGAGCTCCCAAACCGAACACCATTAGGATTCAAGGTTCCATCACTGCAATCACAGACAAACAAAAACTCATCCCTTACTCTCATCATAGATTAACACAGCAACATTAGAAGCGTCTGAGGAAAAACTAGAGATTATCAAAATCTGCAACACAACAAAGCGAGTCTTACCTTCTCCCCAGCATGACGACTCCTCCTGTTTTTGGGTTGATTTTACAGTAATCACCGTGGGCCCAGACTCCTGGATGAGGAGGTAAACACACAAACAAATGCACTGAGAAGAATGAACAAACAACAACAGAAAGAAATAGAGAGTGTGTTTCCAAGCAGAGCCGTTTGACCGCTAGCAGGCCTGAGAACGCTAATGAGGCCCAACTGTCCCGATTGGCCTTTTCCTACTTCTCCAAACTGACAGCAAAAAGGCTTCAAGGAGATTTTTTTCTCATGCTAACAAAAGCTGACAGGTTCTTGTTTTTCCCCCTTTTGCCCTCAAAAATCATTTAATCAATACTGCAGGAAAGCTGTAGCCTCTTCTGAACAAACCGATGTGGCACGTTTGTTTTCCAAATCAAACGGACGGCTCGTTTGTTTTCTGAATCAGAGAGAAAACGCATTTCCACTTTGCAACTTAAAAGCTTTGATGGAAGGAAACAGAGTGCGTCTGTGAGCTTCTGTAGGCAATGAAACGCTTCTGGAATGATGCCGACAATACGGTCGTTTCAGGTGAAGGGTTACCTGGGAAGGTGGAAAAGTAGGCTTTGTGGTATTTGCTGCCGTTTTCGTCATTCCAGAAATGAGTGGGCTGGCACGGGATGGGCTTCAAACACACCAGCTCACCGCTTTCACCCCACACAGGCTTACCTGAAACACACACCAAACACAACAGGGTTATTGAAGCAGTATGAAGGCGAAAACCACAAATAAATCACATATGCCTCACCTTAAGGGGCTTACTGAGCTTATAAAAGTGAAATTTTTCTGTTAATTGTGTATTGTTTATTTATTATTTATTTAAATCCACATTAGCATAACCAAGGAAGTGGATATTCTACCTCGAATCGAACAAATAAAAAGAGAAATTTACATACCAAACCCAAACCAAAAGAAAAATTTATATTACATTAAAACAATAGAAACCAATGCTAAAACTAATGAAGAAAGACAAATTGACACTAAACCCTAACAATAGACCCCATAACAAAACCAAAATTGAAGTTAACTTTACATTAAACCACAATGCAATAAAACACATAACAGGAAATTCTTTTAAAACAAAGGCATCAATTTACTAAATACTGTGCCATTAAACATTTCTTTGACATTTTTTAAACCTTATTTTACTTATGTGGTGATGGAGGCTTAAAGAGGGCAAATCTTGATGTTTCTGTGGGTCTCGTCTATTAAACATGATTCTTATTTTGTATTTTCTATTGGATTCAGGTCAGGTGATTGGCTGGGCCATTCTACAGCTTGATGTTTTTTCTCTGAAAGCATTTAAGAGTTTCCTTGGCTGTGTTTTGGATCATTGTCTTGCTGAAATGTCCACTCTGGTTTCATCTTCATCATCATGATAATGTAGATGTTTGACTAAAGCAGCTAATATTCATTTACAATGACGAAGGGCAGAGGGTTGCAGAAGAACTACTAAGAGATTACAGTTGCAGACTGGGCTTTCACTGCCTTTCTCCACCTCCCTTTCTTCATGTGTTCAATACTTTTTTTCCCCGTGTCATTTCATTCTATTACACATAACTTGACTTTGTAAACTAATCAATATTGTTTTCTTTGAATATATTGATTTCTTTGGTTGATACAGACATCCGGGGAACATTTCAAGTCAACAGCAGCTTTAGAAGTAGGCTTTATGAGAAAAATGGTGACGTTTTGAATACTCCTTTCCCCCACTGTATAATGTCCAATGCCAATTCATTCCCTTTTTAATTACTCTGTACATCACAGTTTGTGTCTTTACAATACTTTTTAAAGAGTGTCCTTTTTATGCATGCCTATTGTTACAATTAATAATAGTACTGCTATACAAGAGTTGACTATACAGTACATGTGGAACCTTAACAAAAAATATTTCTTATAAAACAAACATTTTCCAATGTAATAATGTATTTCTTATGCATCTAGACATTTGTTCAAATGATTGGTGTAAGTCTCTTAAATATACAGGAGCTGCATTTATTATTAAAATATATAAAAATATAAATTTTAAACAGTTTTATTATATTTTATTTTATAATAACACAATTTATTCCCAGAGTGAAAAATATAAATTTCAGCAGTTATAACTCCAGTCTTTATTCAATAAAAAATTGATATTATATATATTCTACATTACTTTCTATTCATGTGAAACAATTGCTTATTTTTGTATACATAGTAACGACAATAAAAGTCTATTCTATACATCAGTAGCTATATTTCCATCAAAAAATGCGAATTAAAAACTGGAATATCCCATAAAAGACGTGCAAATAAAGCAGCGTTTCCATCCAATAAGTCAAAGAGAACAAAATCGTCACTTCCTGATTAACTGGTGCCAAATATCTAGAGTAAAAGCAGAATTTGCTGCGGTAGGAGAAGCTGCGTCAATCTTTTCTTTATTTAATAAATGACTTTCACCTCTGAAGACACACAATGAACATGTGGTGATGTTTGAAGACTATAGAAGAATAATATAATATATGAAGAATAATATAATAACACTAATACTGAAATGGTTAAGGGGTTTTAGAATGACCAAAACAACATTTCAGATGTTTTACAATGTGCTCAGCCTGCTGGTTTATCTATTCGCACACATTTTTATCATCACATGATCTCTTATAACAAAACCACATGTTTTAAATGCGCATACTGAAATTTGTTCAGTAAAAGTGTTTCCATCGTAGTTTACGTGCATCTTTTCTTATCGAATAAAAAGTTTATCCTACTCAGATATGCATGCGTTTTTTACGCATATATTTAAAAATATATGCGCATCTTGGCGTTTCCTTCAACCGATTTTTTTTATGACCATATGCAAAATGTGCATAAAATAGGTGGATGGAAACGAAGTAATGACTCTAATATGTAATTTACATTAAAAAGATCTCCATGTCTTGGCCTGTAAAAATCACAGATAAATAAAAGCAATATCTCACCTTCACAGCTCCAGGACTCGACGGCCATGCCCAGATTTCGGGCCTGAATTTCTCCTCTGTAAACAGGCACCGTCATGTTCTGACCCATGAAGCATGAAATGATGTCTGTGCCACCTGAGGAAACATCCAATTTGTAAATATGCAGTTTTTAAAGGTAGTCAGCTTGTTTAAGGGAAGAATATCTCAGCGGTTTTAGGAGTAAAATTCAAAGACAGAGACAGATCTTTCATGTTTTACAATATAAAAAAGACATTTCAGGCAGAAAAATATCTCAAGAGCATAAAAACTTCAGATATTTCGATAAATATCTGGAGAAAGGGGGGTGATGGGATGTTTTTATTATTGCAAACTGCATAATTTGCCAGTAGCTTTGTGGTTTATTCATCTTTCCTATTGTTCGCAGACCTTCCATATAGATTTGTTTTCAGACCCCATAAAAGCAAAAGGAACAAGCTGAACATCAAACTGAAGTCTTCCTTCAGGTATAAAATAGGCCCACATAATACCTATGCAGATATTTATATATAAAACCCCTTAAATAGTAGCCAGAAAACTAAAGCAAGAAGCATCAAGTGTGGGGGAGAAACTTAAAATAGTGCCAGTGCAAAAATAAAACAACATTTCTATTTATCCAATGGCAAGCTTCTTTTTTTAACATGTTGTTTTGGTATGGCTGAATGACTCGAGATGAAGTGTAGTGGTAGTGCTATGCATTGTTTTCTTATAAATCCATAGCCTATATTAATCGGTTCTTGTTTAATACTATAAAGCTGATCTGTAATGTTTAATTTATATGCTAAATCTAATTACATAGCCCGACACCAATTATTTTGCTTATGTTATGTTTCTCACAACCCCCAAGACATTGTTGATACAGATATTACATAGAGATCTCTGGTAATAACAAAAATGCAAGTTTCACTGCTTCAACAACTACCTTGGTAATGAGAAGTATTCCATAAACTTTCATTCACAAAACTATTTTATTGATAAAATCACAGAGCTGCTATGTGAGCAAGTTTGTACTCCCATTTATATGTAGCATGTGCGGCAACACTTCCCATTGACTTTGAATGAGTGACGTCAACTGAAATGTATAGGTTTAATGGGTTGCCGAACTGAATTGTAAATGGGTCGGCGCCACTTCAGCTGCCTTGCTCGCAGAAGTTGGGAATTTCTCAACTTTTCAAGTGCCAACGGAAGTATCAGCAAATCAGATTTTTTTTATGCAAATACCCCAGCTCAGACAGAAATCGTTTGAGGACTAATTTCATTGGCTGATGCTGCTATGATGATCATGTCAGCCCCAACTTCAGACTCCATTCCCTCCATAAAGCGTTGATGCCGAAGCCCTATGTAAGAGTACACATGACCAAAAGGTAATATTGAGATTAAACTTGAAAAATTATTTCTCATGTCTAGCGTTTTGTTTAATATATTTGTATGGTTATTTTGCAATTGCTTGCTATAAAAAAAAAAAAACATGTTCATTTTGTTTGATCTATATATGTTTTTCTCTCTCTAATTGCTAGTAGCTCTAAAAAAGTGAAATGAAACAAATCTGTAATGATGTCAAGACTTGTCTGGAATCACCTCAGCTGTTCGTGGAAAATTTTTGTCAACCAATCAGATTAAATTAAACATTTAACAGAATCATATATAAAGATGAATGTGATATGATTTAGAAGATTAAAGGTGCAAATTCCTACTATCAAACTCCTGTTATTCTAATATAAAGGAGCATTTAATTTTTGTCCCTAGAGGGTGGAATCATGAGAGTTGTTGTCTTCATTACATTATATGGGACTCCTGCAAAAATCTTGCTCATGGATGAAAAGTATGAGTGTTTTCCATTAATATATTTCATCATTGAAGATTTCCTAAACATTTTGTAAAAATCTCATCAGGTCTCATTATCGTAAATCAAATCTCGTGTCTTGTTTTGTCTCGGGGAGTATGCATCTCATCGCACGCCTAATGAGAAATATTTAAAATTTATTATCATGGCAGTATGAAGCAGAGTAAGGTGAAAGCTGTCAAAGCGAAGCAAGAACGCTGAAGTGATTGCTGATAAGAGATGGGGAGGGAGGTATTTACTATGCCACATTTGACCGCTTACGTTTTTTTTTCTGGTTGTGGTCATTTAGGGAAGAAGCAGCACTGATTTATCAAACTGAATACATTTTAGGGTTCCGTTATAATGCTGAACTGCGCAGTCTAATAAAACGCACAACATGTCAAAGCATCGTTGGTGTTTTGCTGCTTTATATAAAACTATAAATCAAGGGTGAATGATGTCATTACAGTGCTTCCCACAGGTTTGAAATATACTTGCGGTTGTAGCTGGATTGAAACACACCTTTCATCCGGGTGTCGAAATGAATTGTTTCTTTAGTGCACCGCGATGCAGACACAAACAATTTGGTAACGGTTCAATAATTATCATAACCAGTTATTACGTACTGACGTCATTTTACACATACAGTTTGTGTTATAGCGGTAGCTCACAATGGCAAAGGAGGAAGCCGTGAGTAGTTAAAACACTCTAACTACTTAAAAAGCAGATAACGGTGCACAGTTCACTGCTTGTAAGTTTGCTGGACGGTTTTTCACTGAGAGGGAAATACATCAGAACACAGCTAGAAAAAAATGAAAGTTGAAACTCTCTTTCTCTCACTTTCTGTGGCCCCTATGACCTGCTGAGAACGTGTTTTCTCCACCACGTTGCTGTCTATAATGGATCAGCTCAAAAAGCAAGCGATATAATGTTCATGTTTGTTCACTTGCTATAAATGCTCATGTTGTTCTGTGCATGTTTTTATGTTTTGGTTGATAGATACAAAAAGAGTGTTTTCTTTGAGCAGGTAAAATTAAAGGTACAGTACATACACATTACTGGTTGTATTCAAGGATAAAATTGTACATAATATTGTATAAATAAATAAATAATTAATTTTAATACAAGAATTATTGTGTTTCCACGTAAAATATCAAATTGTTCATGGAAAGTATCGCCAATGCTGCGTGATGCACCGAGATATAAAAATTAAAACGAATTGATGGCATGATAATCATAACTGAACCGTGAGACCATTGTAGGTTCAGACCTCTATCAATTACATGCAACAAACAAAAAATAATGTGATTAACTATATATTTTATTTATTATGAGACTGTTATACACCTTTTTCTTTTCAGTAGGTTAAAGTTTTAAAAAAAGGCTGTTGAATTAAAGAAATCCACCATTTCTCTTTTATGCTATTTAGAAGCCATGTGCACCCACTGACAGGGAAAGGCTGCTCGCTTTCTCTCTCTAAAGTTGCTTAATTGAAATGACAGTACAATATTGCCAAAGCATTTTAGACATGTATAAAGCATGTAATATATCAACATTAAATTAATAAAATATACAGCAAATGAGAAATATATAACAGAAAAGGGAATAAAAATAGACATTATAGCTAAAAATTATGATAATAACTAGAATAAAAAGTGTGGATTATTTAAATAAGACAAATTAGTTGAGTAGCCATTTCTAATGGTGTACAAATATTTTGCAGCCAGTATATTTTTATTCTCTCGGAGTACATGATGAAGTTTATCTGCGTTGTTTATTAAATGATTAATCATTTAATGCTTCTCTCGCGGCTGTGCACATGCAGTCAGCTGCAAAAAGGTAATGCAAAAATGCATACAAATAATGGCAACTTTAGAAAGCGAAAGTAAAATCTAAATAGCTGACATTTTAGAAGATTTAAAAACTACGGTCGGACACATTTAGGTGCAAAAGGAGCGTCTCTGTGGGTCTGCAGAACATGTGAGTGTGTCTGTGTGAGTGTTGGCGATTCTCGCACACACAAAACTACGCATAGGCTGGTATAAGATTCTGACGGTATGATAACCTTGGATAAAAACTTCACAGTATCACGGTGTTGTGATTACTTCTCCGATTTGTACTTTTTAAATGTCTGGGTAAAAAACAACATTTTTCCCCTTCTGAACACAATACATACACACAAGATTTTTTATTTTGAGAAACATTTAAAATATTTTGGACCAGTAGCTTTTGATGTAAAGGTTTATTTTCTCCTGGAGATACTGTTGCCCTAAAAAAAAAAACTAAATAAAATAATTGTGAAAAACTTGTTTAAAAAAAATTACCTTAGAAACAGTATAACAAAAAACGTTTGTGGTTTTAAAACCTTGACTTTTCCAAAACGCGGTAAACCTTTGAAACCGGTTATTGTCCCATGCCTAAAAAGAACCAGCAGGAGGAAATGTGCAGAGCGAGAGATTATTTTCCACTGGTCTATCGATCGCGAATGTTTGGCATTTTTGAACGAATAAGCAAAAAGTGTAAAAGGATGATAATAATAGTATTATTCACGAGTCACCACCAAATATACTTAGGTGGCCGTTAACATACCCGGACAGCCCGATCAAGTAAAGTGTATGTGTGGGAAGCACTGCATTAGCATATCGACAAAGGACACGGTCTGTGTCATTAGTTAAAATTGCTCATTTCTGAGGATTTGAACTAAAGATTTGGCATAATGCAAGTACATAAAGACAGCAAAGACTGTCCTAGTGTTTTTTTAATTATTATTTTAATGAAAATATTTGCGTATATTTTGACTTTAACTGCTGTCATTTTTTGTTGTGTTTAATTTGTTATTGTTAGGAAACATGTTGTTTAATTAAAATTAATTTTGTTGTGCATAAATAAATGTATCCATTAAACAAGGATTTTCCATTACATTTTACTCTCTTACTTGTGTAGAATAAGTTGAAGCCTAGATTTAACGAGTAACCCAATGTAAAGACATACATATGTGTGCAGCTCAGACGCTCAGTCACCATAATGCCAGCACAGAGAAACACAGAGAGACAGAAAATTTATACTGCAAGCCAAAAGAAAAAGCCAGACAATCAATATTTCAAAATAATGAGGTTTTGTGCAGGAAAAACAGGGAGGGGAGGTGCCGGATGGCAGCGGGTGTAAATAAAAATAGGCCTCGGTAATTGACAAATGTAATAACTGTAAAATCAGATTATAAAAGAGACGGAGAATAGGAGAGGAATAAATAAGACAGAGGGAAAGGTTGCTGGGATGATAGATATATGTGTTCTTATGTGTGCATGTGACAGATGGCAGGTGATATTAGGGGGTCTATTGGATTCAGGTGATTCTGGGTGGCTGAAAGTGTTAAAAGTTTCCTGCCAGATGCCCCTCTGCGCTCAGGAGCCCGACTGGCACAGTAACAGGAGCGGCGGGAAACAAGCCCTGGCACATATGCTCTGCTTGACATTGGGGTCAAGGTCAAATCTGCTTCGGGTTGGCAGAGGTCACAAACCGGAGGGGGAGGCGGACGCAGCATCGATACGAGATACAGCAGATTTCAGAAGGCCAGTAGGCTATCTGAGCTCAGAATTGTGTATCTGTGCTGCTGGGTTTTTTTTTTTCAGTGGACAATTTCAGGTTGTCTGACATTTCAAAAACCTCTGGAGTCAGGAAATGTCAGTCAAAACCTTTTTCTGTAAAGTTATGAGGCTCGTGTGCTCTGTAAACGTGTCAGAATTCAGTCAGATTGCTGTCTTGTTATCAAATGTGAGCCAAATGGCAAATCAAAAGGTCTCCCTGGCAGACATATGCAAAAACGTCTTCCGAATGCACCGCAATATCAGTCACTCATTTAGGACCATTACATTTAATACAGCTTTATGTTTTAATTCTGTTCATCTAAACAAAATTATTGGTTGATTGAACTTTTATAAACCATTATACCCACCATAATATCTTAGATACAGCGATTTCAACTACTGTAAAAACATTCTAGCAATTAACAAAGTATTAGATTTAGTCGTTTTACTTTTGTCCTAAGCGACTTACAATTGAGACTACGACTTTTAGCTCAATAAATGGCTAATTTGTTGTTTATTAATAGTTATTAAGGTAGTTTAGGTACTGGGAACACTCAAAAAGTATTTTGCTTGCTTAGCTTTGTAAAAATGACTGCATTAGCTTAATGAGTTAGTGTTGGGACAACATGAAGGAATTGTGTGAAACCCTGCATTTCATAGAGTATATAGAGCCAGGGCTTAACATTAACCTTATTGATCACCAGCCACTGTGGTTAGTAGATTTCCAACATAACTAGCCACAACTTTGTTGATGGGAAAATGTATTTTAGTTGCATACATTTGACTTTGACATGCTAATATTTCATAATATTTAAATTGTGTGTTGTCCACATGCCTCCTCATTCATTTCACATTTTTGTGTGTCATGTATGAGCTTTCTGTATGTGCATGAGCAAATGGGCCGTGGTTTAAAAGTATCGCATTGCTAATAGTTTTTATTTTACATGATGTTTCAGGGCTCACCAATATTTTTTTTGGATTTACCAAATTTACCTATAAGCACACCAAAAATATATAAATAATTATTTCTTAGTGTCAAAACAAGTAAAATATTGCTCTATACAAGCACTTTTTATTCAACAAAACCTCTTAAAAAAACAATTGACATTTAAAACGTAGGTCTCATATCATCTGTTAACTACACATAAATGAGGAGTTAATCTCCTATTAAAGCAATGTTACTGTAAAAACCCTAATTAAACCATATTAACAAAAATAACTGTAAGCAAAGCCAAGCAGGGGATAATGAAAGAATGATCAAACACTCGCGGTTAATGTTAGGCTCATAAGAATCTGTTCAAAGAATGTTAAAAGCGAAAGCAACTGCAGCCGCTCACAAAAGCATATATATACTTTTTTATTTGGAGCTCTTGAAAGCAGCAGGACTGTGGGTGCAATCATCGCTTTTTGTCCAGTCTATTTCAAAGGGAACTAATCGCACCGGTTGCGTTTCAAGGAACGGTTGCTTTGCGCCATCGTGCAAGGAAACAGGAGCGTGCACACTTTTTAAAGTTGCATCACATCACCTGTGCGCAAGTGATCATCCTCTCATTCGATATTTACCTGCCTTCTTTTGCCTCCGTGAACACACTAATTTTGTGCTGCTTCTCAATTCTAAGATCACATTTGCACGCATATTGGGCCATCTTTATTGTCGAGCTCTGCTTTTAAGAAAACTACAATTTAAAAATTATCTATCTTACCCGCCACAGCTGAAACCTACCCGCATTTGACAGGTTGGTGGTTGTTAATGTCAATCCCTCTATAGAGCTAATATTACAACAAAACTATCTGAATTTGAATCGTGTAATTTTAAGTGTTTTTTCATCCAACTGAAACTTATATGCAATTAAAAAAAGTTTAGAATTTTAAACATTGGAAATTTAAGACAACTGATTTTTAAAGGTAGATTATTTGAGATACGTCTTTTGAAACAACATTTTTTGGTTCAGAATTTCTAAACTGCAGATATTCATTTTATAAAAATACGGTTTTAATTTTTTAAGATGAAGAAATTCTGAACATCAATTTAATATCTGAAAATCTAAATGCAGAAATTCAGATTGCAAAAATCAGGTTGTGCAGAAAGTTGGTCAGAGGTCATCCACCAAAAAACTTTGATCAAATTTACTTTCATAATTCTAGCTCCAAACTGGGTAGCATTAGGAATTTTGAATAAGATTATGCAGATTATGAAATTATTATTTACTAATATTAAAAATAGGCAAGTTATAAGCCACTAGTTAATACGTTGAACTGGCCACTATACTAAAATGTTCCTGAATATTCAGTATAGTATAGCAATGGCTGTTTCTCAATATGCGTTCGAACAATGTGTTTTCGTGTAATGACATCATCAACCGCCGAAGTCCATAAGAACAAAGAACACATGAAAGTTCCCGTATGCGTTCTTGATATCAAGGATGCAGGTGACACAATGGCTCAGTGGTTAGCACTGTCGCCCCACAGTAAGAAAGTCACTGGTTCGAGCCCCAGCTTGGTTAGTTGTCATTTCTGTGTGGAGTTTACATGTTCTCCCCATGCTCGCGTGGGTTTCTTCCGAGTGCTTTCCCCCACAGTCCAAGGACAGGTGAGAAGCCTTTATTATTTATTATTATATTTATTATTAAAGTTCAGCAATATAACTTATTTGTGTTAGGATTTCTCCTGAATGAAGACAATAAATCAGTTTTATTTGTTAAGTGCAAAGTATATTTGTAAGGTTTTTGTGCAAGTTATATACACTGAAAAGGAGGTTGTATGAATGCTGTAATGTTTAGCATCTCATTTCTTACAGGACGTGTTCTGTGTTCTTGCGGTCTCCCGAGATCGTTCTTTAGAGGTGACCTAGCAAGACCGGTCTCCACAAAAACACAGGCCCATTATCTGTGTTCTTAGGAACACAGATACAATGTCAGGAATTGAGGAACAGCCAATGTCACTGCTGCAACTTTCTTTTCTATATTACCTTATACAGAAACAGGCACTGCACAGAAGAAGTTAAATAACAAAACAGGTCTGAGAGGTTCAATCTGACTAACATGACTGTAGCAGGCTGCCGCTGACCTGCCATGAGAGCAAAGCTCATCTGGTGAAACCGCAGGGAGAAACTGGGCACAGGTGGTGTGTGAGAGAGACATGCTGCGAGACCCCAGTCACAAACACACACACATGCACACAAAATCAGCAGTCCACCACAGCTGTTAACGCTGATGCTAATTTGTTTCCGCAGGGCCCTGCAGGCACGGGATCACACTTTCACATACACACACACACAAACCGTACTATCAAGAGGAGCTGAAGCACTGATGATTGTTGGAAAAGTAAAAAGTGTGTTGACCAGGATATAAGGACTAGGTATGATGACTAGGATAGGATATGATAGGGAACCAAAATGATAGACAGACAGGACAGATAAGACAGATAGATTGAATGGATGGATGGATGGATGGATGGATGGATGGATGGATGGATGGATGGATGGATGGATGGATGGATAAAAGAAAAAGGAATAAAAGAGTGAAATATTGAAAAGAAAGAAGATGAATAGATGGACAATGAAAGAAAGAAAGAAAGAAAGAAAGAAAGAAAGAAATTTATGTAGATAGACAGACAGACAGACAGATAGATAAAAGACAATAAAAGGAATGAAAGAAAGAAAACAAAGTTAGAATTATGTAGATAGACGGACAGATGGTCAAAAACAGAAGGCACAAGAAAAGGAAGGAAAGAAAGAAAGAAAGAAAGAAAGAAAGAAAGAAAGAAAGAAAGATGAAATGTAGTTAAACATGGAAGGAAGGAAGGAAGGAAGGAAGGAAGGAAGGAAGGAAGGAAGGAAGGAAGGAAGGAAGGAAGGAAGGAAGGAAGGAAAAAGGAACTGAGGAATATGAAATATGGATCAACAAAAGGACAGAGGGGAAGAAAAGAGTATAAAAATTAAAGAGAAATGAAGACAGAAAAGTGAAGAGGATGCAGAAAAGGGAAGAAGGTGGAGAAGAAAAAGGAAGGAAAGACAGTGAAAATTTAAGGAAAATAGGTGAAGGGCAAAGAGTCTGATAATGAATAAACAGAGCTGAAAGAGATAAGGGGAAATGCAGAAAGTAGGAAGGTAAGAATAAAGGAAACAGGAAAAGGAGAAGGAAAATAAAGAAATATGGTAAAAATAAGGAAAGAAAGGTGGCATTGAAGAGGGACAGAAGGAAGGAAGAGCTAAAGAAGAGGGAAAAGGACAGGAAATGCTGAAACTGGAAAGAAAGGAAAATTAGCAAACAAATGGAATGCATGGAGTCAGGAGAGTAACTGAAAAACAGAGAGAAAAACCCGTAGAAAGAAACAACGAAAGAGGAAATATTAAAAAGGAATGTAGGAAGAAAAAGATGCAGGTAAAGCATAAAAGTAAAAAAATATGAAGAGAAGAAGGAATGTTGGTTAATAACTGAGGAAAGAAAACGAGTTGTGTAATAAAATGCAGGAAGGACAAAAAAATAAATAAATAAAAAGCAGACAACGGAAATAAAGAAGTAAAGCAGCAAATGAAAGAAGGAAAAAGAAATGGAAAGAGATAAAGGAGAACACACCTGATATAGATCCCAGGAGCACGTTGTTCTTAATACAGCTGTACACATATTCATAGCTCTGGGGCTTCAGTGGGGATCCTGTAGACAGGAGTGTGTGGAGGGTCTGCAGGCTGTGTGTGCTTGCTGTAAACAGAAAAGAATTACACAATCTATTAATTAAAAAAAAACTGCTTAAGACTCACGATGTAAAAAAAACACTGCATTTAATGAAAAAAAAAAGCTTGTACAACATAAAAAAACAACAACAATAATGGCCACATACTGTACATTCAAATCAGCTTGAGATGCCCACATATTCATTCAGTAATCAACAGCAGTGACACTATCAATCTTCAATAAAAATTCAAGCATGTTTGGATTTGTTGTAAATTCAGTCTTGAATAATACAGCTAAGCTCAGCTTGGTTTGTATTCTGGAGGCAGATGGGTTGGTTCACAGTGATCAGAATTAGTAAGCGCATTAAACTGTGCTGAAAAATGTATGCAGGCGACATGCCAGGCCACCCGCCTGGGGTCCCGTGTAGAGAGGGTCTCTCGCCCTGGTTATCAGAGTCACTGCCACACCCCACAGGCTAACAGGTGTCACTCCAAAATGTCAAGCAGCCAAAGGGAACAGCGGAGGGCCAGGAAGCACATCTCTGACCCCCAACACACACACGCACGCACAACAGTGATGATGAACTGAATGTTTAGTAGGGAATACAGTAAATGTAATGGTTTTGTTATTTGAGATTTAACTGGACTGTGAAAATAAATATATTTCTTCCTTATTTTAATATACATTTTATATAAAAAAAAATTAATGTTACATACATTTAAAGGAGACCTATAGCACCCATTTTTACAAGATGTAAAATAAGTCTCTTATATCCCTAGAGTGAGAAATTTCAGCACCCTTTTTGGTGACTGTAACTTTAAATTCAAATGAGATTATGCTCTTTTTAAAAGAGGACAGAGCTACAAATGCCTGTGTGTCAGCATAGTGGCAGATTTAACCCTCTGGGGTCTGAAATGATTTTGGGGCCCTAAGATGTTTTGACATGCCCTGACATTTGTGTGTATTTCAGCTACTTATTACATAATATTGGTCAACATGTATTTTTTATATTCAGCACAAACTGTCCTACAATAATATGTGAGAAATATGGATGAAAATGCTTGCGTTTTTTAGAAAAAATAAATAATGTGTGGTTAGTAGGTTTTGGAGAAAAAAATGTAGCTAAAGTAAGGTCAAGAAAAGCAGACTGAATGGGCCTGAATAAGACTTTTGAAAAACCAGTCTTGTAGGCAACAATATTTACTTCACAATTATGTAAAAATTATTTTGTTCTCTAATTTAAAGAAAAATTTAGAATGATTTAATTTTGGAAAAATTTTGGGTCATAACAATGGAATGACAATGGTCATGAATAATTCACACCTAGAGAGACACAAGACACTCCCCCACTGGCTAATGTTCACCCATCAAGGGCATTCTAAAGCAATGTCCAGCTGCAAAAGCTTGTTGTATTACTTGTTGTATTATGACCATGTAAACACTATGGGTAAACAATGTATGTGTACTTATAACATACAGCATGGACAAACATATATATTTGAAATGGTATAAAACATGTTTGTAAAACTGTTAGGATAAAAACTTTCTTGTGCATTAATCCAGCATTTAAAACATGCCATAGAGAGAGAGAGATAGAGAGATAGGTCACTAATGAGGGTGGGGGGGGGGGGGGGTACATGTCATTTCCTTGATGACATGTACATAGGTAAAATGTCAATCAAAGTGTTTCTGCAGACTGTTTTTATGAAGTGGACCATTAGGAGCATGTTGTATTCACCGACTGTTGTTTAAATCCCTTATACAGCTGATTTTTGCATAATAGGCCCCCTTGTAATGTAAAATTCTAATTTTTAATACTCAATGTTATTTTGTTCAGCAATAAAATGAAAATATAATATAAAAAATATATAAAATTGAATTTATATTCATTTGATTTAGTATGACTGAAATGAATGATATTTTAATAAAAAAATGTGCAAGTGTAACTATCTATTTTAATGCACATTATTAATAAGCTGTTAATTAGCCCTTTAAAAATCCTGCATAACAAACCAAATGCATGCTTGAAAAACAACAAAAACCCTAACTTGCTTGCTCTCATGGCAGACATTATGCATAAACTCCATCTTCCACTGTAAATTGCTTTTAATTCACTTTCAGTTTGTCTCATTATTGTTGAATATTCACAAGCACGCAAACGCGATTTAATGAATGAGTCAGTGGCATCTAGAGACTGCTGGGAGAGAAGGGGAAATGAATGTGAAGTAGAGATAATGTCAAAAGTAACAGTACTTGGGAAGGAAATTAGAGCTAAATTAATACATGCGTGAGAGAGAGATAGTGAGATAGAGAGACAGAGAAAGGGAGAGATTTTATTTAATTATAATATATATAAACAGTTGAAGTCAGAATTGATAGGCCCCCTTTGAATTTTTTTCTCATTTTTGAATATTTCCCAAATGAAGATTAACAGAGAAAGAAATGGAACTCAAAGGTATATATATATATATATATACTAACACGCACACACACACACACACGCACACGCACACGCACACACTGTATATTTTATTTTTATACTACTATTTATAGTGTTTACTATCTATTATATAATCTTTGGCAATACATTTGTAACATTAGAAATTATTTTACCAAACATAAAACACGTTACACAAACCACCTGAAATTTAAAAAATATAAATCAGCCAGTAAGTGGCTATTCATTCCTCTGTGATAAACCAGGGAAAAAGCAGAAAGAAAATAAATGAATGAAATGTCAAGTGCATTAATAAATAACATTAAATCTGACAATAATTAAATCTTAAAAATTTGCTGCCATTTCTGATATTTGAAATTTAAATTTAATGTAAGTAGAACAATGTAAACATTGAAAAAATTGTAAGCTAAGCTTGGTAGATGTGTAAAAACATTATGAAACATCAATTTCTGTGCATTGTCCATAAATATAAAAAGCTTATCAGATCTATAGGTAATATTAAGTAATACAAATAATGTATGGTTTTATACATTATATTAATCTTAAAAAAAAGCTTAAAATTAGCAAATAAAACAAAATGTAGGCCTACAGGGCAAAAAGAGGATGCTTCTCAGATGATTTTAAAATCTGTCATTCATTTATTCTCACCATACTTAAGGTCTTGTTCCTGTGTTAATCCTCACAGCATCCACATGGGATAAAAAATGGCATCTCAACTCTGTCTTTCGTGAAATGGAGTTGAGTAGCAATTTGTTGTATAGTAAATCGGACTCATTCAAAGTAGCGTCTGGTTTTAATGACATGGTACACTTACGACTGCATTGTATTTTCTTTTACTTATAATGCACAGAGTTTTGAGGTAAGGGATGTCTTCATTTGCCATTCACTGACAGTCGGACAGGCTCATCTAGTTAATCAAACTCTATCTTTTAAAATCGAAATTGTAATATCTCTCCTCATAAAAGCCGGCGTATCAGCACGCTGTTACATTGAAAGCATTTGATTTGATTCACGCTTCTGATTGGTTCTCAGAATATAGCGGCTTTTGCTGTCAAAGGGAAGTGGCATTTAGCAGCTTTTGCCAACAAACTTATTTCTGAATGTGCTGACGGTGAGATTTAGATAATTTGAAGCAAATCTATTTGTTGATGGTGTAGTATTTGCCTAAAGCATTCACTCAATGTCATTAGCTCATTTTTGACTGAAGTGGGGTTTAGCGGCTTTTGCATCTGAACTCTTCATACTCTTTACATTCATAAAATGTAAACATAAGCAAAAATGTGGAAACCAAAATCTGAATTAGGCCTTGCGGTGCTAACATACTCAGACGCAGATTTGTGTAATCAAAATTAATAACTGACTGTAAATATTCCTTGTGAAAAAAAATAGAAGCAATAATTACTTCACAAAAATACTTGATTCAAAATGAAAGGCATTACTTATTTTGACAAAATTAATATTAATCTCACTTTTTTTAAAAAAGGAGTTCTCAACACACTGTAAAAAGCAATTAGTTACTTTACTTCAATAAAGTGAGCAAACCCGCTGCCTTAAAAGCTACAAGTTGACTTTAAATTAAATAAATCTGTTGTCATTTGAAATGGTTAAGTTGACTTAATTTTTATAATCAAACACATAATTCAATTACTTCAATTACTCACTTTCTTTTAGACTTTAAGTCAATTATAGGTTTTAAAAGCAATAGTATTATTGTATTTACTTTTTTAAGTAAAGCAAACTATTAGATTTTTACAGTGCAGTATATTTGTTTTTTACGGAACCCCGGAAGGGACGTAGTGGGTGAGAAAAAAATGGGTGGGTGAAAAAAAAATAATGGGTGAAAGAAAAAAAAATGGGTGGGATGAAAATATATATTTCTAAGTTTTTTGCGTTCCCTCGCAAAGATGTTTTGCGTTATCTCGCAAAGATGTTTTGCGTTCCCTCGCAAAGATGTTTTGCGTTCCCTCGCAAAGATGTTTTGCGTTCCCTCGCAAAGATGTTTTGCGTTATCTCGCAAAGATGTTTTGCGTTCTCTCGCAAAACTGTTTCTCCACAAACACTTCCTGTTCACTGCACTCACGTAAACCCTCCCGTTTTTGCCGAAATTCTCCCGTATTTTACCATTCTACCCCACTTTCTTTACATTACTGTGCGTATGCTAATGCATGTATAAGCGCTGACTGACAGACGCGCTTCGTACAATAAACTGATCCCAGATCAGCGTCTGTACACGCCATTTACAGAGGAGCGGGTGTATGTTTAAACAGACAAATACACTGAATAATATGAAACATCTCCGTCCTGCATGTTTTTTAAACAGCTTATTTTCTCTTAAATGAGCACAAACAGTTTCTAAAGTAATGGACTGCTTTCATTATAGATCTGTGCATTCTTACAGAGACACCTCTGTTATCAAACTAAACAAAACATGAGATTCATTTGCTGCGCACTTGTTTGATAACAGAAGTGTCCCTTTAAATGGCGCGTACAGACTCTGATCTGGGATCAGTTTATTGTATGGAGCGCGTCTGTCAGTCAGCGCTTAAACATGCATTCACTGGTTCAGAGGTTGCAAAGTGAAAGGCGACAATCAGCGCACAGTAATGTAAAGAAAGTGGGATAGAATGGTAAAATATGGGAGAATTTCAGCAAAAACGGGAGGGTTTACGTGAGTGAAGTGAACAGGAAGTGTTTGTGGAGAAACAGTTTTGCGAGAGAACGCAAAACATCTTTGCGAGGGAACGCAAAACATCTTTGCGAGATAACGCAAAACATCTTTGCGAGGGAACGCAAAACATCTTTGCGAGGGAACGCAAAACATCTTTGCGAGGGAACGCAAAACATCTTTGCGAGATAACGCAAAACATCTTTGCGAGGGAACGCAAAACATCTTTGCGAGATAACGCAAAACATCTTTGCGAGGGAACGCAAAACATCTTTGCGAGATAACGCAAAACATCTTTGCGAGGGAACGCAAAACATCTTTGCGAGATAACGCAAAACATCTTTGCGAGGGAACGCAAAACATCTTTGCGAGATAACGCAAAACATCTTTGCGAGGGAACGCAAAACATCTTTGCGAGATAACGCAAAACATCTTTGCGAGGGAACGCAAAACATCTTTGCGAGATAACGCAAAACATCTTTGCGAGGGAACGCAAAACATCTTTGCGAGATAACGCAAAACATCTTTGCGAGGGAACGCAAAACTTTGCGAGAGAACGCAAAAAACTTAGAAATATATATTTTCCTCCCACCCATTTTTTTTTCTTTCACCCATTATTTTTTTTTCACCCACCCATTTTTTTTTCTCCCCCACTACGTCCCTTCCGGGGTTCCGTAGTTTTTGCTATAGTATCAACACTGACACTATAGCAAATTAGGTAGCACTGATACTGGTACATGCTATGTTTTTTTTTTTTTTTAAGAAAAGTTATTTGATTTGAAGTTAGTGAGTTTTTCTTTTTGTTGTGGTTCCTTTCTCTCTGCCTCTCTCTGCTGTCTTTCAGACTGGTTTCATGAATAGCGCACACAGGTGTAGTGAATCAGGTGTTAATACGTGGGAGCTTGCCAGCATGGTAAAGTCCATTTAAACCAGACTGGACGATCGTTCGGAAGGTCTCCTCTCCCCAGGCTTGTTTTGTTTATTCGTGAGAACTTATGTTGTATTTGCTCTGCGATATTGTTGAAATGAATGCTGAATGTTGACTGTTAAACTACTAAGACCATAGTACGGAGACATATGTGAGAAGGGTGGCTTTTTGTTTTATCAAGTTTTCTCATGTTTTGTGGTTAGTAGGAAGGGAATTAAATGTTGTTTAATTTGTTTTAATGTATGTGCAAGTAAAAAGGTTTAAAACATAGTTTGTTGCAGAGTTTTTGTTTGTTATTTTGGCTTTACCTCCACCAGATTTTTTTTTATGTCACCTTTGAATTCAGATGTCAAATAAATTTGACTTTACGTTTTTTCTTTGGTCAGTCGTCTTTTTTGTTGTTTGCTTTTCAGAGGGAGATGAGACTCCGGAGTCCTCGTTCATTTTAGAGGTGTCCTTTTCAATTTAATTGAATTTTATTTATTGTTATGGGTCTGGCTTGCTTTGTGGCACCGTTTAGAGTATGTAACAGAAAACTTTAAAAATGCTGGGTTCCACACAATTCCTTCATGTCATCCCAACACAAATCATCAAATGTCAAAAAAAAATAAAAATAAAACTCAATTCTTGAGTTATTTCAGCTCATTATAAATGAGCAGTTTGAACAAGCAGCAAAAATAATTTCTAGCGTGTACTGCGTACTCTTATATCTATTTTATTAATTTAAAAAACACATAAGTGACACACACACACAAAAAGTATATTAACTCAATGGTTCTGCAGCTCACCTGGTTTTTGATCTCTCTCTTCCAACACAGCCAGCCATTTCGCTCCAGTCCCAAAAATTGTGATTCTGTTCAAAAACAATGTGAAAAGATTGAATGTTAATTTTTAAGGTATATATTTTGCCTGCATAAAAGCAAAATGGCAGTGCTAAAATGACGAATAAAAGACCCTGAAGGAACAAATGGTACTCGCAGCCCTTGTTGGGAATAACAGCACTAGATCACGTCTCTGACAAACATGAAAACCTCATTTTCACAGCACTCTAGATCTCCTCGCTTTCTCTGTAGAACAAAAAGCAGGACACTTTCGCTGCCTGTGAGGGGGAATTGATCTAAAGGGCCTGTTGACCTGCAGTGGCCTTGGGCAGGCGTCTCTTGATGGAATCACTCACGGTCAGAAATCAGGGGCCGAAGGTCACGGCAGAGCAATATCTGAAGAGCGCGGACGGCTTAAATGCTGTCAACATGGTTGTGTTGGTGTAATCTCCATTTGTCTAGGGCAGTTATGGAATTGCAGTAGAGTTGATTTCATAAAGTTTGTATTATGTGGGAAAGAGCACAATCCTAAAAGATCGTGAATACAGCCCATTTTACACACTTAATAGGCAGAAAGTAGATGGTTTTTGGTTGATTTTCTTATGCGTTTGACCACATGAGCATCTATGAAAGCAGTCCACTCAAACACTGGAACTACCTTTGAAAGCGATCAAAAGCTCAACATTTTTCGGACACTGTTAATATCTGTATTTTTTAAACCGATATTCACCCAAAAATGAAAACGTACTCACAATTTACTTGTCCTAAAGAGGTTCTAAATTATTATGAGTTTCTACTGTTCAACACAAAATGCAATATTTAGAAGAAAACTGTAACCATTGACTTCCATAGTAGGAAAAAAATATTGAAGTCAATGGTTACAAGTTTCTAGCTTTCTTCATAATACTTTTTCCTTCGCGCTTCCACAATTGCTGAATTCAACACAAAATCAACAAAAAGTTGCAAATCCTGTGGTGCGAATTGGGCATTGTGTGCTTGACACGCTTCAGACTGCAAAAGAAATTTAAGCAAACGGAGCAATGGAACAGACAGGTGGAGATGAGATTGGTTCAAGGATGACAGCCGCTGGACGTAACCGAATTGAAGGATGTTATTTGTGCTTTACATATATGGTATTATGATGCACGTAAAATCGATAAATGTTTTTCATTGAACTCTTTCCCGGCAGTTAGCTAGAGAAACCGCGAGCGGACATTGATGAGTTTTGCGGCAATCTGTGCATAAGGTGTATTACCGTAGGGCAGGGGTGGCTAACCCTATTCCTGGAGAGCCACCTTCCTGCAGATTTCAGTTGCTACCCATATCAAACACACCTGAATCGATTAATTAGGACCTGAACACCACGTGATAATTAAAGGCAGGTGTGTTTGATATGGATTAGGAAGGTGGCTCTCCAGGAACAGGCTTGGCCATCCCTGCCGTAGGGGAATCTCTAATGCATGTCCTATGTGTGACATAATGTCAGATGCTCCAGGGAGTGAAATCTGAGAGAAAGTAAGATTGTGATAAATGAAAAGAGTTATACAAGCTTCCTTTGGCTTAATCCCTACCGATTTAAATCTTGTCTTGACAAGAGACCAAAATAATGAAGCTTTATTTTTATGACTTGTGTCATAGTCATTGTTTCAGATTGCACATATAACATAGGCTAACTTAGGCTATATTAGGTAACTTAGGCTACCTAATATAGTAAATTAGACAGTCAAGAAAGTCAAACAGGCTTGGGATGATGACAGGTTTTTCAGTTTTGGGTGAACTATCCTTTTAATGTCGTTCACTTTTGATTAGATTGATAAATATCTGGGCCTTATATTTAATTAATATTTTTAACACAGAATTTCAAAGGCTGAAAAAGATGATTATTAACCCTCATCATTAGTTATTAAAGTTATTTACACAACCATGAAAAAAACCCAGTCACTTTCCTTCGGCTTGGTCCCGAATTTCTCAGAGGTCGCCTTGGCGAAATGAACCACTAATTAAAACATTAAAATTTAAATGTCTACATCTGTACATCAATGCCTATTAAGTACAGAGAAAAAAACGTATTTTTCATTTAGACGTCATGACAAAAACTTGATTTTCCTTACAAATGCTGGATAATTAACGTGCAAAACATCAGAAGCTAATTTGTGACTTTCATTTATGAACTTATTTGTCATTCTGTCTTTCTCTAGTGTCCAAAACAGACATCCATTGTGTGGACTGGTGCCATGACAACTGCTTGTGCGTGATTGGTGGCAGCTGGCAAGGCCCAGTTAGTAATGGGTCATTTAGAATGTAAGAAAAGCATTCTATATGAAATGAAATGGAACGTGATTTCACAAGCAAGATCTCAGTCAGGACGGGAAACCAAAAAAAAAAAGGAAAAAATTTGCCAGTGCCAGTCTACTGACATGACCAACCACTGATGTCTTCCTTCCGTGTATGGCATCACAAATCCCTGATTTACTACAGTCTATTCAATAAGAATATAAGGAGATTGTTCATTTTCTAATTTCCATAGCAGTCAAGCTCATCTAAATATTATGATTGATTAATTTTGGCTACTGAAGAGAAGATTTTCTATTCTCTAAAAGAGTTCTCTAAAAATGCAAACATGTGAACTAAAGAAACTGTGGTATGTGTGTGTAAAATGAGCCCACAGAGGTGCCGGAGCCTGCTATGTATGTAAGCTACTGTATGCTGTAGAATAACTGAATATGTAAAGCACTGATTATATATGTTAAATACTCATATGAAGCTACAGTGCATCCAGAAAGTATTCATAGCGCTTCCCATTTTCCACTTTTTTTTGTTTTTTGTTACTGCCTTATTCCAAAATGGATTAAATGCATTTATTTCCTCAAAATTCTACACATAATACCCCGTAATGACAATGTAAAAAAAAGATTTTTTGAAATCGTTGCAATATTTTCAGACATACTGTAAAAATTTCCTTGCTCTGATAAACATCATTTGGGAAATATTTAAAAAGGAAAACAAATTCAAAGGGGAGCTAATAATTCCGACTTCAATTGTATATGTTGTTATCTCCCTATACCAACTGCTTCAAACGTCTTAAAACTAGAAATCAAGGTAGCAACAACATCCTAAAATACGACTCCTTGAACATAACACAATGGATTGAACTTAAAACCATCAAATCACCGACTGTAGTTTAGCTTCAATCAATGGGTGAAGTATTCCACCTACAGTGAATAGCTCTCAACTTCATTCCATTCTTCTAGGGTTGTACGATATTGGAAAAACCTGACGTTGCGATATTTCGTTTTGTTGTGATATGAATAGAATTTCACCAAATGATTTAAATAGCTCCATTTTGAAATATGTCATTCATTTAGATTGGATGATCAAGTTTTTTTTCTATGCATTATTATAATAAATAACAACAAATAGTTCTTTATGGTTTTCAGGGGAGTCTAACAGTATTCATGTACAGATATTGAACAATCAAATTTAAAAAAACATGGCAATCATTGTATAAATAATTTACAAAGTAATGTTTATTAATATATCTATTTTTATATTTAATAAATAATCTAACCCTGCAATGTGACTATTACAGATATACACATTGCAACATCGATGCTCAAACAATATATTGTCCAGCCCTAGTTTCTTCTATTTTATAAAAGGCAAATAGGAGCAATGTTTTCCCCAATAGCGACAATGATGCAGAAAAAAAGTGTTCACAATGGCTCTTTGTCCAGAACAGGTTTTCTTAAACACATTTCCTTCATCAACACGGACACAGTCTCTGCCCTCTGATTGAATATTGATCATTTGTAAACATTGGACATAATTAATCTAAAAGGGGAGCGACACCAGATAAAAGCTAATCCGGGATCAGTATATTTGTACGACTAAACATACAAAAAAAGAGAGAGAAAGTGAGAGCATTCATCGTTCATCATTCATCATGTTTTATTCACTATGCACTGGACATCCAAGGAAAATTCAACCTCATCTGCTGAAGAGGGGTAAATGTAAACTTTATTTGCCTCTATTTGTGTTACAAATGCAAATGTCTACGAATAGGGACCGAATGATCGAATAGAGCCTGGAGTGTGTCTATGCACAAACTGATTGTAGAGAGAATCCCGAAATATATTCCCTCATAAACTTTTTGCAACAGGAGTATTTTTTTCATGACAACATGTAAAAGAAAAGAAGCTCACAGTCATTTTGGGAATGGGGAAAAAGAAATGGAGCTTTAAAAACAATGAAAAGTGAGATAAGGGAAACATTTAGAGGCTTTTCCTTTAATTTTATTCCTCCAGACTCCCAAATGCTATGTTTTCTCCTGCATCTTCATTGGCTATTGCTAATTACTGCCCTCTCATTGGTCAGAAAAATGGACATGAGTTAAGACAAAATGGACAGATTTTAAACAAGTTTGAACTAAATGATTCAACTTTATTAAACTAAATGCTTGTAGCATTTACTCTGTTAAAAAGTTATGCCTAAAACTAGTTTGTACTGCATGCAAATGGTCCATTTGGATGTGTAAAAAGCCTCTATTACGTGTTAAAAAGGGTCATATTTTGGTTTTGGGGGTCTACAACAACAGTCTAATATGCATGAAAGGTCCAAAAAAACTTTCATTGTCTTCATATGAATTTATTTTTACCTAATTATCGCATAGGCTCCCATATGATTCGTTCAGCGATTAATTTGTTCCCAAACCCGATGCTAATCTGCACTGATTGGTGGCAGGGTGTATGTGTGAACCCAATGCAGGAGTGCATTAAAGCAATGCAGTTTAACACCAGCATATTACTCAATACTGAATGTGTGTCATGGTTTAGAATAAATCCACACAGTGGCAAAAGCTGAACGATTTTCAAACTTGACCATCACATATGTGTAGGAACAGCTGATGATGGCCATAGAAAAAAACAAACAGCAGTTTAAATCCGTAAACAAAGCGGCACGCATCGCGTTTTCAACATAGTTTTAGATGTGATATGAGAATATAAAGAGTTAACCAGATACAGTACAAGCTGCGTGGAGTGGTTACAAGTAACAAAACACAATTAAATACATAATTTGCGAGCTAGAAAACAAGGAGGCAACCATTTTAAATCACACTTAAGTTACTAACACTTGTGAAATGGAAGAAGGAACTGTTCCATGAACTGTGTAATGATAAAGTTCCTGTCAAGCTCTGACAATGGACTTTGACTTCATTGAACATCTACACTTAAACATCATGTATACACTATTTTAATGCATGATTATGATTAAGCTTTTATATAATAACTTTAACTGTTAAAGTTGTCAGTAATTATTTTTAGTTACTACTTAAGTTATAGTAACTAACAACCTTAACCTTTCTGATATATATTGTAATGCAAGAAAAGTTCAAAAGTGCTATACAAATAAACTAGAATTGAATCAGCTATTAAGGAGCAATTTGAGATATGGAATTTAAACTTAAAAATGAACAAGCATACAGTTTTAGTCTTTTGTTTTCCCCAGAAGAATGGGAATTATTTGACTAAAAATCAAAAGATGGAAAAAAACTGTTTGATTTATTATAATCAATAATGGTGTCGCCACTAAACGCAGCCATCTTTTTATTATCTCAATAAACTCTAAATAAACCCTCATGCCCAGAGGAGCAACTTAATTGGTGTCACCAACAGGGCTCTAACTCAAAGCTAAACTCAAAAAGACAGAAGCAAAGAGCCATAAACACAACCCAGAGCTGCCTTTCAAAATCAAGACTGCTCATTTAACGCATTCATCAAGTGCACATGCACAAACAATGTGATAAAAATCTAACGCAATTAAGCTTGCCTAAGAAATTCCACATTAGAGCAAATTAAGCCTGAAACTCTGTTGCTGCCACTACAGACACAACACGTCTCGCCAAATCACATTTACAAAGAGAGAGCAGGCTGCTCAATATCAACTCACACAGGACACATTCTTGTATTAAAAACAACCGGACAGAGTGCAACTGCTTGAAACTGAATGTGATGTTGAAAAATAACTAATGACACGCATGTCCACAACCCAACATTTATTAATATAGTCCAAAATAAAAATAAAGGATGCATCGTCTGTGAATTGTGGGCTATAAAGTGCTGTTAAATTAATCAGGAATAACCAGAATTCAAAAAGAAATTTAGTTGTGCATTCAGGGTTTTATGTCACATAAATATAATATGTAATATATTTGTTCTTTTTTTTTAAGTTTTTTTTTTCCAATTAATTCAAATCAGTATATAAAGTACATGGTTCAAACGTTTGGGGTCAGCAATACTGTTAGAATGTTAAATCATTTCCCAAGTCTTCAGTCTTACATGACCATTCACAAATAATTCTAATATGCTGTTTGGTACTCAAAATGTATATTGTACATTTTAACATTTAAAAAATATTTCATATACTATATTTAATGACAATACAAAGTTCAGAATAACATTTTCTTTCTTTCTAATTATTATTATTATTATTTTTTTTTACTTTTGAATGATTTAATGCATCTTTGCTAAATAAAAATATGTATTCTAAAATGATCTTACTGATTCCAAACTATTGAATGTTAGTGTAATAAATTTGATACTTTTGTTATTAACAAACTTTAATCTTTAAGTCCCTATTAAGAACACAAATGTGAAATCTTAACTTGGGTAAATGAACATTTAAAAAAATAAAATAAAAAAAGTTAAATAAGTTTAAGTTTACTATAAAGAAACAATATAACAATTTTTTATATCATAAATTAAATACAATTAGCCCTGTGTCTAACCAAGATCTGCTCCAAACTTAAAGTTGACATCACAAAAACTGAGGTTCTCCGACCTAAATCATCTACACAAGGGGTCCCAATCTTCCATTTACGGCCCCCCCTCCTCCTCCCTCCGGCCCACAACTGACGTCAAAAATATAACAAGATTCAGCCCTCCACAACATGTTTTTGAATCACTTTCTTTGTTGCGCATTCACATATAGCCCTTGTGGTGTTGACCTGCCACCTATTGGAGATTTAAAGTACTGTACTATACGTTCGGTTAAGATTTACTTTCAGTTTCACTTTGTGTGCAGTTGAGAGTAACGCACATGCAGATTATTTCTGGTGCTGATTTAAACGTCGAAATATATGTCCGTAGGTGTTTTTGTAAATATTCAAGGGTCCTTTGATTATATTCAGTTTTTTAACATCTGTTTCTTGTTGTTCAAACACCTCTACATGGCTTACACATAATGATGGTGGTGTAACAAATATGATAGTTTTGCTAATATTCGATTTAAATGGTCTCGTTTAATAGATTTTCCTCATTTGCATAATAAGATTTGTAAAAATGTCCTTTAGTAAAATTTTACTGCTGGTTGAATTGAACATGTTAAGGTAAATGTGAATATATACATACTTTCCCCCTCTTTGCTGTAGTTAAAAAAAAAAAAAAAAACATATTAGAACCATCGTGAGTAAAGTCACTAAAGTTACCCAAACTGCTTTCCGCTGTTCTTATCAAATTTTTAGTTAAGCAATAATTAGTTGGTATTATTATTAGTATTTTCATAGTATTTAAACTACCCCTTTAATATGTACAAAAAACAACAAGCTGGAGTTTTGACCTCATATTCTGTGGAAGAATGACTAAGTGTGTGTCTAATGCTCGGCCACACACGCAACAGCCGCAAACATATTTCAGCAGCTGTTTAAGTGCATGATGATTTGCATGACAAGTAATGCTTGTAATATAAACATCATGTCTGGTGTCCTAAGATGCATCAATTATATCAGGTTTCCACTTTTTTTTATGTGTTTGAATTTTAAAATGACCCTTATATGAATTGTCAGTCATTGAAATGGCCCCCTGTCAATTTGAGTTTGAGACCCCTGATCTACACTGTAAAAGGTGATAAGTTAAATTATTTTTTATAAAGTAAACATGTTGCTTTTAAAGCAATTAGCTAAAGTAAAGTAACAAATCCCATTTTATTTATCACAACACAGAAACTAACCGCATCAGTTATTTCTAACTATATGTGATTTTAAAAGATTAGAAAAATATTTGATAAAAAAAACAGTATAGTTAATTTTACATTATGAAACTTGACAATCCTCACAAGAGGAATGACCACCTTAAAATATATTACTGTACCATATTGATGTTAGTTTTAAACATGGATATGGTACAGTAAAATTGACAAAAATACCTCTGTTTTTTTACAGGATGCAAATTTACATATTTACACTTTTGAATAATATCTAATTTAGCATGATTGATAAAATATGTAATGAATGAAATAAGCTATGTTTAAATACATCTTCAATTACAAAATTGATTGACAGCCTTATGTAAACTATAAAAATAAATAAATAAATATCAGCAATGATTTGAGTGTGTGTGTGTTTGGTTTTTCCCCAAAGCTGCTGCAAAAATGTCTCTATTTCCTGCCTCTTGGGGGAAGACGAACAATGAAAGTTAAGAATAGAGGCTTCCACCAGCAGCCAAGAGAGCTGAAAATGAACAAACACGAGTGCACACACACAGACACACACACACAGACACACACACACACACACAGACACACACACACACACACACAGACACACACAGACACACACACACACACACAGACACACACACACACACACACACACACACACACACACACACACACACACACACATCAGGTGTGTTTCAGAGTAACTCTGGTGTCTGTTGCACTTCGATCATTTGTGATCAATAACAGGTGAACTCTGAAAGGAGCTCGATGCCACATTAGAGGTGGCCAATTAGACCAGTCTCTTTAAATCAGGGTGGCGTGCTGATGTGGTGTCATTTACACAAAGGGCACAGCAGATGCTGGTGATAAACACAGCCACACTTCGGCCAATTACAGCACAGGCATGAGGAAGAAAAATAAAAGAGCAACTGAAGCTCTAGTGACACCTTCATTAGAAATGTCTCACACAAACTTACCCAAGACGGTCCACAAGGTCCCACAGCACATTGGCACTGGGAACAAGAGGAGAGCCATCGTACAAGACCACAGAAGCTCCAACAGCAAGAGAGGAAATCAGCCAGTTCCACATCATCCAGCCCGTCTGCGCAGATAAAAAGAAAGAAAGAAAGAGAGAGAGAGAGAGAGAGAGAGATATCTGCTGTTAGATTGGTTCAGATGATACAAGTTATGCAAACACACCAACTACTCCACAAACAGTGTTCAAAAATGTGTTTCTATCCAAATATGACTAAATATTAGACTGTGCTATTTAGATATTGTAGACTAATGACACAGAGAGAAATATGTTGTCCCATCAAAGATGTCATGGAATTAGATATGGACCCGAATTGTTAATGAATGTTTTGGTGTTATTGTGTCTGATCAATCAGTGTATAAGGGGGAAAAAAAGAAGTTTGTTCATAATCTTTCATCAAAATCTAATAACATTTCTGCCTCTTGAAATGACTTTTTTGTATTGTAATAACCAAGGCTGTGGGGGTGGTCTGGTCACACACACAAAAGTCTAAATTGGTCATATAGAAGTAAATAATATACATGCTGTGGTTTAGAGCCTGTAGTAAGGAAAAAGAAACTTTTTTTATTATACTTTAAATACAGAGTTTCTGTAGGTTTCACCAAGTTAATGTTAAGACATTTTAAGACTATTATGAAATAAATTTCAGATTTATACAGGGCTAAATGCTGAGGATTTCATTTGAACATGCCAGTTGTAAAAGATTTTCACTTGCCCTATCGAAAAATGACTATAATTTAATACATTTAATAATACAATAATATTAATTTAATAATAAAAAATATAGGTCAGGTCAGTATTTTCAGCAGTAAATAAATGGAGAACTTTAAACCAAAAGTTGCAGTAGAGAAAGTAATTACATGCTATTTTAAATAAAGTTACCAGTTTTATTGAGATGGATTGTTGGTGATTGTATGAGTGTGAATGGCCAGATTGGGTAGCTATAAATGAACAAGGGAAAGTTAAGACCTGTTAAAAAGGATTTAAGACCTACAACACAGTATTTCAGTTGATTTAAGACTTTTTAAGACCTTAAATTTAGCTTTTGAGATTTAAGACATTTTAAAACTTTAAGGGTGCCTTTACACCTGTAGATCGATTGCTTTTTTCCCCCCAAACGGGGATAAAAATGGTTACAAATATTTATTTTTCTTCTTGGTGTGGATCACTTTCACAAGGCAGAGTTTCTAAACAGTCCTAAATAGTTAAAACAAGTCACATGCGAGTAAACACTCCTCAAATTAGTTAGAGTTTCACAGTTTAGTCCCGCTCAGCTGTCATGCCTAATTATTTTAATTTATGACGATGAGCAATAAGACATTATAAGCAAAAAGTGGCGCTTTAACTTTGAATGGTGACACCCACAGACATAAGTCACCAAATATAAATCAGAGGTAAGACTTTCTCATACAGAGCCGTTGGCTAGAATTTTCCTAACGGATAAACAGCTCTAGTTAATAGTTCAGCATGCTTTCACTTTCGTATTTAACATGAAACACACATTTACTGGTACGAATGACATCCCACCCTACTCATAATTCTCTCTTCATATAGCTATATATGCCTATTACAAATCTATAATACATTGTGATATAGCCTGGTTCATTAGTTCATTGGATCGTATTGCTTTCTCACTAAAATCGATCCGCTCAAGAGTTTATTTCAATCGAGCCGAGACACCTCATTCAGGCGATCTCGGACTGATTGTTTTGGCGCAGATCCGAGCACGCTTGCCGGTTTCACACTTGCCAAAAGAACCGCGTTAACGGGGGAAATGAGCCAGGTTCCGAAACAAAATCTAGGCATGAAAGCACCCTAAGACTTGTAATAAACAAGTCTTTTCAAAAATCTAATGCATCAAACATTTTTTAACAATAAGAAAAGTTTCTTGAGCACCAAATGTCTATAATAAAACAATTTCTGAAAGATATTGTGCTGCTCAAAATTAAGCTTTGCCACAAAATAAATTAGAAATAGAAAAGCTACTTTAAACTATAATAATATTTCACAATTTGACAAAGGCATTAACAAACAACAATGCAACAATCAAGTAATATTTAGCTTGAGTATGTGTTTATATGCTGCCACCTTGGCTGGTTTAGGTCAGTCAGAGATAAATAAATGACACTAAAACCACCAGCAATAAATTCAATAAATAATTCATTTAAATTACTCACTCAGAACTGCTGATTCAAGTAACTGTCTTTATGAATGATCATTGAATCGGTCATATGATTTGTACAGTTGGCTTCAATTGAAACTACTTTCATGTATGATTTACTTTTTTGTTCAATTCTGTATAGAAGCAATGTTATAGAATTCAATGTGCATATGTATTTAAAAAGAAGAAAAAAGACTCCATTAGAATACTAGTGGTGGTTGAGGAGATTCCCCCGGTAATTTCTAAAGTGCTACGAGTGCCCAGAAAAGCTCTATATAAAATGTAAGCAATTATTATAATAAATGGCTACTTTTGAGGTAACTTCACTGGAGATTTTAAAACATTTTCCCAAATGATGGTGTAGTTAAAGCATCTAAGGTCTCTGATACATACTGTAGTGTAATATATGATGACATCATTGAAGGTCATGTTGCCATGGAGAATATGTTCTTTAAGATGCTGGATGAGAGTGCCCTGGGAAAAGAAGAAAAAAAGGTCAGATTTTGAGTTGGTCACTGATCACAGTTATGATAAACTCACATCATACTCTACAACTACTAAACTTCACACACTCACTAAAAATCACCTTAAAAGGTTTGCTTTAGATCAAAGGTTTTCAGAGGTTAGTATCAATATGTTTTTAGGTTACCTATAAGCCAGTGTGCTCCAAAACAAAGGCAACTTTTGTATTTAGAAGGTATAAACAGTCAAACTTTGCAGTGTGCTGCTCGAATCCAATACTGGATCAGCTTCAATAAGTAGTGGACACTGTAAAGTTGGTTTAAGATTGGGGTAGACGTAGACATGAACAACTGTTAGGGTTGGGTTTAAGGTAGGTGTAAACCAGAGGTGGGCAAGCTACGGCCCGTGAGCCATATGCAGCCCGCTGAACACTTTCATCCGGCCTGTGAGGAAGTTTTTGAAATGCTGCTTCTGAGTAACGTTTGGTTTCAGAATTAGTAAATTAACGATTCAATACAAGTGAACGCCATTTGATGACAGTAATGCACGTGGTACAGTTAGCGGTACCAGTAGAATTAGAACACAGGCAAAAAAAATGGGCTCTGAATGTCGTTTGTTTAAGGAAGAATGGACAACAAAATACTTCTTTATCCATATCGGACATAAAGAGGTATGTCTAATATGCCAAGAAAGAATTGCTGTTTTTAAAGACTACAACCTAAGGGGCCGATCACACCAAATGTGCATTTACATTCAAAAAACGCGAGGTGCACCATGTTCCCTTTTTGTTGACAAGAAGAAAAAGAGCATGGTGCACTTTTTTATATCGTTAGGCAACGACTGAATCAGATAGGTATTTTGCGAGAGTGTTGCTGTTGATACTACTCTAACTTTATTTTCAGGCTCATTGTTCACATTAACACACTCATAATTACATGACTTGGAATAACAAAGACTAAGATTCTTCTTTTTCTGTTTTATCTCACAGTTTTATAATGATTGATATGAGCATATTAATACACGCTCAAATGAGATTGTTGTGAATTTGACTCAAATAATAATAATAATTATTATTATTAATAATAATTAAAAATAATAAAAATAATAATTGCTGGTTAAATGTGTTCATTTTTCTCATTTTTGAATATATTTTCCATGCAAACATACACTTTAAAAAGTTCTTTTATCAAAGATTTGTGGTTTTATCAAGTTTTATGATGATTGATTCGTATATTCTAAAAGCAGTGCAAAATAGATTATTGTAAATTTGACTGAATAGTAAACTTTAAGAATTATTTTGAATGTGTTAATATGAGATTATTTCTATCAGACAATATCTTACATTCTTCACTGTAATAATAATAATAATAATAATAATAATAATAATAAGATTATTTCTATCAGACAATATCTTACATTCTTCACTGTGATAATAATAATAATTATTATTATTATTATTAGTAGTAGTAGTAGTAGTAGTAGTAGTAGTAGTAGTAGTATTAGTAGTAGTATTAGTAGTAGTAGTAATAGTAGTAGTAGTAGTAGTATATTTTATAAGGTATTATTTTTTTTGTTTTATGAAGATTGATAAGTGATGATAAATACAAATAGCAGCACAAATTCATTTGACTTGTAAATTTTACTCAATAATACCTATTAAAAAATCAGTTTTGTGTTAATGTGACATGTTTTTGTCCGATATTACATGTTTCATGCATACTGCCACTATAAATAAAAGTACATTTTTGAAGGATTTGACACGTGGCCCTTCACTTGGTTTGCAAAACTTGATGTGGCCCTCGGGTCTAAAATGTTTGCCCACCACTGGTGTAAACGTAATTAATTTTGAGTGTTGGGTTTTGGGTTGGGGTAGATGTAGACGTTAATAACTGTGATGGTTGGGTTTAGGGTTTGGATAGACCTTAACTGTAAGGGTTGGGTTTAGTGTAGGTGTAAACGTTTATAATTGTGAGGGTTGGCTTTTGGGTTGGGGTAGGTGTAGACGTTAATTACAGTGACGGTTGGGTTTAAGATTGGGGTAGATGTTAATAACTGTGAGGGTTGGATTTAAGGTTGGGGTATATGTAGACGTCATTAACACACAATGTAATGAGTAATTTAATAATTAATTAAATTAATTCTCGCTTCTAGCATCAACCACTCACGCATGCATGTCTATTATGTATTAGACCTGATCCAGTATGTCATCGTGCTAAAGGCTGCAACTGAATGATTTTTTTTAACGACATCAACAAACACTTAAGCTTCTCAACAGATTTTCTGACCAATCAACAATATGTGCCTGAAATCGGTCACTTATTCAAAATTAGCGTTCACATCAAGGGTTCACTTAAATATCTGCAAATATAAGGAAAAACTATAAACAGAACAAAAAAAAAAAATGGTGATTTTTTTAACAAGGGAGGAGCTACTCCACATGCTCCCCCCTGCATTCATGTTTCAGTTAAAAATACATCGCATTTCAAACAAAAATGCTAATTTAAAGGCACTTCAGAGGACCGTCAAAAGACCAGTTGCTGTAAAAATAGCCAAGAAAAGCATTATTCGATTATTTGAAAAGCAAGTGGATTGTGTGATTCTGATTCTCAAATGCTGTTCTTTCTTTCTGTTGTGCTGATGTCATACATTCAGATGTTATCTGGCAGGTAGTGAATGACCTAATTATTAAAAATCAGCAACAATTCAGGGATTAAAAAAAGAATTAAAAAAGTCCAATCACATTCCATTTTTTTTTACACCATGGCCTGACAGCGTTATAACATTCCTTTAACACTTATTGAAACGGAAGCAATAATCACGAGCGTGTTCATTCATTTGCTAACTGCCATGACAGGAGTAGCGTTTTCAAAATAGCACACAGACAGAACACTGATCTACATTGAGCAAGAAATGCAGCTGCATGTGTACATTTGTGTCATTGTGTGTTTTTATACACACAGCGCTCTAATTATCCAGCACACAACAGAGGTGTCAGACACAAATGCCCCAAAGGCTGAAAGGAAAATCTGTGAAAAATAAAAAGACACACACACACACACACACACACACACACACACACACACACACACACACACACACACACACACACACACACACACACACTAAACAGACATGCAAACAACTGAAGCTCAAGCACTACTTTTCCCTTTCTTGAATTTTGCGTGCAACCCGTGCTAAACCCATATATTTGGAACAAAAGCTTGATTCGCACCCATGAGGGCTGCTGTGTCCCTAATGTTCAGAGTGAGAATGGTGCACGTAATTGCTCATCCCAGTTGCATCTGGCTTATAGTAAGGTTTAATGCTGCCTCTTACTGCCATCTAGTGGTGTTTGTGGCTGAGTTCAGACATTTTTCATGTGATGATGACCAGCACGAATTACAAAGGAGAGATAAATTACACATTTTACCTTTTGTGATGGCATAAATGTACAGAAATCTCAGCCTTAAGAAATTACGCAGCAATTCAAGATGCAGACCAGGTTTGAACTTGTTAGACTATTTTGGATACCTAAAACTAAATCGAACACCTTAAAAAACATAACTTGTTACTTAAAATATGATAAACTGGTTTAAAGAATTAATTCAATCGAAATTAAACATGCTAAATATGTATTGCAGATATATAAAAACACTAGAACAACTGACAAATGAACCTAAAAAAAGGTTTACTGAAAAATAAACAATTTACACTTTAAAAAAAAATCTGCAATACTAACTCTGATTCTGTATTAAATAACACTGACATTTTAGTTGAATTACACCATTCTACCATAACTTTATTAATACTAATAAAATATGTAATTTTCTTAAACACTATTATAACAGTAATAATATAGTAATTAATATATTATTAATTTTATAATAATTATTATAACTAATTTTACCTAATTTTGCAATATATGCTTGAAATTTTTATTTTGCTTTTAAGTATTTATTATTAGCTGATTTCAGTTCAGTTTTGGTCATTTTAATACTTAAATTTATCCTATTGTAGTCAGTTGCCCAGGCAGGTATAAAAAAGTAGCTGTTAATTTTTTTATTGCTGAAAAACAAATTTGAAGCAGATGCACACGCACGCCCGCACGCCCGTAGACGGACACCTGCAGACGCAGACATACAACAGCAGACGCACACACCCCTGCAGACGAACATGCTAACGCACACCTGCAGACGCACACGCATGCCCACAGATGCACGCTTGCACACGCATGTTGGCAGACGCACACGCACATGTAGACGCACACCTGGAGACGCACACGCATGCCCACAGACGCACACGCACGCCCGCAGACGCACATGTATGCTCGCAGACACACACGCATGCTCGCAGACGCACGCGCATGCTCGCAGACACACATGACCTGCTCGCAGCCGCACATGCATGATCGCAGACGCACACACTCGCTCGCAGACATACATGCATGCACGCGCACACAAGACACACGCGAAGGCACAGACACACACTCACCCCAGCAGAATGAACCATGCATTTGGGAGCTCCTGTGGTTCCAGAGGAGTACATGATGAAGAGAGGATGAGAAAAGGGCAGCTGCTCAAACTCCAGCTGAGGGTCCTGATCCCCTTCTTTACCGGTGGCTAAAAAGTCCTCCAGGAAAACACTAGAAGAAACAGAAGACAGAGAGTCAGGACTGACTGAGTGCTAACAGACACATCCACTTCAGCTCTTATCTCAACACAGCAGCACTTACTGATAAAGGAAATAATACACACCTACAACTTTATACTAGTCTGGCTAAATCAATCAATGCCAAAAGTTTTAAAGCTCTTGCGTTTTTTAATAAAGAATGCCAAAGAACAAGAATTCCATTCGGTCACACAGTAGGGTCTATTTGAAAAAAAATTAAATAAATCAATGTGTGGTTCTGCAGCAGAAGTACACAGTTATAATGCAATTATTATAACCACAGATAACACGGGTGTTAAAACACACACTGAATATAACCAAAAATTATTTCAACATTTTCTTAACAACACATTCCATGTAAATTTTAACATGGAGCAGTAAAATTCTCTTTAAAATGCACACTTAATTATTAAGTAAGGTAACAAACCTGGCAGTGTAAAAGTAGCATATGGACTCAAAAATACTTTTTTGTTAAATTACCAGTGAAGTTACACAACTGTCAATAACTTTTTAAATATATATTTATCTTTTGCCAATATTTCTCATAATTATTTTACTGATAAACGTACAACTATTGACAAAGCACTGCAGCATGAAAAAAAAATTTTTTTTTTACTTTTATGTTTTCCTTTTTATGTAGACAACTGGTCTTAACTCATACAAAAATCAATATTTATTAATTATTTTCACATAAATTAATAATATGTATTTAATTATTTTTCATCATTAAATAATTATAATTCAATTCAATTTATCTTCATTACTATAGCACTTTTACAACGTAGATTGTGTCAAAGCAGCTTAACAGAAAATTATAGTAAATTAAAAACGTGTCAGTCCAGGTCAGAGTTGTAATAACAATTTAAACAAATTATTCATTTTTTTAATTAATAAAAAGGATACCAATACAATAGTTTTACTTTAACAGTTTTTGCAATTTTAAAGTAATAAAATAAAGAATAAACAGCATTAATATTAACCAGTACATATATACAGTAACAAAGCTAAAACATCAATTCTTTTAATTCTTATGTAAATGAGATGCACCCATTTAGACAACAGAATTGTTCGTTAACTGAAGGACATGTATACATCCTTAAGTGGTCTGGCACCATCTCATTTATCAAATATTCTACATTTATATAATCCTGGTAGGTCACTGATCGGTTTATTCCTTCTGTACCAAGGTCCCGGTGTAAGCGAAGTGGGGATTGAGCTTTTGCTGTTATCGCCCCAAAATTCTTGAACAAGCTTCCATCCCATATTAGACACGCTTTAACTTGATCTGCTTTTAAAAAGTTTCTGAAACTGCATCTTTTATATTTAGCATTTGAGCCTTTTAATGTTGAGGGGTTTGTCTTATGTTTTAATTGTTATGTATGTGCTGTAGGACTTATTTTAGTTAGTATTGATTGTGTTTAGCTCTTTGGGAAACGTTGTGCTTTAAAATTGGTGCTATATAAACTAATTAACTAACTAACTAACTAACTACCTATGTAAAATGCACCAAAGCAATAAAAGAAAAGTTAAAGACATTTATATGATATAAATGACTTTAAACACACAGAGATGTACTGACCTGTTGGGAATCTTGGAGAGATCAGTCTCTTGTCTAGAGCGAACATATGGAATAACCACAACCTTCTTCAGGTCAGGGAGGCCTGAGACATGTGGAAAAAAAACATGAGGCTCCATTATATGCAAACATATCAATGAGACAACATGATGGGTAATATTGACCTCAGTGTGAACGGATATATACCTTTAACAACGTTCTGGAGTTTCTCCATATGGTCATGCTGTTTTCCGTTATACACAACAGCTGCTACTGAGAATATCAGCTTGGGCTGAATCTGAGAGATCCTGTCTAGAACTCCCTGACGAGAAAAAACAAAAGCAAAACATGAATGACAGGAAAAACACCTACAAGTATAGTGCTTTAAACTGAATGGGGACACATATAATTTCTCTATTGTTGGTTTAATTCCATGTGTTGTCTATTAGCATTTACTTAATGATTACATTTTTTACAATACATCTTATTCAGTGTGTATTTGTGTTACCAAGTTAAAAAAAATAATAGTAATACATAAAAATACCCAAACGAGGGCTCACGGGCCAAAGTTGGCCCAGAGTAACCTTTGATTTGGCCCTTCATACCATCTAAGGAGAGTGAAAATGATGGGGAATTTCGGTGAGAATGCCTTTAACAGAGATTGTCATTTCTAATTTAACATAACTTTTTTTTTTACTGTTGAGCTACAAAAAAGCAAACTGGAATTAAATTTTTCAATTAAATGTAAATAAATCAGATTAAAAAAAAAAAAAATTAATAATTAGTCACTTGATGGATAGCAGACATTGACTCGATATGTTTGCTGATGTTTTCTGGGCTTGTTCATGTTTTTTTTGTAAGATGATCATTTTAAAATGTACAAACATGTATAATTATTGATACAATTAAAGTATTTTAATTTAATAAATTATAGTCTTAATTAAAGTACATAATAAACGATGTAATTATAATAATAATAATAATAAAAATTACATTGACAACTTTACAGTTTGGTATATTTACCTCCGACCCACCACCCTGTCTAGTTAAATTTTTGGCCCTTCATAAGAAAAAAGTTTGGGCACCCCTAGTATAGAGGTTGCCAGAGCTATACATAATAATATATTCAAAACATTTCACAGAAAGTAATAAACTACATACACAAATATTAGAAAAAAATAAGTATTTAGATTTAGGTATATACAATCATGTTAATGATGTTATACAGGAAGTGTGCAATCAATCTGAATGAATATGAACATAAAATTTTGCACCATTATAAAGAGTTTGTTAAAATGTATTGGAATTGATTTACTGTAATTTAGATAAAGATAAATCCAAAATCTGAAAACACAAAACATGTATAAAAGTTGAGATCAGTGGGGTTTTTTTCAGGGGAAATTCATATTTCTATTCCGTAAAGATACATTAAACCAGTGTTTCTTAACCACATTCCTGGAGAACCACCAGCACTGCACATTTTCAAGGTCTCTTCAACCAAACACACCTGATTCTGATCATCAGCTCATTAGCAAAGACTGAAAGACCTGTGATAATTGTCACAAAGACGACATCCAAAACATGCAGTGCTGGTGGGCCTCAGGAACGTGGTTGAGAAACACTGCATTAAACTAATCAAAAGTAACAGTATAGACATAAAAAAATCCACATGCAAAAAATGTATGTGCATTTATTCATTTTCTTTTCTTTTCGGCTTAGTCCCTTTAATAATCATGGGTTGCCACAATAATATTGATCCCACTTAAAGAAACAGTTCACCTAAAATTTAAAGGCCTGCCATTATTCACTCACTCCCAATTATTTTTCATACCTGTAAGAGTGTAGATTTTTTCTAATAAACACAAAAAAAGACAAACAAAAGTGGAAAAAAAATGTGGTTATACAAATAGTTTCTGGTCCCCACTGACTCCCGGTATTGTTTACCATAGTATGGAAGTCAAATAAGTAAAGCAACTGTTTGGTTACCCACATTGTTCAGAAAAAATCTCACGTTAGACAGAAATAAATAAAATAATAAATTAAAAAGACGACAGACTACTATTTCTTGGCAATTAAATGAAGTAAAATGTTGTAGTACCTCGTCTTAACCACAGAGGGCAGCAGCGTATATATGAATACTGAATTCGCTTTCGTCAATAAGCCACATTGAATCTATGTTGCTTTATCTGCAGGAGCCTGTCCTATTTCTGGAATAACCACAGCCCTGAGGGGGCTCTACACTCACTTTAATCTCGTCAGAGAGAGGCACACACACACATACAGAGGTAAAGTGTGTGTACGAGTGTCTAGCATAGCTGACAGGTCACACACACATTTGAAGACAGTCAGAATTGATGGTTCAATGACCTACTTTTTCTCGTACACAAGAGCTGGCATGTTATGATGTTATGACCAGCTGAATATTAATCTATTTATATTTACTCACTTTGATATATGGGATAAATAGAGTGCATTTAAGAGCACATAAGAGCAGAAGAAAGTGGAAGCTCATGACTCAAACAGCAACAGTGCAAGTATGAGGCATGTGGGCATAAGAATGCGGGGTCAGTCTGGTACAGAAATGCCTGCAGCCGAGGGCAAACTGAGTCATTCTTTCAGCTTGCATCCAAATCTACGAATCGACATCTGGAAAGGGCTGACAGAAAGGCAGGATTTCTCATTGTCATCGAGTGAATCCGTTAATACACATTGAGAGCATTACAATTGATTGCTGTTATTTATTAAAATTATCATTTTGACACTTTATATTCGAGTAACTGAGGGCGAGGAAGGGGTCGGGGGAAATTATTTGCTATTTCAGAGTTTTATGTGCAACAATACCGCTCAACGTATTTTAAGAAACTCAAATTTATTCAGTAAAAGTGCTAAACTGATCAAAAAAACAAGATAAACATTAAAAATGTCTAAATTAAATTACATTAAGTTCAAAGGTCTCGTGAAATGAAAAGTTTTTTAGATGTTAGAATTAGTATTGTTAGTTTTTAGAATATGTATAAGCTAGTGTGCTTCAAAACAGTGACAAAATCAGTGTTTAAAAGATATAAAACTTATATAAACATGTAAAGTTTGTAGTTTGTCACTTCCACCTTTATAGAGCAGCGATGTTTTAACCCTAAAGCAGGTCGCACACCAGAAGCGCAGCTCGGCGCCGCGTACATGACAGTTTAAAGTATCACACACCAGTATCGCACATTCGAATGATATTTAACATGAAACTAATCAGATGGCGCTCTGTGGCGCGGCTGAAAAATGAACTGCGTCCTGAGCCGTCGCCGGGCGGCGCCGGTGTGTGTATCCTGATAGAAACCTACATGGTGCTGAGTGGCGCTGCGCGGCGCGCCGCCGAGCGGCGCTTCTGGTGTGCGACCTGCTTAACCCATACTTCAGTTCTCATCAAATTATAACCAATCAAATGCTCTCAGTATCTGACAAGCCCAACCCTCAAGACGATTCGCTTTTGATGCCATAGACATTTGCATTAGTTGTCGCCTACGCTATTGTTGTCTATTGGAAGCAGGGCCGGAGTGGGACTCCTTTTCAGCCCTGGAGTTTTAAGCCTTAGACCACCTCAGTTCACGACTGTCTATATTAAAATAACGTCATTTCCAGCTCAGTTTTTAATGACATTACCATGTCTTTTTCAAGGAAACAGCTGCTTATAAACATTAAATGATTTTTATAAATATGGGAACATTAAAGGTTAGCTAAATCTCCAAAACTATTCTTTAAAACATCACAATGTCCTTTCCTGCAATATCTGAATATATATTATGTGCAAAATTCTTTATAGATATCCAGTCCTTTGTAACGGTGGTCGCACAAAAAATTAAAATTAAAATACGTACACCTACATAAGTAACCCAAACAGTATTATATGTCTTAACACTAAAAATTTAAAAAATAATTTAAAAACTACTTGGGTGAGGTTCGAACTTGGGTAGACGGTGTCATAACGCAACGTGCTGACCACTGGACCACAATGGTGCTGTTATTGTTATGCTGGTGCGTTTGGAATAAAAAATAAGTATTATGCTGTGTTCACACCAGATGCGGAACGCGTGGATAAATCACGCTATTCGCGCGTAAATTGCCGCGTGAACATTTGAGTTTACTCGCTTCATTCGCGCGTCAACCCCCCGCTTCATTCGCCCATCAAATCCGCTTCATTCGCGTGTCAAATTCACTTCAATACACAGACGCGGATTCACGTGATGGGCAGGGCTTCTGTCTGCCCGGTGACTCTAGCTTCATGGCTAAATGGCTAACATGGATTTTATTAAGAAAATAACAGTGTTAATGTGCTTTATGGAGACTGAAAAACAGCGTCGATACGTTTAGGGTCCTGTATGAGTCCACTGCATCCTTTCAGAGGTGCATCCAGCTCTGTGAGCTCATAAACTCCTCCAGAAACTGAACCTGGATAACGGAGACTTTCAGCGGTGCCCCTGACTGAGCCAAGCCCAGTTTGATGACTTGTTGTCGGTGTCGCCTGGAGGATTTGCCCCTGGACACCATCAACAGGTTCTGCGTCACAATTACACCCCACAAAAGCAAGCTTCTGATTGGTTAACGCGGCGCGAATGTCTGCTGAAGTTCAGATTTTCGAACTCGAGAGATTCGCGTGAAACGCTCGTTAAGCGTGTCAAACGCGCAAACGCTCAAATCGGCTCGCGTATATTGCGCTATTCGCGCAATTTGCGTCATTCGCGCCGCAGGATGTCTATTCGCGCATTTGCATTGACTTAACATGTAAATCACTCGCGATTGACGCGCATTCCGCGTCTGGTGTGAACGCAGCATTACACTGTTATCTGCAAGACTCCTAACTACAGTATTACTTTCTACTGATGGCTTAATCTTTTTCTCTCTTTTTTAGATTTTTGATCAAGTTATGTCCGATTTATTAATGTAGTCAATCATCTGATTTTCATTGAGCAGGTATAATATTCATTAATATTAATTATTTGAATTCTTATTTTAGTGCCGCTGTTTGGGGTTGAATGATAATTACTTCATCATTAACCTGCAGGCTGCATTTTGATCACAGGGCTGCGAGAAAATAAATAAAAAGAGCAGAGCTGCAGCAAAATAATGATTAAAAAAAAGAGTAAGACTATGGACTATCAAACAAATAAATAAATAAATAAATAAATAAATAAATAAATAAATAAATAAATGAAAAAAGTGCAACTGCTGAGAGTGAGAGTGCTAGGGACACCAGCCAAAAAAACGGACCAGCCCACCGGGAATTCTCCAAGTCCTTCAGATTAGCCAATCCAAGCCTGATTGGAAGGAACAGACAGCTAGCTTAATACAGATAGAGATACCTTTTTAGTACAGGGTAGTGCTCCTTTGAAATGAATGTGGGACAATGGTGCAGTTGAGAACTGGCCATCTAAAGCCAGAGATATAGACACATATATGCATATATCTATGATCGGGAGTTTTCCCGGTGGTCAGTATGCAAATATTTTTTATAAATGACGAAAATTACAATTTTACATCACTTTTCTACATTAATGGATAAGTGATCGCACGGGCATTGCCCACAAAGAGCATGTGTTTGTGTGCATGGAAATGTATTATCCTCCCACCCTGTTAAATCTGATCTAATCCATGTCCTGAAACACACCCCCTCTCCTGCTTTCACTTCTCATTCTAACAGAGGAAGCGATTCATTTTTGAATGAATCTCCGTTATGAACTACACGTTCATTTATCCGACAATAATAGAAGTTTCTAGCAACGCAGCGTGTTGTCATATTTCATTTACATTGTTTGCTGATTTAATTCACCCAAACTAGCATAAGTCTAGTATTTAATGCAAGTTGGAGCTACTTTGCCTTATGGTCAGTGCAGTAAGAGACTGTTTTATCATCAATAACATTACTTTACCATAAGTTTGTAACATACTTCTGCCTTTATGTTTTGTTTGCTTGTTATGACAACCATACACAGCTCTAAGGTCCAGCATCTTTACTGGCTTTAGTCTTGACCAAGTGCGGTTGAATGACATTTGTCCTGGGAGCACTGTACAAATGTGGCAGCGCTGTTGGTGCATGCTCAGGGTCCGTATGCAATATCTAGTGTATATATCTATGATTTGATGCACTTGAGGTCAATCGTTCTCACTGGCAGAGCAGTGATAAAAACAAAATGCTATTGGCTGTTTTTAGAAAAAGAGGAGGAGCTACACGATGTCTCACCCTCTCTATGTTTCGATTGAAATTTCATTAAAAAAATGTAAATAAACTGAATAAAAAAAATGCACATTTCAAAGCACTTAATGGTACCTTTATATCTTTAATCAAATACATAATGTGCAATAAGCTATAAAAAATGATAGTAAGAAGCACAAAATCTTAATTTTAGAATGAAAATCTGGCTTTTGCCATCACAAAATGAAATATATGATCAGAAAAATTAATAATATAACAATATAAAATGTAAAAATTTTTACTGTATTTTGAATAAAATAAATTCAGCGTTTTGGTTTAAAATACTTTCAATTAAATATCTAATCTTAATGGTTGAAATGGTTGAAAATTTATTTTTGTGTGAATCCACGAGCATTATAATTTCATATTTTCTGATCTTTGACAAATTGTCCAGTTTACCTGCTTCCCCATGAACTCGAAATACCTTTTTAACCAGATTAAGCCTGCAATATTTAAAGGGATAGTTCACCCAACAATGAAAATTTGATTATCATTTTCTCACCCTTTTTACAAACTGTTTTGGATTTTTTGTTTTTGTTCTGTTAAACACATGAGAAGATATTTCAAAGAATGTTGGAAACCTGTAACCATTGACTTCCATAGTATTTGTTTTTCCAAATATGAATGTAAATAGTTACAGGTTTCCAACATTCCTCAAAGTATCTTCTTTTGAGCAATCTATGATCATCAAGATTTAATATTTTCTGAACACTGACCAGGTTTCCAGTTTATCTGGTTGGTTCCTCATGAACTTGAAATACATTTCTAACCAGATCAAGCCTACAATATTTAAAGAGAAAGTTCACCCAACAATGAAAATTCGGTCATCATTTACTCACCCTTGTTACAAACCGGTTTGATCTCTGAGTTTTGTTGAACACATGAAAAGATATTTCGAAGAATGTTGGAAACCTGTAACCATTGACTTCCATAGTATTTGTTTTTCTAAATATGAATGTCAATAGTTAAAGGTTTCCAACATTCATCAAAATATCATCTTTTGTGCCATCTATGAGCATTATTATTTAATATTTTCTGATATTTGACAAATTTTCCAGTTTATCTGGTTCTCTATGAACTTGATATACTTTTCAAACCAGATCAAGCCTACAATATTTAAAGGAATAGTTCCCCCAAGAATGAAAGTTTGGTCATCATTTACTCACTCTTGTTACAAACCGGTTAAATGTTTTGTTTTTGTTTTGTTGAACACATGAAAAGATATTTCAAAGAATATTTAAAACCTGTAACCATTGACTTATATAGCATTTGTTTTTCCGACAATGAATGTCAATAGTTACAGGTTTCCAACATTCCTCAAAATATATTCTTTTGTGCAATCTATGAGCATTATTATTTCATATTTTCTGATATTTGACTAATTTGCCAGGTTATCTGGTTCCCCATAAACTTGAAACACCTTTCTAACCAGATCAAGCCCATAATATTAAAAGGAATAGTTATCCCCAAAATGAAAATTCGGTCATCATTTACTCACCCTCAATGTTAGAAACTAGAACTATTGACTTCCATAATATTTATTTTTCCAACTATGAATGTGGTTACATTTTCCAACATTCCTCAAAATATTGGCAGTTCATTCCGCTGTGGCGACCTCTGAAATAGAGACTAAGCCGAAGGAACATGAATGAATGAATGAATAAATGAATGAACATTCCTCAAAATATCTTCTTTCGTGTTTAATAGAAATAAACAAAAACTGGTTTAGAACAAGTGAAGGGTGGGTAAATGATGACTGTCCCTTTAACACATCTTACAGAAAGTGAGTGTTTGCTATTAAAGTTATATGACAGTTGTTTTAGCTAAATGACAACCAAAGTGCATGTTAAAGCTCTTACATTGACACCAAAATCTGGAGAGGTTGAACTCCAGATGGCACCAATACTGGCAGCAGCGAGCATGGCCTCCACAGCATGAACCCCATTGGGCAAATATCCTGAAGGAAAGAGAGACACACAGCTCCATTAGAAACAGCAATGGATCACCTGAACTGTGTGAGAATGACTCTGAAGAGATGCAAGTTATTTCAGTGAGCACTCAGCGCACACAATAAATTAAATGATCTTCAGAAATAATGTTCCTTTATTACCCTATGAGAGGGCTGCAGAAAATATTATGCAAAAGAGAAATTTAAATTACAAACACAACACTTAATATGCATTGCTGATGCTGATATATAGTTACAATAACTAAATATATATATATATTTTACCTTAAATTCCACTCTGAATTAAACATGAAATTGTGAAGATTTTTTGTAAAGCACTCAACTTTGAAGAGTTACAACTAGAGCTGCATGAGTTGGTAAATTTATAAAATTGCAATTATTGATGTCAATTTTACGATTATTGATGTAGATGTTGCGATTATTGATGTTGCTATTGCAATTATTGATGTCAATGTTGCGATTATTGATGTCTAAATTGCGATTGTTGATGTCGATGTTGCGATTATTGATGTTGATGTTTCGAATATTGATGTCGATGTTGCGATTATTAATGTCTATATTGTGATTGATGTCTATATAGCGATTATTGATGTCTATATAGCAATTGTTGATGTCTATATTGTGATTATAGATGTATATATTGCAATTATTGATGTCTATATTGTGATTATTGATGTATATATTGCAATTATTGATGTCTATATTGTGATTATTGATGTATATATTGCGATTATTGATGTATATTGCAATTATTGATGTCTATATTGTGATTATTGATGTATATATTGCAATTATTGACGTCTTTATTGCAATTGTTGATGTCTATCTTGCGATTATTGATGTCAATATTGCGATTATTGATGTCTATATTGCGATTGTTAATGTCGATGTTGCGATTATTGATGTCTATATTGCGATTATTGATGTCTATATTGTGATTATTGATGTGTATATATTGCGATTACTGATGTCTATATTGTGATTATTGATGTCTATATTGCGATTGTTGATGTCGATGTTGCGATTATTGATGTCGATGTTGCGATTATTGATGTCTATATGGCGATTATTGTTGTCTATATTGCGATTATTGATGTCTTTATTGCAATTGTTGATGTCTATGTTGCGATTATTGATGTCAATATTGCGATTTTTGATGTCTATATTGCGATTACTGATGTCTATATTGCTACTATTGATGTCTATATTGTGATTATTGATGTCTATATTGTGATTATTGATGTATATATTGTGATTATTGATGTATATATTGTGATTATTGATGTATATATTGTGATTATTGAGGTCTATATAGCGATTATTGATGTCTATATTGTGATTATTGATGCATATATTGCGATTATTGATGCATATATTGCGATTATTGATGTCTATATAGCGATTATTGATGTTTATATTGTGATTATTGATGTCTATATTGTGATTATTGATGTATATATTGTGATTATTGAGGTCTATATAGCGATTATTGATGTCTATATTGCGATTATTGATGTCTATATTGCGATTATTGATGACTATATTGCGATTATTGATGACTATATTGCGATTATTGATGTCTATATAGCGATTATTGATGTTTATATTGTGATTATTGATGTCTATATTGTGATTATTGATGTATATATTGTGATTATTGAGGTCTATATAGCGATTATTGATGTCTATATTGCGATTATTGATGTCTATATTGCGATTATTGATGACTATATTGCGATTATTGATGACTATATTGCGATTATTGATGTCTATATTGTGATTATTGATGTATATATTGCGATTATTGATGTTTATATTGTGATTATTGATGTCAATATTGCGATAATTGTTGTCGATGTTGCGTTTATTGATGTCTATATAGCGATTACTGATGTCTATATTTTGATTATTGATGTCTATATTGTGATTATTGATGTCAATATTGCGATAATTGTTGTCGATGTTGCGTTTATTGATGTCGAAGTTGCGATAATCTATGTCGATGTTGCGATTATCGATGTCGCTGTTGTGATTATCTATGTCGATGTTGCGATTCGTTTATTTAATTCACCTATAGCGCATGTCTTTGGACTAAGGGGCAAACCGGAGCACCCAGAGGAAACCCACATGAACACGGGAAGAACATGCAAACTCCAAACAGAAATGCCAACTGACCCAACCGGGGCTCGAATCAGCGAACAGCTACCCACTGCGCCACCCATATTATTGTTTTATATATACTTATTTTCTAATTTTTGCCCTGTTGTTATAAAGAATTTGCTAAAAAATGATGATTTCTCTGACTAAAGACAATTATGATAGATATGTCTAGCAGATTTTTTCCCTCATGTAATAAACATGACTTAAATCACATTTTAAGTTGTTTACTGATCACATTAATCAGTTAATCATTAATAAGCAGAGATGTGGTCTCAAGTGCAGAAAAACGGGCTTTGTAGCTCAGATCACTTCTTCATCCTGCAGGTATGCACGTGTAGAAGTCAGCAAGCAACAAGCTGCGTGTGTCACAGACAGGAATCGATATCAAGCAAATCTGTTCACGTGTTGTCAGAAAAGTACTGCATAAAGTCTGAACTGGGTATTTAGGCGGAGACCATTTGACCATACATGCCAAAACTCCCATTTTTCCTGGGAGTCCTTCGTATTTCATACCCATTTCCCGCTACCCTCCCGTTTTGTTATTTCTCCTGGAAAACTCCTGTAATCTGGTAAAATAACTCCCGCCTAATTATCCCAACTTGCCTAATCAGCCTAGTTAAGTCTTTAAATGTCACTTTAAGCTGAATACTAGTGTCTTGAAAAATATCTAGTAAAATATTATGTGCTGCCATCATGGCAAAAATAAAATAAATCAGTTATTAGAAATTAGTTGATAAAATAATTTTGTTTAGAAATGTGTTGCTTCTCTCCGTTAAGTGGAAATTGGGGGAAAAATATACTTGGGGCTAACAATTGTGACGTCCACTGTACGTACAATTTAAATGTAAATAAAATGCAAGCGTACAAAACAAAACAGACAAAGGACAGACAGAAGAGACTCAAGACAGAAACAGTGTCCATTAGCTAAATGATACTGCGGCAATAACCCTTGGCCTCATCTGCAAAGTGGCCATATATTCACTCGTGCTCATACACACGCTGTAAATCAAGGGGACAGACAAGGACACTCTAGAGAGTAGAAGACATGAACACACACTGCACCTAACAGGATCAGTACACTCAGCCTATGTAAACTTCTATACTTTTTTCTAAGACACGCACGGAACAGACACACCTCTGTGAACACAGTCTTGTTTGCATCCACGTAGACTTGCTTCTTAAAAGGGCTTGGTTGTAAAAAAAATTATACATATACACACACACACCCTTTCTACAGCGATATCATGTAACAATGTCAGTTTTGAATAGGGCTAATAATAATTATTAGAATAGACTAAATATCTTGACATGAGTACACTTTGTTGCTCTGCTACTGTAAGAAAAAAAAAGTTCGGACACCGTGTATGATCAAAACCTCCATAGCACACACATTCCTGCATTTCTGCATCAATAACAATGTAAATATAACATTTCAAATAAATAAATACAAATGAACAAACATTTTAGTATAATACAATTTTTCTGGTATTTTTTTGTAAACAAATATTTTTTGTATAATGTGCTATATTATTAATAATAAACATTTGTACAATTAATTAATGTTTATTTTAAATATAATTATAAATATTGTCACCCATCCAAACAACAATAACTTGACTTCTAGTTGATCATTTGGTATCAAAAGTGGCTTATATGAAAGGCAAAGGCCTCTAGATTACGCTTATTTTACCAAAATAAAATATGATCATGCCTTGACTTTTAATTATTTAAATATGACAGTACGGTCTGACTTTGCTTTAACAAAAGTCTTGTCACTTAACAGAAATAATGTACAGCATACAATACGAAATCAAGGTGCAGTGGAAAAAAAATAAATATTGTGTATGACTCCCATGAGCTTGGAGGAATCAGTGTTTCCCCCTACCATTATATTAGGGGGGCACCCCGCCCTCCCAACGGCTTTCCCCGCCCCGCTTGAAGTAAAGTTAATTGTATTTTATATACAGTGGCAGATCACTACTTCTTTTAATAAACAAGCTAAATAGCCGTATGTAAACTTTACTTTTTACTTAACTTTTAAACTAAACTTTTTGTTGCAAGTGCAGCCATTGTATTTCCAGTGTTTTGAGCTACTGTGATGCGAGTGGAGCGATCGCTCCTACCTAGCGTCTCATCCAACCTTATGACCTCTCCCAGCGGAAACCCAGCGAGTCCCCTGCAAATTTATACCGTGATCCCCAAAAATTTGTTCAAGTACCCGAAAATCATGGGGACGAGAATGAATGAGCAAGAGAACAGATCGCGAGAGGCACGGTGATGTTCTAAGCATTACATTTCTTACATTTCTTAGGTTAAATGACTAGAGCAGTAAAGATATCACAAGTGCAAATCCGTCTATCTTTTCACATTGAGAGATCTGCTGTCAATAGTTGGAGATGAGTAAAATATTTGATTGGTCTTGCATGTATTTAGGCCTTTTTACATAGAACAACTGAAAGTTCTGTGTTTTTGACAATATTGCAAGTTATTATTAGATAAATAAATCTTTGAAAATAAATTAACACGAATAGTTACTACTATTCTTAGAACTTCCTGTAATATACTTACTGCAATAAACAGTAGGCCTGCTTTCTTTTAGTAAAGAAGAAATGGATTTAAAGGTGTGCATTTTAACATTTTAATTCATATGCATCAAATGTGAGCTCCAAACTTGAAATCTTCTTTTATCATTTGCAATGTTTCCAAATTGCACTGTTTGTAATTTAAAAATTAATGACATAAATTTTAAGTAATTTAAAAGCTGCACACTTCGTGGTCAAAAAAAAGGTATAAAAATAAATGAAAAAAAATGAAAAAAAGTAAAATAATAGTTATTCTAAAATTTTCTTAAATGCACTTACTTAACTGACCAGCATTCACAAAGCAATTTTCCTAACACCCAAGCAACTGCTGTAAAACCCAACAGTAAAGCAAGACGTGGCAACCATTTAGGCCTGATGTTGACTTTTGCATTGCCAGACATTTAAAGATTCTTATAATATAATATTAATGATCCAAAAATAGTTTATGAACCAGTTTTACTTTAGTGAATACCCCCAATACCGCATTTAGCCAGACTGAACCATCCTCTGAGAATAATTTTTTAACCTGTCCCCAAAGAACAGCATACAGACAGAGCATCCTATTTGCCTATATGGACCGTGATCACATAAATCTCTATACCAGTTTGGCTCATTTCCCTCCATTACTCCATAGGGACTAAGAATAAATCTATGGGTGTATGCGACTGAATGGCCTCCTCCCATTTACGAGCATTACAGAGACGATCAGCACCGCAGATAATGAACCCAGCGGCAGCAGAATGACGTCAGCCATTACACACACACTCACATCACCAGCATAAAGACACCATTACTCACACACGCTGTCAGCAGAGGGTGGAGACAATCCATCGGGCATCTAAGTTTTCTAACCAACCTCCAAACTGGACATTTAAGCACCTAAGCTTTCAAGTGGACATTTTCATAAGATATAGACTAAATCTTTGGCATCTCTGGAGTTTCAGTTCAAAATAACTTGTAGATTATTTATTATAGGCTGTCAGATTTGCCCCTATTTTGGGTGTGAAGGCTTTTGTGTGTGTTCCTTTAAATGCAAATGAGCTGCTTCTTTCCAGAAGAGGGTAGAGCTTTTACACTGTATTCTGAAACTCCAGAAACAACAAAACAAGCAAATCTCACACAGCCAAAACGACAGAAATACACATATTTGTGCAAACCAGGGTCTGAAAAATTATGAAATTATGAAAAAGAAATGACATTACCAGGACGTTCCTGAGCGGTTAGTTTGTATATATCATTATGTAATAGTTGGGAGTAAACTTATCGACTGGCGTGTTATTGCTCTATTCGGAAGTTCTTAAATGTTCAAATAAATATATTTCACTATTTGTATCTTTACAAAACATTACTCATGGCCATAACCAGACTATACAGCAAATAAATAGTGTGTAATTATTAATTACTCCAAGTGTTTGCGGGTTTAATCTAACGGCGTAGCTCTGTTCTCTTTGAATGCAATCAGTCAATAATAGCTTTAGCCACATTAGCCGTTTAGCATGTTTACAAGCAGATTCAGAAAATAACTGTAGAATCATGTTTAAAATATGAATTGATTTAGGCTACTTGTTTTGGATGTGAAGTATGTGTTTTGATCCATCCTTCAGAAACAGTGTTGAACTGACACTAATTGGTGAAGCAGATTGGCTGGAGTTAAAATTTATAACACTTTCATACTGACATCCTTTGGCACATTGCCATTAAAGACTAAATTCAAACATAATCAGTGGGGCAGCGTGGTGGGGCAGAGGGTAGAGCTGTCACCTCACAGCAAGAAGGTCGCTGGTTCGAGCTTCGGCTGGGTCAGTTGGCATTTCTGTGTGGAGTTTGCATGTTCTCCCTGTGTTTGCGTGTTTTTTTCTCCGGGTGCTCCGGTTTCCCCCACAAGTCCAGAGACAAGCAATAAAGGAAAATTGGGTAAGCTAAATTGTCCGTTTTGTATGAATGTGAATGAGAGTGTATGGGGGTTTCCCAGTGATGGATTGCAGCTGAAAGGGCATCTGCTGCGTAAAACATATGCTGAATAAGTTGGCGGTTCATTCCACTGTGGCAAATCAATAAAGGGACTAGGCCGAAAAGAAAATAATATCCTCAGTGGCTTGAATGTTTACGTCTATGGAGACTCACATGGTCATTGGCACATCCAACAACATAAGAACATAACACAGACATCTCCAACTGCTACAGCGAATAAATAGAAATGTGACTGCTGCAGTGACTCCGCGTGTGTGTGTGTGTGTGTGGGTAGGTTGAAACATACAGATAATGGGATGCCTAGAGCTGGGCAATTAATCGAAATGAAATCGCAAATGCACTTAAGCAAAGCAGTGATGGTCACACACATCTTGTCAGCAAAGCACGGTTCTGTCATCAGTAGTAATTCTCCTCAGAAAGCCAGAAGGCGCTCTCGTGTGGAAACTGCAAACACCCATAAAGAAAACACTCAGAAAATGCCCAGGTTGTTGCTAGATCAGATACGGTTGCGGCTGGAGATTAACAAAAATGATTTATATTATTTATTAATTTCACAATAATTGTATTTTATGAACGTCTACCCCTGCCCCAACTCTAAAACCAGCTGCCACAATACCATAAATATATGAATTATTGTTATAAAGTATCATACAAAATGATGCTATATTGATGTGCATATCCGCATATCTAGATGTTACCAAATCCCCAAAGCACTGCACAGAAAAATAAGATTTAACTGCTTTCATTAATTCAGTGTGACTACAATGCGATGACAACGGAGTCATCTCGCAGGATTTATTTCAAACAGTTACGAGGTGAGTTTGAGGTAAAATCATGTTCTTATTCAGTATGTGGCTTATACTACATATATTATACTGCAGTTTTAGTCATTTTTCTTAGCTTGTCTTGTTGTATGCTACAATGCTGTTAAGCAAACCATTGCTGGAGATTTACTTGAAATGACCTTACCAACAAAATAAATAAATTAGGGATGAAAAATCACCTTTGATTAATCTCCCAGATCAAGCGGTGGCAATATAAAATACTATCCCCTTCCTTCATCACCAAGGGAGTGAAATCTGACTGGTGTGTTTTTCAGAGAAACGTTTGCAGAGAAAGGATTTCTTTTCAGGTTTTCTGGGTTGGTAGATGCACTGGGGATACACTTAGCACTTGACATCAAAACTGAAAATTTTATTGATTATGTCTTGTTTAAATCTGCTCTGTATACAAATAAATTACCAAAGCCGCAGTATAACTGCCCCTCTCTTATTTGGCACTTATAGCCATGAATGACTCTGGCTGAATTCCAGAACTGAGAGGGAAAAGGGGAGTTTGTGAATTCAGAGGCGACTGTTTGGCTCTCAGAGTTGGGACGTTCATGAAGACAAACGAGGGCAGAATGAGAAAGCAAAAAAAGAGGGCAGGAAAAACAGGTTAGAGCGCCTGGGCCTGATGCAATATAGAACACGAGTTAGATTTCCTTGTATTTGGCTTATATTCCTCATGCCATTATTGTTGTCAGTGTGTCAGATGGGTGACCGAGAAAGAGCAACACAAATAATAAAGAGACAGACAGGATGAAATAGAAAAGGTGATGCTGCTCACCTACGACCCGGTCTCCAATTTTGATGCCCATCTTCCTCATGGCGGCAGCGAAGAGAGCGACATCACGTCTCAGCTCACCGAAAGTCACCTTGACTATCTCTTCTTTCGCTTCACCTATACATTCAGAATACAAACAAGAACAACTGTCAAACATCCTACCAAAATAATCAGATAAAGAATCAATTATCAAATAATTGTCAAAATAATAACAGTAAACATGATTATTATGAGGTTTTTTATAATTAAATGGAATGCCTATATTTGGATACATGTTATTAATAATAATTTGCTTGTTAAGTGTGACGTCACGTGAAATGGCTTCCGGGTGTAAGCCCTATATCAAATTCCACAGAAGACTCATCAAATGGTAATAAGAAAGTGACGTAATACTTTCAAAAATCACAATATAAATATATATATATATATATATATATATATATATATATATATATATATATATATATATATATATATATATATATATTTATTTATTTATTTATTTATTTATTTATTTATTTATTTATCCATGTCTAATATCTGATGGCTAGAAAGTTATTTATTTTTTATAAATTGTTAAAATATATTGCCTGTAAATGCAGCAAAAAGTGGCTAAAAAGTGGTCATAAACGAATATTTTTTTAATAAAAAAAAAGAAGCGGATTGTATTCCATACGTCCCGACTTAACAAGCGGACATAATAATAATAATAATAATAATAATAATAATAATAATAACAATAATATGCACATAACATTCTAAAGTTTGGGTAAAATAGTTTTCATATCTGGAACCTGATCCTAGAATTGGACTTTTAATTCTATTAGAAGACCATATTATGTTAATTTAATTATTTTATTTCACTAATCATTTTATAATTATCTTATAATCTTAAAGTTTTGGTTTCATTGCCCATGTAAATCTTGCCTAATTTAATTTATTTTTGTCCAAGCCAGTTTCATATTATGATTGTAAACGTTTTTCATGTAATAACCAGAAACTTTTTGATCAATGCTAGATGGGTGGAGTGGGAGGTAGGGTTTTGAGTTCATTTTTGTAGTAAGCTAACCAAGACAACTGAAATAAGGTCCATCTCTTTCTTGTAAGATTTTGGAGGGATCTGTATGTACGTTTTTCAATGACAACGAAAATAAAGAGCTAAAATAAATAATAAAATAAATAGTTTTCATGTTTTTAAGTTTCTTTGACTCACCAAGTAATTTTTATTACAAAAACTGTAGTTAATTTTATTATGACCATATAATAATAATAATTATTATTATTATTATCATTATTATATTATTATTATTAACATTCTAAATATAGGCTTTTTTTAATTATTTAATGAAATAAAATTAATAATATTTTTTTAAACAATTAAAGGAGTGCCTATATTTGGATATAATATACAATAACAACATGTAGTAATAATAATAATAATATAAATAATATACATGAAACATTCAAGTTTGGGTAAAATATTTTGGCACATCAAAAATGTTATTTAATATTATTAATTAATATTATTTATTTATATTTATTTATTTGTTATGATTATTATTATTATTATGTAATTACTAACAAATACTAAATTAAAAAAATTCACTAATTAATTATTTAACTTTTTCTACTTAGAAATAATAACAACAACAACAACAACAACAACAATAATAATTATCATCATCATCATCATCATCTACAGGTGCCAAACATTTTGGTAGACTGAGGAATTTTTTTTTTTGTATTTTTGAAAAATAAACGGGTTTAATTAGAAATATTTTTGATTATTATTATTATTATTATTATTATCAAAAGTAAATTAAATTAACTTTAATAAGAGACCAGATATACCTTGCCATCTGTTTAACTGTGGTGCGGCTGAAACAAATCCCAGTCACCCAAGGTAATGTTTTTCATTACCCTACGTGATCAGTAAATGAAGTGTTAAATTTAATTTGCGCTCCAGAGTCCCATGTAATCTCCTTTTCAGGTAAATGAGCCCCCCCTCCCCCCCCCCCCCCTGTTATACGAAGACACACGCCAGTGACGCAGGTACATTTCTGATAGATCCCACTTTGGTAATTGCATCCGCTCTTTTTCTGGAGCCGCATCAGGACATCCATCACAATATAACAGCGCAACTACGTTCATCCCACCCCTACACAAACACTGAAGCAACAAATCAGATTACAGACAGCATAATTCATTTAGTGCTACATTAGCCAGAGGACTGCAATGACAGATTTCCATCCATCCAAACAAAACACATGTGCGCACAGGGCCGGTGCTATTTTAAAGTATAAGGTCAGATTGACAATGTCTCAAGGAGATAAGCAGAGAGTCCTGCTTGGAATCGAATTTAGGAGATGCTTGTGTGGCATCTGATCATGGAGATAGGATTAATAAAATGTGTACTGAAATGTTTAAACCTATAAAAAAGTGCAATGTCAGCTGGGTTTATGGTCGACGTTACAAGTAGTTGCAGATCAAGATAAAATAAAAGAAGTGAATAATAAGATTAATATTATGGGAGTGTGGAGTGAATCACGATCATCTGTTTTTATATCACCTGGACAAATGCCAGGACAGTCACATCTGCAGATATTGCCAGACTCTGACGGTGACATTGCAAATTCCTATGTCAGAATTTGAATTTCTCTTGAAAGTATGTACATAATGGCGATGCAGTGGCGCAGTGGGTAGTGCTGTCGCCTCACAGCAAGAAGGTCACTGGGTCGAGTCGTGTGTGTGTGTGTGTGTGTGTGTGTGTGTGTGTGTGTGAGTGAGAGAGAGAGAGAGAGAGAGAGAGAATGTGTGTGTGGATATTTCCCAGAGATGGGTTGCGGCTGAAAGGGCATCCACAGCCTAAAAATGTGCTGGATAAGTTGGCGGTTCATTCTGCAGTGGCGACCCCAGATTAATAGGGACTAGGCGGACAAGAAAATTAATAAATGAATGTATAAAAATAATACATTAAAATATATTAATTGAATTCTTTAATATAATATTTTACTATTACACATTTTATACATGTAAATATTGATATATAGGAATAAAGATATTAATAAATATTAATTATTAACATCTAAATAACATTAATATTTATGAAATATTAAATATTATACAGCCTGAGAGACAGACTTAGGGGCTGAGCTTTCTGACACATGGGATTAATCCCTGGAAATGATCCGGTCCTGTTCAGCCAACAGTTGACTTCATTTGGTCCAATTTAAGGTTATCCATCGCTTACATCATACTAAAGCCAAGTTTCATAAAATGTTTCCCTCCGTATCACCATTATGTGACAGGTGCAAAGTGACGGAAGACACGACTTCCCATGCTTTCTAGTTTTGTCCTTTGTTATATACCTTTTGGTTAAGCAAATTTGATTGGTATTCTAAAGCTTATAGTAAATCTTTACCACCTGCTGCAGAACTGGCTATTTGCACAACACATTTCTCATCTCCCAGATGGACTCCAGCAGTCTTTGTGTTTAGGTATGATTGTGGCTAAAAGGTTTGCTCATACCCTACATTTCAAATGTGGATTGTGGACATGATTTCCGTAACAGGTAGAAAGACTTTCCGAGGACTTATTCTATTGAAATTTTTTCAGTGTTTGGGGTTTAATTCTTGAATATCTGTATGAACAAACCAGCCACTCAACCTCTGTGGATTCTTTAGAGACTTAATTTACTTATTTTACACATTTTATTATTTATTTATTTTTATTTCTTTATTTTATTTTCTGTTGTCACCTGCTTATCTACCATGTTGTCATTGTTGATTTGCTCATTGTATGGGATTTGTCCAGGACAACAGTGTGGAGTGCTGCATGTATGTATGTATGTATGTATGTATATATATATATATAATAAATGTAAATATTAATAATTACATATGTATCCTAGTATCATACATAAATTAAAAAAATAAAATGTATGTATATATACACATATACATGCATACATTCATACATACATACATACATACATACATACATACATACATACATATATATATAATAAATGTAAATATTAATAATTACATATGTATCCTAATATCATACATAAATTAAAAAAATAAAATGTATGTATATATACACATATACATGCATACATGCATACATTCATACATACATACATACATACATACATACATACATACATACATACATATATATATAATAAATGTAAATATTAATAATTACATATGTATCCTAATATCATACATAAATTAAAAAAATAAAATGTATGTATATATACACATATACATGCATACATGCATACATTCATACATACATACATACATACATACATACATATATAATAAATGTAAATATTAATAATTACATATGTATCCTAATATCATACATAAATTAAAAAAATAAAATGTATGTATATATACACATATACATGCATACATGCATACATTCATACATACATACATACATACATACATACATACATACATACATACATACATACATACATACATATATATATAATAAATGTAAATATTAATAATTACATATGTATCCTAATATCATACATAAATTAAAAAAATAAAATGTATGTATATATACACATATACATGCATACATGCATACATGCATACATTCATACATACATACATACATACATACATACATACATATATAATAAATGTAAATATTAATAATTACATATGTATCCTAATATCATACATAAATTAAAAAAATAAAATGTATGTATATATACACATATACATGCATACATGCATACATTCATACATACATACATACATACATACATACATACATACATACATACATACATACATACATACATACATATATATATAATAAATGTAAATATTAATAATTACATATGTATCCTAATATCATACATAAATTAAAAAAATAAAATGTATGTATATATACACATATACATGCATACATGCATACATACAAATATAAATACAGCAAAGGTGAATTTCCAGGACCCTTAATTCAGTTCTCAATTCATATTATTATTAGTGATATTGAATAAAACTGCATAACATTTTTGTGAAATCATACATATTATTTATTTTTTGGTTCACAGACAGTTCAACAAAATACAATTCACAGAAACAATTTGTAACATTATTAATGATTTTATTGTACTTTTTTAATCAATTTAATTTATTCTTACAGAACTAAAGTCTTAATTTCTTTTAAAATAGATTTCATAAACACATTTTATTTTTAAAAAATATTTAAATGAAAAGTTATAAATTTATTAAAATATCAAATAAAATTAATGTAAATTATTTTAAAATTAAATTATATTAAAATAATTTTAATAAAATGCATTTTTATTAAAATAATTGAATAAATAATTAAATTAATTATTAAAATGGTATGAAATGTATATAAAATTATTAAAATTATATTTAAAAGTTAAACTACGCTGTTTATTGTTACACTAAATGACATATTAGTGATATTCTTTGTGAAATCAAAGTAAAAATGTAAGTTGTTTTATTTATCTTATATTTTTTAATTCTTAATTTATTCTAGAAGAAAATAAATCTGTATTATACTCTGATGCTTAAAAACTGCCCAAGTTTTTGACCAGCAGTTTAATTAAATACATGGATAAAACGAAGAAACAGTGATAAATGGAATAAGCTCTGCAGGTGAGTGAATATTTGCAACTGGTTTTCATACTTGCAGCATAAAGCGCCACTTTGTCCTGGTCTTTGTGTTTGAGCAGGTTCTCTGCATAATTCAGTCTGCTGCCTTTAAACCACTCGGGTACATCTGATATCCTTTTCGACACATCAACCACCTGAAACAGAGAGTGAGCAGAGTCACACGTCACCCTGTATGATCAAGCACATTTCAGCATGTCAACCTTTTGCATACCACAAACAAATGCACATTCATTTCAGCGAGGCTAATAGTTTGCTGATATAATGTTTATGTATTGTTGATAGTTGGAATTAGCTTTATTTTTAGATTTATACTTTAATTTTTGCCATTTTGTTGGTGATTTTATTTTCATTATATACTTTTTTTTTCCATTTAGCGTCAATAAGATATTAGTTCTTATTTATTTTATTTTTATCTATTTTATTGGTTTGATTTTCAGCCATTTATCACTTTTGTTTATGAATTTATTTATAAATTTAAAATCAGTCAAAATATTAATTTTCATACAAAATAAAAGCTTATATATTATATATTTATTACTACCATGTACTATGCATATTTATTTTGTATATATAAATACACACATACGTTTAAGAAAATGTTTATTTATGTTCATAAGCTCAATATTTATATGTAATACAAATTATATATATATAAATACTTTGGTTTTGTATTTTACAGAAGTTTTGTTTATACATATACACACTATTTATACACCACAAGCACACACACATCATGTAAAAACAACATTTTATCTTGGATGTGACTAATGATTAAACATTTGACGGCACCATTTTATTCATTTTTATGATTATTAAATTAAAATATAAGTAATAATAACAACAATAAAACTGTTTATAAATAAACTACTAAAATAAATAAATAACAAGTGCAAATAACATCGAGATCGATGTGGACATATGCTAACATTAGTTTTACCTTCCTAATTATTATTTCAGACCCATCAAAAGAATTACTGCTAGATAACGATGACTTGTTTTGTCCCTGTCATGGCGTGTATCAGCGAACAACTAAGATAAAGCCTGATAAAGTCCTCACTTTACAGAATAAACATTGATCCATCAAGGGCCTGTTCCATAAACCAAACTTACAGAAAAAGCCAGGCTTATTTTGGCAAGTCGGGTTTATTAATACATTATCGGTTTCAGAAATCAAATTTGCAATAGTTCAAACTCAGTTACTCTGGCAACCTATGCTGGGAACCTAGCCTGGTCCGAGGCAGGAAAACTCTCAGGCCCAGTCTTAAGTTCAGGCTTAATCAAAGTATTGTTAACATTCACCAGCAATAATTTGATGCTATTTTAATTCACTTAACCTCTTATTTATTAAAACTTCATAGCAAATTAATAGTATATATATATATATATATATATATATATATATATATATATATATATATATATATATATATATATATATATATGTATATACATATATATATATATATATATGTATATACCAAACATCTTTAAGAATAGAACAATAATACATTTAAATTCCACTACATTTTATACATTTTTAGGTTTCTGTAGATTCTTTTTTTCCTGTTTATTAAAATCTATTTAATATTTTTCCAGTAATGAAGTTTGCACAGCACGCTCACGTTTTTAAATTTTTTTTTTGGTGCATTAATCTTGTCAATAATATTATTCAGAAGGTCATGATTTGAACTCATTAAATAATTACTTTAATAGCTTTATTTTACATTTGACTTTTTATTTATTTGATATTTTCCTCCAACATTTTAAGTTGGGTGTACTTATTTTTGGACTTTTTTTTAATTTAATTTTAGTTTATTTTTCCTGTACATTTCTTCAAAATGACTTTAAAACTGCAAACCTTGATCAACCTTGTGGAATAATTTTGGAGATGGATCTGGGTTGAGCAGTAGCCTCACTTAAATATAAAGATATTTTCCCACGGGGCGCAGGAAAGACAAGTGTCAAAGAAAAAGCAGCAATTTGCAGTGTTTTCGGGAGAAAATTAAAAATACCGCCCTTTGTGTGCGCATGGCTCTTTGTTGCCATTATTTTAAACTTAATGTGCTAAAGTTAAGCACATTTTGAATGGTACAGGGAGCCTGCAATGTACTAAAACTTTTCCTTGCATGCAACAATTTCAATGTATTGTGACAAATATTTAGCTTAGGCAAACAATCTGCAATTTCCTGTTAGCCTTCTCTCTTGCTTTGTTGTGTCCTGTAGTTTTTGATTATGTTTAAATTATTCTATGTTTGAAATCAAAAACAAATGCTGCTCACTCGCTGTGTCTCATTTCAGAGGTCTTTCTTTCATCGTTGTTGCCATGGTAGTACACAACATATTCGATGCATCTGTGCTTGACCCTTAAAGTTTCATGACAGTAACTTGCACAAGCAGTTATCTAGATTATTTAATCTGAACTCAGATTAGATAGATCGAATGATCTTCAACCTGCTGTTATGAAACCAATTTAAGCGTGGACATTTAGTTCGGCTGATTGAAGTCAGGCTTTTGACTTTATTCCCCACTTTTCTAAACCACATTTATGAAGTTTACTGCTGGACAACTCATTTTATCATGGAAAAATAACACAGAAATCAAACACTGATACTTCAATCTCCTCACAAAGCTCTGACGGTGCACTTAGTAAAGCTGTCAATCACAACTGTCAATCACGATGACACGGTTCTTTTTATAGCATTTAATTACTGGCTCAACTGACCAAATCCATCTGGAAATTTTGTGGCAAGTGTAAATATATATATATATATATGTTTTTTTTATTTAGGCTTAAGTCTCATTTGTTAACATGGAGGAGGTGGGGTTTATGACAAGTACTGCAGTCAGCCCCCAGGGGGTGATCTAACAGCCTCGAGCTTCACTCAAAAGCAGGCATGAGGGACTCTTTGTAAGTACACACACACATTATGTAATTACAACATTTTATTTTGGATGCGATTCTTTCATTCATTTATTTTATTTTTCAGCTTGGTCCCTTTATTAATCAGTGGTCTTCACAGCAGAATGAACCCCCAACTAATCCAGCATACATTTTACACAGTGGATGCCCTTCCAGCTGCAACCCTACACAGGGAAACACCCATACTGCATTCGTGAACTACGGCCAATTTAGTTTATTTAATTCCCCTATAGCGCGTGTCTTTCGGACTGTGGGGGAAACCGGAGCACCCGGAGGAAAGCCACACGAACATGGGGAGAACTTGGATGCGATTAATCATGATTTTTGAGGATTATTAAATTAAAAAATCATAAGTAATAATCACAATAAAACTGTTAATAAATAAAATTACAAAAATAAATAAATAACAATAAAACATTCAGCAAACTATCAAGAGAAGACATGCAGTAAAAGATGTCGAGGAGGTAGACAAAAGTCATTTATAGATTGTCTTAATTTATTATTTTATCTTATGACACTCCTATGACAAGTAACACTGCAGCTCTCTTCTACGGAAAAGCCCCAACACACCCTTTTAGATAGAGATGTGATACAAGCCTTCTTGCAGTAGTTTAGACAGTAGTTCTAAATGGCAATAAATTCATAAATGTTTACTAGTTCAGATTGTTTAAATGACTCATGTGTGACTAATTAGTTAGTCATTCGTCTACTGCACGTATACCTTTACAGAAATGAGACCGATAACTAAGCACATGACAAACACATCATCAAATTTCAAACTAATTATTCAGTCACGATGACATCATTTAGTGGCAATGTGCTGTGTTTTGTGGCAACCTGAGTTCCATTTACTGCAGAACAGGAAACGACAGAAACACCAAATGGTTTAAAATACCTGAATATGTTTAGAAGGCCTAAATATGGGGTGAAAAGAAACTTACTTCCTCATACATCTTTGAGCAGGTGATTCCACAGAATTTCCAAACCTGTGCCCAGAACTCAGGATAACTGTCCACAGACCACTGGTATAGGTCATTATAGTTTGCTTAAAAAAATTAAACAAAATAACAACATTTAGTGACATTGACATTTATTTAAAGCACCATTAGACATAATGCATTACATTATTTTAACACTGCAAATCAGAACTGTGATCATTGCTAAATGTCAAGAGGTTGTGGCTTATCCCAATAAGTTATTACAAAATAAAATGATAGTAATAATAATAATAATTGTAAAAAAAAAATAATAATTAAATATATATATATATATATATATATATATATATATATATATATATATATATATATATATATATATATAGATATATATATATATATGTTCTGTCTGGTTCTCGAATCTGATTGACTGGTAGCCTAGGTTATTGGTAGGATGTTGGTGATTGAGCAATGGTTTCTGCTGTTCTGACGTCAGCTGCAGATATGAATGAATGGCGGAAGAAAGTAGATCCTAGTATAAAAGGATTTTAAAACTCTGAATGTTTGATTTTCTTTTTTATACGCATGATTATGTCGTCAAACTGTTGTATAAACACAATATCACACTCATTGCAGAGCGATAAGGCTATATATATATATATATAGCCTTATGGCTTTGCAATGGGTGTGATATTGTGTTTATACAACAGTATATATATATATATATATATATATATATATATATATATATATATATATATATATATATATATATATATATATATATATATATATAAATTCTTACATGTATAAAGTGTAAAATATATAGTCACAAATATAATTTAAAAATCAAATTAAAAAAACTGTTTTAATTACCTGTCAAAAGTAAACAGCTATATTGCTGTGACCAGATTCTTTCCTAACTGCTATTTTCTCACTACTATTATTTTGCTATTAAAAGGAAATGGACAACTTATATTTACATATACAAACAAATATCTAGCTAACTGTAAATCACTGGCTGTAAGGTGTTATAGGGCAATTTCAACTTCTTTTGCATCTAATTAGGGCTGCACGATATTGGAAAAATCAAACATTACAATCTTTCATTTTGCTGCAATATATATCGTGGTATAAATATAATTTCACCAAATGATTTGAATAGCTCTACTTGGAAAGATTCATTCATTTAGATCGACTGAGATGATTAAGTCTTTGTCTATGCAGTGCATAAATCATAATAAATTCACAAGCAAAATTAAATAAATAAACAGTGCTTTATGGTTTTATGGGCCATCTAACAGTATTCAAGTACAGAAATTTAACAATCAAACATAAAAAACATGGTCATCATTATATAAATAATATGATATAATAGTATCTTTATCGTTTAATCTTAATTAAATAATCTAATCCTGCGATTTTCCTATTGCAAATGCACACATTGCGATATCGATGATTAAACAATATATTGTTCAGCCCTACTTCTAATCATAGTCGATAAGAACTCGCTGCATGTAGGGTATTTAATCATATTCAGACCTTATGTGTACATGAGTAAGACCTTATGAATTTAACATATAATCACATACATTAAATATGACATTTCAATACTCAGATATGTAATCAATCATTATGGCTTTTAAACAGATTTAAATATGTATATTTTACAAATACTTACTCGCATCAATTTCAGATTTCCTACTATTATTTTACCTCACTCGAGCACAATCACCATCATGAGATACTGTGCATTGATGGTGTGTATAATATCTTTTTGAAGTTACATTTTTCATTTATTTAATTATATAATACTGACAACACTAGAAGAGGTAGAAGCAACAATTGAAATACATGCCAGCTTAAAGTGAATAGTTGCTGATAGCATTTTAATAAAGCGGCAGTAAATCATAAATAAGTATATGAACTGAATGAACAGTAACTGGAAAAAACTATAAGACTAAACTATAAGACTAACTGTTGTATTTATTAAAAGCATAAACATCAGCAACACAAGGATATACCATTTACTATTAGGAAAAATGTACAAATTTGTGAGACAAAATATAATTGTATAACAGGAACAGAGATGAGAGTGACATAAGGAAATAAATCATGCTGTCAGTGTAAATTCTAGGTCTGATCTGAAATTCTGGTTTTGCAACTTCTTATGTCTAATGCAAGCATTGAGATTTAGCAGACTGGCATGCATGAATAACTGGAAATACGTGGTCAGGCATCTATTTCTAGATGAAACATATAAAATGGATCCTGGATCAAATATAGTGGGCAAAAAATAAAGAGCTCTGTTTTTGCTTAAATGTGACCATGACATAACATGACAAGCCTAGGATGAGCTAGTAATGCGATTAAGACCAAACCATAGTACTATGCTTTGTTTTCCTGGAGAATAAGGGGTGTGTAGTTAGTCTACATTCAACCAAGCCCAGGCTGACTCTCTACTCACCCAGGTTCAAGCCGAATTCCCGGTTAACCAGAGTTCGGAATCGGTCCGTCTGTGTGTTTCGCTTGGAGTCCGGGTACCAGAGCACCTTCGACTCCATAATCTCCTCGCTCTTGGCCTCCGTGTCTTTAGACATGATCGGATGACACGCGCCAACGTATCGTGAATAAGCTATGAAGACTCAAAGAATCGCACTACGCGAGTTGGACGGGCCGATCCGGTGATCGTGTATTGGTGCAGGTCAGACACATGGGTCACTTCCGAGCGTCAGCCGAACATAATCAACCAGCAGCAGCGGAAGCCCCGCCTACCGCGCAACCGCACTGCGTCCTGACAACCTCCATGTGTTATTCCGCGACTAATGTAGTGCTTCGGTTTCTACACAAAAATCTATGGATGATTCAGATTTTTTTCCTTTTTTTAATTTATTTTCTATTATTTTTATATATATTTGTGATTAATGAACTAGCATTTGCAATTACTGACTTGCACGTACCCTGGCGGAAGGTCTGTCTGATTCATCTGTCAGATTATATTGAGGATGTTCGACTCTCCTGCCGATCGGTTCATTCGATCAATTCATTTCTAAGAAGCGTTTTTTTTTAGTAAAAAAAATCTAAAATGACAGTTAATAGATATTTTGATGCTGCATTCTGTTATTCTTTTGAATTTAAGTCATGTAAAAATAGTCCCTTTTAATCTGAAAAATACTTCAGGACACAAGTGTATTGTGTGCAAAAAAAAAAAAACGTACAATAACAATTTAAAATTGTATAACACTTTAAAAAAAAAAATATATATATATATATATATATATATATAAATAATACAAACACACATTATACACATATTCAATTAACTTAGTTCTGTATTTTGTGTGTTTGTTTGTTTGTTTGCTTGCTTGCTTGCATTATTATTTGTCGTGTTATCGAATGTCGAGAACCGCTTGGAAAGATTCACGATTCAGTTTAATTTAAAAGGTTCTTGTAAAATTATTTAGGTGTTTGATTGTAAAGAGTCACTTCAATAACAATGATTTGCTCACATACCTTGATTTATAATGTCAACTACCAAGGGTCAGAAAAAGAAGTGAAGTATAGCGTTAGTTGAACTTAACTATTTATTCAAAGTTATGAAATACCTAGTTTCGAATTTTGATGGTATTTTATAACAATATAAAGCAACATCCAACTTACATAATGCCTACTTTACAAAAAACATTGATAACTAGACATTTAAAGGATCCTTGATAAAGAGTAACTGTCAGGCTTTGGCGGAGGAATATCTGACCGTCCCGCAATTAGCATGTCTTTTATTCTATTGGCTGCTGAAGCTGGTCTCACATCAGCCGAGACCGCAGCACGAGAGAAAGCGACATGGACAGACGGAAAACTCAGCCAATCAGAAGTCACACTGCAGCTTCTCCAGTTCGGCCCACTGGGGCTTTCAGCCAATAGAAGAGGGGATTGTGTAGAGGTGTGCCCAATCACAGACTGCGGCCCGCAACATGATATGAAGGGGGGAAAACAGGATTACGCCTTAAAGGTGGCTCTGTGCTATATTTTCCATACATTTAGATTTTACAAAGTTGGCTGTTTGTTTTTAGTGCCAGAGGAAGGTATTGGACTGTATATAAGAGGCGAGCTGCTGGGCATTTTTGCAGAGTCATCAACACCCACTGCCAAGGCCAATTTCATCAATATTTATTTAACATTTGGGAAATAAGAGTTGCACCACGAATGTATTGCAATGCAAATTTAGCTGATTTACGTTTAGCACAAAAAGAAAAAAAAGTTGGCGTTGTGTTGCCAAATATTGTTGGCCAGTTGATTTTTTTAATCTCTTTAGTTATAACTTATCAAAGACAAACAGATTCTTGTGAATCCATTTAATATACACTACTGGATCTGCAACCGATCAACTTTTTATTTACCTTACAGACTCTTTCATAATAGTACAGTCTACGTTTTAACTTTAGTGTTGGATACATACAAATGCATATCAATCTCCCCCGGCATTGGCAAGATGGCCATCATCTTGAGACTACTCACCTTTTGTTTGACTGCATATACAATTATTCATTTTTTTCTTCAAGAACACATTTTAATGGCATTTGCAATCAAATGTGCTCAGATGAAAATCTATAATAAACAGTACACATCAATCCATCCGGTTAGACCAGGGATGGGCAAACTTGATCCTCGAGGGCCGGTGTCCCTGAGGAGTTTTGTTCCAACACTAGTCAAACACACCTGAACATGCTAATCAGTGTCTTTAAGATCACAAGAAATCTATAAGCAGGTGTGTTTGATTAGGGTTGGAGCTAAACTGTGCAGGACACCGGCCCTCCAGGACCGAGTTTGCCCACCCTGGGTTAGACAATGTAACTGAAACACCTAGAGTTAGTCCACAATAAGTCATTATTATGGTGTAGGGCCTCCTTTTGCGGTCAACACACCATCAATTAATCTTGGGAATGACAGATACAGGTCCTGCACAGTGGCCAGAAAGATTTTAAGCCATTTTTGCAGAATAGTGGCCAGGTCACTCCATGATGCTGGTGTAGGACACAGTTCTCACTCCTGGCTCCTCCAAAACACCACAAGGTGGCTCAATAATATTTGGATTTGGTGATTGTGAAGGCCATGGACGATGTTCAAGGTCATTTTCATGTTCATCAAACCACTCTGTCACTAATCTTGCAGTGTGTATTGGAACATAATCATCCTGATACACAGGACTGGCTTTAGGATATAATGTTTGAACCATTGAATGCACATGGTCCTTCAGATTAGTTAGGTAGTCCTTAGCAGTGATGCTCCATCTAGCACAAGTTTTGTGCCTAGGGGATGCCATGATATTGCAGCCCAAACCATCACTGATCCACCCCCATGCTTCACACTAGGCATCCAACAGTCTGGGTTATACACTTCTTTGCAGCTTCTCCACACCGTAACTCTCCCAGATGTTAAAAAAATAACAGTGAAGGTGAACTAAACCAGAGAACAACACATCTAGCCATGTATATTCACCCCATGGCGCTCCCGACTAACAATTTTCAGACAGCCTCCTCATGCATCCACAGTTACTCCTGCTGGATGTGGTTTGTCCCTCTTGGTGTTATGCTGACATCACTCTACATACCGTGGCTCTTGATACATCACAAAGACCTGCTGTCTTTGTAACAGATGTGCCAGCAAGGACTACTGTATACACAGCAATACGTCACCCATGATGTTGTGTGCATTGCAATATTTTAAGCAAAACTGTGCTATTACTCCTTCGACCAGGGGTGTCCAAATTCAGTCCTGGAGGGCCGGTGTCCTGCTGAGTTTAGCAATAACTTGCTTTAACACACCTGCCAGGAAGTTTCTAGTATATCTAGTAAAAGCTTAATTAGCTGGATCAGCTGTGTTTGATTAGGGTTGGAGCTAAACTCTCCTGGACACCGGACACCACTGCCTTAGACCTTCACACTATTATCTTACGGGTGGAATGTGCAATCAATGAAGATTGGCCATCAGGCTGGTCAAACATAGCCATGAAGCTTCCAACACTAAATTGGCTAATGTTTCAGTTTCATTGTCCAACCCCTGTATGAATCTATCTATCTGTCCATCCATCCAAGACAAATGCAACAGACAGAATCCTTAATTATCATAAAAATGTGCTTTCATAAAAGCAAACTTGCCTCTGAGAAATGACAAATAAAAAAACAACAATGCACAACATTACACGCAAGCCAAGTATGGGTTTCTTAAAAGCATGGTAGTCCTTGATCATTAAGCATTATGTAAACCCTTTTAAGAGAGCAGCAGTCTCAAGGATACAAGGGATTCAGCAAGCAAAACAAAGCAAACAACTATTTGGTGAGTGCCTATGACAGTACAAAAAAGAAATGAAATAGATTTTCCCCCGAACCACAAACTCTATGTTAAACTGCACGAGAACAAAATCAAATGCCAAGATCAGCATTTCACAACATGACAGGCTTTCATCTCGAGGTTATCAACAAGTCGCTCTACTACAAGTTTTTTTTTTTTCCGCAGATATAATGATTTAATTTAACCCATTTAGACGCTGAGTTTCAGAGAGTTTATCTGAGGTAATATGAACGGACAAATGAAGCAATGTTCAAAAAAGTATCTATTGCATCACGCTAAACCTCCTATGTCCAAATTATTTTATGAAGCAACTTTAAAAAAAAACTACCAAAAAAACTCTCAAATTACTATTTGAGCAAATAAAAAAAAAGAAGAAAAATGCCATTAATGTCAGTCAGGTTGATAGTTTTGAAAATAAATATATAAATCCAAGACATGTTGCTCAAATTGTATATTACGTTTATTAAATTCTTTCTGGACCACCATTTCATCTTCCGATGAACAAGCATGATAAGCACAATAATATGATACAGACAGCAAACAATACCACAGCAAGCAACACAAATGAATGATCCTGATGAAATTTATACAGTACAAAAGTAAACCTGATATGGAAATCTAGGCATTTACTACGCAAATAAAAACACCAGGTCTAGACTTCACAAAGATTCAGTGCTTCCTAATACAAATCATTCATAGACATAATCCTCGACACACAATAATTGGCACTGGCGCAGTCAACATGAGTTCAATGAGAGAGAACTGAGCATTTACTGAGTTAGTACATCTCCCTTACGCTGAAAGTAACATCTGATCTATTAACCAAACAATACATGCCATTTCACAATTAAATTTAGGACCTGACATGGTGCTGGAACCTAATAATAAGACTATGAATATGGAAATACGGTTACACATTTCTTAAGCAAACTCACATTCACTTGTACTTTAGATATTACAGCGAACAAATAAATCGCTCATATTTTCCACCGTACTGCAGCTTCTCATTCATTACAGCTAAGAAAACACACATGGCAATTCGGACACGTGTACTTCTTCATAGTTGTCTCCAGTGTACAATATGCTGGTACTTTGCAAATACATGAGTGTTAAATTAGATTTCTGAAAAAAAGCTGGTGCTTAAAACTGCATGATTTATTGACCAGCTAATGTTTTTCACTCATTCATTTAGTCAAAAAATAAATAAATAAACGGGGCCTTCTTGATATTAGTGCATGAGAAAGCTTTCCAGGTGACTTGAGTCGCAGTACAGTCAGGTTGAGGGCAGATGAAATAGACTGTAAATCTGCACACGTTTCTATTAAAAAGTGAATTTTGTCAATGTTTACAAAGAGTATAGATGGCATCAGTGCTAAAAAGAGAACTACAAGCCACAAAACTCTCGCTTTGACTTTGACTACCACATTTTCTTTTAGTAAAACAGGAGACAAACTTAATATAAAAATGACTGAGTATAATATAAAAATGATTTAGTGGCAGGAATGAATTATCATTATTACACATAGATTAGAAAACCATATTTAAAATATGATACTAAACAAAACAACAAATTCCTCCCTATAAAAAAAATACAATACTGTTTAAATGTTTGGGGTAGAAAAGATTATTTTTAGGTACATTTATTGGATATAAATACAGTAAAAACTGTAATATTGTCAAATTGATTCTATTTTTTTTTAATAATTATTTTTTCGGGGTTTTCACCTTTATTTGACAGGACAGTAGAGAGCATTGACAGGAAAGCATGGGGAGCAGAGAGAGGGGAAGGATCGGCACAGGACCGCAAGGCGGAATCGAACTCGGGTCGCCATGAGCACCGGAGTGCATGTGTCGACGCACCAACCACCACAGCTGACAAAATTGATTCTGATTTAACGTATATCAAATTGCAATTGATTCCTTAAAAGAACAACAATTTCTTTTCATAAATCTTAAGTGTAACACGATCTTTCAGAATCATTTCTTATTATTATCAATGTAAAAAAAAAGTTGAGGTGATCAATTTCTTGTTTTCTCTGATGAAAACACAAAACACAACTCAAAAGATTTTATTTTTAAATCGCAACCTTGCCAAGTATTAACTTCTGTGAAGAAAAATTATTTTCAAAATATTTATCAACCTTACAACTTTTGGACAGTAGCATACTTTTTTGAAATAGTGGTATAATCATGCAACAGCAACAACAAAACTCAATTTATGGCATATTATGGAATGAAAATAAACGTTTCATGAAAATAAATGAACGCTGGCCATTCAGATTTCTTTCAAAATGTAAAAATGTATAAAAAAAATCAAAAATTGCAGCAATATGTAATATTTCTATGAATCACACAATAATGTTTTAAATATCTTTAAAAACATGCAGACTAGTTTTAGCTACTAAGAATGCTTGATAATAATAAAAAAAAAACATTTAAAAATGGATTAACAAGATAGGTCCCCCCAAAAATGAAAACTGTCTCATCTTTTAATTTCCCTCACAATGGTTTTAAAGCTGTACGAGTGTTTCCTTCTTCTGTTAAATATTTTCAAAACCTATTTGAGTTCCTTTCTTCTGTTGAACAGGAAAGAAGATATTTTGAAGAATGCTGGCTGATAACACCCATTGACTTCCATGGCAGTGGAAAAGAAAATTATGATGGAGGTCATTGGGTGCCATCAACCATTCATTCATTTTCTTTTCGGCATGGTCCCTTTGCTAATCAGGGGTTGTCACAAAGGATTGAACCGCCAACTTATCAAGCCTATGTTTTGCACAGCGGATGCCCTTCCAGCTGCAACCCATCACTGGGAAACACCCATACACTCTCATTCACAAACATACACTACGGACAATTAAGCTTACCCGATTTACCAGTACCGCATGTCTTTGGACTGTGGGGGATGCCGGAGCACCCGGAGGAAACCCACATGAACACAGGGAGAACATGCAAACTCCACACAGAAATACCAACTGACCCAGCTAAGGCTCGAACCAGCGAACAGTGATAACCACTGCACCACCCTGCCATCAACCAGCATTCCTCAAAATATCTTCTTTTGTGTTCAACAAAAACTCAAATAGGTTGAACAAATGGACGGGAAGCAAATGATGGCAAATTTCATTTGTGAGTAAACTATCCCTTATACTCTTAAAGCAAATTAAAAGTGCAGGAAGTAGGGAAAGTGAATAAAACTCAGCAGATAAGATGGGACACAGGTTAGAACAGTTAGCAGGCATTTAAAGCAGAGAAAACGCCACTTTCTTTAAATAAAAATGAGTTTACCAAGCAGCACTAATAGGTAGTGGGATTGGTGCTATTCAATCAATCCCTCTTTATAATGGTACATAGAATGATCTCAAGCTGAGAACAAAGTGCATGACCAGGTTTTACCCTGTAGGTACTTATCTGAAGCACACAAGAATCTCTCTCAGATGACGCTGGACAGAGACACTGGTGTACATTGCAGCACTGTTAGCTTGCTGCCAGGAACACTGATCTCAATTTTGATGACTAGCTGCTTTCTGAAAGCGATTTCCACATACATCTTCATCCCTGATAGTGCTGATCGTTTCTGAACTCTGCTGACCTCAAGAGGAGACAAGGGAGAGAGAGAAAAAAAAACATGCAGTGATAATGACTATTCTTCACACTTTGAGTGTTTCTGGATTGACTCTCAATGACATTGCCTTTACGACTGATAAATAACACACGCTTTAAAAAAAAACTCTTCATATAAAGCTTATGGAAAAGAGAATAACACTGAGCAATGGACATACTCACACACACGCTTACACACATGTATACAAAAAAGTCCTGATATTTACTCAAAATTAAAAAGAAATGGGCGGCTACAGTAGAAGTGGACACTAGTAATACACTCTACGACAACAGGGCGAATAAAATCAATCCTCTAATGGAGAATGAATCAAATTTCCACACGTCACGTACGATTCTCGTCAGGGGGGACATCCTGAGAAAAATTCGGTGGAAAGAAATAACAAAAACAACATTTTTTTGTTTGTTTCTTCTCAACTCAAGCCACAAACCCCAGCTCTGAGCCTTTGGTGAAGATCTCTTCATTGGTCGCTGGAGCGCTCTAGGGTTTCAATCACTCTGCTCAGGCGGATGTTGAGGAGGCGGATCTGGGTGTCGAGCTGGTCGATCTTCTCCTCCAGAGTTCCAGATCCTCCTCCTTTCCTCCAGTACGCTCCGACCGGCCCCGTCATGAAATACACGGCCATGATGAAGCACAGCGGCAGCACTGCCTTTTCTGGATCGCCCTCGAATTTCTGCAGAATGTACAGGCAGGAGAGGGCGAAAAGGGTGACGCGGGCCAGCCAGAAGAATCGGCCGAACACTGCGTGGAGGATGTAAAAGAAGCCGCTCAGGAACAGGGAAAGGAACCAGTAGGCCACCAGGAGGGCTGCCACTAGAAGAAGAGCCCGAGCGGGAGAGCTGGACACGGATGATGGGCTGAAGTAGTGCGTCAGGTTAGAGGCTGAGAAGCAAAAATGAAAAACAGATGGAAATTGAAGAGAGAATGACAAGTGCAATCATACGCAAACAGGAAAATATACATACAGGTATATGATATTTCAGTCAAACTAGCCCTATTTAACAGTTCTAACGTTCAAACTATATATCATTCATTCATTCATATTCTGCCGCTTTTCAGGGGCCGGGTCGCGGAGGCAGCAGTCTTAGGAGAGAACCCCAGACTTCCCTATCCCCGGACTCTTCCTCCAGCTCCTTCGGGGGGATCCCGACATGCCTGGAACACCTCCCTAGGTAGGCGTCCAGGAGGCAACCAAAACAGATGCCCGAGCCACCTCAGCTGACTTTTCTCGATGTGGAGGAGCAGCGACTCTACTCCGAGCTCCTGCCGAGTGTCAGAGCTCCTCACCCTATCCATATGAGTGCACCCTGCCACCCTTCGAAGGAAACTCATTTCGGCCGCTTGTATCCGAGATCTTGTCCTTTCGGTCATGATCCAAAGCTCATGACCATAGGTGAAAGAAGGAACGTAGATTGATCGGTAAATCGAGAGCTTTGCCTTTCGGCTCAGCTCCTTCTTCACCACAACGGACAGGTACATCGACCGCATTACTGCTGCCGCTGCACCAATCTGCCTGTCAATCTCTCGTTCCATCCTTCCCTCACTCGTGAACAAAACCCCGAGATACTTAAACTCCTCCACCTGGGGTAAGGACTTTCCTCCAACCTGCAAACTATATATTTGTTATTTTATTTTGAAGATCTGAGATTTTATTTTCAACTATCTGCTGCCGTTTTCAGTATGACAATACATGTCAAGCAAAATGATATTCAAATTCAATGATCGGCACATAATCAGTTACCGAGACGACTATTGTCACAGTATTTTATGTTGTTGTCCAGCTGTGACATCGCAGAAATAGAAACCGTTTGTAAATAGAAATTTTGTATGTCGCTGTCACAGATGGTGAGGACAAAAACTCCTTTTAACATAAAAAAGGAACATTGTAATGTGTATCGCAGCATTGTGTATAGTGTAAAACACAATGTAATAAATGTAAACAGCGTCTGAGTACCTGAGTACTGTTATTGTAGTGCATATGCTCATGTATTTGAATGCATACCAACAGTCACAAAAATCATCTACTCTCTCCATTCAGAAATCTGATTGTTATGAGATGTTGTTCTAAAACATGATTTGTTCATTCAATAGTACTCTTGAATAGTACTGAGTGCTCTCATGAATGTAATGTAGCATTATGAAATTAGAGGTAAATGATCACAATGAAATCCAAACACAGTAATCTCAAAAATGCATTTGATGCATGTTAATCATAGAGTAACGCATTTCGGCTGACCATTTGTGATCTGATCACTGAAAATACATTAATGCCAGGTGAAAGACAGAGCTAAATTCATATACAATAAACAAACCAATTCTGGTGCTGACTTACAGTCAATGCCCATAACGTCCAGCAGATCCACCCACAGTTTCCACAAAGTGTCCAATAATGAATCGACTCCATGAACAAACCTCTCGGTAGTTTTTGAGAAGAACTGCAAAACAATGAAATACAGGTTTTTAAATATTTAAAGAATAATAACTTAGCAAAATTACCAATGTTGTTTTACATGAATATGCATGCATTTTATCTATCTATATTTATATATATATATATATATATATATATATATATATCTTTATATTAAAATTATTTCACTAGTAAATATCTAATTATCTCTCCGTGAAAATAATTAGCTTTTGATGCACAACACCAGGGGCCTGTTTCAGTAAGGAGGTTCAAACAACTCAGAGTTTAAACTTGAACTCTGAGTTGATTTACTGAGAGATTAAAAACTCGGTTTTCGGTTTCAGAACAGCTGATCCGAGTTGAGTCAATCAACTTCGAGTAGACCAACTCAGAGTTAAGCGCACGCACCGTGACTTTAAAAAGGCATTATCAATGGAGCGCAGACATTACAAGTGACTATGGCAATATCTTATAAAAGAGATCACCATTTCTTTCTCCAGCTGAACTTGATGTTCTCATGCAAAGTTAAAGCAAATATGAGTGTATATATTTGAAAAGAAGCAACCATCAGTGAAGAAGAGACAGTTAGCGTGGGAAAACAGCTGCTCAAGTTAATGCCTAATTTCACTTTTTAAGTATTTAAATATTTAAGTATAATAAAATAAGTAATGTAATTTCTGACGTTTATATTTTTTTTTCTAAACTTTTTTATACATTTATTAGTTTTAAATGATTTAACAGTGCACTTGTGTGTCTGCCTTTTTTATTGATCAAGTGATAGAGGTTAATATAACATTTAGAAGGTAAGCAGTACTAAAAATAATTTTTAGAAAGAATAATAATCCCATTAATCTAGTTACAGTGCATGTCGAAGGTAAATTTAATTATTTATTAAAAAAGGATAAGCCATCTAGTACAGTTCTTCTGTGTGTGACTAAAATGTAGGCAATAGCTATGTTTCCATCCAAATATATTACATAAATTTATGTGCAAAACTGGAATATTGCATAAAAGATGTGAATAAAATTCCATCCAACGAGTCAAAGAGAAAAAAAATCGTCACTTCCTGATTAAACTGGCACCAAATATCAACAGTAAAAACAGAATTTACTGTGGTAGAAGAAGCTGCGTCAATTAATTCTTTATTTAGCCTAATTAATGTACTTGCGCCTCGATGTCAGAAGCCAATGCTGAAACACAATGAACACATGGGGGCGTCTGAAGCCATGAGACGCGGAGACTCTTGACACGCTCCAGACACTCTGAGGTAATTAATAATATACACTAATACTGAAACAGTTAAGGCATTTTAGAATGACTAAAACAATATTTAAGACATGTTACAGTGTGCTCAGCCTGCTGGTTTGTCCATTTACACACATTTTCATTATCATATGATCATGATCTTTTTTTTAATGTACATACTGTAATTTGTTCAGTAAAAGTGTTTCCATCGTAGTTTATGCACACATTTTCTATCGAATAAAAGTTTATCCTACTCAGTTATGCATGTTTTTATGCATATTTTAAAAAGTTATGTGCATCATGACATTTCTATCAATCGTTTTTATGCACATATCCAAAATGAGCATTAAAATAGGTGGGTGGAAACGTAAGACTAAGGCGAGAAATACCGCTTCATCTTTAAAAAAGGGGAGGAGACCGACAGAAACTCAGAGTTTAGAGAATAAAACCTGTATCTGACCAGGTTAGATTAACAGAGTAAGTTACCACAGTAACTGACTCTGAGTTAAAGTTAACTCTCTTTCAGAAACAGGTTTGACTTACCCTGCTTTCTCCAGTTTAACAAACCTGCCATTTTGAAATGGAAAACCCAGAGTTTCTCTCATTTCAGGGTTAAAATACTCTGAGTTTTCAGTTAACCTCCTTTCTGAAACAGGCCCCAGGTCTTCTCCTTTTTGAGCAACATAAATTTCTCATATTTATCAGAAAAAAAAATGTATAACTGAAGGACAACCTGTATACCCATTATACCATTATTACACATTTATAGTAATTGTTTGTTGGCAATACACAAAGACAATCCCTTTCAAGTATGCCTCATGCTGCCATATCTGTAAATACATTGAACGTTTTAGTAATTTTAAGAAATCAATTATTTTTTGTTCTGCATTATAGTGTAAAAACACGATTTATGGAAATGAATAAAAATGGAGCTTTTTAGTGGTTTTTAGAAATCCTGTTTTAACAAAGAGCATTGAAGCGTTCAATTACAAAAAATAGCGGTTATTATTATTTTTTTTTTACAAATAAGCTTTTCCTAAACAAAATGAAAAATAGTTTTATGAATACTACTAACATAACTTTCAATCATGCCACATTTGCCCAAGGAAAAGCTGAAAAATATGCTTAGAATTATAAACACATTTGATTAATAACAATAAACAAACATTATAACACACCAATGCCAAAAGATAACTAAGATACATTCAAATATTTAACAAAAACCCATAAAATTGTATGGCAATTGTACATCAATTATACATGCATGCTGCATAAATACACACAAAAAATATGCATATAAATATTTGCTTCAAATATTTGCTGCTTATTTAAACTTATTTAAAATGAGCTAAAACAACTCAGTTCTTGAGATTTTTTTGAGACCACCTAATTGCTTTACGTTCAATCCACTTTAATTTTTTAAATTAACTTAATTTGTGTTGAGCTAACATGAATGATCTGTGTGGAATCCTGCCTTTTTTAAAGTATCTAATTTCATTGATAAAACAAATTATGCATTCCCAATAACTAATTAACAAAAATTCTGTTTAAATGACATTTATCATATGTTTTATTGGACATTACTTAATATTGACTTATTCACTTATATAATACAATAAAATAAAACTCACTGACTGATTAAAGCTAAAAAAAAAAAAATGAAAGAACATTAAAAATATACCACAAAAATAAAATAAAAAATTGTATGTCAATTATACATTCAAGTTATTTAAACAACATTATTTAGGCTACTTGTTCAAACAACTTATTTAAAATCTGCTGAAACAACAATTCTTCAGTTTTTATGGGGGGACAACTTAATTGTTTTACATTTAATTCAATTAAATTTGTTAAATTAACATCGATTTGTGTTGAAACAAGAAGAATAAACCATGTGGAACCCTTCATTTGTACAGTATCCAATTAATATATATATATATATATATATATATATATATATATATATATATATATATATATATATATATATATCCATTAACTAATTAACAAATAATCTATTCAAATTACATTAATCGTGTTTTATTGGACATGATTTAATCTCGAAAATTGACTCATTCCCTTACACAATACAATGGAATAAAATTCAATGACTGATTGATTAAAGCAGCTATGGTAAAGCATTATCGAAAAACCAACAAATCTGAAGTAGTGGCTCATCTGCAAGTGCGCCAGACACTTTATGGCAGACACTTTCTAGAACCAAGTGACCTACATAAACATCACTGCTCGAATACGGCATGCTCTCTACATAGTCAGCTCACTAGGTTTTAGGACACAGCCACTGACAGCTGGTGATCTCTGCAGGCCCCAAATAATGCACCTGCAAACAAAACAACATTTTAAAGGCTCCACGAGAGCATAGACAGACCTTGTAGAGGGCCCTGATGTTCTCCTCCCCGAAGACATTGCTGAGGGTCTGGTAGAAGCCGCTGGCCGCCCTCCTGAAGCTGTTCTGGGTGCTCGAGTCTTTCCTGCTCCGCGCTGCCCCAGTAAGGAGGACGAGCGCCAAAAACAGGCTCAAAACCACCGCTAATTTAGCTCCTTTCATCCTCAGAGAAGAACTGGCAACCGGCAATGTGCAGTGGAGGAAATGCTGGATGGCGGGTCTGATGTAGCTGATAAAAAAAACTGAATATAGCGGTGTGATATGCCGGAAGATGATGCTGCAGAGAGATGGAGGAGGAAGCCGAGCACGACTAAAGAGCGGAAGCTGTATGCGGCGGCTGACTAAAAATAGATTTTTAAAATAAAAGTCATATATATATATATATTTTTTTTAAATTGTTAAAATTAGTATTTAATTTTTAAATAAAAAAACATACTTTTTAAAAAAATCTAATAATTAGATATCAAATACAGTAATTTAAAAAATTGAAACAAGCAAAGGTTAGAAATAAAAAGGAAGTTTGAAATAGGAAGAGTAGTATATAGTATATATATAACACTAAATAAATGAATGGACTGGTAAAATGAATAATAAAAAATTTAAAAAATAAAATATTTCTTATAGTGTATTTAATTGTTATAATATCCATTATGCATACAGGACTTATTTTAAAAACATTTAAAACATAACGAATCACAACATTTGAACAAAAGTGTATATACATTTTTTGTTATTATAAAAACAAAATAAGACCCAATAATAAATGTATTAAATACAAACACTTTAAAATGTTAGGCTCGTGTATTAAGTGACTTCAATAACATCAAAATAGTTATTCAGAGGCATGTTTTATGAAAAAAATTATATATATCCAACGTCTTTATATAAAGTTCACAAAAAACTCTTTGGGCACCCGGCGCAATAAGGCACAAGATGTGTTTGGAGTGATTTGTTTCTTTTTTTCGACTAGCAAAACAGTAATTTTCACGTTTTATGCCACGTTGTTTAAATAGCCAATCCATTTGCGCCACTTTGTAGACTGATAGGCATGCTGGTCTATAAAGGAGATGTTAAGACACATTGTTTGTGCATTGTTATTTTAAGGAACTGAAATAGACCATGCAATTGACCAGCTAAAAACTGATCTAAAGTCCTCCGCAGAGCAGTTAGTTATGTGCCTATATGGTCCAAACGCTTACACATGCTTAATACACACAGGATGTACAGCAATACACAAATGTCTTTGCATATGAAAATAATTAAAGGATTAAAATCTTACAAAAATTATTATTGTCTACATAAATATAAATAATAATAATATTCATAATATTCAATTTCACTATACGAAAGTATATATGACAAATAAAGGCCTGATTTGATTTGACATATATGCATCAGCATATGGGGCATAAGAAAAGGACGTGTGTTTGTATATAAACTAAGTTTTTTGACCTCACTTTGTTATTATTGTTCATTTATTTATTTTCTGGAAATTAGAACTGAATTTAAAAATAGTTTTAAAACAAGTCTTGTGCTTAACAAACAAAATTAAATATGTAGGCTAATGGATGTCTTCAGTTGAGTGCGTACAACACAGTTTCCTTATCCACAAAAGTAAAAAGAAATTAACGAGGCCGAATGGAGTAAGCTCAATATTTATAAATGCACTGCAGATTGTCTGTTTAACTGTTTTCTTTTTCAGTTTTTGCCTGCCTAGTTAACCTAATTAACCTAGTTAAGCCTTTAAATGTCACTTTAAAAAAAGTCTGCCATGTAAATAGCAAATGCGCCATGTGCAATTGACTCTTACTGGGAGATGAGACTTGGTTTAATGCACATTACGCTCAAAACACACCCATAACTCATTAAGAGAATAAGCACAACCCTGTTATACCAGACAGAGCCGCAGACCCGGTATTTTCCAGTTCTTAAAATAGCAAAAGTGGACTTTTACATGCCCTTTATACTTTTGCACCATGCGCTTTAGACTTTGTGCCTAGATCATTAAAATAGAGCCCTTTAAGTGAAGTCATTATTTAACCTAATGCGTGATGTTGTTCAATGGAAGTCATATCAGGTTTGACATAAAAATGAGTAAATGACAGTTTTTAAACTTTCTGAAAACAATCGCTTTATTTACAAAGGATCTTTTTGTATTATAGAACAGCACTAAGGTGTTTGTGTCTTTAGTTGGGTTTGAAGTATTTCAGTATGTTGTTACACTGGCTGCCTTTAGTCGAGGTCTTCCTGTCTCTGCTATTGGAGGATTTATGTGAGTGTTTTGAAGGGATTTTGAGGACCGGCCTCTGCTGTCTCCACTCGGTCAGTAATTCCCTTTGCACATCAGCAGGAAGTTGTGAAAACACATAAGGGTCCACATTTGCAGGAACTTCTGGCTGAATGGCCTGAGTGGAGTGTGGGATATCGTCACTTTCTGTGACCATGACAAGTTCAGAACTGAACTCCGGGATCGACTGAGGAGATGAAAAGTTCTGGCTGAGTTCATGGGGATTAGAAGCAGAATTTGTGCAGACATTTACTGCAGACTCACAAGGTTTTGGTGTTTTTGGTTGGCGAGAGGCAAACGTGGGTTGATGTTCTGGGTCAACATCTTCTGTGTCAGCGGGTCTGTAAACGGAGTCTCCCTTTTTAAAACTGGACATCAGCTCCATCTGAATGTGTTCAGGAAGGAGTTTGAATACATCCGCATCAACATTAGGAGGCAGCTTGAAATGCAATGTTTTTTTGGGAGCGCTGCTCAAACAAGGCGGTCTGATGTTTATGTTTGCATGTTGTGAGTGCTCTGAAACAGGCTGTCTGGGAGATAGGGAAGATTTGGGGTTGACTGAGGTCGACTGTGTTTGGGTTGGAGATATTGATGTGTTTTTTACTGGTTTCCACGCTTTATCATTTTTATGCAAAACATCTGCTTGAGTGAAATGGGAAGTTGCAACAGATTCACAGAGATCAGAGTCCACCTGGTGACAAGAAGAAAAAGAACAAGTTAACGACTGCCGTTTACGTTATTGCTGAATTGATTAGCATATAAAAACCTAAATAGTTTATCATATGTTATCTAAATAGAAGTCATCCATAACTGTAGAAAAAAATCTATAATAAAATAAATTAACATAATACATAAGATTTTCATTCATTCATTTTCTTTTCGGCTTAGTCCCTTTATTAATCTGGAGTCACCACAGCAGAACGAACCACCAACTTATCCAGCATATGTTTTACACAGTGGATGCCCTTCCAGCTGAAACCCATCACTGGGAAACATCCATCCACACTCATACACGATGGACAATTTACCTTTACGCTAAAATTGTCCGTAGTGTATAAGTGTGAATAAGTATGTATGTATGTTTCCCAATGATGGATTGCGGCTGGAAGGGCATCCACTGTGTAAAAACATGCTGAATAAGTTGGCGGTTCATGCCACTGTGGCGACCCTGGATTAATAAAGGGACTAAGCCGAAAAAAGAAAATGAATAAATAAATGTATCACTGTTTACTGTATTTTCATTAAATTTCTTTAAATATGAACACAATAAAAGGTGAACTGTCCGACTTCCTATTCCTCTTAATTAGGGATACATCCTCAAGTTCTATCCTTAATAAACAGTATCATGTAAAGAAATAAAGTTAAAAAGAGATGACTTTTTAGAAACCAAACACATACCATTTCAGCAGTAAAATAGAGTCAGAAAGATTTTTTTTTTCATATTTAAATTGTTTTATTAATATTAATAGTGGATGGAGAAAAGCACACATACTGACCTGCTGAGATGGGATTTGTGTTGTTGAAGGAGATTTGTGTGTAAAAAAAGAAGCGATGGAGCTTTTGCTGGAGCTTTTAGCCTGCAGGTTGCTAAAACACACATTGAGCAGAGTCAGATGAAAAGGCTGATGTGGGTCCACCATTTTATGAAAGAGCTTCATCGACAGTGACAGTAACTGGGGCACAGCCTCGCTGCTTCCTAAAATACCAAAAGAAGAGGTGAATATGAAGACAAACAATCCAGCACAACAAAAAAATCTGCTAATGTTACAATAATCCCACTGCAGGTTATTATATTATATTATATTATATTATATTATATTATATTATATTATATTATATTATATTATATTATATTATATTATATTATATTATATATGCATGTGACTTGTGAAATGATTAGGTATTTAAAGGCATTTTACAATTAAAGCATGCAAACAAAACTACAGCTACATGATCTCTATTCGTAATTTGATTTAGAAATTTAGAAATTTAAAATCAGGATATGCTTTGGTTTATAATAACTTCAATGATCTCAGTAATGCATTTTTATTTACAGAAATCTGTGTATGTGCCTATTAAGAGCAGTCTTCACTTATGGCTGTAAAAACACTTCAGTCTTATTCTTATCAATAATGGCTGCAAAATATATCGTTTCAGCATCAATACCACATTGTGTGCATCCACAGTAGTCACATCGCAGGATATGCTATGTTGAGTTATAGTTGATAAGCTCCACAGTTTAGAGTTTAACCATAACAGTGAATATTTTATGCACTATTCACTCATCTACAAAATCATTACAATAAATCTAAAATAGTACTTTATTTCCTATTAAAGCTATTTAAGTCATCTGGTGCAATAGCATTAATATTGAGATATAAAGCTGAAGTCAGAATTATTAACCCCCTTTTAAATATTTACCAAATGATGCTTAACAGAGCAAGGGAATTTTCACAGTATGTCTGATAATATTTTTTCTTCTGGGGAAAGTCTCATTTGTTTTATTTCAGCGAGAATAAAAGCAGTTTTAAATTCTTAAAAATACATTTTAGGACAAAATTATTAGCCCCTTTAAGCTATTTTTTTTCCGATAGTCTACAGAACAAACCATTGATATACAATAATTTGCCTAATTATTCAGACAACACAGAGGCTCAGTGGTTATCATCACAGCAAGAAGGTCGCTGGTTCGAGTCCCGCCTGGGGTCAGTTGACATTTCTGTGAGGAGTTTGCATGTTCTCCCCTTGTTCACGTGGGTTTCTTCCGGGTGCTCCGGTTTCCCTCACAGACCTAATACATGCGCTATAGGTGAATTGAATAAACTAAATTGGCCGTAGTGTGTGTGTGTGTATGTGTGTGTGTGTGTGTGTGTGTGTGTGTGTGTGTGTGTGTGCGATTGAGTGTGTATGGATGTTTCCCACTACTGGATTGTAGTTGGTGGTTCCTTCTGCTGTGGTGACCCCTGATGAGTAAAGGGACTAAGCTGAAAAGAATATGAATGAATGAGTGAATAATATATACGATAAACTAAAACAGTTTTTTGAGGTTTACTTTTTATAAAAATTGCGCTATTCTGAAAGGATTCACATTTAAAAATGTTTCATTTAAAGTCTCTCTAGATGAAAATTGCAAATGTGCTACAAACAATGAAATAATGATGGTATGTACTGGGATAATAGTTTATATTTCTGATATAAACACTTATGTAAACAGTAAAGACAAAATCACAGTTTGAAAGCAACTTAACACTTCAACCGAAGCATCAAGCTACCATTAAAAAAATCTAATAATTCAAGACATTCTTTAAAAATGCTGATTCATTTAGTAAGAAAGCATTTTTATAGTCTTTATGACTGAGCTACTGAATTAATTCAAAATGAGATTTTACAAAGTGACGCACACATTTTTAAAAATAATAAAAAATAAAATAGTCTGAACCTGATTTGTTTTGTTAAGTTGTCTATTGAAGTAGATTTTTATTTTATAAAGCTATGTAATGACACATTTAATAGGGTGAGTGGAGGACCATATGAATTTGCCATTATATGTCTTTGAAAACAGCTAATATGTTAAGGCAAGAGGTCATAAAAGAGCATGAGAGAGGACTTGAGGATAGAATGAGAACCATCTATGTAAACAAAGCCAGAAAAGCATGAAATTTATACAACACATGTTGTAACTGTCATGTATGTTTGAAAAAAAAAAACACACTGTATGGGAGAAAGGGTTCAGTTTAGATGTTTGAAAACAATGCAAATTTCAACTCTATGTGGTAAAACAGTTATGAATACTTTAGATCTGTACATTATAAGGGCCAAAAAGAAGAGGGGGCTTTAAATTTGGGTCATAAAGGAGTAGGAGCTGGGAAAGGCCTTTTAAACCAGGAACCAGCTGTGAACACACAAAGGAGGGACATCAGATTGTCCTGAAGAGAGACTAGATATGGGTCTGCTTATGGACGTCACTGCGTTTTAGGAAAATATTACAATAAAGTCTTTTCTTCTGACATTCATAACATCCAGTTGGAGTTGATTCATTAAAGGAACAGCCGGAAACCACGACACTATTCAGAACCGTGATTTCCATTTTACAAACAAAATCATGATTCTCCCCAGCAAGCATTTTTTGTTTTTAAAAGCTGTCTAATAGATGTCTAATAGATGTCTAAACATAGTCGTCTTGGCTAAACAAGACTAAATTTGGGCTGTCAGTGAAACTCTAATAGACGTCTAAGAATAGCCCAAACTAGACTCCTCAAATAAACAGAAATGAATGACTACACATAAAAAATTGTTTGCTGGGTTAGTTTGTCCTGAATGGAGAAGCTCTAAACAGAACAGTACCTCCTGTGATCTTGAGCCCGGTGTGGTTGGGAATGGGACACTGACGACTCTCTCGATTAAACCAGCGATTGGTGACAGTGTATTTGCGAATCGTTAGTCTCAGTGTGTGTGGCTGCCTGCCATCTTTGTGCATCCTGGAGTAAATTCAAAAAACAGAACCAAACTATAAACAATGGCAAACAAACACCAATCAGTTTTGTTTTGGAAATTGTAAAATAAATGCATTCACCTCTCAGTAAGGTTGATGAGCAGTTCTTCAATTTTCTTTAGAACTTCCTCTAGAGTGGACATTTTCTTGAATGAGTCCTCATCGCTGAGGGACTAAATCACACACACACACACAAAATTCTACTTGGTTAAACATTAATAATACCAATAAGGATCATTTATATCAGTATTTAAAGTTATTGCAGATTATTTTTCTTTCTGAGACTTTAAAAAACCTCAATATATCGCCAAGAGCCCCATGTATTGATATAGCTTTGCCTGTATGTTTTTCCTGATCATTTAAAGTAACAGTGATTTACAGAGGATGTCTTATGTATTATAGTATATGAATATATTTACACAAAATGTATATACAGCATTAGACTAACAACAAATGTTATTATTTACATATTGTTTTTTTTTTTGTTGTGGACGACACGATGGCTCAGAAGGTCGCTGGTTCCCATCTAGGTCAGTTGGCAGAGTTTGCATGTTCTCCTGTGTTTGTGTGGGTTTCTTCCGTAAAAGATGAATTTAATAAACTAAAATGGCCGTAGTGTATGTTTGTGCATGTAAAAGAGTATGGGCGTTTCAGTTTTACTGGGTTGCAGCTGGAAGGGCATCTGTTGTGTAAAACATATGCTGAAATAGTTGGCGGTTCATTCCGCAGTGGCGACCCCTGATAAATAAGGGACTAAGCTGAAGAAAAATGAATGAATGAACGTTTTTTGTTGCTTTAATTACAAGTAGATACAATACTTTTTTGCTCTTACATTAAAAACCAAAGATCAAAACTTCTGCTAAATGAGTAAATGCATATTGTTGTAAACCCATCCTAAAACATATCCAATATTAAATCTGTCCCGTTAAGACTGCTTCATTTTTACCTGAATAATCATAAATGTGCAGAATACCTGAGGAGGACCCGCTGGAGTCACTGGAGAATCATCAATCCCACAGGCGAGGTTTTGGATCCTCTTAGCGTTCATCTCTCCAAACTCTTTCACCAGATCGGACAAAGGGTACAACTGTAGATCTCTCACATTAACCAAACCCAGAGCCTTCAGCTTCTCACGTGTCTTGTAACCAATCCCTGTAATAATCCATAATAATGCATTTATTTGTATTGCACTTTTTATTAAAGCTCTACAGTAAAACTAAACACATTATAAAAAAATAAAAAAATATGAGAACAATTACAAACAAACTTAAGGCATAGTTTACCCAAAATATTTAATTATGCCTTTACTCATCCTCCACTTGTTCTAAACTGCTTTGAGTTTCTTTCTTCAGTTGAACCCAATCAAAGCTATACTGACAAATGCTAGAATAAAACAGCCATTGACTTTCATAGTATATTTTTTATACTATGAATGTCAATTCCAACATTCTTCAGAACATCTTGTTTTGCGTTTAAAAGGAGATAGAAATTTCATTACAGTTTTTAACCACTTTAGAACTACCAGAAATTTGAACCTTCACTTCAAATAAATGCATCCTAATTAACTTTTTAAAATGATCAAAAGTTGAAGCACTTCTGGTGTTAAATGGAAATGCATTCCAGAATTTTCAGGCTTGAAGTAAAAATACAATCTTTCTCCCATAAGTTTACATGGAGACAGAGTGAATGAGAAGGACTATAAAAGAGCAAAGACACTCAGGTGAAGCTCTATGTAGTGCTTTATGTATTATTATTATTAATCATTTTTATTTAAATGCACTTCAAACTAAGGAAAATCCTAAAGTGCTAAAAAAAAAAAAAAACTTGAAAAAAAGCAAAACAATTGGATCATTGTATGAAGCTAATTGGGTGATTGTTGAAAATAATCTGTAGTAATATGTATGGGACGAAGACAGTTTTTATTTTTTAATTAATGGAATTGTCGTGGGTCTTGCTATTATGTAATTGTTGTATGATTGTATTTGTCACCAGTGTTAAAGACAAATTTACTTTCTGTGTCAAGCAGAACAGACAATAAAGTTTATTCCATCAAACAAACAAACAAACAAACAAACAAACAAACAAACAAACAAGTTAAAATCAGCTACCAACTGAGCAGAATGGGCAAAGTTTAATCAAACAAACAAAAAAAAGTTAAAGCGAAGTTAAAATCAGCTACCAACTGATTTACTCAAATACTTAAATAAATTTAGACATTAAAAAACGTCTGTCGAGGGTATGTTTTTAGACCCCATTTAAAACCAGCAGATGTTTATTGAGCCCTCAGATGTTTAGGAGGAGCACTCCAAATTATGTATAAAAATGAATTCATTAGTCCCTTATTTATCAGGGGTCGCCACAGCGAAATGAACCGCCAACTATTCCAGCATATGTTTTACATGGCTGATGCTGATTCAGCCGCAACCAAGTGCTGGGAAACACACATACACTCTTGCATTTACACACATACAAGCCAATTTAGTTTATTCAATTCACCGATAGCACATGTCTTTGGACGGTGATGGAAACCGAAGCACCCAAAGGAAGCCCACGCCAACACAGGGAGAACAAGCAAACTCCACACAGAAATGCCAACTGGCCCCAGCCAGGACTCAAACCAGGGACCTTAGTGCTGTGAGGCGACAGTGGTAACCACTGAGCCATGTCTTAAAATAAGAACTTTAAAATCAATTCTAGCATTGATAGGTAGCCACTGAATGGGTGAGTTTCTGTGTGATGTTACCTGGCACTTTGATGAGTCCTGTAAGGCTGCTCATGAGTTCAGCGGTGCTGTGAGGCAGGAGGGTGGTCTGCTGGTTGGGTTTAAAGCTGCCTGACACCAGCTTGGCTAATAGTTTGTTGCTAGCGACACCAGCACAGCCAGTTAGCCCCAGTGTGCTGAAGATGGCTTGCCTCATCTCAGCGGCAATCACAGAGCCGACAGCCAAACGAATGTTCTCCTCATCAACCACAACACCTGAAGATCAGCAAGATGATTTAGTATGACAAGAAATTATAGTAGTTCATTATAAACTATACAAGGAAAAGCGTAAGTTCAACTCTTCTAGATAATTTATTGCATTTATAAAATCTGAATCAGCAAACTACGAAATACTAGGCTAGATCTGTCACTAATGTTTGATGAAAAGGAGTTTAACATTTTTTATATTAAGCAGTGCTCCAACAACTCACTTTCATGATTGTATACGTGTCCATTGAAGGAGAGATCTGAAATACGGGTCTCCTTTATTCGTTTCTCCACCATTTCTGTAACGTCCATGAAGTTCTCATCAAAGCCCAGCCGCTCCACTAGAGGGCAGTACGACATCAGCAATTCTTGGGCAAACAAAGTCATTGTCAGTTTTTTAAGGCATTGTTGTATGCCTTAAAAGTATAGTTCACCCTAAAATGTACTTTATTAAGGCGTTCCAACCCTTCATGAGTATCTTTCTTATGTTAAAAACAATAGAAGATATTTTGAAAAAATCACTAGAGGAAAAACAAATTCAATGGAAGTGAATGGTTTCCAGATTTCTTTAAAATATCTTCTTCTGCAGTCAACAGAAAAAAGGCTATGTTTAGAACAAGTAAGGGTGAGTAAATGATGGCAATTTAATTTTTTGGGTGAACTATGCCTTTAATACACAGATTTAATATGTGTACTTAAAAATACCTAACTTAGTGTTACACAAAGATACTAGCAGGGTTCATACACATTTTTTACTACAAAAATTCTATGACAATGTTTTTTGTAATGTCTACATATACATAGTAAATAATAAGACAAACAATATTCAAATTTTTCACAGCAAATTATAGAACACGCAACAATCTATTTTGTTTAAATTTCTTTTTATATCCATGTAAAATTGATTTTGATAATGCTTACACAGCACTAACAATGTGAGAGCATATTTTTGGCCAAGTTAGGGCTGCATGATATACCGTTTCAGCATCGATATTGCAATGTATGCATCCACAATAGTCACACCGCAGGATATGCAATGTTGGGATTATAGTTTAATATAGTTAAATTGTAATGGAGTAAAAGTTTATCATCTGCTTGCATTTTTAAAGAAAAAGTTCACCCAAAAATTACTTTCCATTTTTGAGTTTTTTTCACAATTATTTCACAAAAAGAATATAATTGAATAACTCCTATAGTATTGGAATAAGTGAAGTGTGAGTAAATAGTGAGTAAATTTTAATTTTTGAGTAAACGGTCCCTTTAAGGCCTGTGACTGTGTGAACATTTCAATATTTCAAATTTTAAAACAACCGGCCACAAGAAAATTTTTGTAACTTTAATAAACATTAAATAATATATAATGAAGACTATGCCATGTTGATTATTCCATATCTGTTCCTGAATAGTGAATACCTGAAAACTATAAACCACTTTTATCTTTACTATATTTTATTTATCTATGCATGTAATTTATTTGTTATTTATTTTACAAGAATCACTCCTCTACATAATATGATCTACTTATAATAAGTTTACTTATAATCTAATGAGAATAAGTTGGCAGGCATGTAGATGCAATGTAACTTAAATTCAACAAACGGACCATTAAAATAAAGTGTGACCAAATAACCCAATATGTTTAAAGAAATTTAAGAAATGTGCTAATGTAACATATTTGTTTTTTATGAAAAACAATGCTAAAGTAATTTATTATTTTGCGAAAATATTCTTTGTGTGTCAGAATGTTTGTCTTTGTTTTAATCAGAGTAACAATGTCCACTGCCAGTTCATCCAATTATATTCAGGCACCCCACACTGTAAAAAAGTCTGGGTTACACACAATTGATTTGAAAAAATTATCTACCTTCTTCTGCATTTGATTGATATGATATATATAAAAAACTGTTGTTGTACTCAATGACATTTTAGTAGATTTTAATGTACGTTCATTTAAAAATGTATTGGAAAAAGGGACACTTTTTAATCTTTTTACTTTGAAAATGAAGTTGTATTATTAAACTTGTTTTGATGTTTAAAAAACCCTTTTTGTGTTTGACCCACTTGCACTTTATGGACACATATGCATAGCAGTACACATTAAACATATGATGTTCTCACCAGTGACTTTGTAGGACATTTCTCTGTAATGAGTGAGATCTTCTCCTTTTACAAGCACCAGCTGTGGACATTTCTCCACTGCATCTGTCACTGACATCAGCTTGTTCACGCCAAGCTCTCTTGCCACATAATTACTGGTTACAATAATATATTTCTGCTGTATCCCTAAAGAAAAGTAAAGACATGACATTACAAAAGACAAGAATTACAAAAGTATTTTATTTGAATTAAATGGCAGAAAACACAAAAACGTGCTCATAAGTTTTGCAAAAGAATATAAAACTAAATGTAAACAGTCAAATAATAAAGATTTTATACTGTGTAAAAAAAAATTTGTATTACAGTTGAACTCAGAACTATTAACTCCTCAGATTTATTAGTTCTCTGTTTCTTTTTTCCCCAATTTCTGTTTAACGGAGAGAAGATTTTTTCAACACATTTATAATAATAATAGATTTAATAACTCATTTCTAATAAGTGACTTATTTTATCTTTGCTTTGATGACAGTAAATAATGCTTTTCTTTATATTTTACACTTCTATACAGCTTAAAGTGACATTTAAAGGCTTAACTAGGTTAATTAGGTGAACTAACCAGGCAAATTATTGTATATATTGATGCTTTGTTTTGTAGACAATCGAAAATAAAATTAGCTTAAAGGGGCAAATAATATTGACCTTAAAATAACTTTTAAAAATTTAAAAACTGCTTTTATTCTAGCCAAAATAAAACAAGACTTTCCCCAGAAAAAAAAACATATTATCAGATACTGTGAAAATGTTCTTGCTCTGTTAAACATCATTTGGGAAATATTTAAAACAAAGAAAAAAAATTTTAAAGGGGAGCTAATAATTCTGACTTCAACTGTATTTGGTGGTTTACCAAGAGGTTTGGTCCGGAGAGCTGGATTTCGGATCATCTCAACTTGTGCATAAAAACAGTCCAGGTCAAAATGCAGGATCACTCTCTGGGATGTCAATGAAACTCTATCAGTGGAACTTCCTTCTGAAATAATAAGTCAAGACACACATAAAACAGATACTGTATTCGTTAGTTTTCTTTTCGGCTTAGTTCCTTTATTAATCAGGGTAAGTTAAACAGATAACTTATCCAGCACATTTTTACGCAGCGGATGCCCGTCCAGCCACAACCCAACACTGGGAAACACCCATACACTTTTCCATCCATACACTATGTGTGAATTAAGCTTTAATCCCACACGGAATCAGCGCATGCAGAATTCCACAAAATTTTAGCCCATCGTTGATTCGGTTTATTTACTTGTGTAAATGTGTGTAAATTTATATTTATTTCAGTTTTTTAATTAATTTCAGTAATATTATTGACTAACATAAAAAAAATGTTTATATGATTTATTTACTATACAGTGTGTAAAGTAATAATTTCTGTCTTTTAGTAGATATATTATATGACATACTTGCTTTGTTTACCAAATAAAGAGGATCTAATTGGATTTGCATTTTAAACATTAAATAAAAGTTTAAACGGTATTGTTTTTTTATTACATATATTAGGGTTTTAGTTATGATACTCCCTAAATAATTCCGCAGATTTTTAACAATTCTGCGCAGAAATAGCAAACAATGTCTGCAGATTCCGTCTGGCACTACCTATAATAACGCATGTCTTTGGACTGTGGGGGGAATCAGAGCACCAAGAGGAAACCCACGCGAACAGGGGGAGGACATACAAACTCCACACAGAAATGCCAACTGACCCAGCCGAGGCAGTCACCTAAACCAAACCTTAATACAGTCTATATTTCAAAACTGCCATGACACATTATGCCAAAGAAACTAACACTTTATTCTAAAGACACATGAATACTTTGAGTAAATGTTGTCTACAAAAACATATTTATGGTGAAGTTCAGGGTTGTCCAGATAGAAACCCACCAGTCTCCAAAATGTCTGACTCTAAACTGCGTTCCCAGTCATTATTGTCTTCCTCTTCGTCCGAGTCCATCTTTACAACAACGAAATGAACAGTTGTGAATGACAATACCAAACTAAATAAAACATTACTGTAAATCAACAACAGCAAAACATGTCGACACACCAATCAAAACATAACCAGCATGCATGTGCAGCATTTGCTGACATTTACTGCCACCTGCAGGTCTGGAGTAAAATGCAGGAAAAAAAGATTGACATTTATTCATTTTTTCTGTGCAGTTGTTTAAATTGATTGTGATCCATTTTATTTAAAGTTATACAGAAGTAAAAAAAAATATATATATTTTTTTTAAAAACCTAGCATGATTAATTCTATAAAATGGAAGAACGCATTTCATTATTACACAATATTATCATTAATACACAAACCACAAACGCAATAATGTTATGTTAGATAAAAAAATTAAATATATTATACAAAATATAAAGCGAAATTTGTTGTATGATAATGGTGTTAATCCAATAGCATTAGATTACCTTTTTTATTTAATTAACTTATTTTGTTTATTCAAATTGAATGCTTAAAATAAACACAGAATATATCTAAAACCATTTAATATATCTATTAGCTAATATAAAAATAATACTGACAAAACATGCTAGTATTAAAAGGTGTTACTATTATATCATGGAGGCTTTTATTTTTCATGGTCGTGCGGCTGTCTTTTGTCGCTGCCTTCACAAATGAAGTCGTGACTCTGCTTAAGGAAGTTAATTTTGTGTTAAAACCAACTATATTCTACTGGATTAAACTCTCATACAGGTTTGGGGAAAATAAAGCACATGTTAGAAACAGCAGGACTTCTACGTCCTCTTTGTTCGACGCTGTGAGATAGAAGCAAACAGCGGCACTTCCTAAGCAGTCCGACTCTCTCATTGTGCGTCACGGCGCTGAAAAGCAGCTCCGCGGTGACTCCGGTGTTTTGTGCGGGTTTGAAGCATGTCTTTTCGGAGGGCGCTAAGTCTCGCATGCGGGTTCGCTGGCGGATCCGCGGTACTCGTGTGTGCGGCGGTGGTGGCTGATAAAAATGGGTATTTTGGAGAGGGACGCCGAGTCACAGAAACTCTGGCAGCCGTAAACGCAGCGCATCCTCCGGCATGGCCCACTGCGAACGGGTGGGATTATAACTGGGACAAGTAAGCAATCAAGAGTCACTTCTGATTAATTATTATTGAATATAAGTAATATTTAAGTTATATGGAGGAATACTATATGGTGCAAGTTCAGTATAACAGTAAAGCCATGTTAAAAACCCATAGCAGGTGTTGGTTAGTGTTTATGGGGCAACCTAATTAGGTTAAACGCCTTAATTAGTGGTGATAATTAATAGATCACCCAGTTTAAGCTTGAACCTGTAAGCTTTGACATCGATCCAGGTATTTAACCACTAAGCACCGTATTTGGCAGTGATTTAAATCGTTTCAGTGATCCTACTGATTCACAATGGTAGCCTGTTAGAGCATAATACATAATATATAATTATTTTTGCGTTTAACAATGAAATGTATGGGCTAAATCGACCTGAAAACATCACCATCATAGGCAATTTGTGATATATTTTATAATTCTGTCATTATTTATTCATCATACACTTGTAACAAATCTGTTTGGGTTTCTTCTGTTGAACACAAAGTATGTTACTTTAAAAAAAAATGTTGGTAACCGTTGACTTTCATAGTATTTGTTTTTTCTACTATAGAAGCCAATGGTTACCGGTTTGTAACATTCTTCAAAATATCTTTCTTGTGTTCAACAGAAAAAAACAAACTCCTAAAGGTTTGTAACCTCTTGAGGGTACAGTGCATCCGGAGAGTATTCATAGCGCTTCACTTTTTCCATTTTTTTTTTGTTACAGCCTTATTCCAAAATGGATTAAATACATTTATTTCCTCAACATTCTACACACAATACCCCATAATGACAATGTGAAAAAATATATTTTTTTGAAATTTTTGCAAAATATTACAAATAAAAAAGCTGAAAAGTATTTACAGCCTTTGCTCAGCACTTTGTTGATGCACCTTTGGCAGCAGCTACAGTCTCAAGTCTTTTTGAATATGATGCCAAAAGCGTGACACATCTTTGGGAATATTTGTCCATTCCTCTTTGCAGTACTTCTCAAGCTCTATCAGGTTGGATGGGAAGCGATGGTGTAAAGCCATTTTCAGATCCCTCCAGCAACGTTCAATAGGATTTAGGTCTGGGCTCTGGCTGGGCCACTCAAGGACACTCACCGAGTTGTTGTGAAGACACTCCATTGATATTTTAGTGGTGTGCATTGGATCATTGTCCTGCTGGAAGATGAACTGTAGCTCCAGGCTGCATAATACTACATTTGAATGAGTTAACTTCACAGTCTTTTTAAGAGAATTATCTACATATTAAGAAAATCACTTGTATGAATCTAATTCAGGCATATCTGCTATGTTTTTATTATACAAGTTCCATCCCTTCCATTCATAAATCTCCCTAACCAGAGATCATCCATTCCATCAAGTCTTTCAGAATATTAGCTAAACAGATTTGTCACATGGTTACTATTGTTATCTGAATACTGTGATTTCAAACTCCGCTCACTCACTTTTTTCACGTTCATTGGGTTTAATTTTGTGAATGGCAAGTTTAAAAAGCCTCCTGACTCTTTCAGACGTGAACCTTCTTCTATGGTGAATGGAAAGAGAAAGGAAAGCACTGGCGAAAATGGAAGTCAAGACGCAGAGAACAACAAACCCAGAGCTACACGCCACATCTTTCTCATTCGACACTCTCAGTACAACCTCAAGGGTGATGGAGATAAAGAGAGATTCCTGACGCCTTTAGGTACTGATCCCTTTGCTTGAAAGATATAATTGACTCAAAATAAAAATTCTGTCATCATTCCATCATCAAAACATTTTTTCTCGAGTAACTATTGATTTCCAGGGTATTTTACATCTCTATACTGTTAGTCATTGGTTACAGGCTCTCAACATTCTTCAAAATATCTTCTTTTGTGTTTGAAGATATTTTGAGATACAGAATTTTAAAAAAAACACACTGGTTTTAAACAATTCAAGAGTGAGAAAATGATGACAGAATTTAATTTTTTTGGGTGAACTACCCTTCAAATATATTAAAAGGATCTTGCTGAGCCTAATATATCAGATGATACATTAATCCACAAAATTGATGGCATGCATGTGTCTGTCTTGCAGGTCGTGAACAGGCTGAATTTACAGGACAGAGATTAGCATCATTTGGACTGAAGTACGACACGCTCATTCACTCCTCCATGACCAGAGCGACAGAGACGGCCAACATCATCAGCAAATACCTGCCAGGTACAGTCTCACTATTAGCGAACATTAAAACATTAGCCAAGATGGTAGTTTCCACCGTCACCTGTGATAATTTAATCAATTAATGATTAGAGAAATAACACTAGGTGAATGGAAGAGACATATTCATAATTATGCAGACAACTATTCTTGTGACTAGCTTAATAAATTAAATATACAGAGACGTAACGTTGATTACTTTTGAAGGAAGACATTTGTTGTCAAAGTGTGTGCATTCATTACGGTAATAAAGGCTTAAGGGGAGAGCAACAAACAATTGTCACACATTGTTTTTTTCCCCCTTTATGTTATCAAAGTGATTGGACATGGATGCGATCAAGCTCTATAATTGGCCAAAAAGCCCAAAATGACTAGTCTATAAGTCTTCTAGTGAATAGGTGTGAGCGAATAAATTATTTTATCGTGATAAGAGTAAATAAATTTAAATTTATTATAATTATTTTGGTAACACTTTACAATAAGGTTCATTAGTTAATGCATTTACTAACATAAAGTAATCATGAACAACACTTGTACAGCATTTATTAATCATATTTGAACATTTACTAATGCATTATTAACATTCTAGTCCATGCTTATTAAAATTAGTTAATGCACCATGAGTTAACATGAACTAACAATGAACAACTATATTTTCATTAACTAATTTTTATTAACATGAATAAATACTGTAGTAAATGTATTGTTCAATGTTTGTTCATGTTAGTAAATGCATTACTTAACAATAACTAATGAACCTTATTGTAAAGTGTGACCATTATTTTTATATAAAACAGTTTACATCAGTGTCTGGATAGGATTTTGTATGATAGTTGCTTGTAACCTGGTTTAAGTATATACTGTAATTGACAAACATTTCATCAAAAAAGGGGGAAAAAACAGTGGCTGTTTCTCAATATGCGTTCTTCAGCGATCTAGTTCTCATGTAATGTCATCATCCGCCTAAGTTCAGTTCCAAAACTCCAGACCGAAGGGCACGTGAAACTTCGCGGATGTGTTCTTGATATCGAGAACGCACCGATGCAGACTTTGAACTCGCTCCAAGTCATTGCAACTGGAGGTGGAAAGCGCAGCAATTTATATAGATTAAACTTATTTACCTCAAAAGTGTCCCTAAACGAGACGATGAAAGTAAACATCACCATGAAAATCTTAAAAAAGGAATAAACACATTAAGGGTGTTTATTTGTTGAAATTCATATTAAAATCAGTCTATTTGTATTGTATCATATATTTGTAAAGTCTTTATGCATAGTATATATTTTGAAAAGGGGTAAAACAATAAATTGTTGTATGAATGCTATTATGTTTAAATAATTTTACATTAAAGATGCGCGAAGGTCACGTGACCATCAAGAAGATTGCAGCATCTCATTTATCACAGAAGGCATTCTCTCTTCTTGCGGTCTCCTTAGTTCGTTATTCCGATGTGACCTGGCAAGACTGGTCTTCACCAGAATACTAGCCCGTTCTCTGCATTCTTGGAATTGAGAATCAGCCACTGTGTATGATGGGAAATGTGTCATCCCATGCCTAAAAATTCTAATAGTATCTGGATGCAGACTTGGATTTGCAAGCTGAGACTGCATATTTCAGAGATGTAATGTCAGACACGATGCACTAAATGGAGCTAGTGACTTCACTGCGAGGGGTAGGGTAAGGGGTGGGGTTAGGTGTGCACATTAAAAGCATTGCATGCAGCTCAGCTTGCTACTGCACAGAGTCTGCATCAAGACTATGTGAAATTTTGTTTTTATATGTACTTTTGAGCAGAGTGTTTGTGTGTGTGTGTGTGTGTGTGTGTGTGTGTGTATATTTATGCAAAGACACCACCCATATCTACAACAAGGGCGGGGAGCTGCAGCTCATTTGCATTTAAAGTGACAAAACAAGATTTTTGCTTTTATTTAAATAGGATCAAATAAAAAAAGATCCATGAGGTATTTTGAGCTGAAACTTTGGAGAGACAAAACGTATGACAGAGTATACATTTTTACACCTTGCTTAAAATACAAAACACACCTTTTTGATTCAAGCTGTACTGTTGTTTTTTTTTATTCCAGACTGCTGTTTAATTTAGCCATGTCTGTTTCTATAACCCATGTGTGTTTTAGGTGTGGAGCTTGTGAGCTGTGATTTACTTCGAGAGGGGGCACCGATAGAGCCTGTCCCACCAGTCACTCACTGGAAACCTGAGGCAGTGGTCAGTGCAGAGTGTTACTTCCTCATTTGAAGTCGATCAGTACCCACATTTGGCTAGTTTTGATCGTCTTTGTATGTTGAGATTCTGTTGATGACGCTGGTCATAACAGAACAAACCTATGGGATCAAATTTCCGCCAGAATTATCGCAGTCACAGATTGTAAAATAATAAGCATAAATTAAAAACACCCGTAAAATTATAACGCACAAAAACTAAACATAGAATAAGAAACACCAACATAACATATGAACATATTATTAGCATGAATCAAAAATCAAAACTTTGTTTAAAATTACATTGCTGAATTCAAGGTTTTCCAAATTTAAAACAAAATCAAATTTTTGCTCATATATATATATATATATATGAGCAAAAATATATAAATATAAATAATATATATATAAAAATATAAATATATATATAACAAAAAATAAAATATATATATATATATATATATATATATATATATATATATATATATATATATATATTTTTTTTTTTTTTTTTTTTCTCTCCACTCTTTTCCACATTCTGCGCTTGAGTTTTTAAAATATGCCATTACAATTTGGTGAATTGATTTACTATTTCAAAGCGGTCGAAACAGCAAATGCTATGGACTCCTAGTGGTCAACACCTTAAATGCATCAAAACATAGACATGTTGCAAACTTTAAATTCGAAGTATAACCTATAAATGCAGTTATCTTATCATCTAATGTCATAAAATATTAAATGTTTGCATAAATTGTGTTGTTTTCATTTTCTAAGTTTATATATTGTTTAGTCCGTGGTAAGCTCTGCTAAACAGTCCAGAAGAGGCTATTATTACATTTCATTTTACAAATGTCTCATCAAAACACCTACAAACTCATAAAACTGACCTGAGATCAGTTAAAAAAATGTAAAACTAACTTTGATCTGAGAGAACCCGATGCTTTATGTGGATTTTATTGTATTACGCAGATCGCCGCCAAGTGGAGAATATATTACTAAAACATTTCAAAACAGTTTAGAAGTAATAAAATATTCGTAAATGTTTTTAAGCTTGTTATAATCCAATGCGTGTTATAATATAAAAGGTTCTTTTCATTTTTTTGATTTACACTTTCTCCATCTGTGACCGCGATACTTTCGGCAGAAATTTGACCCAATGCACACCGCTAAGGTTATTGTTAGCATACAAAACCCAAACATCAAACACTCCTGCTTGTTTAATAGTTATTTTGTTGTTTGATGGAGAATGTTAAGTGTGGTTTTGTCGAGGCTTGCGCTGTGGAGTCCTTCCTCTCCTCATGTGGATGGTTGTGAAACTCTTGTGCTGGTTTCAGCAGTACCATGAGGACGGCGCTCGGATCGAGGCTGCGTTTCGCCGCTACATCCACCGAGCTGACGCCAAGCAGAAGGAGGACAGCTACGAGATTATCGTCTGTCATGCTAATGTCATCCGCTATTTTGTGTGCAGGTTTGTGGTCGCTTGCTCCTCAGTCCTGTCTCTTTATATTTCATTTTTTGTGCTTTATTAAGATTTTAAAACATTTGTAAGCAGTCAATGAAAAGTAATTGTAATCGTAAGTATGCTAAGATCACTCTGTTTTGTTGTGTGTGTGGTTGCAAATGTTTTGTGGAAGCTCTTCTGCCACTAAAGAAAAAATAATTAAGTCAAACATAAATCTGACGTAAAAAAGGTCTAATTATGACATTATTTAAGCTGAAACTATGGGTTCTAGGTCATAATTATGGTAAACATTTAAAAATAGTTTTTCAAAAACATGTCATAATTCTGACTTTATCTCATATGTATGAGTTAAGTCTCATAATTATGCACCATCGAATGATATTTTTCTTATGTGTTGGAAATGGCTTCCATTTTGAATACGTGGAATTCATGAAAAACTATTTGCAACCTTTGATTTGATCAGTGGTGCTTGCTGAGTAAAAAATGGCAATCGCTGTTGCTCATACCTCTAAGGCCGTACTCACACTAGGTACAGTTGCCTCGAACCGGGCCAAAGCACGCTTGTCCCCCCTCCCGTCTCCCCCGACGGCCCGCGCTCACACCACAAATGGGCCTCGGCACGCTTACGTCATCGCTGCTGCGCTGTTCAGTGAGAAGCGCTCTCTCACCCAGCAGCACAGTGGAGATTTCTCTAGTTATATCATGTCAGTCGTTTGATATGCAGTGACATGCAGTCAAATATTTAGCCAAACAGTCCTTAGGGATGCGGTGACACGTAGTCAGATATTTCGCCGAACAGATCCGCCACTTTTGGCGCTCAAAAACAATCATAAAGCCCTCGTACTGCAGGAATGAGGAGGTCTGCTGAAGCCGCGCAGCTGTCGTGCTGTGAGGAGTTCTCGTCTTTAATAAACTACGGCAGTTTGCGTTCACTGAACAGTAAGAATGATTAATAAATTCATATGAAACAGCCCCGTAAAAGTCATGTCTCACTTTCAGTTTCGGGCTTTTACACGTTTTGCACTTACACACAAGCATACCGTGCCAAAGCCCAAGTGAACCCTGCTCAGGCACACCTCTTCCAACCGGGCCAGGGCCGGCCAAGTGAACCGTGCATGAGCCCGATTCAGCGCACTCACACTTCTCAAACGATCCGGGAAACAGGCCTGGGCACGGTACGGATGCCATAGTGTGAGTAGACCCTATATAATCCTATAGACTTGCTTTGAAAGAACTCAAAGCATAAAAACTATGAGACATGGAAGTAGGGATATTTAGCAAACCCTAGCAACTGCTTATAATTGTGACAAAACCACTTATGTTGAGTTCAGACTGCATGATTTTCAAAGTAATCCTGTTACAGATGTTTTTACACTGTTTGACTATCTGGGCTAGCGTTTTGTCGCTGCTTTGTTTACACTGCAAGATGGATCAGCGACAGGGTTTCATACTGCATGACTTTACAATAGGAAGAATAGGAGACCACTTTGTCCAAACTACATCTCACAACCAAAAACACACAGTATATCTTTTGTTATTATCTACAGTAAGAAGCCTTTAATGGGGTATAAAATGTTGACATGCTTGATTACCTAGGCTTGAAGGGAATTAGCAATTTCTCCTCATCTTTATTTTTTTTCGACCTAGTTGTGATATAGCTCTATTAGCTCAGATGACACGTCAAAACAGACACTGTTTACACTAGTTTTTCCTCTATTACTTGGGTCTAAATAAACTAAAAATGAGCTCCCCCAACCTCCTGCTGCCCTGCTGGTAGCCATACTAGTGGATGCTGCTCTCTCATTAGCTGTAGGTGATCGCCGATCTCACTCATCTGCGATTCTCTCAGATCGCGTCTTTTGTTCACACTGTGTGATTGTTACTCACGTGAGCGAGCACCGATTGAGCGAGGCATTAGTGACACCGCAGACAACACATTAGCAACTTTTGCCACAAGAATATTCATTTCATTTCAAAGGGCTATTTGTTCTTCATGTGTTTGTAATAGTAGTATTTAGTTATTAGATACTTTTTTTTACACTATGACTAATTGCCTATTGTAAATAATACTTTATAACATTTCTATTGGAACTGTAGAGCCAATGCTATGAAAATTTCATTGTGTATACGTACATGTATAGACAAAGTAATAATTCATTTATTCGTTCATATATATTCATTAGATTGCTTGTATTATTTAACAATTATAAAGCTTTCTTATTTGATTGGATAAATAATTCAGGTTTTTAACAGCGTTTTGTGGTTGTTACACCATTTTCAATACAAACATGAGTTTGTTTGTGTTTTGGGGGGCCTGAAAATCTCTGACTGTTGAAAGCAGTTTTTAAAGTGCACTTTTGTTTTAATTTATCAAGTTATCAGTAGTTAAGTTATTAGACTTTTTTTTTTTTTTTTTTTCAAGCACAGTTGTGTGATTAGTAGTAAATCTCCTCTGAAGGCCAGAGGGTGCTCTCCTTTGCAAAGAAGAGACCCAGGAAATCCCTGAAGTGTTGCATTATAAACTGAAGATTTAACTGATTTAATTTAACTAAAGAACATTTATCATTTAGACAATCACATATGTTTAATAATTGATAAATGAGTTAATGACAATCTAAGATATAAATGGAGACCAAGTCATTGGATAGATATTGTTTTGCATGTTAAGAACATTTTTTAACTAAAGGTATTTTGTTTTTTTTATCTGACCACTGCAGGTGCTTTAGAAACAACAGCCCTTTTCACACATACAGACTTTTCTGGGATCACTGTGTGAAAGGGGCTTATGACATGTTTTACAAATGTATGCCAATGTATGGAACATGGTGTTACTTAATTTGAAACATTTTGATGTGACTTTGTTTTAAATATTATTATTTTTAAACCAAAGTAAAAAAGGCCCTGTTTGACTCCAATAAAAAAAAGTAGGAGTTTAATATTTATTGTGTACGCTTTAGTTTTTTGGGGATTTTTAGTAGTATTTAGTCATGTAATTCATTTTCTTATGGAGTAACTAAGTAACTTTTCATACAAAGTAATTAGAAAAGCAATTTAAAAACAATTTCAGTGATGTAATTACATAAATTTCTTTTTTTTATTTTAAGTTACTCACCCAATGTTGAATGGAGGTACATGTTTGTTCTCCAGGGCTCTGCAGTTTCCTCCAGAAGGCTGGCTGAGGTTGGGCCTGAACAACGGCAGCATCACCTGGCTGACGGTCCGTCCCAGCGGTCGAGTGTCTCTGAGAGCACTGGGAGACTCCGGCTTCATGCCTCCAGATAAACTCACCAGAACCTGACCTTCTCCAGCAGGACCAGCACAGCCTCTTCACAACTAAACGATCACAGATATGTTGAGTGGATGATAGAGTTGCAAAGTGTCAAAACATCTCCATAAATGCTCAGCTAATAATTTACTGAAATACAAACATGCCATTTAAATTCACCAAATAGTTTTTCTAAACCACGTTCCTGGAAAAGCACCAACACTGCATGTTTTAGATGTCTCCTTTGTCTGTCACACCTATTACAGGTCTTTCAGTCTCTGCTAATGAGCTGATGATCTGAATCAGGTGTGTTTGGTTAAGGAGACATGAAAAATGTGCAATGCTTGTGACCCTCCAGGAATGTGGTTGAGAAACACTGAACTAGTTGGTTAAAGAAATTCCTTGCCCAAAGATTAGAACATACTTGCCTTCAGATGGATGCTTGTTTAAAGAAGTTGCTAACCAGTAGCCATTGACATCCACGGAAAGAAAAATATGTTGTGTTCAGGCTAAAGAAACTCAAACCGGTTGGGAACAACTGAATAAATCATAACAGAACCATTCTTAATCATACAAAGCTGCAATTAAAGGGAGAGTTCACCCCAAAATGTCATCATTTATTCAGTTGTTTAAACTTTTATTTTCTTTCTTCTGTAGAAAATATACTGAAAAATGTGGGGAAAAACAGCCATTAACTTCTTTTTTTGTTTCTACTTTGGCAGTTTTTTCCAACATTTTTCAAATTATCTTGTTTTGTGCTCAACAGAAGCAAGGAAATAAAGGTTTATAATCACTTTTGAGTGCGAGGAAAGTTTTATTCTTACGTGAATTATCACTTTAAGGACTTTCTTTGCAACTATATCATCTGTTAAGAGTGGTGATCGGTTCTCCATAAGTGTCTTGAGTGAAATTTGTACTTTTTTAAGGATTATTATTATTTGTTGTTGTTGAATTAGACACTTCTGTGCCATGCTTTGATCTATAACCATAACTGAACGGTGGAAACAACCAGCAAGTGTACTTTTTATTCTGTTTAGAAGATGTCTTTTTTTCAGGACGCAATCTCTGGAGGCCTTGTCGAGATGTTTGGCGTGTGTGTTTGCACTGTTTACAGGGAGTTGTGTGTTTATGATTGTTTTTAGAGGCAAGATGTGTGTTTGATTAAAAAATAAGAATAAATGTGAGATTCTTGCCATATGGAGGTTGAGAAAGATAGTATTAATATTTGTATGTTGTTTTTTGTGCACAAGAAAACTGGCAGTAAAACGTTTTCATTTGAGATGTTCAGTAGTGTCATTTAGAGTTTCATTAATTTTCTTTTCAGCTTAGTCTCTTTATTAAACAGGGGTCCCCACAGCGAAATGAACCGCCAACTTATCCAGCATATGTTTTATGCAGCGAATGCCCTTCCAGCTGCAACCCATCACAGGGAAACATCTAGGTACTCTCATTCACACTCACACACTACAGACAATTTAGCTTACCCAATTCACCTGTACCACATGTCTTTGGATTTGTGGGGGATGCCGGAGCACCCAGAGGAAACCCACATGAGGAAAACATGCAAACTCTACACCAGTATGTCCTAATTTTAGTATGTTGTAACGAGTATGCCAAAAGTTCCCGGATGGTTTAAGCTACTATTTCCGGTAAACATTCGATATGTAGAACCGTCCATACTCGAACACAGTCCCTGTATTCTATAGTCTTCGACTCTAATCGCGGATATTGGCCACAGTACATAGCGCGTTAGACGTGAATTCGATCAGAACTACAAACGCTGGTGAAAAGTATAAATAAACTACAAATATAGTGAACGCGTAAGACCAACCATCAAGTAGTACCGAAGCCTCTCTTCGGTAAAGATGTTTGTATGACTGACAATTAATATCAAGCCCACTGGAAAATATTTAAATCGCGTTTTCTATGTTATATTTCATCTGCAAAAGCAATACTGAACTTACATATAGACGTGTTTGGAGATTAACATCTGAATGCAGAATTCTCCAAAGATCTGACAAGATTTCTCTGCATGAAAGACTCGTGAATGGCAGATTATCCTGCTGCTGCTTCTCTAATAAAGTAGGTAATTAAATATGAAAGAAATGTGGGTGATGTGTGGATGATTGACAGGGCTCATAACTAAGCAACATAAAGATCTATGTAACAAGGAAGTAATATGCCCCAAAGCTTGCATACTCTTCTGTTACACACTCAAAAGTATGTATTTTTCCTTCCCCGAAAAAGTATATACTTTTAGGGTGTAATATAAGTATGCGAATTGGGACGCAACATGAGTGTTGGCGTTAAAGTCTGTAGGACACCGGCCCTCCAGGACTGAGTTTGCCTACCCCTGCCCCTAGAGTGTGTAGGTGAAGATTCAGCTCAAAAAAAACTCACAAAAATATTTTTTGAAACTGCTTTTTGGTGACTGTCGCTTTAAATTCAAACACGATTGCGCTCCTATCGCTCTTTTTGAAAGTATCCTAAGCAGATACTGTGATAAAACTGTAATGGCAGCTCCTGCTCACTCAGGGCTGTTTATTCTAATGAGGGAAAGAATATCGCCAATGGGCTGGGCTTCCCCTTCGACACGAACAAAGTGAGAATGTCAAAGTGTTTTGCAGATCAAGTGTAATCATAAAAAATTACCACTAGAGGCTGAATATATTCACACCCTATTGAGACACAACTGTGCTTAAGGCTGATTTATACTTCTACTCAAGCACACGCTTATGGTTTGGCACAGTTTTCGCGCCCTTGCCGTGGCTGATGCACATGTCAAAAAAATAACGTCTGATTCACACAAGAGTTTAGCGTTAAAGCTGTGGTCACACTTGACTTTTCTCCCATAGACTTCCATTCATACGCACACGAATGCGTCAGACCGGAAACGCAGGGTCATGCGTCAAGTTTCCCAGTTTGCTTTAGTGCAAAGTTCAAGCTTGGTGAACTCTGACCTGCAAAATCGCATCACTTGACTGCGGGAGACCAATCGAGGATAAAAACATGGACTCTCTGGACAGAAATTTAAAACATGGAGCAATCGCTCATTTTTTTATGTCTAATAATCTTGTTTAATACCGCCCCTTTTTGCAGTGCCGTACGACAGACAAACTCTACTGTGAACGCAGCTTAATGCTTGATGGAGGGCGTGTCTGAAGTTGGGGCTGACGCAATCATCATAGCAGCGTCAGCCAATGAAATATGCAATCGGCTAATGTCTGGAGTAGGGTTTGTCTGCGGACTGCAAGACAGGGGCGTAAGATAAAGGGGCCTCGGGGGCATAACTTGAAGTTATGGAGCCATGTCAAACCATGTTATCAGCAAGATGGCACTGTACATCAGTTATTAACATCTACACCCACTCCACACCTAAATCCAACCATTAGTTATTAACGTCTCTACCTACCACAACCCAAAACCCAACCATTATCATTATAACAGTCTACATCTTCCCTAAACCTACTGTTTTTAACGTACAGCCATGAGTTGCAGAGGCTTTCATACTTGACACGCTCACCATTGTACTGTTATTTGCAACCTCAGGGGGCGACCCCGAGTAGGCTTAACTGTCATGACAAAACAGACGAAGAGAGTGGAGTTGCTAAATGAACGAATACAAAAATATATGAAATTTGGTTGTCTTGGTTGTGGATAAATTTGGAGAAAACTCATGTAAATATTTGATGAAAATATTCTCCGGTAAGTATTTATGCCATCTTGCCAACAACCTCTCGTTGTGACATCTTGCATGGTTCAATGGGATCTCGATAGCTGCAAGTTATGCCTCTAACTTGCAAGTTATGCCCCTTCATCTAACACCCCTGTCTTGTAGTCCGCAGACAGATACACTTGACTGTCTGAGCTGGGATATTTGCATAACGCAATATGATTGGCTGACGCTTCTGTTGGCGCTTAAAAAGTTAGGAAATTTCCAACTTCTACAGCGAGCAGCGTCGCTTGACAGATCCACAATTCAGTTCTGCAACACTTAACATCTCCCGTTCAAAGTGAATTGAAATCGTTGATGCTGACAGCCCATGTGAACGAGGCGTAGCTACACATAGCAACAACATGTAGCACAAGCTCGGTGATTGGTCGGCTTGGTATCGGTGATGAGTGTGGGTGGTGCTGAGAGCCGCGAGTCTGAGCGAGTGTTTACAAGTGTCGAGTCCTGTGAAGGAGCTCTAGATGGAAACTTTTGATAGCACCAAACTTTCAGATGTTTATCTTATAGTTAAAGTTGTTGCACGTCTGTCAGATCCCAAGTTTAAGCTACTTGTACAGTATATTAGGACAGCGTTCAGAAAAACAAAACACCCGGAAAGAAACTCGACACAGAGGAATAAAATATAACTTACTGCAAAGCTAGCGTTTCGGAAGTGTAACTGCACAGCAACACAAACAGCACACAGAAGGTAAGGCAAGGCATGCGTGTGGGTCATGCCGATCGCTCGACGCAGAAGCATAAAACAGCTTTTATACCCCTTTAAAAAAGGGATTTTTTGCATAATAGGTCCCCTTTGTACCAAAACAAAGTTCAATTTTACCACCTTCACAAATGTTTTTTTTTTTCCTTGTACAGTCAGAAAAAGTGAGTAAAGTTACAAGACTGTGCACTTTATTTATCGTTCATCAATAGAACATCAAATACTTTCCTTTAACGTATACTGTAATAAAATAGGACTAGAAATGCATGCAACGTAAAGGCCAGGACAACAAAAATAATTCAATTCTCGACAATAAACTGCAACTCATTTTCAATTGACCAGTGTTGGCACTACAAAGCATCAGTTAACAAAACAGAAAAGTAAGGCTGGCATTGATACAACACTAGCAATAACTAAACTGTAAACCTTTTTTTCTTCTCTTACAATCGTATTTGAGAGGTATTCAGACACTGCATATGCCGATGCTACTGTACCATTCGTTTTACACTAGGGAACACACGAAAAAAGGGGTCTATTCAGCTTGTATGTGGTCAGTGCATGTCATACAGGCCCTTCCAAATAGATCATAATCAAAGGCACTAAAGCTTTACAAAGCAAAGATCAACAGGCCAGCACTACACCGAGAATAATGGGCACCAAAGAAAGAGTTCACATGATCTGAAAGTACCACAGACTCGTTTCCTTGAGATATTTGTCAAGTTAAAACGAAATAAAAGCTGAACTACCTGGAGCTTTTTCCGTTTCAGCACATATTGTTTGGAGTTCTGGCAATTGGATTCATCTCAAAAGCCGTTGAGAGAATTGCACAAACATGATCTATAACCTTGAGTCTGAAATATCAACCATGATGATGATGAAGGACACCAATTTCCGACACGTTTAAAGTGCACTTACAACACTCTGAATCCACAATCATCAAGTCTTACAGCTTTTATGACATTCACAGATCCGACTGGCCATCTGCACTCATTATCTATCAATCAATCAATCGATCAATCGCCAACTTTCTGTACATGCTCAAATTTCAGATTCAAGTCTCTCAAACAAACCAGAGTATCATCCGTTGTGCACGATGAACTGCGTCAAACTCCAAAAGTAATGTAATTAAAAGTGCAAACAAATACATATTTAGAAATGATAAATCACATTTATTGAATTAAAAAAGGGGAATATTTTCACACGTTACTATACTCCTCCTCTTTTTTTAATCCCCCTCCAAACACCTAAGGCTGTTGTTAACAATGCATTAATAAACACCTGCTTTTAGGATTCAGATGTTGGTCTTTCCTTTAAGAAATTTAAGGCAGTTTTCTTTTTTCCAATTAAAGAATAAAAATAGCTTTTGGCAGTCAGGATGCCTTGTTTCTTTTCCCTTAAAAACACATTAAAACGAGCATTTTTGTGCTACTGTCGGTTAACTAGCAAAAAGAGCTATATTTATTATTTCAATTTAGCACTGGGTTTCTAGATATAGTGACATCGTTTTATTTCTATCCCATTTCGAATGACTGTTAAACCCAATGATAAAAAGCTGCTATTTGTTGGTTAGTTCACCACAAAAATAAAAACGTTGGTATTAATTACTCCCCTTTTTATCATTCTAATGCCCTTAGACTTTAGTTCATCTTCAGAACACAAACTTTGCATGTACATGTCAACTTACACTAACCCCAACCTAACAGTCTACTTACAACCTAATGAGAATTAGCTGGCATGTAGATGCAGTATAACTTAAATTCAGTAAACAGACCATCAAAATAAATTGTGACCTTCAATTCAAGCTGACATATACTTCGGATGAGCCTGTGCTTTTTGTTTCAGAAGAAGTTGCACGTATACATTTGTGCAGTGTTTCCCAACCCTGTTCCTGAAGGCACACCAACATTTTCAACCTCTCCCTAATCAAACACACCTAAATTAGAACATCAGCAGAGTCTCCAAAACCTGAAGATAATGGGTCAGATAAGGGAGACATCCAAAGTTTGTACTGTTGGTGTGCCTCCACGAACAGGGTTGGGAAACACTGCATTAGTGTAATGTTCTTGTGAATATGAGCCCTATACTGAAGAGAAGAAACTGTTGAATAAAGTTGCTATCTTTGTTTTATGTGCACACAAAAGTAATCTCGAAGCTTGATAGTATTTTGACAATGTTTTTTGGTACCTTTCTGGATAAGTCTGACCATTGCTGTCTATGGAGGATGAGGGAGCTCTCAGAATGCATACAAAATATCTTCAAGTGTGTTCTGAAGAAGATTGAAGGTTTCAGGGCATTGGAACAACTTGAGGATGAGTCATTAATAGCAGAATTTTCAATTGTGGGTGAACGAACCCTTTAATTTACTTGCCCACAGGCCACCCAAGATGTGACTTTTTCTTTAGAAGATCATTAAAGAAGATTGAGCTGAAACCGTTGTTATTTTGTGACTCATAAAAGCCAAGTCAAGAGTGACTAGCAGTTAGAGAGACCAAAAAAACATGTATAGATAAAACAAAATGAACATGGCTCTAGGCAATACATTGAAGTCTTAAGAAGCAAAACGATTGGGCTAAATACTGACAGCATTATGACCTTCACAAGCTTCCTGTTGTGTTATGACATTAGTCAAATGTTGAGAATCCACTACAAGTCAATCCTCTTAATTGAGAATGCATACTCAAATATTATACTACTGTTTTTACATATAGGTTGCAGCATCATGGATAAGTATGTGACATTTTGATAAAAAATACATGTTCTCCATTGTTAACATGCAAACAATGTCATTATGTAATTCTATGGGCTATAATGTCGAGGCAGTAGATAATAATAATAATAATAATAATGTTCAGGTTCTTACACATAATGATTGTTTCACTTCATAAAACCCCAATGTATCATCAAAAGTCACCAGAATTAATTGTGTTGTCTGTATATGTTTTTATGACTCTCCTTAGGTGCCAACTTAATTCCTATAGACCAGGGGCGTTCAAACTCGGTCCAAGAGGGCTGGTCTCCTGCACAGTTTAGCTTTAACTTGCTTCAACACCCCTGCCCAGAAGTTTCTAGTATACCAAGAAATAGCTTGATTAGTTCTGGTGTGTTTAATTGGGGTTGGAATTAAAATATGAAGGACACCGACCCTTTAGGACTGAGTTTGGACACCCCTGCTATAGACTAAGGCAGTAGTCTTAAACTTAATTCCTGGAGAACCACAGCTCTGCATAGTTTAGCTCCACCCACCTCCAACTCACACCTGCTGAATAGTCTAGTACTCTTGAACAGCTTGATTAGTTGGATCAGCTGTGTTGGAGCAAAACTGTGCAGAGCTGCGGCTCTAGGAATCCAGTTTGAGATCTTTGGACTAAGGCAGGGTTGCCCAAACATGGTCCTGGAGGGCCGGTGTCCTGCATATTTTAGTTCCAACCCTAATCAAACACACCTAAACCAGCTAATCAAGCTCTTTAGGTATACAAAAACTTCCAGGCAGGTGTGTTAAATAAAGCTAAACTATGCAGAACACCAGCCGTCCAGGACTGAGCTTGGACACCCCTGGACTGAGGTTTCAGTTAAAGAAATCTTATTTAATATTCTACAGAAGAAAACACAAAGACACCATGGATGACCTGATGGTGAATAAATAATCAGCAAATTCCTTCTTTTTTTTTTTGGATGAACAATACTTTTAAGTAGGAAATCGTTCATTTCCATTAAAGATACGGTTTTGAAAATCCACAGATAAATCTCAAGCACACGTTCGCACTCACACGTAGATAAAGAACAAAACAAAAACAAAATAAGATAGAAAAGGTCTATACATCCATCACAGATCATCACACCAGGTGTCATACACAAAAGTACCGAATATATATATTTATATATAGATCTTATGATTGAGGAACCCCGGGAGATGTGCATATTTATATTATTTGAGCCGTGTTCTATGAACCTAAGAGCTTACAAACTGAAGGACGGCCTGTTGCGAGATCCTGTCTGCGGTTTCGCGCGGCACTAGGAGCCCATTTTGAGCAGATTTTTAATGGCTTCCGTTACAACATCGTTCTCCTCGGGAAAAAAAAGATCCATCCTCTGAAACAGCCCGCACTGGATTTAGTTATATTTGTTATTTCGGGTTCAGTTGGAAATTTGCGGTGGGGCTGGACGGGATGGAGAGTGTATGTTAAATAGGAGTATCTCCGAAATGTTTGAGGCGGATGCGTTGAATGTAGCTGACAGGGCTGTAGTTGGGGTGAGCGGGGCTGTAGGTGGAGTGTGCTGGACTGTAGCGTCCGGGACTGCAGTTGTCTGGCGAGCCCATGTGTCGAGCTGGGCTGAAGCGGCTCACGGGGGACATCAAACCGCTCACTGGAGAGCCAGGAGTGGCCGAGAGAGCCCTCAGATGGCTTTTGTGCACTGCAGGAGTCAGCCAGCTGAAAACATAAACGCAGACCTCTAAGTGGACAGACATTTTTAAACACCAGAGGGGTTGTTAGGGGTTGTCATAGATGAACTGATGGAAATTTCTTTTTGAGGTTGGTGAGATTTTTAAAAAGCTTTTGGATCGTTGTTTACTTTCCTTCTCTCTCTATGTCAAGATATACAATAATACTAAAAATGTGTGATATTTGCACATTTTTGGAAAATCCTATAAATAAAGTGTTTAAATAAAGCTTCTGAAAGATTTATCTTATGCTTACTAATGTTGCAATTATTGCACAAAAAACACTCGACAGCAATTTTCTTATTTTTCCTTTTTGGCAACCATGACCTGCAGATACAGATTTTTGCAGATAATGTAATTATTATTTTATAATATGTAACAGAATTTTTAGAATACCTATAATTGACAGATTACACAAATATATACTCATTGCATTTTTGTCATAATAAAAATAAGCAGAATTATTTTTAATTCATTTTAAAATGAGAATAATACATTTTATAAACATATTATAAACATTACAGTTTCCCCAAATTGCAACAACACTAAAATTTGTAATTTTTACTGCTTTTTATTTTCACAAGATTATATGCTTATGAAATATAATTTGAATATTATTTAAGATACTTATTTTTAGTCTTGTTAAATCACTTCCTGACAACTTAAACATGACTAAAAGTTCTCTCTCTCTCTCTAAACGCTATCATGAAATATTTTTTACTCATGCAGGAAAACTTCTTTTCAGCTTGAAAGAAAAGAAGCTTCTTTTTTAGCTCTAAAGATTACAGTAAATATCAAACAATGATTTTTGTTTTAAAAAGATTTTAATATGCAATTTATTTAAATTATTATCAATATAATTTCAAATATAATTACAATAATCATTAGTCTTCAGTGTGTCATGAGTGTTCTGCTCCTTGAAATTTTTTTGTGCATTGAAGAAACATTCAAAACAAGCACTTGCATGCATCTTGTGTGAAGTTAAATTTGACTTTTCAGTCAGTATTTCTTAATTTATTGCATACACTCTGAATTAAAGAACAAGATACAAACATACCTTTGCATTTCTGACTGTGAGTATGTCTGAATTGTGCTCTTCCATTTGTGAATGCTGGGAAACTTTAGAGGGTCGAAGTCCGAGACTCCTAAAGCTGACAAAACCTCTCTGTCCAACTTGGTGGGTGAATCCCTGAATAAAAATGGAAAGTATTATGGTTTAAGGCTAGATAACAAAAAAAAAAAAAAAAAAAAAAGATATGTAGCAACTAAATGTAAATGTATGTTTGCAAAGCTAAATGTTCAGTTTATTCCAGTCTTCATTGTCACATGATCCTTTTAGGCCACTGTCCACACAAACATGGCCATTTACAAAATAATTTTTTTCTTTGCAATTTCCCTGTTTTCACACACACACACACACACACACACACACACACACACACACACACACACACACACACACACACACACACACACACACACACACACACACACACACACACACACACACACACACACACACAACAACAACAACAGAGTATCGAGGTGACTGAAACTTTCTGAAACTTTTCTTTACCCAAGCAAAATTTTGAAAATTTTCCAAAAGTCCAGGTACATTGTGGTTGTGTGTATACGAAAACTGGATTTTCACCTCATGACATCAGCGTGTGCAATGTTTTCTCCTTTCTGATTGGCCAACACAGCTGGGTTCGCATCAAGCGTGGAAGATACGAATGAGGCAAATTCCTCATTCGCACCACGGGATGATAATTCATCTCTCTTCTCATGTTTGTATTGACTTGTATGCAGTTTACTCATGAAAATACTTAATTCCCCAGTTGATATGTGAACCCAGCATGAAAGGATCATCATCTCCTCCTGTTGGTTCAGCATGCTCTTAACATGATGCATTTAAGTGCGATTTTGCGTTTTCATTTGGACAAAAACAAAAATTTTTAACTAAAGTGGAGAAAACTCTGTTTATAAAATTACCAATGCACCTGTGGACATATTACTACTAGCAGGAATCTGTTGGAAAAAAAATATCAGAACAACTGCATGACATTCATGCAGAAGTGTAAATTTGCCTTAAAATGCACGTGAACCGGAAGTTGCTGAGACTTTTATTTTAGACTATTTCAGAAAGGGGCGGGGCTTTATTTTGCACATCATTCTCTAATACCAAACTAATGGTAAAAGGGGCGTGGTTAAGGTTATGTAAGCCATCAGGTTGACGTCAACAGAAGGGCCTCCACTCCAAAAGCAGAAGCTGATGGCCAGACTTTAATTGAAGTTTACCAGAACAAACACATTGTTCAGTCCATTAACTTGTATGGATTAATTACTTACTATAAGAATAACAATATGAGCTAGTAAAATAAACTTTGTATATTTTGATTTCACTCAGACTTGGTGGGTGGAAGTGGGTGCATGGCTCTTTGTAACAGGGGTGTCCAAACTCAGTCCTGGAGGGCGTCCTGCATAGTTTAGCTTCAACTTCCTTCAACACACGTGCCTGGAAGCTTCTAGTATACTATTATTAGTGGGGGCTGTAACTAAAATATGTAGGACACTGGCCCTCCAGGACTGAGGTTATGACACCCCTGTTGTAAAATAATACAGCGCCATCTGCTGTTAAAAATTAAGCCCAGAATCTATTCAAAAGAGAGAATAGCAATACATTTTTAAAACCTCAGAACCACCGCTCTAAATAAAACAACAAATACTCTGTTAGATAGTAATTTCCCACACCCCTAGTAAAGACTTCATACTGAAACACATTATAATAACCACAGACAAGCTCTTCTCACCCTTCAATGAAGAGGCCTTTGGTCACTCTTGGAGGAGTCCGCAGTATGAAGTCCTGAGAGCTGTCGAGTGATCTGTAGGAGCTGGAAGACCCCGAGGAGCTGAGGTCTCTTCCCCCATGATCCCAGGACTTTGACCTGGCGCAGATCATGCGCTCGCACCCTGAAGTATCTATAGTCTGTTGGTTTATAGGTTCCAGCCGCTCACTGGCCAGAAAGTACTCATCTGAACTCGCACTGGACCTCACGTCCACCTCATTTCTCCTCTCTGTTCCATCATTCTCTGCTGCCCGCAAAGCAGACGTCCTGTCTTTCTCAAACACAGAGTCGTCTTCAGAAGACAGCGAAAGGCGTCCCAGTCCAGAGGTGAGCTCTGTGGTCTGACGTTTCCCTCCGCTCCTCCTCCTCTCTCTGTTTGTCCTATCAGGCTCATCCAGCAAAGACATCCTCTCAAACTCTGCCATTAAGTTTGAGATTGGTGACAGCATGCAGGAATTGGAGGAACCGCAGATACGAGGCGATACTTTGTCCCCGTTTGGAGTCCTATCACCGGAGCCCTGTTCGCAAAGGCCATTTTTACTGCTGGAGATCATGGATTTCTCTGAGAGCAGCAGGTCCTGCTCTGCCGCCGCTTCTATGAGGTCAGCGCTGTGGGACACTGGGAGGATGTGAAACTCCAGTCCTCCTACTGCCCCCTGCAGGCCGTCTTTGGAGCACACAGAAGAAATACTGGTGAGAGCAGCGTTCTGCCGGTTCTTGATCTCCTCCAGGCTGATGTCATCACCCTCATCTAGAAAAGCCCCCACGGAGATGGAATTACAGAACTTCTTCAGTTTGCCTGCGATTTTAAGGAGAACAATATTACAAAGTGAATTATATCCCTTGGTCTTGGAATGCAGTTTAATTCAGAAATACTTCATCATTATACGTTTATCATACTTTATCGATTGTGCCAACATGCTGCCCATGAAGTGTTTATTCATACCTAATTTGTGCTATAACTAGCAGTAACTATGATCACATTCAGCAATCTGTCATCATATCAAAAGATTAATTAAATCTCCTGATAGTCGTGAATGCTATATGAACTGGTATTAAAATTTTTGTCAATATCCATATTGCAGTTTTGCAGTCAGTGGTCTTACCTGGAGAGGGTGTTTTAAACCTGTTGCTGGTTTCATTCTCTCCAGCCTCTTCATGAGCTCGCTCCCTGAAGTCCTTTTTACTGAGGTATTCTTCAAGCATTTTCAGGCCTTCAGTTGACTGCAGATCCACAAAACTATCCAGGAAATCCCAGTACTCTGCCCAGGGGTGACCGAGTTCATGGGCCAGATCTCTGCTCACGGACAGGACATAAATATCTAAATCAATGCTAAATGACACTATACTAATGCCTAATGGACATGTAAATAAGTGTAAAGAATAATGTAAGTAATGTTCGGATTCTTTAATCATATCTTAGAACAAACCTGCCAACTCTTTCTGCTCCACGGTCCGGGTCAGACTTCAGGATGTTGTGAAAATGGTCTGCCCGCTCTCTGGGAGGAGTTTTCCACGCTCGTCTGAACTCATCCGCCTAGAAGCCCACATTTTGATCACTCACAGACACAGAATTGTCTTTATGTCCCATTACATAAATAATATACTTATAAATTCTACATTAAACTTACTTTGGATGGACTTAAAGGTCCAGCAAAGGCCCTGACTGCCATAACTGGATCCTTTGGACTTCTGGGTAACCATGGCGAAAGGGATTCCATTGGCTCAGGAGACCAAGGAGCACCAATCACAGCCTGGGAGGAGTTATCAGTGGCTCGCAGCAAAGGGATGTACAATCGCTCTGTGGCCAATCAGAATTCAGCATTAGTCCATGGAATGCACTTGATCAACATGTTAAATTAAATACAACAAGTAATATCATCAGCTTACCTTCTAAATATTCATTTATTTTCTGTTTGACTTCTTGAACTTTACCCTTTTCTTTCATTCTTTCACAAATAACCTAAATAAGGGCAATACAATGAGTAGTAAATAAGCTTTAATAAATTATGAAATCCTCATATTGAAATTTAATGCGTCATGGTTGCATTACCTCACAGGGTTTCTGGTTATACTTGTTCTTGCAGTTCTTGTCAATGTCTGGATGAGAACAGAGTATGTTTACAACCTCTGGGCAGCCAAACTTGCATGCGAAGTGAAGAGGTGTCTCAAACCCCTATGAAACACAAAGGATAAATTATTGTTTTGAATCGGTTACAAATCTTAATAGGACATCTGCCTAAATATGATTTTAGAACTCAACAGCATGTTTCAGACACAAAAGATGTCAAACATTGGCATCAAAATAATCCTGGCTTATATGGTAATGTCTCTGAATGCATTCTCCTCATAAAACGCAACCCAACAAAGCATTGCAAAGATTTAAATCTGCAGCTGAACTTATAGAACATTCAAGGTAACAACCAGATGTCAATGTATCATGGAAAAAATGAGGATTCATTCAAATGTATCCACACACAATGAGTATGTTTACATGGACATTGGACACCAACACTCCAATTTTAATATGATTAAGAAAATACTCTGATTAAGAGTCTACCATGTAAACAGCAATTTTTGATTACTTTAATCCAACTAAAATCATAATCGAATATTTTAGTTTAATTATTGAAGTGCAGTACAGACATGTAAACATCTTAATCGAACCGGTTTGTAGTACTTTTGCAACAATTTGCAACAGAACACACACAGCATTTACCAGGTGTTTGATGACAAAAAAATGAGAACGGCTTTAAGCAAAAAAAAAAGCACATTTTTGGTTCTAGCAGGAAACGAAGACTATGCTTTGAATTCTGTAAAAAAATGGACAATATGAAGTGACATATATGGTGCCATGACCAACACGAACTGTTGTTGCATGAAACGCCAGAGGAAACTAGCGCCGAATGGTGCCGTAATGACATTAATCGAACTGCGTACTACAACATGTAAAACAGGAACATCAACGGAACATTCAAAGTGCAAGTTATTTGAACACCCTTATCATATTAAGATTATTTATTCAGATTAAGGCAAAAGATTAGATTACTGATGTGCATGTAAACATAGTCAGTGATCCGATGTATACTAAAGTCCCAAATACGTAGACCCAGTATAAACAAAATTGAAAAAAAGAACTGAAATGACATCATTGCCAAATCCAGCCAAAAGGAGGTTTGTTTTGAGTTAGATTCAGCAGTTTAAAGCAGCTCACAAAAGCTAAGCTTTTGGAAAAGTTAGTTTTGGCCCTAAACACTTTTGAGCTACCATAGGTCCGCTTATTCCCACAGATCGTGGAGTTATACAGGAGAAAAACATCCAGCACAACAACAAGTTAGCAACATGAAACAACTGGAGGGTCGAGTAGCAGAGCTGGTACAGATGTATCCGCACCTGTACTATTGCTTGCTGACAGATTTTAAAGACTCCGGACAATAAGCACAACCGCTACATGCCACATCAGATGAAGTTCTAAACATTGTTCCACTTGGTGTCTATCCACGGCAAATAAACTGTTATTCTCTCACAGTTGCCATTGTTGTTGTGTTTAGGAGTCTACTCAAGTGAAGTGACACATTTACAACACCACCTACTGCAGTGTGGGGGTGTTGGATGGTTCAAAACAACATACAGTTACTCAGCCTTTTCAAACTTCTTTTTGGTCTTAAACGACGACTAAAAAGAACTTTGTCTGAAGTTAATTAGTTCATCACTGCTGTCATTTTTTTTTCTGTTTATTCTAATGCAAAAGCTGCTACTCAGCAATCTATTAAAAGGTTACCCATATGTAAACAGTTAAGCAACATAGAAAGATTAGAATGCAACACTTACAGCTTTGTCTGGTGTATTAAGGTACAGGTCTACGATATAGCGGATGCGTTTCTGCAGCATGCTCTCCAGGTCATCTGGGTACATAAGCCGCATGAATTCTGGGTTCTCAAGAGTGTCCAACAGGATCTGAACAATCCCTGGCTGGTTCTCTTTAGCAGCCACATGCATTACGTTATACCTGCAGCCCTCCTGCAGTCACATTTACAGCAGAGGAACATAAGAAAAGTACAATAAAGTAAACAAATACATCAACATTCAGGTAGTTAAAAAACAGCATTCAAAAACTTTCAATAATCCTAATTAAAAGCATTTTTTCATTAATATTTCTATCCTGGCTGTGCAACTACATTTTGTTTTGTGCCACTACTGGCAGGGATGGGCAGTATTTATAATACAAGTATTTCGAATACGTATATCAAATACAAAAGTGTTTTGTAATTTGTATTTTATGATGTTTATAAAAAGGGCTTAATATTTTGTATCAAAATACTTTAGTGTCTTGTATTTTTAAAATACTTTGTATTAAGTCTCTCTAATTGGTGCTTTCTCAGTTATTTGTATAGCCTTAAGATCAGAGCAAAAAATGTATTAACATTGAAGGATGTGGTCAATAATTGGTGCATGGATGTAAATATGGAACACACAAAATACCAGACAAATGGCAGGGGTAGATTTGGGAGCAAGGTCATTGTTTACTTCACTAAGTTAATTTAATGGTGAAGGGATTGATCCAATAGCCCTCCTAATGGAAGGTTTGTAAAGAAATTTCATGGTACCTCTTAAAAGTATTTTGTAGTATTTTTAAAATACAGTATCTTAATTTGATACTTGTTTTGGCTCCTGTATATTGTAGTTTATTTTAATACATGTAAAACCGAGGCATTAGGTTTTTTTATTTTAGAATACATTTCAATGTATATTTGCCCATCCCTGACTACTGCCAGTATGATGAAAAGAATTGAAACTGGAAAGGGATGGGATTGGAAAAGGTCTGAGAGTTGGGAGTCAAACTTGGGACACCGCAACAACATTATAGCACACGTCACCACACTGTCCACTAGGCTATCGATGCTTACAATTTGTACATCTCTAGAAGTCATAAAAGTTGTGTGTTTTTATTTGTATAAAAAGTTTTAGGATGTTTATTTTTCCATTGCAAATGGCACTGAAACTTTTTTTTACCAATGTAATATTTGATACCATGGGGAACAAATTCAGCAACATTAAAAGTATGCAAATTAAGTAATAACTAAATAACTAAATCATATAATGCTTATAGTAGGTACGTCAGCAGTTGTTAAGTCCAAAAGGGAATAAATTACAAAAACATTAATAATAATAAGCTTAATTTCATCTTATTTTCTGATTAAAACAAAAGTGTTAAAATCTTAATATTACCATTAATTATTCATCTCTCTGAAGGTGAGAAGAGAGAGTTCGAGAGAGAAAAATCCATCAACACTAAACAAAAGCAAGATTGTATAATTTTAAATCAGTGGTTCTCAAATTTTTTTCATCAAGTACCACCTCAGAAAAAAACTGTCTCTCCAAGTACCACCAAAATGAGCAGTATTGAAATACAGTAGTGTAGTAGGCCCAGTAAAGCAGCTAAAACTCTGCACAGTTAAAAAAATGTGGCAAATTACCTAAGAAATATAGGCTATATGTCATATATGGCATACTATATACATCATTTTGAAAATAAATAAATTTTGAAATATATGTAGCATGTACATGCCATATTTCATTCCTTCACGTACCACTAGAAGGAAGCCCGCGTACCACTAGTGGTACACGTACCACAGTTTGAGAACCACTGTTTTAAATATTTCAGTATCAATATTTTTGACAACACTAACGTGTGGTTATACATTGTGATCAACAAATGATGAGGTGGTTACTTTTTTAGTTCCTGTGGTTTTTGTTATTGAAATTAAATCTGTAATGGATCCAAACTAACGTTTCCTGCTACATCAAGCTACTGTCAAATGTGCATTGCTAACAGTAAAAACTTGTAATATAATTAATATTACATGTGCAGCACTATCAAACCAGGTGTTTGTGCCACCATCTGTAAAACTTAGTGGCATCAGTGCCATTGCTCGCAAAAGTTAGTCTGAAGCCCTGAAAAATATATCACTGACTGGTGGGAAAAATGGGGAAAAGTTTGATATTAGTACATAAATAACCAAATATTAGGATACCAGGAAAGTTTAGAATAAGACTTTGAACGTTGTAATGATCTCTATATTAAGTAGAAAAAAAGAGCCAACAAATAAGCATCCAAACAGATCATGGTACAAAATCTCTCACCTGGACTACAGTAGGGTTGTCTCCTGACCCGATGAGGTAGCGAGGGTTGCTCCACACCAGCTCAGTAAATCCCAACTCGTCTCCCTTTTCCACAGCCTTCCTCAGCTTAGCTGTCAAATCCTGTGTCCGAGGGCTCTTAAAACTGTTTGCTTTCTCCCTGTTGATTGTGTCTGCCTCTATCATAGAAGGGTGGTCTAGTTTTAACAAAAAAATTGATATTTTTAGAATATGCATACGTTACATGTAGAATTAAATTTAGTCAACTAAAAGAAAATGGTTTTCCTAAAATAAACATTTATCTTAATGTAAACTGAATTAAGAACTTTGCTTTACATGATGACCTTAATTAAAATCTGAAATGGGCTTTACATCCGAAATAAAGATTTTTCTAGACCTTTGCTAAACACCAGGCCGGGTTTGACAGGAGAAACACAGGGAGTGCTTTTACTAGGCGAAGGGTAGTAGTCACAAATGCCTTTGGCAAACTTCTCAGCATCCTCACGATTGGAGAAAGCTTTAAACCGAGCCCCCTTCATCATTTTAACAGCCTGCAAAGCCTCTTTCTTATCCGTGTACACATGGGCTCTCTCTGCAGAGGAAGTGGAAAAGAAAAATTACAGTTTTAGTCCAACATAACAGGTCTGAGTCAACTGTACATGCCTGTAAATGCTTACTATACTATTAACAACTCTACAATAGTGGAAATAACCCATTTCTAAAAATGCATGATTTGTTTCATATTACTTACACTAAAATGCCTTGTGCAAGTCTTGTTTTTATTTCAAGAAAGTAATACTTAAATTAAAATAAATTGCAAAGATGCATTAAAGAAACAGTTCACCAAAAAAAAAAAATTGATGGTTTATTTATCCTCAAATGGTTCTAAACCTTTATAAGATCTTTATGAGATTCATCTGTTAACACAAAAGAAAATATTCAGAAGTATGCTGTAAACTGATGGCCACCTACATCCAAAGTATTTTTTTCCTACTGTGGAAGTCAATGGCTACCAGCTCCCAACATTCTTCAAAATATCTTCCTTTGTGTTTAACACAAATAAAAGAGTCAAACAAGTTTGGAAGAGGTTTCCTTGTAATGATTCATTTCACAGCCTTGGTAAGACTTTCAAATTATTAGTTCATTTTGGTGGAACGTTTTTAATTTTATATATTTATATTTTTTATAAGTATACAGGATTGATCTGTCACCAGAGCCACCTGGAGACACCTCAGATATAGGAGATATTTGTGTATGATATTAGCAAAGAAAATACTTTAACAAAATAGAAAGTCAGATCACGTGCCTGTCTCTGAAACCAGGATTAGGAGCTTAAGTTGCCCAGGGAAAAAAATGTGATATGGTATAGTTTGGTATAACAAACTAAACATATTTTTTTAGAATCTGGAACCCAATTATGTTTTACATCAGTAATGCTGACTTGTAACTCATTATAGGTAGGATTGGTTTGTCTAGCTGTGGAGCCTGCACATTTGTCTGTAAATAATTATTTTTTTATATTTAATTCAAAATTTGTTGTGTCCGACTGTGTGTATTGTGAAATGGCCTTTGTACCATTTTTGTTAGTTTGTTCTGTTTATGTTATTGTTTATGTTCTCTGCTAAAACAATAATAAACAAAATTTTTTTTAAAAATCCAACCGACCTCAAAATTTTGAACTGTAGCCTGAATTATTTTAATTGAAAATCAGAAATAGCTTTATTTCCAGGTATGTTTACAGATACGAGAAATTTGTTTTCATGACAGAATTCCACATTGCAACAGAACAACAGTGACACGACAAAAACACAGATAATAAAGGATTGTAGTAAATAGAGAATAAAAATATACAAATTGACAATTGTATGTACAGGTATATCACTATATAAACAATACAGTATATTGTTAATAATATATTGTATATGTTGTAGGGATGTAACGGTATCAGAATTTCACGGTTCGGTAATACCTCGGTATGAATGTCACGGTACGGTATTTATTGAATCATTTACAGGAAAAAAAAACTTTTGAAAATACTCCAAAAAAGTGCCAAAAGTGTCAATGACATACAAATTAGCCATCTATCTGTAAGCTTTGAAACACTAACTTCAATTTTAATAACAAAAAATTATTAAACCATGTAAAAAAATAAAGTTTCAATTTAGTATTGTTGAAAACTCACCACATTCAACATTTAATCACTCACTCACTTAGGTAGAGATGGGTTTAAAGGAAAATTATCATATAATTATAATCTGGTAAAAGCTGGTATCTCTGGGTATTTACAATGTCCCCTGCAACAGAAAAAAACCCTCTCATTTGGGACTGAGGTTTCTGGGACAAGAGAGATATGACTTGGCCCATGTTGACAGCAGTGGGTAACGTTGTGCATTGTCTTTCCACCACTTGAGAAGACAAACCATGAGTGAGATAGAGATCTCTTTGCGGTACAAGTCAATGTCTGCATCAATCTGAACAGTGTGCTGTGTTTCTGCAGTCCCCATGACTGTTATTAGTCGTATTCCCCAACTTGCAGGCACGTGCACACATAGGGCTCAACCTGTGCAGTGCACATGCCCTTTTTAGTCTTGGATAGAAAATGCCCTTCCAAAACGATCAAAAGTGCCCCCGCGACGCGACACAACCTCCGTCCAATCCAGCCCTTCAGTAGGCGCGCGACAACACCTCTCTTGAATATGCGCGCTCAACCCCCCCTCGGCGCTTTACAATACGCGCGCCACAACACAGCTGATCAGAACGCGCGCCACAACACAGCTGATCAGAACGCGCGCGACAGCACCGCTATTCAGCACGCGCGCGGCGACAACACCCGCTTTAGGTTCGATCATTTCCATCTTTTTTTCATCTCCGCTACTAGCAGCACACTCCATTTCCGCATTACTGGATCTGTAGCGACAACAGACCGCAAAGGATTATGGCCACGCCTGGGCTGATGGGAAATGAAGTTTCAGCTACGTCCCGTTCGCTTCATTCGCCTGAGCAAATTTTCTCAGAAGACCTATAGTTTTACCGAGTCATGCGACTTCGGTAATATCGAAAAAAATTAATATTGCGGTATGACGGTATTTACAATACCGTTACATCCCTAATATGTTGTTAAATAAATAAAAGTGTATGTGTGTATACATTGTGTTGTTGTTACACAATTAATATCAAGTGAGTTGGACTGCCTGAGAAAAGACATTCTTTAAACATTATTCCTCATATATTTGACCTTGTGATGTTTAAATTAACAGAAATAAAAGCTTACCATTCCTAGCCAGCACATCCTCCCACAATGGACACACTCCGTAGAAGGTGGGTGACACCTGTGCAGTTTTAGAGGGAGTCTGCGTGTTCTCCACATTACAGGCGCACACTGTTCCACTCAGAGCCTCTTCCTCTGGTGGATTAAGGCCCATGCCGTACCCGAAATCCCCATCTTCGCCTGTGATTGCATCTGGGGTTGCTGAAGCGGCACTGGATGGCACCACACTCCTGTCCAACGTGGCACTGTTATCACCACTGGCATCAGGCTCAGTAAGTCCAGCACTCTCCACTAGAGCCCTGGCAAGCTTGCGCTCAAATATGGCTCTAGTCGTGGCAGTGATGGGGCCACATTTCAAGTTGGCTTTAATGATCTCCTCCCTCAGTTCATCAGCAGTGAGGCCTTTCAACCTGCTCAGGACAGCGTCCATGCTTCTGCTGCAACGGCTATCTGATTATAGAGAAAACAAAACAAACATTTGTCTCATGCTGATGAACTCACTTGACCAAGACAGCATCTTAAATCCTATTCTTCTTTACTATATTGACCTTCTTCAATGCGGAAGTGTGCTCGTTTTTGCAACTTACGATAGAGTTGACTATGGAAGAAATGACTAGCAATAATAAATGACAGAAAACGGTCAAACTACTTGCTCTACAAACAAGTGTGTTCATGACTATTCATGAAAAGATGAGTAATATAATCAGACAATATCCGTTTGCAACATCAAGCAGCATAACGAGCTGTTTTCAACATCTAAAAAGCAAGGGAAGTGATGAAGACCAGACGTCTCGAGCCAGAAAGATTCCAATGAATAGGATTCCAACAGATTCTAAGGAGTAAGGTCAATGGAATAGTAAACAAGCAGCATGTGTGAATTCCCAATACTCACAAAAGAGCATGTAAAAAGTACTCAAATGACCCACTACTTCAGAAGCATGCATGTGACATCTTGATATCCCATGAGGCCACAGGTGAGAATTCGTGAACAGCATTGAAGCAACTACTTTTTTTGAAAGGTCACATGATAAAATGACAAATATGTCTGGATTCATTCATACTACATGCAATAATCGCAAAGTAATTATTCAAACAACGTGCCTACTTAAACAGTGTGTGATTTTGGATGCAGCCCTTATGTTTTGCTCACGCTACTAGTTAGAGCGGTGTGATTAATCGAAATCAAATCGCAATTTAAAACGTTGGGATTAGTTAAATCGCAAGAGGCTGCAATTTAGAACATGTATATATGTACACAAGAATAACGAATAACATCTGAGGTGAAGTGCTTCAAAACCAGTTCGCTATGCTCCAGAAAATTAAACATGCTAGACTTTCTGCGATGGTGTCTTGATGCATTGTAGACATGCTATTGGTTGTCGTGAACTATGCCACATTACACAAAAAGAAACGATTAAATGTTGTGTCACAACGTCCATTTGTTGTTTACGACTCCCCGCGACACCCTATGTCAAGGAAATCGTGCCGAAGTTGTGTGTTCTGACCGGGTCTTTATAACTAGCCAATTGAGTGAGTACACTTTCGTTCTGCCCAGAACTGCACAATTGAACCCACAATTTTAAAAAAAGAAAAAGCGCCAACGAGTGTGATTATGGCGTCTGCCTCTTCAGAAGCATTAATAGACTAATTAATATCAAAGAAAAACAGCATTTGTAATATAAGAACATTTTGGTTTCAAAGTCCCAGACACCAAACAAAAACTGGTCATTTTTAAAAACTGTAGCACAATTGTTGCCACAACTTACAGATTATTACGCTAAAGCTTAAATTAAAATCAGTTTGAAACTTAAAATAAATTCGTAAATCAAATTGCAATAGGTCAAAAAATAAATAAATTAAAATTAATTAATGAATTAAAAAAAATTATAATTAATTAATTAATCAATTAATTAAAAGATAAATAAATAAATAAGAAATAAATCGCAATTGGATATTTTCCCCAAATCGAACAGCCCTACTACTAGTGCTTTAAAAAACGTATTATAAAAAACTGAATTTAAAACGGCGCCAATAGCCTAGTGGTTAAGTGTGCCAACAAAAAGCTCCGTGGTGCTCATGGCAATCCGAGTTCGATTCTCTACTCCCTCTCTCTACTCCCAATAGTTTCCTGTCTGTAACCTCCACTGTTCTATCCCAATTAAAGGTGAAAAAACCCCTAAAATATAATTATTAAAAAAAACTAAATTTACATGATAAATGATTACATACAGAGTGGACAGCTTAATTTAAAGAAGAAGAAAAAACTTAATAAATAAATTATATCATATTCTTAATATTACATTTTGACAAATACATTTGCTCAACCTTAGGTCACCCAAGATGCATGTGACCGTTAAGTAATTTTCTACTTTGGCATAAACTGTGCTATAGAAGGCAGGTCAAATGCAACTGGAACTTTGAGAGGCACAAAAACATAAGGTAGGGCTGCACGATATTGGAAGAATCTAACATTGCAATATTTTGTTATTCTGCTATATACATTGCGATAAAAATCCAATTTCACCAGATGACACGAATCTCTCTATTTAAAAAGAATTTATAATATCAGATGGATTCTGTAGGGCATAAAATATAATGAACAATCCACAAGCTTGCATAAAGACAATAAAGAAAAAGATACAGCTGAATTAAACAGTGTTTAATTGTTTTCAGAGTACTCAAACAACATTCAGGTATATGGTTATTAAATAATTAAATGTAAAATAACGGTTTGTAGTTTTCATTGTAAAAATAATTTAAAATATTCATTGTTATTAAAGTTACAAGCAGTACAATTTATTTTGCCAGAATGGTAATTAAATAGTCCTCACACAATCACTAGGGCTGCACGTGTTCCTGCAAATGAGTTAACAGAACCTGCATATGCTGTGAATAACAGGTAATAAAGTTGTAAATAACATTCAGTTTGTTGCACAGAGTCATCATTTCAGAGCCAAGCGTGAAGTATGATTTACATGTGTGTCTTTGGTGACAGCAGCCATGACATGAGCTGCACTCGACGATGAAAGTGAAAATGAAAGCACGGACATCTTTTAATTGATCATATCGCATTGTAAAGTTATGATTACGACAAGCATTTGATATGTTTTTTTTCTTTCATGTCCAACACAGAGTGTGCGAGAGAATAAATGTGTAACAGTGTCACTATAACAACTCTAGCAAATATAACGTTTAATATAATGCAGGAGGGAATCTGATGATGATAAATGTCTGATTTTGCCAGTTAAAAATGGTATACTAATGTTGTCAATGACCGAATGGCACGCATATGTCTCAAACATAATAGTTCAACTTCAGAATTATGACCAGTTGTATTCTGATGTGGGCGAGGCAGTGGCGCAGTAGGTAGTGCTGTCGCCTCACAGCAAGAAGGTCGCTGGGTCGAACCTCGGCTCAGTTGGTGTTCCTGTGTGGAGTTTGCATGTTCTCCCTGCCTACGCGTGGGTTTCCTCCGGGTGCTCCGGTTTCCCCCACAGTCCAAACACATGCGGTAAAGGTGAATTGGGTAGGCTAAATTGTCCGTAGTGTGTTTGTGAATGTGTGTGTGGATGTTGACGGCTGGAAGGGCATCCGCTGCGTAAAAACTTGCAGGATAAGTTGGCGATTCATTCCGCTGTGGCGACCACGGATTAATAAAGGGACTAAGCCGACAAAAAAATGAATGAATGTATTCTGATGTCATCACTTTACTGTGCATTATTGACCAGGACCAATTTAAAGACTGTTTAAGTCCATATAAAAAATATATAGCACTTTAACCAACATTAGTTAAAATTTGTTTTATATTCGTATATTCATACATTCTCATTAATAACATAATTTCAATAAAGTATTCTTTGCAAATTCTAAATAGGGAAATCATATGAGCAGCCAATGACTATCAAAGTACAACATTGTTCACAGTCAATTAGAAACTGCTAATGTTACTTAGAAGTTATACTTGCATGCTAATTTTGATCGAATATTCAAAGTAACATAGTAAATAATCTAGAGACTTCTAAATAAACAAATGTGCGAATATAAAACCAACTTTACCTCTATTAAAAAAAAATCACGATTCTTGTTATTAGCCAGAATCGCGCAGCCCTGAAAGTCACAGACTTAAAAAAAAAAAAACACGTAAATGATCAATTACAATAGACTCAAAATTTTGAAGTCACGATGCGACTACTGTAAATTATCACATTGCAATATTGATGCTGAAACGATATATTGTGCAGCCATAATATAAAGGCAAATTAAATGTAACACTCACTGCTCCTAATGATAAACTTAAGTCACTTATAAAGCAAAAAGTTGGCCTGTGCAAGAAACTGAATATTATTCATTCATTTTCTTTTCGGCTAAGTCGCTTTATTAATCCGTGGTCGCCAAAGTGAAATAAACCAACTTATCCAGTATATCTTTTATGCAGCGGATGCCCTTTCAGCTGCAACCTATCACTGGGAAGGATATACACACACTTTCTCGCACACATACACTACAGACAATTTAGTTTATTCAATACTCCTGTACCGCATGTCTTTGGGAAACCCACACAAGTACAGGGAGAACATGCAAACTCCACACAGAAATGCCAACTGACCCAGCCGGGGCTCAAACCAGCAACCTTTTTGCTGTGAAGCGATCGTGCTATCCACTGCGCCACTGTGAACTAAATATAAATTACAATATTAATGCATTTAGCAACAGCCTCAGAAAAACTGGGTTAACTCTGTCTTGCCAGTACATATTTTATGCACTCGTTTATGAATCACCAAAGACCACAGTCTCCTTCATCCTTGATGACCTGAGGGCGAATAAATCAACAGCCTTTTATCATTTTTGGAAGAACTATCCCTTTAAACCGTGTTTAGAAACCCAGAGCAAGTTACGTTTAACTTAAAAACAAACCATAAAAATTTCAAATAGGAATAATAATCTAAATAAACTGATTAAATCCAAGTTAATCAGGAGCAACACAAAAAAACAGCATATTGTGTCTGTCAAACGTAAATACTGATCTGAGAAATTGATTCAGACATCCCCCTTCATTATTATAAATTTAAATCATACAAGATAATGTTCACCCTGTCCAGAAACAAAGTTGCACCATTATGATACATATATGGAACTGTAATAAAATACTTCCTCGATGAGAATAAAACACGACATGACGTCATGGCACGTCATCGCGGCAGTTAAACTGACAACATCAAGCCCCTTTGCATTGTTAGGACTCGAAAAAAACGTAAGACATGAAGTGCAGCTGCTCAAATCGAGGCACAGGGCTCGTCTAAACTAAACTCCTCCAAATCGCACCCCCTGTGCGGCAAACAAACATCCGTAACATATCGAAACTTTATTAAGACCGAAGTGTCACGCCCAAACTGCCATCCATTGTAGTTTTTGTCTGTATATTACATGAACATGATTAATGGAGATGACAGACCCAAACAAAAGGGTAACAAAATTGTCACCCGTCATCTTTGCACCACTTACCATCTATCAGCTGAACAGTGACGCCGTTAGTGTTGTGAACGCGCAGATGTGCATGTGTGATTTATTAAACGTTTATATGCGCGTGAATCGCGCGGACGCTCTGGAAGGGTCGCATTGTTTACAGCTCGGTTTGCGCATGCGCGTGGCACCCTCTGCGCACACTCAGTACGCCGGGCAAGGTTCATGTGTTTCAAACGCCGGGTAGAGTGGATCTTTTCAATGAATCACCTGAATCGATTCACAAAATAAGTTTGAATGATTCAATCGAACTTAATTCATTTTGGTCTGAAATCTGCTGTTAAGATGTATGATTGAAGAGATATCTTTAAATTAATGCACAAGTCCGTGTGGGTCAGTATTTGCAGAAATGTAAGATATATAACTTGTAATAATAATATTTAATATTTTAAACGAGTATATGGAGCTATGAGTCGAATCTATGAATCACGCAAACCGATTCACAGTAAATTTGAATAATTTAAACCAATTTTAAGCTAAAAATGTAAGTGTATCCACTTATCTTATCTACAAAAAAGAATAAAGAGATTAATTAATAAGTATAAACAGTCCTTATGTTATTTTGTAAAACTGCAGATCTGTAAAAAAAATAATACAAATGTACTTCTTGTAATTATTTACTATGAAACATTTTTTACATAACTTTGTGCATTATAGACATTTATTAATAAACATTCGGTGTAATGAGACCCAGTTATGTCATAAATGTAGTAATGAAAAAATGACAATTGTTTGAAACGAATTGTTCGAAAGAACCGATTCACATGACAACTTATCATCAGCTTTAACTCATATGAAGTCAAATCTGTGTTAATGACAACCAACAAAATAGCAATTAACAATAAATTATGACCTCATCACGTGGTATTTAACAATGACACATTGGACTCTGCTATGTGTGTGGGGGATGTTAAGTTATTAGCCTAATAAGAGAAGTTGATATATTACCTCAGCTTGTTTCTGCAAATTTTTGGAGGCTGCAGGTGGACATGAGCTCCAGACCAAAGAGCTCCTTACATGCTTACTTTCCATACAGCCATGCGAGCTGACATTTATTCTGGCAGCTAAATATCTCGCGCTCGACAACCGCCTTTTCTACACATGAACAGCGAGAGGAAAGCACAAGTGGAAATAGGAGGCTAAAACAAACCACGCTAGTTGTTTCAAAGTAACGTCTGAGAAAATGTGCCTCCCGGAAGTCTCTTTTACTCGACGAATCATGGTTTGCAGTTGAACGGGTTTCAGCAGCGCTACCAGGTGGCCAACTGTGTATATATTTTGACCAAAACTGAAGTTATATCGAAAATATTTTAGCCTGCCTTTGTTTTGAAATTATTTAAGAGTTTTTCAGGCAAGAATTCGGTTGTTTTAAACTCGAATTGGCAGTTTATTTACAAAGATATCGTAGATGTGCCTCTGCTTATGTGGACTCTGACCTGCAGCCTGTCAGCGGGAGCTTCGTCATCACCTCCCTCGCCGAGAGCAGCTTCAATCGGCCAGTCCATCACGGATGCACCGCTGGATTGCATCTGTCCATTAGTTAAAACATTTTTAATTCATCTTGTGTATATCTAATGGGCTATCTATTATTTTATCTAAATATCTATTATTTTTTTTCTCAGGTGTATTATTTTGGCAGTGTTATTTTCTTACGTGTTATAATTGTCTTTATGTTGTTGTACGATGTTTGTCTGTGTTTACCAAATTGCCTTACGTTATCTTTATTTCCTTTTGTTTACGTCTCGTACTTTATACTTGTATAATGTCCATTGTAACGTTAGTTTATTCAATCTAATAATCAAAGACACATTTTACTTTACATTTTTAGTAATTTGTTTACATTTTCCTAAATTAAAATATATTTATAGTATAACATCAATATAATGTTAATTTTAAGGCTGTGATTTATATCATTGAATCATTTTATTATTAATGAACAATTAAAGCGATGAATCTATACTGCTATTTCATTTGACAAAGAAGCGTCCTCGGGAGTTCTTCAAAGTCTGAACTTATAAGGAGGCAAGTCCGAACTTTGTGTACATTGTGTTGAAAAACAGCTTAGAATTTTACAAATATGAAAAAAAATACTTATTTTTTTTTAGTTATCCATGATAAAACAAACCAAAAAATTGAGAATCTGTTATAACTTTTTCAAATGAAACACTGGCCAGCTCATTCCCTCAGTCAGAATTTGTCCATTTAAATAATAAAAGCCTTCTTTTTTTCCTTAAAGCCTTCTTCTATTGGTTATTTTTAAATGTATGATGGCATATGGTCAAAATTGGACAAATAGGAAAAGGAAAATTCCTTTTCTTTTCGGCTTTATTAATCAGGGGTTGCCACAGCTGAATGAACCGCAAACTTATACAGTATATGTTTTACGCAGCGGATGCCTATCCAGCCACAACCTAACATTGGGAAACACCCATACACACAGGGAGAACATGCAAACTCCACACAGAAATGCCATCTGACCCAGCCAAGGCTCAAACTAGCGACCTTCTTGCTGTGAGGCGATCGTGCTACCCACTGCACCACCCATATTTCACACTTATATGTTTAAATGTATTTCAATGTCATCAAATGACTCATGTGCCATCTACAAAATGAAAAATGGAAGACAAGACGTGGTCATTTTACAGAATGATTTATATTTTACACTCAATATGATACATCCCATAAAAATGCAGAGCAAGCCAAGAATTAAAAGTCAAACTTTTTTTCCTCATTTATAAACATGGAACAGAAACTCGTGCTTTTAGTCAGTACAGTAATTACACACCGCAATTCCCTCCCTTTTTGCTGAATACAGTGCTCAGCATAATTGAGTACACCCCATGTTGAAAATTGTTTCCATTTCTTAGTGATTATCGGCAATGTATTTTGGTGCATTTAAACAAAACAGATTCATATCATATATTTATTTAAATAATATTTTACTCACCAAACATATTTAGAAATTGTAAGATAATACAATTAAATAGAAGCAAAATATTGCTAGTAAATTAAATAGTTGCAATTTCAATGATACTTTTCAATTCTTTTGCTTCTTTTGATTTTCCCTCTTTTTTTAAACTTGTATTTAATATTTTTCTATAACATATAAATTTGGCTGTACTAGTTTTTGGACCGTTATCTTAAGTTATCTTGTCAGATAAACTAAAGATTTAGCTTCAGTACTGACTAATCTGTATATGCACAAATATAATATTGCATATCCTGTTAAAAATATGAATTTAAAAGAGAGAATTGTGAAGGGTGTGCTTTTATATGCTGAGCACTGTATGTATTAATCTGTTAAAGGTAACTGATAGCGTGTAAAGCTTCATTTCCCATTTTGTCTTAATTATTTAAAGCAGTCCTCAAGGTTATTATTACCGTATACAGAGATCATTGTCATTATCTCAGAAAACACATCAAACAGTTCAAGCCCATAACACAGTTAAATCCAACTCCACATAGACAACCAACAGATGGAGTTTGGGAAATAAAGACATCAGTGGGGAAAGACAAAGAAACATCACACCCAATTGAAGTACATTATTCAAAATATCCTCCAATAATTAAGGCTTTAATGACGAACCGTCCATGAGAATATTGGGATGCAAAAAGCTTTAAATAAGTGAACAGTATCAACATGGGCAAAAAAATGGCAAAATCTCTCCATCAAAAAAGTACTATTTTACATATGTCCATACCTGAACGTCAGTAAGCTTGCTTTTTTCAGTTGTGCAATACAAGTCAACACCTTTCATTTATATATATATATATATATATATATATATATATTATAAATATATACGTACAACACACTCAGCAGCGCTTTCAAACTATTTTACATGATTTCCCAAGATCTCTCAAGAAAAATTTCATTCAAGCTATGATCTTTTTTGTTTAGTAGTATTTAAAGGTTTCTATTTTGGATCAATTTTAAGGCGCAGCCCAAGTGAGAACTAATCGAACTCAGCCACAATCAAAAAACCTTTTGTGTGGAATCATACACACACACACACACACACACACAAAAACAGACACTGGATGACCTGATATAGAACATCACCCTTCAAAAAAGGGGGCGCCAATACTTTCTCCCAGTCTCCCGCTTACATTCCCGGGGCTTCAGATCCTGAGTTTGAATCAGAAAGAGTCTGTCATGTGAACTGCAATATTATAAGGACATCCTCAAGATCCAGGTACAGTCCAATCTTACATAACAGTGGACTAAAATGCTGAGACTCATGGGTGAAGCGGTACACAGTGCAGAGTGTATGTAGACATGAAGTTGTTAGCATCGCTTTAGACTTGATGAGAGGCCTGAAAAAATTAAATATACAGTTTGTTTGCTTTATTTTGGGCTTGGTTAATTGTTATGGGGCCTTATTATTGATAACATTTGCATTATATTGCGTAAAATCAAGCATCTCTCCAGTGACCGAGTGAGAGTTCAGCTCATTCACAGGCACAGAGGAATGGAAGAACAGTTCAGCTGCTGATTTCTCCATGCAGGAAGATAGAACTACTGAAAGATGGTGGATATGTAGGATATACGCCTGACCAATACGGTCAATAGGTCACTAGTTACTATAACACTGGAATCCCTGGACATTTGCTGTGGATCACATTTGCTTATGACGCTGCTTTTTTTGTTTGTTTGTTTTAAAGCAGTCTAGCAGTAGCCCTCACAAACACCTCTTATGAGATGAGAAAGAAAACGTCATCAGATCTGCATGTAAAGTGGGCGACGACTGTGAAATTGTGGGATAAACAGACAGAGTGAGAGAGAAAGAGAGCAGCTCTATTGGTTAAACCAGAAATAAATAAGTAAACTCAACACAAACACCGAAACGACCCCTCGAAAATAAAGCTGTGGTATAAAGACTTTGTTTCACCCGAACACTTTGTTTCACCCGAAAAATCTTGGTAAGGAATACAGGATAAAGCCAAATATTGGCGGTTGATTAGAAACGTAAAAGTGCACATGAATATAAAAGTGAACTCTCTCTCTCTCTCCCCCTCTCCTCAGATAGTGTCTTTAAAGGATTGTTGTGTGCATTACGAAGGCAGCATCTCCTCCTTGTCTTCTTTATTAGAGGACTCGCTGCTGTCATGAAGGCCCAGTTTCTGGAGCTCGTCCTCTGGGCTGGCCAGCGACGTCACTGTGACCGTGTGTTCCTCCATCTGCTTCTGAAGGCTGTCCATCTCCTGCCTACGACAAATGACCATCAGAGGAGTGAGAATTGAGGCCAGTGCCATCTGTTGTGTGGTCGTGGTAGCGTTGTGTGTTTGAAATGGTGCAAAGGCTCAAATATGTGGTCTTTTTTCATGACTAATAATTTTGTTATGTACTTTTTTGGAAAGGCAGGGAATTAAATCTTGTGGCAGAGTTGTTCAAGAGCATGTAAAGTCTAAAAACTCATTCATTTTCGGCTTTGTCCCTTTATTAATCAAGGTTCGCCACAGCGGAATGAACAAAGAAACTTATCCAGCAAATGTTTTACGCAGCAGATGGCCTTCCAGCTGCAACCCATCACTGGGAAACATCCATACACACTCAAACAAACATCCAAACACACTTTTTAACAAGTACTTGTTTCCTATGAGACACGTTAAATTACCCGTTTCTACCAAATGCACTAATTCATTTTCTTTTCTTTTATTTTAAATTTTTTTAACTTATATTCAGTGATAAATATAAGAAATGTTTCTGAAGTGCAAAATAATAAATTAATTAAATATATATACACACAATTTATTTATTTTCTTAATTTTCTTAAATACAACTTATTTTTGCAGTTCAGAAACATTTCCTATATTTATCAGAGTAATAAAAAAAAAATTATATTAAAAAAATAATAATAATAGAAAAAATAAATACATAAAAAAAAATAATAATAAAAATATCATGTTGACCTAAAAAAAAAAAAAGAGCCTGCAACTAAGATTTCACCACACTTGTACTTCTTTAACAAGTAGTAAACTACTACTACTACTATTATTATTATTATTATTATTAATAATAATAATTTATTTATTTATATATTTTTTTACATAATGTAAAATCATTTTCCTTCGCTTGGTCCCTTTATTTTTCAGAGGTCACCACAACGGAATGAACCGCCAACTTATCCAGCATATGTTTTGCACAGCGGATGCCCTTCCAGCTTCAATCCAGTACTGGGAAACATCCATACACACTCATTCACACACATACACTACGGCCAATTTAGATCCAATTTATCTATAGCGCAAGTCTTTGGACTGTGAACTCCACACAGAAATGTCAACTGATCCAGCCAGGACTCGAAACAGTGACCTTCTTGCTGTGAGGCAACAGTGCTAACCACTGAGCCATTGTGTCGCCATATTATGTATGTTTTATTATTAATATTCAGCCTAATTATAAATTTAAAAATGTAGTTCTGATAGTTAAACAGTGTTATAGTGTACACTCTAACATCTAGCAGTAAGAAGTGTGCAGGTCTTACTTTAGCTGTTTCAGACAGTTGTGAAGGTTATTGAGAGGTTCTTTATTGACGGACGTCGAAGGCTTCAACAGTTCATCCAGAAGAGAAGCAGGAACAGGGCAGTCGGGGATTTTTACTGGCGTAACTGGGGTTGATTCCCCCTTCAGATCCATCCGCTGCTGTGGGGACAGAAAAAGGTAAAACAATATTTAACTACAAATTTACCAGTATATATTGCAAACATACTGCACTGTGTACATTTAAAACAGAAACAAAGCACTAGTCCTACCTTTCGAAGTCGGCTGTTTTTGAGGTCCTGTTTGAGCTGGTTGTTCTGCTGAAGAACGGTCTTCATGCTGTTCCTCAGCTCTCCCACTTTAGCCTGCAGCATGAATTTATCTTTGCGTGTGCCGTTGAGCTCCTCTTGCACCATCTCCAGCTCCACCTTTATCGTCTAGACATTGTATTGAACCAAAAAAAAAAAAGTCATAAATAAAGATCACTGTTCCATAAAAACATCCTCATTGGTATGAAAAAGGCCTTAAATTAAATCTGTGACTTTGTGTCTAAACTCCCCCTCCACACATAACTGCCTGTTCAGCTCCGCCCACCAATTTGCAATTTAATAGGTAAATAACAAAAGGGTAAATACAGGTATTCACAGAAACCATTAATGTGTAGTGCCTTCTTATCTTCGTTAGTGAAAAAACATAACCTAAAAATGCCAGCAGGGAACATTTATAAAGAGTAAAAGCTGTTAAATATACAAGCAAATTTAAACCAATTGTCACAGGTTTTCCTTAAAGCAGTGGTCACCAAACTTATTCCCGGAGGGCCGGTGTCCTGCAGATTTTAGCTCCAACCCTAATCAAACACACCTGAACAAGCTAGTTAAGGTCTTACTAGGTATACTTGATACATCCAGGCAGGTGTGTTGAGGCAAGATGGAGCTAAACACTGCAGGGACACCGGCCCTCCAGGACCAGGATTGGTGACCCCTGCCTTAAAGGGATAGTGCACCCAAAATGATTTTCTTTTCCTTTTATGAATACCAACAGATACTGATTTTCAACAATCTTCACAATATCTTCTTTGTGTTCAACAGAAATAGGAAACTTATAAAGGTTTGTAACCACTTGAAGATGAAAAAATAGTGAGAGTATATGCGGGAATCCTAAAGATAATTTCAATACATTTTTAAGACTTTTTAAAGACCATATCAGAACATTTTAAGACCTCATCACCACTTTAAACACTTTGGACTATGCTTGAACAAAGTTTAAGACCTCGTAAAAACGAGATTAAGACTTTTTAATACCTTTTAAGTGCCTCAATTTTCTCATAATTGATTTATTAACTTTTAATACTAAGACCCCGCATACACCTTGAGTGAGAAATGTTTCTTCGTGAACTACCCCTTTAATAACTAAAAATAAATAAATAAATTTAATATCCAAGCTGTTAGCCAATCACAGGGCTGGGAAAATACTTCTGAGTCTACAATCCACCACATTTATTCAAATGCTTTGCTTTTTTATAAAGGTCAGACGCCCATTGCTTATAAATTATGGAGTTCTTGATTTAAAAGTGATCATATTTAAACAGTTTTTTTTTATATAGTTTTCTTAGATACATGTATATGTTTTTCACACACGCACACACACACACACACACACACACGCACACACGCACACACGCACACACTTTTCTTTTTTTCCTCGTTATGAATTGGGGTTTGTGTGTCATTAAAGCATTTTTTTATTATTATTATTATTATTTTTCCTGTTACCAGACATACTGTACAAGGTTTTATCTTAAGATACCTTTTGTAATATCTGCAAAAATGTAAACAATAAATACAAAAAAATAAAAATTTAATTAGTTAGTTGTAGTAACATAAGTAAAGAAGAACAGTACAAAATAAATAAAGCCCCTTTAAAATAAAGTACTGAAGAAAACAGTGCACCTGTAGCATGTCCTGCTGGCTTTGCATCTCTCTCTGGTGACACTGCTCTACCATCTCTAACTGCTGTTTCTGAGCCTCCATCTCCCTCTGCTTCTGCTCCACCTCCCACTTCAGATCCTCCACCTGCAAGGAGATGCAACATTCAGTCATACTATATGCAAATGTATGGTGGTTACAGTCCAAAGTTCTGTGACCTCAGCTCAATACGGTCTATACTTTTAATCTTCAAGAAACATTTCAAAGATTTAATAATTGAAAGACTACTAAATCTGAATTTAGACTACTAAATGCTGTTTAATTTGCAATTTCATTGTCAAAGTGCACATCCCTTGCACCAACAGCCTCACCCTTCATCCCAAACAGAAAATTTGTATATCATTTCTCACTCTCCACTTGTACCAATTTTATTTGAGTTTCTTCAGTTTTCACAAGCAAGACAAATTTAGAAAAAGTTTGGAACCCTTTAGAGATTAACTAGGCATTTTAGTAGTATTGTAAAAATGTGTTTTAATATTATTCAGTACAATGAAAGTCGATGTTTACTTACTAAAATTCTTCAAAATATACATATTTTTTATGCTCTACAGGTTTGAAACCACTCGAGAATGAGTAAACAGTGAGTAAATTTTACTTTTTGGATAAACCTTTAGGAGACAATTTTGTTCCTCATCTACTCTTCCATATTAATGCTTCAAATATCCTTAAATATTCTGAAGATTTTAGGAGAAAATAACATATAAATGTGTTTTTCAGTGACAAGTTGTGTTTGAGTGTGCTCCCTAGGAATAAACTTCATAACTTATAACTGAATGCATGTAAACAGAATACAATGTTAAGGCATGATTGGCATATATTTTGCCACCAAGCCACACTGTACCTCTTGGTTAGTGACGGGCTGTTTATTGAGCTCATCATCAAGCTGTTTTTGAAGGATCTGAAGTTGAGTGTGAGCGTCAGCTAATTCCTCCCGGAAACGAGAAACCTCTTCTGAGTGCTTCTCATCTTGAGCTCTGTCAGAGAGAAAAATAAAAACATTTTACAAAACACCACAACACAATCTGAGAGACATTGATTGGAATAACAGTGTTATAAATCAACTAACGGAGTTATTATTATGTTTTAGTTATTTGTTGGCCAGTTGTGGTAAATATTAAAAGCTCTAAACCAGGGGTGCTCAACCCCGTTCCTGGAGATCTACCTTCCTGCAGATTTCAGCTCCAACCCTGATCAAACACACCAGAACTAATTAATTAGGACCAGAACAGTACTTGATAATTACAGGCAGGTGCATTTGATAAGGGTTGGAGTATTGAAGGGCTGAAATTTGCAGGAAGGTAAATCTCCAAGATAGGGCTGAGCACCCCTGCTCTAAACCATCTATTATATGTTATTGTTCCACAATAGAAATTATAACACTTACTATAAAATATTAAATTTGATGGATGACTCTTCTATTGTTCCATAGCAACATTAATATAGTAGAGTACGTTTTATGATAACAATAATTTGTTTAATGTTATCTAATATACATTCTTGTAAGTTCTTTTTGTCATTTTTCTTTTAAAAATATAATAGTTACTTTCCTTGGTAATTAGATACTTTTATAACAATTATAATTGAGTTACTATTTGTAAGTAATAAATAAGTGTAACTAATTACTTGTAGGTGTAATAACATATCCAACATATTTGTACAATTTGACATTTTTCTTTAAAAAAAGTAACACAAAAGTTACTTTCCCTGATAACTAGTTACTTTTATAAAAGGTGTAATTCAGTTACTAACTTAGTTACCGTTTGTGAGAAGTAACTAGTAACTCAATTAGTAACTGAATTACACCTTTATAAAAGTAACTAATTACCAGGCAAAGTAACTATTATGTTACTTTTTTAAAGTAAAATGTAAAAATGAAATAAAAAAAATCTTGTATTAGTAATTACACATACAAAAAGTAATTACTGGTAGTCTTACTTACCATTTGTGAGAAGTAACTAGTAACTATGACTACCGGTAATTACTTTTTGTATGTGTAATTACTAATACAAAATTTTATTTTTACATAAAAAAATATTTGTGAAACGTAACTAGTAACTATAATTACTTTATGTGCAATTACTAATTCAACATACATGTATGTGTTATGCGTTTTCTTTTTAAAAAAGTAATGCAGTAGTTACTTTCCCTGGTGATTAGTTTCTTTTTTAACAATGTAATTCAGTTACTATTTGTAAGAAGTAACTAGTAACTGTAATTACTTTTGTACATGTAACTACTAATAAAACATACATTTAGTTTTTTAGGTTATTACTTTTTTTAAAGTAATGTAACAGTTACTTTTCTTGGTAATTTGTTACTTTTATAGTGGTGTAATTTAGTTACTATTCGTGAAAAGTAACTAGCAACTGTAACTAATGCCTTTTTGTATGTGTAATTACAAACTTAAAAAACATTTAGTTTTTTAGGTTAATAAATAAAAAAGTAATGCAATAGTTACTTTCCCTGGTGATTAGTTACTTTTATAACAATGTAATTCAGTTAGTATTTGTGAGAAGTAACAGTAACTATGACGACCGGTAATTACTTTGTACGTGTAATTACTAATACAACATTTTGTAATTTTATTTTTACATAATAAAAAAAAGTAACACAATAGTTACTTTTAGCTGATAATTATTTACATTTTAACAATGCAATCGAGTTAATATTTGTAAAATGTAACTAGTAATTATAATTACTTTTTGTAAGTGTAATTACCAATTTAACATACATTTTGTATGCTTTTTTTATCATTCGTCTTTAAAAAAATAATGCAGTAATTACTTTTCCTGATTAGATACTTTTAACAATGTAATTCATTACTATTTGTTAGAAGTAACTAGTAATTGTAATTACTTTTGTACATGCAACTTATAATACAACATACATTTAATTTTTTAGGTTATTACATTTTTTTAAGTAATGCAATAGTTACTTTCCCGGGTAATTAGTTACTTTTATAATGATGTTATTCAAATATTATTTGTGAGAAGAAACTAGTAACTGTAACTAACTACTTTTTGTACGTGTAATTACTAATTCAACATACATTTTGCAAATGTTTTTTTTTTTTTTTTTCTTTAAAAAAGTAACATAATAGTTACCTTCCCTGGTAATTAGTTACTTTTGTAATGATAAAATTCAATTTCTATTTGTGAGAAGTAACTAATAACTGTAATTACTTTTGTACATGTAACTACTAATACAACATACATTTAGCTTTTTAGATTATTAAATAAAGTAATATAATAGTTACTTTACCTGGTGATTAGTTACTTTTATAACAATATAATTCTGCTACTATTTGTGAGAAGTAACTAGTAACTGTAACTAATTAACTTTTGTAGGTGCAATTACTAATTCTACGTACTTTTAGTCAATTTTGTTGACATTTTTTTCTTTTAAAGTAACACAATAATTACTTTCCCTGTTAATTATTTTAAAGCAATGTAATTCAGTTACTATTTGTGAAGTAACTAGTAACTGTAACTACCTTTGGTGTGTGTAAGGACTAATACAACATACATTTTGTAATTTTATTTTACTTTTTTTTTTTTAAGTATTGCAATAGTTAATGTCCATAATCTAGGTAATTAATTACTTTTATACAAAGGTATTTGAGCTAACATTTGTGAGAAGTAATTAGACTCTATAACTAATAACTTACTGTACGTGTAGTTACTAATTCAGCATTCATTTTGTACATTTTTTCTTTTTTAATTTTCTTTTGAAAAACACAACAGTTACTTTTCCTGATAATTAGTTACTTTTATAACAATGTAATTTAGTTACTATTTGTGAGAAGTAACTAGTAACTGTAACTAATTACTTTTTGTAGGTGTAATTACTAACTCAACAAACATTTTTAAACATTTTTTTTATAAAAAGTAAAACAATAGTTAATTGTTTTAATTACTTTTATAATGATATTATTCAATTACTAACTCAGATACTATTTGTGAGAAGTAACTAGTAACTACAACTAATTACTGTAAGCAATGTCCCCAAAACTGCTGATCTCCACATTATTTCACAACCATCATTACATCATTCTAGAATATCTGAGAGGTTTTAAAGACATATAGCAGAAGTTCTGTTTTGAGTTTCAGAAGCAGCTGTGATCCTGGAAAACAAGACTTACGCTAGTGTCGTAGCTTCTTTCTCTAAGGCTTTGACAAGCTCTTCTTTGGCCTGCAGATCTTTCTTGATCTCGCTGAGCTCCAGCACGGCTGCTCTGTAGTGCCTGCGGTTGTGGGCTGCCTCCAGCTTGGCCTCAGCCACCTGAACAAATCATGCAAACACACAGTTCTCACACAAATCCACGAACAATACAAATAAACCTATTTCTTCAGGAGTTCTCAAGGGCAACTGCGAATGTCATGCAGCTGTTAAATCATGCATCAACCTGCTCTGTCAGATCCTTGACTTTTATCTTCTCCTTCTCCAAAGCGGTCTGCAGCGTCTGCACCAACTGTCTCATCTGCTGGTCTTCCTCTTCTTTACGCTTCAACACTGCTTGTACCTGGAGTGAAAGATCATAGGGATGTTAAAACAAAAGCACAAGATAAATGCTTATTTTGACCACTTATTTATTAAGTTATGGCATGCCTGCAAGTTGAGCTGGACAAGATCTGCTTCTCTTTTTGCCAATGCAGCCTCTAGAATATTGGCATGTTCCCGCAATGCACTGTGGGATTTCCCAAGGCCGGAAAGTTTCCCTTTCTCATGCTCCAGTTCGAGGGCAAGCTTCTTATTAGCATCCTCCAATCGACGGATTCTCTTTTTAAAATTTCTTGATTCTTGAAGCTGTGTGGCAAAGAAGAAAGAATGGTTATACCCACAAATTGCAATGTATTGTACATTTGTTGAATTCAGAAATATAAATATGGGAGTACGCATATGGATTACAATCACAATAACTCCACAAATATACAGTATACGTACCGCTCTGCAACTGTACATCATAATTTTGCTTCTATTTATGATAACTGCACTCCAGAAAATGTCATCAATATTTATGTATTTTTAAAAAATATATATATTTTTACAAACATTAAAAGCACTACATTTTCACTTTCATTAAAAAAAAAGTTTGGTTCAGCAATTTTATGTTTTTGAAAGAAATGAATACTTTTATTCAGCAATGACACATTAAACTCACTAAAAGTGACTGTAAAATGGTGCAAATTTTAAACTTTCTGTTCATCAAGGAATCAGTGACAAAATGCACCACTTTCAAGCATTTTCAAGATTCTCGATAAGAAATGTTATTGAGAAACAAGTTACAATGAAACGAAAGGTGACATTAAAGATAACAAATGATGCTGAACATTCACCAGGAATACATTTAAAATTAAATACATTGTAACAATTGAAAATATTACAGTTTTATTGACCTTTTTCTTCACTTATGAGTGGGTGCAACCATTAGAATATTTTTGGCTCGAGACTTCCGGTCTCATTCACTTCCATTGATTTTTAGACAATGAAAACTGCTTTTTATGCTGCTATATGTTGCAAACTGATATTTTCATATTAGATTGTTTTTTTATGTATAGTCATAAACACACTTGTTTGTAAAGCAAGTAGTTAGTCAGACTGACATTTATTATTCCTAATCATTTCTCCCATAGGTGACTGAATCAAAAGTTCTGAGTATTGACCGATAGAGATCCGATCCTGATACTGTGCTGCTTTTGTTTTGTTTTTTTCTTAAAGCATAATACTGTTTCTGTAGTTCTGGTGACAAACTCAAATTTATGTCTTCTTTAGTAAAAATAACAGACCCATAGGCCTAATGTACACAATCTAACTAAAAACATGATGCTTGCTGTAAACTGGGCTACATTATTTGAGCATTCATCATGACATTGATCTGTTGTGGTTCAGCTTATGTTTCTTTTTTAATATTAGGATTTTTCTTTAAAATCTGTAATAGGCCACCACCATTAATCTGAAGTCTGATATTTTCCTACAGGTTTGAAGCAGACTAAACTAAACTGTATGAGACCAGTTTTACTAATTAAATATTCCCTTTTCTGTTAATGACAATCCATATTGCACTTGTCAGTTTCACTTTTATTTATTTAAAATCAACTACTTTGACCACAATCAGCCAGGCTTTACAATCTATTCGCAGCACTGAAAGTATTCCTCTCGGATGGATAAACTCAGTCGGAAGGAGGAGAGAACAGAAACAAATTGTGAGAATAGTTTTACAGAGCGGCGCACGTTACGTCTGTGCAGCCGGTGCAGGAATGAAGCACTTGATGCATCACCGAGACTCACTTTCAAAACTGAGCAGCACAAAGGGAAGAAATCAGTGCGTTAAGGATCTGTCAAATATATTATTGAGCCTTTTCTAATTGATAATTTCAGGAAGGCCTACTTTGTGTGTGAAGAGCAGGTAAAAACCCTCTCTACTCCAGTGGTGCTAATGTGATCTGCTGATAACAGCTACAGTGCAACATATAGAAAAAGCAATGAACTCCATGTTGCAGGTCAAAACGAACCCATTTATTGCAAAAATGAATCCATTTCTCCACTAATTATTGAAACTAACAGGAACAAGTCTTGGAGAAAAGATTGAGTTGCCATGAACACGACATGCAGTTTGAATTGTGATGATTGACAGACGCAGCGGCGGGAAGCACTGAAGTCAACATGACAATAACCACAATCTAACCACTTGAATATTCATCTGTGCTTCACATTAAACCAGTGGTGGGCAAACCTTTTAGACGCGAGGGCCACATCAAGTTTTGCAAACCAAGTGAAGGGCCACATGTCAAATTCTTCAAAATATAACTTTTATTTATAGTGGCAGTATACATGGAACATGTAATATCAGACAGAAACACGTCACATTAACACAAAACAGATTTTTTTTAAATAGTTATTATTGAGTCAAATTTACAAGTCAAAAGAATTTGCACTGCTATTTATATTTATCATCACTTATTTTTCATAAAACAATAAAATAATTCCTTATATAAAATAATAATAATAATAATAATAATAATAATAATAGTTCTTAAAGCGTCACGAAACACCAAAACACATTTTTTGAGCTTTTGACAGTCGTATACGTGTCCCACACTGCTAAAAAAAACTATTAGGACACCTATATTTCACTAAAAAGTGTAAATTGGTTGTTTTTGCGTTATTTCAAGCAAATTCGTACTTCCGGTTTGAAACGAATTTTTGAAGCTGCGTCACGGTCATGACATAATAGCGTTGTATTTCAGCGTGCAGACTGGGCGTCTGTGCCAGAGTGAGTCTTATTACGTCTTACAGCCTGCTGCATTAATGCATGAGTAAGGCTTGGTTCAAACCAATCAGCGTGCTCTATTGTGCAACTTTATTAATATTCATTACTGTCACAATGTTTAGACGACACTCACACCACGTTGTATTGGCAAAACAAGCGTGAAGTGTTGCTTTTATAGTTTGCTGCAGTTAAGTTTCGTTTTCATTTTCTCTCTGTGAGAGCTCAGACTCACGTGTGGATTAACAGTGTGCGCGACGCTCGACAACAATAACTCACGTGTCTAAGGAGGATTATTGTTTACCTGAGTGCTGTTCTCATCTGCAAACGCTGAGATCCGGATTCGCTTGTAGTATTCTCTTCATAAAGACGCGGCTCTAGTTGCTAGTGATTGTCCTGTCTCTACAGATTTGGTAAGTGAGTGACCAGTGCTCTTTGTTTATTCAGTTTGTTCGTATCGAACTAAGTTAACTATTGCACCGAGTGTAAACATTTTAGCACCACAACCAAACTTTAACCTCGTGTAGGGTTTTTACCGCATTTAGTGACCGGAATAACACACGCGGCTTTCTGACGCTACCTGCCGTGTGCATCTAAGTTTCCGGGAAATGCTGAGTTTTTTTCCTCTCATTCGCCGTGCGGTATGAAACATTGCATGAAAAATACACGCTTAGAGCAGCTCCTCGAATCAAATATCTCGTTTGTCGCAAGGGGCATAAATGAATTCCCTGAATGAAAGAGCCAAACTGCAGTTAAAGTCCACTATTTAATAATTTGGCAAATAATTTGACTACAGATGTCCATGTAGGTTAAACACCATCACTTTCTACTGTGTGTGTGTGTGTGTGTGTGTGTGTGTGTGTATTTTGACTCAAACTCGCGCGTGCCCAAATAGACACTCCCACACCATCCCACTTTTCTTCCTCCGACACTCCCCCCTAAACAGAGCTGGACACGCCCACTTTTCTGACTTTTTCCCAAAGTAGAGGTGTGAAAACACCCTGCTGAAACGAGGGGGTTTAATGGCCCTTAAAAGTTTACTATTCAGTCAAATTTACAATAATCTATTTTGCACTGCTTTTAAAATATACAGATCAATCATAATAAAACTTGATAAAACCACAAATCTTTGATAAAAGAACTTTTTAAAGTGGATGTATGCATGGAAAATATATTCAATGACAAAAATTAACACATTTAACCACCAATAATTATATAATTTGAGTCAAATTCACAACAATCTCAATGGAGCTTGTATTAATATGCTCATATCAATCATTATAAAACTATTAGATAAAACGGAAGAAGAAGAATCTTAGTCTTATTCCAAATCATGTTATTATGAGTGTGTGATTGTGAACAATGAGCCTGAAAATAAAGTTAGATGAATATCAACAGCAACACTCTCGCAAAATACCTATCTGATTCAGTCGTTGCCTAACAACATAAGAAAATCGCACCGCGCTTCTTTTTTTCCCCAACAAAAAGGCAGTGCGGTGCACCTCGCGTTTTTGGAACGTAAATGCGTGTTTGGTGCAATCGGCCCCTTAGGGCAATACTTTATTGGCATATTAGACCTACCACTTTCTTTCTGAAATTGGTGAAGAAGTATTTTGTTGTCCATTTTTCCTTAAACACACAACATTCAGAGTCCATTATTTTTGCCTGACTCATTTTCAGTCATTAAAGGTCGAGTGCATTATAATATCAGAGAGTGTGTTCTAATTCTGGTTGCATTAACTGTACTGCATGCAATACTGTAATCAAATGGCGTTCACTTGTATTGAATCATTAATTTATTAATTCTGAAACCAAACCGTTACTCAGTAGCAGCAATTCTCACGGGCCGGATGAAAGTGTTCAGCGGGCCGCATATGGCCTACGGCCTGTAGTTTGCCCACCTCTGCAATAAACTATAGAATGGCTTCAGAACATTTGGGATATAGTAGGCCTACATGACAACTTTCTAGTGGCTTATAATAGGCTACCCTCATGGCTTTTGTTGTCTTATAAATCATACAGAATATAGTGCACGCACAAGGTCAGATTTGGATCAGTACCAGCTGGCTAAACTCAATCCAGTAAAATATACGGTATCGAACCAATATCCAATCCAAGTATTGGGATCGGTGCATCCCTACTGTTAACTCTAAAAATGCAGCCTTGGTAAGCATAAATGAATTCTTTCAAAAACAATTTATAAAAATGCTATTAAGTGCAAACATTTGAAAAAATATTAACTATAATTTGTTGACCTCAGATGAAGCATGTTTAAAAATGTTACTCGCTAATAACCCCTACTGCTTGCTATTTTGAGGAAATGGTCTTTTATTTGCTTTCTCTCACCTCATCCTCCAGTTCCAGCACTTTCTCCTGGTACTCCTCCAGCTCAGTGCTGGTGAGGGTGATGACCTCCTGGAGCTCCTTCTCCAGCATGGCTTTACTCTGGCTCACTGCCTGAAGCTCTCCCTGCAGGCTCTTCACCTTGGCCTGAAGCAAAGACAACAAATACACAAATCAAACAGTTAACAGAAACTACGCTGCATGAAACCCCTGCAAGGATACAAATATTCAACAGTGTGAGCTGGAGAAAGTGGGTCTTAAAAGGACAGTTGACCCAAAAATGAAAATTTACTCAGTATTTACTCCCCTTCAAACCATTAGTTTTTTCTGTTAAACACAAAAGTAGTTATTTTAAAGAATGTTAGTCACTGGACTCCTATAGAAGATAAAACAAATATTATGGAAGTCAATGGTAACAGGTTTCCAACATTTCTCAAAATAACTTCTCTTGTGTTTAACAAAAGGAAGAAAGTCTAACAGATTTGGAACAAGTGAAGGGTGAGTAAAGGATGACAGAATGTTCAGTTCTGTGTGAACTATCCCTTTAAGGTTTTCAGGACACTTTTTATTTTGTCCACTATCAGTTTACCTGAAGTTCCTGGCTATTTCCCCCATCTGCAACCTGAGCTTTAAGTTTGTCAAGTTCAGCCTCTGCTGTCTCTTTGGCGGCGAGGGCTTCCTGTAGCCTGCGACTCAAAATGCCAACTGCATTCTCATAGGCCTTGTGCTTGGCCTTCATCTCTTTCTGCGCGCTGGTCAAATCTGTGCCCAAACGCTTCATCTTCACCTTCTGCTCTGAGATAGCCCTGGAAGAGGAAAGAGCAGGAAACATCATCTTAATAAGTTCATTTTTTTGGTCTACTTCATCATTAAACTCTAGAAATTTATTTAAGAAACTGTGGAAACAGAAAAAATGCATCCCAGTTCCTCATGCTTTAATGCTGACATGCAGGATCAGAAGTAAACACACTTGAGCACTCGTGTGTATGTGTGTCACTTCATGCATCCATAATGTCAAAGACATCAGCAGCGATCGCTATGGAAACCCTTATGGCAGGAGAGGCGGTGCGATTGTGACTCACGTTCTGGCTTCATTTTGCATTTGTTCAACCCTCTTCCTCAGATTTTCATTTTCTTCGGTCACTGCCGCCAGCTGGTTCTGGTCAAACTGAAGGGACTGGAGAAACAACAAGAGTGTCAAAATACGCTACATATACACAAATACTACAGTTCACAAAATTATGGGGTCAATGTATATACATACATAAGCATAACCAAACGTTGTGAACGTATGATGCAATAACGCTCTTAAATTAAAAGAATAGATGTCTATGGTGTTATTCATACAGGCCCATTTCATTATGGGGTAATACGACCTCTTATGTAAATCTGATATATAGCCATATATAAACATAAAACATAAAAGTTTTGCTATTATATTTAGCTATCATATATTTACATATTTAAATATAATTTCAATAGCTGAAATAGAATGTAAACGGACAATTTTGGTCTATGGTTTTATTGATAAGATAAATATAGCCATGAAACTTTTTTGTGTGTTGCTTTTTCCTGAAATCTGATATATGACAATATATGGTAACCACATAAAAGACATACAAGTTCAAGTTTGGATTTTACATATATAAAATAGATTTCACATATGCAACATATTTTAAAATATTACAAATATTGTACAACAATTGTCTGTTTATATTTTATTTTCAACCACTGAAATTACAAATATGTACATATATATTAGTTGAATATATTAGCAATACTTTTACATACACATGTTCATAAATAGCCATATATCCGATTTCTATATGGGGTCCTATTACCTCATAATGAAATGGGCCATCCAATTAGATTTAAGATTCAGAGTCTGTCCAGACTGGCTTTGTTGCACAATAGGGTGAAATTGGTGTCACTATAGCACTGAAAGTGGTGTTGAAAACCAGTGTGAAAACTTCAGTGTTCAATGAATTATACCATGAATTAGCCATGCTAATAAAAACACTCTCTGAATTTGTATTGTAATTGTAATTGAAAGTTTAATATTAACAGTAACCAGACATAGAAAATTCTGTAACATTATAAGAGTCAAATTTACTAACAGCTTGTATTTTTAAAACATGTGCATTTAAGAATGGCACTGAGTAAGGCATGAACAAAAGCGCTTTTGCACGTGACCTTACTGAATATGCATTTGTAGGAGTTTCCTGGTCATTCAGACTCAAATCTCAAAGGAGGAGATGATTTACTAACATTTGCGGTTTTCAAATTGTGTATTTGTCTATCGAAGACACAAACCACTTGTCAAAATGTACATCAAAATGTATATCTTTTATGTACATCTCACATAAATAAAGTCGAATATGACTAAGTAAATGCAAGGTGTACAAGTTGAGCTTACGGGTAAGCTTGTCTATTTTGATATTATGCCTAATTTTGGACCAATACATGAATAAATAGGCCAACATAAAATTAAAGTATACTTTTGATCAATTTGTACCATAGCTACTTTTATTAAATAATATATTTTGTATGAAGTATGCCAACTTTTACATCTTGAACAACAATAGCACCTGCAATATATAGAAAGAATATATCGTGTCTGGTCATCATAAAAATCTTGTGCACCCAAAAGATTATTAAAGCCACTGTGCTGCACTTATTGTGTTGGTCAATTTGTAAATGAGATAGAACCTCAGTGCTCACTAATATGTGAGTTTACTGTACTATCACTGTTAATTAATTAAATGCAGCCATTATTAATTTTAAAAAGAATGCAAAAATGCTGCATCTTTGCATCTGGAGTGAACTCATCCATTATGCGTTGTGTGTGTACCTGCAGTTGAGAGTCAAGTTGATCTCTTTCTGTCTGTACAGATTGTAAATGTGCTTCCAGACCGTTCATCTGCTGCTGGACTCTCTCCACCTCCTTCTGCAGGCGAGCTTGTTCCTGCACGGCACTTTTCTTTTCCCCCTCCGTTTTCAACAGCTCCTGTTTCAGGTCCTTCACTTCTGCCACCAGACGCTTTTTAGAAGCCTTCAGCTCAGAGATCAGCTGCTCTTTGGAGCTGGCATCCCTCCTGTAAGCTTCAACCATCACCTGCAGAAAGAGTAGAAGCGAGTGTAATCCATGCGGGTGAGTGGGCTTGACAAACCACCTGTAGGAGACACACTCTCACACTCTCCTCTCCATATGCAGGAGATACTTTCCTTCTGTTACAAGAACTCAATTACAACAATATTAACTTCTAAACCAACACTAGACTTGTCATGGAATCTATATACTTATGCTTTGTGGTGATTTTAAGTGCTCTTTTATCCTCATTTGTAAGTTGCTTTGGATGAAGCAATAAATAAATGCAAATGTAAGCTGATCAAGTTCAATTTAACTATTTTTTGGTCCATTTTGCAAAAAATAGATGTATATTTTTGTGTTTAGAAAAATATTTAAACCACATCAGACTAGGGATGGGAAGATTAACCGATATGTATCGATACGCGGTCATGCGCGTGCACGATGCGAGTGCATCGGTTGAGCAGCAGAGGATGAATGAAATTTTGGAAGCAAATCGAGATGCATCGGTTTTTGCGAGATGCATCGATTTTTCCGAGATACAGCTTATATTTTTAATATAGAATGTATTTTTTATTTATTAACAAGTGTTGTCAACCTGTTTTTGGCGCATAATTTAATCGACCTACATAAAGTAAGCCTTAGCAACGGATTTGCGGATGTGCACACACTACAACTCAGTGTATCAGGTGTGCGGATGAAGCTAGTGGAGCGCCCTCAGAAAGCGCGAGAAGCAAAACAAACATTTTATTCCCCACTGAGTTTTAAATCTAAAGTATGGCAAGCAACATTATGGATTTAAGGATGGACGACATGACAGGACAGATGCAATTTGCAAAATGTGCCGCGCATCTGTAAAATACGCGGGCAGTACGACTAATCTGAAATCTCACTTGAAGCGGCGCCACGGTGTTGTTGTGAAAGCATCTTCCAGTGTTTCTGCATCCCCGGCTTTCGCACTGCTTCAACCAGCTCCAAAAGTGGTGAGAAAAGCATTGCAAGTTTTTTTTTCCATGCGCAACAGTTCTGCTCGCTCTACGCCAATAACGAATGCTATTGCATTGTTCATCTGCAAAGATATTCAGCCTAGTGTCATGGAGAACGAAGGTTTTAAACACCTCCTCCTGTTAATTTTTATTTAATTATAATAATAATAATATTAATAATAATAATGATAAAAATAATTGGGTGTCACGGTGGCACAGTGGGTAGTTTGACCACCTCACAGCAAGAAGATTGCTGGTTTGTTATATTTTTATTAGCCTGTTGTTTACAGTGACAGTGATGTTTCAAAGCAGCATAACACTGCTAGTTCACAACCTTAAGTTTTGAATAATCAGTGGCACAATATATCTTTGTAAAACTTGTTTTCATAGTTGAAAAGTTAAATCACAATTCTTGTTGTGCAATGCTAAATTTATTTATGTTGAAAGAGTGCAAATATATACATATTTTTTTAATATATATTGCACTTATACATTCTGTTTATCTTGAAAATACTTAAATAATATGTGCTATAGGTTCTAAAATGGCCCTCTACTGTAAACTGACACTCTGGCTCTGAGAGAAGAGCCAGTTTGTAAAAAAAGTCTTGGTTTTGCTTGGTTAATAAATAATCAAACTCATTCAATGGCACAGCATCCTCTTTCACATAATCTCATAAACTTGATCTAATAAGTTAGTGCTGAAATATCGCATCGTATCGTGATATGGGTGTGAATCGTATCGTGTTGCATCGCAATATGTCACAAATGTATCGCTAATATATCGGATCGTATTCTTTGTATCGAGATGCGTATCGGATCGGCATTATAGCTTAGATGCCCAACCCTACATCAGACACATTTTACTGCCTTACTAAAGAAAAAAAAATGTATAAACATGACAAAATCATGGACAGTTATATTTCCACCAATGCTTTTCTATGGTGTCTACATTGATGTGTTTTTCATTTGATTGTGCAAAACCATATTCAAGAAAATTTAGGCCTTAAATATAAAATATAATTTTTTTTTTTAAAGAGGACAATGATTTTTTACAGCTTTAATACAATAATCTGAAAATTTCTGTTATTCGTACAATTCAGTTTAATTCTTTTAAATAATTGAAAAAATAAATAAATTATAAAGTTCTCTCTTACTCTCTGTAGGTTTGTGTGTGTGTGTTATGTATTATCAGTAATTAATAATATTAATATTTAATTTTTAGTAATTAATATTATTCTGATTCTTCTATAAAAATATTTAAATTACATAAATTACATATTAAACAAAATATTAGTTAACAAAATAATAAGAAAAAGTGGTTATTAAAAGAACTACTTAGGAGTTAATTAAAACTTGTTTATAATTAACCAAGACATGATTTATTTGAGAAATTTGCAGACTTTTTTCCTTTTTTTTATACATGTATGACTGAAAAATGAAATATGTATCATCAAATTAAATGTGATAGTAGATTGTGTTAAAGGTGTGTAATCCAAAATGCATTTTCAAATGCACAAGTCTAACATTTAAGTCAAAACATTTGAAGGAAGTGAGATCTTTAGGTCAACCAACCTTTTGCTGCATGAACTGCTCTTTCAGTTTCTGTGCTTGCTTTTTAAGGGTGCCATTCTCATGTTGTAGAGCTTCAATCTTTTTAGAGAAAAAAATGCAATCACATCCAGTTCTAAAACTCTTTACTCAAGAGCAGTTCATCATTTAGTGACTCACAAATCTCACCTGTGTCGCTTTAACCTGTACTTCCTGTCTAAGCTGGTCAAGAGTGTCCGATGCCACCAGCACTTCCTCGCCAAGCTTTTCCGCTCCCTCATCAAGCTCGCTCTTATCAGCCCGTGCGGCCTGTAGAGCCACTTCCAGGACTATTTTTTCATTTTGCAGATACTGCAGGGTTTCCTCTTTAGCAGAGGCGTCTGTCTGTAGCTCCTCCAGCTGGACCTGGAGCTCCTGATAGCGGGCCTCCAGCTGATTAAGGGCCTGTTCTTTGGTTTGGAGGGTCTCCTGAGTGGTGGTGAGCTGCTTCATCAGTTCTAGGTGCTCGCGCTGTAAAGACTCCAGCTGGGAATCTTTTTGGAAGAGAACCAGTTTGACCTGGAGGGAGAAGAATCAGTGTTTGAGTCATTAGCAGTGTTTACAAACAATTTTGTGAATTTATATTATTTGCAAGATTCAAATATTCTATAAAACATTTGCAAATAAAACATTTCCATCCCATGTTTATTAACTGTTTACATACAATATTGTGAATTTACATTATTGCAATATTAAAAATGTCAGTTCAGTTTCAGTTTCCTTTATTCTGTCATTCAAAACATCACAGTAGATGTAATGCAGAAAGAAATTACATTAGATCAACACCCATATATATAAAATTACAAAAGCTCATTAATTCTGTTGGTTTTCTGATGCTTTTTTGTTCTTTCTGGATGTTGATCTAACGTTATTTCTTCCTACTGTGATGTTTTAAATGACTATATATATATATATATATATATATATATATATATATATATATATATATATATATATATATATATATATATATATATATATATATATGTATGTGTGTGTGTGTGTGTGTGTGTGTGTGCGCGCGTGTGTGTGTGTCTGCGTGTGTGTGTGTGTGTGTGTGTGTATTTATGCATGCATGTATGCATCTAAATATAAATATAAATATATAGTTATTTAAAATAGAAATCAATTAAAAAATTTTGATATAGGATTTAATAAATCCTTAAATAATTATTTCACAGTTTGCTATATTAGTTATGATACTGACATATGCGCTAATTTAACTGTTTATGCTCTTTTTATTACATAATGTCTATCAGTAAAATTTTAAATGTGGTCCTGTTCAAAAGTCTTATAATAACAGGATAAAAACTCATAACTACACTGATCTACTCCTCAGTCATATAAAACACTTCCATCCCATGTGAAGGAACATCATGGGAAAACTAGTGCATTTTACAAATAATTGTAAATAATTATAAATAAATAAATAAATATATATATATATATATATATATATATATATATATATATATATATATATATATAATACACACACACACACGCACGCGCGCACATACACACACACACTGACTTATAGCACTAAGGTGCTCACGGTGAGCGGAGTTCAGTTCTTTGTCGATCCTTACCCTCTCTGCCTCCCACACTTTCTTATCTATATACACTCAACTGTCCTGTCTAATAAAAAGGTGAAAAAATCCTATAAAATAATTAGAAAATAAAAACAACATCCGAGACGGTGTCAGATGAAATGGGTTCACTCATTGGTCTAGTTACAGTAACACATCATCTGTTGAAGCAAAATGACTTTGTGATGTGCAGGAATTATTTGATAAATTTACTTCCATCATAGATTAAGGAAATTTTTTTTTTAGCAGATTAAAATGTATCTGAGCTTTATGCACGACTCTGGATGCGCAATTCTGTAATTTCCAGGTATATTTTGTGAATTTTCTATTAATTTTTCTTAAACTGGAATGCCATGCAACAATCGTTTAATTTACAGTAAACAGAACAAAGTAACGTACAAACTTTTATTACACCCTCACTGAATTTCCATAATATAGGTGTGCATGCAAGTGAGCATTTAGATACCTGCTCCAGCTCTCTTTCCAGTGTTGTGGCTGTGTTGGCTAGTTTGAGAAGATGCTCTCGCTCCTCCTCAAACTCCTCCAGCTTATGCTGAAGATCTTCTTCCACCATCGTTTTGGCCTCCTGAATTTGATGTATGGCCGCTTCTTGAGTCAACATGTCCGCCTGGATAAGAATGAAGCTATTATTATTAAAGTATTTTTACAATTAATTTTTATTTAACAACTTATTTCATATTTATTAAAAAAAAGGAAAAACATAAAATAGTAACAAAACAGTTGACAGGAACTGGCAAAAAGTCAGACTGACAAAAAGTCAGGAAAAGAAAGTGTTAGTATGCTGACCTCTATGCTCTGTAGCTGTACAGCAATCCGTTCCTTTTCTTTTATAGAGCGATGATTCGTCTCCGTGAGTTTGTGAGACAGTGTGACGTTCTCAATCTTCAGATTTTCCAACACACCAAACTGAGTCATTTGACCTGCCTGAAAGTAAATATATAAATAAACTCTCTACTTTACAACCTTTTTGATACCCATCAAAAAAAATGTCTGGAATCAGAACTTTTAAAAATAGATATATTTAAACTTTTAAATTGTACATGGGTGCATTAAACACAGTAAAAACCCTTATAATGTAAAAAATAAATGGTGTTTTTTTTCTTTAAAGAATTGCATTTCAACATAGATAAAAAGAATAAATCAGCACATTACAAAAGCTGAAAGAACATGTGACCCTGAAGTAATGACTCTGAAAATTCAACCTTGAATAAATTATATTATTATAATAAACGTAAATAAATTACATTTTAAATATATTACAAAATAGAAAGTGTCATTTTAAATTGCAGTAATATTTTACAACATTATTTTTTCACAGCATTATTATCAAATAAATGAAGCATTATTGAGTGTACATAAAACACTGAAAAGTCTTACTGACTCCAAACTGGTAACATACACAGAAACATGAGTTAGAAATGAACACCCCATTATAATTCACCCATCTCCTTCCAAAATTTACAATAACTTCAACCTTCTTCAAACATAAGAACTACTTAGGCACACAATATGACGCCAGTGGCCCTTTTTTACCTGCATGTTTGCCATCTCTCCCTGCAGTCGCACTCGTGCCTCCTGTGCCAGATTGAGCTGCTGCTGGTACCAGAGGCGAAGCTGCTGCAACGAGTCCACTTCTGCCTGCGAGGTCTTCAGTCTGCTCTGGAGAGCGTTCCTCTCACTCTGGACCCGCTGTAGCTGAGTCTGCAGGCCTCCCATCTGTTGTCGCAACTCCGACACTACATCCAGAAATCAGAATGTAAACATTTTTTATAATTTTAACAATTTTAGATTAACACCAATCGTTTATTTTAAAATATTAACTTAGTATTTTCCTTTCTTTTTTGTAGTATGATTAAGTGGGCATGATCGAGGCTTCAACACTTTAATGAAAACAAATTGGTGTATCATTTTTAACAAAATCAGGGCATATTAATGTTGGTTTGGAGTTTGCTTTGAGAGTGCGCGAACAGCCAGCAAATACAAACTTACTAGAAAACTTTCTGGTGGTCATCTTTAAATTACCACTGTTTCATGGAAATGGTCAACTGTTGGTTTATGACAATGCAGACAAGACAAAATAACCGTATAAAGTCCATCATTCATATACTAAACAGTTGAGTGCACAGTGTCGAGTTTGAATCCCGGCTTGCAGGCCTTTTCTGATTTTGTCACCATCAATCTCTCTAACATTACTTCCTGTCCAACTACTACTGTCCCATCACAATAAAGGCAAAAATGCCACAAAAAAACATTTTAAAAATACATAAAGAAATTTATTTATTATTTATTTTTACATTTTTATATTTATTCATAGAAGTTTCATGCTTAATACTGTAAAGCTGCTAAAAAAAGACTATAGACGTCACTTTGAAAATAAACCTTACTTGATTAAATTCTTTCTAAACTGCTGTTTTCTCACTTCTGTTATCTGCGGTGTGTTTATATGGAAATCAAGAGGAAGGAAAACAGTACGTTTGCAGTTTATCTGTGCACTGCTTTCAGCAACATTACCAGTATCAGGGAATGTGTCTAATTTCGTGTACTAATTTGCTACGATATACTACGCTGTTCTTAAGTATAAACAGCCTACATAATGTGTTCACACCACAAATTCCAAAAAGAAAAAGTGCACTTTAAGTTCTTAATTGATACACTTTTGATGAAATAAAGTGTGAAAGTCTGGACACCTTGCTTTGTTTGGACACAAAATATGATACATTGAAAAAGATAATCAGTAACCAGTAACTATTGACTTCTACAGCATTTGTTTTTTCTAACCATGTCAATGGTTACAGTTTTTTTTTTTTTTTAAGATTTCTTTAAAAAGGGGAGTAGGGTAGAGAAATTTCCTAGAGTCAGTATTCGAACTTGGGACGCCCTGACATGCTACTGCACCATATGTCGGCGTGTTAACCCCTAGGCTATTGCGCTGACTAAAATTTCTTTCAATAGAAAAAAGAACCTCATACAAGTTCGGAACCACTTGAAGCGGAATACATAGGAAATACATATTCATTTTAGGGGAACGATCCTTTTAAGCACTCTAAATATTTATTATTATTTAACCAGATAAAACAAAAAAAAAACATTTAGATCAAGATGTCATTTAGAAGGGTGACCTGACCAAGAGGTCTGCAGCACACAGCTTCATAAGTAAAGAAAAGAAAAATTAAATTAAAAGTTTTTAAAAAATAATTGCAATAGTTTTAATACAGTTATTGGACATCAACACTGACGTTTTGAATATCCCAACTGTTTAGGTTCATCCCTCGCACTTCACCCTCACCTGTGTTGTCCTTGGCATTCAGGCTTTGCTGCATCTCCTCCACTTTGACCATCAGCCTCTGGTACTGCTCTTCAGCTACCTCCAAATCATTGCCCAACGAGGCCAAGCTGGCGTTCTTCCCTTCCAGATTGGTCTGGAGGTCCACCATGGCCTTCTCCAGTGCAGAGCAGTTGGAGCGTAGTGTCGTCACCTCTGTTTTGAGGGTGCTCTGCCTCTCCTGACCGGCCTGGGTCTGCTCCACCTGGGCCTTCAACTGAGCATTTACTGTGGCCAGCTGAGCCTGGAGCTCCGTCTTTTCTTTTAAAGCCTGAAAGAGGAGAATGTTAAATTATAGTCTTGTAGAATCCTGTTATAAATTATAGAATATATCAATTCTATATAACATATAACAATTAACAAACACATACAGTTGAAGTCAAAATGATTAGTTCTCCTGAATTATTAGCCCACTTGTATATTTTTCTCCCCAACTTCTGTTTAACAGGAAGAAGATTTCTTTCAACACTTTTCTAAACATAATCATTTTAATAACTAATTTCTAATAATGGATTTCTTTCATCTTTTCCATGACGACAGTATATTATATTTTTCAAGATACTAGTGTATAGCTTAAAGTGCAATTAAAAGGCTTAACATGGTTGATAAGGTTAACTAGACAAGTTCGGGTAATTAGGCAAGTCATTGTATAACAGTGATTTGCTCTGTAGACAATCGAAAAAACATTGCTAAAGGGGGTTATAATTGTTTCAAAAAATAAAAAAATGCATTTATTGTAGCCAACATAATACAAATAAGACTTTCTGTAGAAGAAAAAATATAGCAAACACTGTGAAAAATGACTCGCTCTGTTAAACATCATTTGCTAATAATTTTACAATCACAGGAGGGCTAATCATTTTGACTTGTTTCTGTAAAACTGTATATAAACAATTAATTTTTTTTTTGTTTTGCACAAGATTTTTTTAAAATAAATTAATACTATTATTCAGCAAGAATTCATCAAAAACACCTAAATGTTTAATGAAGGTTTCAATATTGATAATATTAAGTATTAAAATTGGCACATCAGAATGATTTCTGAAGGATCAAGTGACCCCAATGTTTCCATACTATATAGTATGTTGAAAACAGTATGCGAGCAGAGTAGCATGTCTGAATTTATAGTATTCGAGAGTACCTGGATGAGATACTACTTCCAGTGAGATTTTGAAGTGCGCATCCAATAAAAGCTTCATTTATACTACATTCATACTATATAGCAGTGGTCCTTAACCACTGTGCCGCGGACCAGTACTGAGGTTTCTGTAGACAATCGAAAAAAAATAGTGCTTTTACAGAAATAACCAGTATCGGTCCGTGGATCAATTGGTACTGGGCTGCACAAGTGAACTGCCAAGGAATAGGTCCACAACCCATTTATCAACGTATGAGGTGAATCCAGCATGTCTGCGCAAGAAGATCAACTGCTGGAGATCGCAAATGACAGCGGCCTTTTAGGGGTCGTTCGCATAATGCGTCTTTTCAAGAGTTTGCACAAGTTCGTTGTTTACAATGGTAGTGCGCAGCTGGCATAATGCGCTCGTGCCTTCCAGACCAGATGCACCCAGTTGAATGAATAAATGAACGAGTGCACCGCAAGTCACGTGACAAGAATTGACCGATCAGCTTCAGTTTGTATGGAAAATACTAATTTCAGTAAAACTAATTATCTCAGACAAACACAGAAGACCCAAACACTGCAGTGCTTTGTAATTTTCTCCTTAAATAAATCTTCTATTAGAGTGACAGCAATGTTTTGTCAGCTTCCTCTAAGAAAATGTTTGTTAGTCGACTACAGAACCCACCCAATAAGGGGTAAAAAGCAACGTTTTAAAATTACTTTTAAAAAACTTCTAAAAACAATCCAATAAATCACTCCCGACTTCTAAACACTATGTAGTTCAAAAATTTGTGAAATGTAGGAACTAAGTACAATTAAACCAGGAAATAGTTTTAAAATAAAACAATACTCTTTATATTATATAACCATTATATTATTGTCCACTTAATCCCATCCAGTCAATCCTATTAACTCACCTGACTGGCCTCGGAGGAGAGAGACTCCAGTTGTCCTTCTAACCTCATTTTCTCTTTCAGCACTTGCAGCATTTCATCATGAGTCCCCATCACAGAACTCCCATACGACACACTGCAAAAAGACAATTCAGCACGCAACATGAGGCTTTAATAGGCTGCCTTCATGACAGGTAATAACGTTCTCCTAAAGCCCTAAACCAGGGGTGCATAACCTGGGACCTGGAGGGCTGGTGTCCTACATATTTTAGTTCCAACTCTAATTAAATACCCATAAACTAGCTAATCAAGCTTTTTCTATGTATGCTAGAGTTCCATACAGGTGGGTTGAAGTTGAAGCTAAACTATGCAAGACAGTGGCCCTCCAGGATCGAGTTCGGACACCCCTGCCCTTAACAGATCTACAAGAATGGACTAACAGATGGAAATGGTGTCCTCATACCTGCTGGAGAAGCTGTCCCTGCGACTGCGAGGCTCCACGCTGCCCTCTCTGTCCTGCTCGAGCTCCTCCATGTGCCTTTCTTCAGTCGCAGCCTGCAGGACTTCCTGAAGTGACGGAAAGTGGCCCATGGCTTCAGCAGCAATCTCTCTCCCTTCAACAGTATATGGAGCCTTTGGCCTGTTCACTATTGCAGATAACATATTATACGTTCCTGTAGTAGACACGCTACTATAGGATGAGCTATCGCTGTCATTGCCGTCAGCTCTGAAGCCTGATTCGCTGCCATCCACCTCAGAGATGTTGTCTCTGATCAGCTGAGATGATTCTGAATGGTTGTTGGCTTCTGAGCTGATGCTGATTTCAGAAACGGTGGAGACGGAGCTGATGGTGGAATGCAGGGAGGTAAACGACGAGTCAGCAGATGCAGAAACTGCTCCACCAGAACCTTCAGATTCAGGAGTTTTGTAGTCAGCGAGAGAGTGGATCTTGCTGGAGCGAGATGATTTGGATTTTTTCTCCCTGCTGGAAGGGATTCCCAGGCTTCCAAGTTTGGGACCACGAGGAACGCTGGTGCGCAAGAAAGAGTATTCTTTAGTCATGGCGACAGTATTGGCCCGTGGGAGACCTTCAGGGTGGAGCATAAGCTCTGGGTCCAAAGTGCTAAATGGCCGGCTTTTAGGAGTGGACCGTCGGGTCTGGATAAGACAAATAAGACAGCATGTAAAACTGGAAACAGTTAGAGCATTTGGATTATGGTAGACAGTGTAAATTTATGTCCACCTATCTCTAACATCTAAAATTACCCCATTTTGAAATTAATCATGCTTCACCATTTTGTTGCACAGTAGAAAAAAAATTGGGTATTATGTTAGATGTATGTGGACTCTATGGATTTAATTTTAGACCATCTAAAAATAAAATAAAATAAAATAAAAAATAAATCACTTTTTATCCTTTTGTTAGTAAAAATAACTGGGGCAAATTTTATTTATGTTAGATGTAGGTGGATGTAGGTATTCTGATTTGTTTTTTGTGCTATTATATGATTTCAGAAGACATGAAAAATAGTACACATGGTACTTGTACTACCTCTATAAATAAAATAAACAAACAAATAAAATACATTTTAATTCAATTTTAAAAAATTATAAAATAACAATAAATAAATAAACAAATAAATCATTCTTCAACCTTTTTTATGTATAGTAGAAACAACTGGAGTAATTTTATTTATGTTAGATGTAGGTGAACTCTACGGATATAATGTTAGACTGTCTTACAATTGAAAAAAAATAATTCTTCACCCTTTTGTTGCATAGTATAAGAAATTGGCGTACATTTATTTATGTTAAATGTAGGTGGACTAGGGATTTAAACTTAGACTTTATTACAAATAAAACAAAATGAAATACAATAAAATATACCATTCTCCACCCTTTTGTTGCATAGTAGAAATAATCGGTGTAATTTTATTTATGTTAGATGTAGGTGGACTCTGGATTTAATCTTAACCCATCTAACAAATAAAATAAAAAATATAAACTAAAAAATATAAACCATTATTTACCCTTTTTGTTAGTAGAAAAAATTGGAGTTATATTATTTTTGTTAAATGTAGGTGAAGTGTATGGATTTAATCTTTGACTGTCTCACAAATAAAATAAAATATAATAAAATAAAAGGTTTTCATGCTATAATATGATTTCAGAAGACTTGAAATGTATTACACAAGGTTAATGTACCACTTTTATGGTGCTTTTTTGTATTCAGGGGTTGACAGCATCCATTCACTGTCATTGTATGGAACATTTTCTTCTGTGCTTCACAGAAAAATCAAAGTCGGCATGGAATGAGGGCGAGTAAACGATGCCAATTTTCTTTTTTGTCCCCCCAGTAAACTAGTCATTTACTTCAATATCAGTCATTTGACAGAAAGTGACAGTTCTCATTTGCTGACTCACTCGCTCTGTGTGCCGCTGTGCTCTGTATTGTTTGAGCTGTTCCTCTAGTCGTCTGCGAGCTTCCTGACGGATTTTTTCTTCATTTTCCATCTCCACACATGGGTCAGTTGATGCTATGAGAAAGACATGGTCAACAAATGCAGGGAAAAAAAAATCTATAACAAAATGAAATTTTTACATATTGTCAACCAAGCTGTACAGGACTGAGTGCAACAGGCTAAACTCTTCAATCCCGAAACATGCTTGTTTGACAACTATATTTCTAGGGATGGAAATTGACAACTGGTTCATTTTTATATTGAAGAACTAAATGGTTCTGTTATAAAATGCAATATATAGTCATGCTAAACTGTCAGTTGATGGGGAAAAATCTATCATATATTTAGACTTTCAGAGCAGGCAAATGCATTTTTTGGTGGTTTACATGCCATTTACACATTGCAAAGTCCTTGATTTTAAAAATACTACATGGCCCTGTTTGAACTTGGCATTAAGATGATTTTTTGCCATTTCAAAAATAGGTGGACTAAGCAAAGTTCACATCTACATAGGGTCCAGTGCTTTCCACGGGCAGCCCAGGTATTTTAACAGCCGCCCAAGTATATTTAGTGACACATTTTTTACTATTATTATCATCCTATAGCACTTTTTTTGTATCCGCCCAATGTAATGAAACATCCGTGATCGATTAAGTAGTGGAAAATCTTCTCTCGTTTACCCGTTTTGCTATGTCCGCACGAGACCTGATACCACTTCCACAGACACTGGCAAGACAATCTTACATGCTCTGCAGACTCACAGAGATGCACCTTTTTGGGACTTAAAAAATTAGTCTGGCTATGGTTTCTAAATCTCCTAAAATGTTCAGGACTCTTAGTCGATTAGTCGTTAACCGTATGCGTTTTTGCATTACCTTTTTACTTAAGCCTACTTTCACTTGGCTTCACAGCTGACTGCACACATAGATAAACATTAAACAATTAACTCTTTAATTTAAATGACTGAACTAAAAATTCAACTATAGGCGAGGATGAAATGACTGGTCTAAACTCGCTGCAAATTAACAGTTATTCAGCGCAGATGCCTCATTTAAATAATCTACACATTTAAATCTTTTATAGTTATTATAATTTTTAGAGATATTGTCTGTTTTTATTCCCTTTCCTGTCATTTAATTCTCAAATTCTGTACATTACTTTAATAATGTCAATGTATAACAGGCAATTTTATATACAAATCTAAAATGCTATATTATTCGAGTTCGCTTTGAACTTGAAAGAGAGAGAAACAAGTTTTACCTGTCAGAGGGTGCACATGGCTCCTGAGTAGTATAAAAGTAAGCGAAATAGTGGATTTCTTTTCTATTTCAACTGTTTTTTTTATTTAACCCACTGAAAAGAAATTTTTAAAGCAGTATCATAATAAATACAATTATTGTTAAAAAAATTTAATTATGCTTTGTTTGTTGCATATAGTCGACTATTTACAGTTAGGGCCATAAATATTTGGACATTGACACAATTCTATCATTTTTAGCTCTATACACCACAATGGATTTAAAATTAAATGAGGTGACAAATGAGGGAATAACACACAACTGGCCTTGGACCAGCTTAAAAGCCAACTGTTCAGTTACTTTTGGACCCTTAACAAGTGGGAGGCACAAATGCAAACTGTTGTAATTCCTACACCGTTCACCTGATTTGGATGTAAATACCCTCAAATTAAATTTGGAAGTCTGCAGTTATGTTTGTTCATTTCAAATCCATTGTGTTGGTCTATAGAGCTAAAAATGTTAGAATTCTCAATCCGGCTATCACCGCAAGTACATTTCAAACCTGTGGGAAGCACTGTGACCACTTTCAGAAGCTGTCGTGCTGCTTTCATAGTTAAAAACTACGAAATTTTATTCTATAATTTTATTTGTATTGTATTTATATGTATTTAATGGCCAAATTCCTTCAAAAAGTCTCAAAAGACTGGCTACTTTCTGCCTACTCATCTAACATGTGACCATTTACACATATTGTGAGAAAGTGCACTAAAACAGTATACCAAACACTTAGATTAGTGTTTGGTATACACTTAGACTAACCCTAGAAACAAAACTGTAGCCACCATCAATGAAATCCAAACACCAGCATTCACAAGACTTGTATTTGACTGAACACCATGTGAAAACAGGGCCAAAGAATCATTCACTGGAAAACTGTTAAGAGGAAATGGAACCATAATAACCAGAATGTCTCATGATTTCCATCCCTAGTCATTGGAAGAGTGAAGCTTCATGCTGGTCCTGGTACAGAAAACACTACGTGAGCTTTGCAACCCATTATAAGCCATACCAGCTGCCTTAATCAGAGGAAGAGAAGAAGCACACTTCGGAGTCTGCATCGGTTAGTTTGTATTAGTTCAGCAATTTTCCAAATCCAAGCCAAATAACAACGTGCATCTTTTGTCTTGTAACTTTTCTGGAATCAACAACAAGCACCAACAGCCCCAGGATCGCAATCGGCATAAATCAAAACACCCATAATCACAGCGACAGGGGAGACTAATTAGCCTTTTATTAATTACGTAAGGAGATTCACCCCAAAAAATCTCTCTGCAAGCCAAAACTGAGGAGCAGGCAAATAAACAGAGTACACCAAACAGGAAGAGTTAGCCTTGAAAGCCAAACTGAGGGGAATTACAACACAAGGGAAGAGGGTGATTTGGTGGTGGTGGTTGGGGGTTATCCAGTATCATGTGCTTACACAATTCAGTCTCCTGCATAGGAATACTTAGTCTGAGCGATTGCAACGCGTCACCCGTGTGAACAGAGCCCTCAGACCTCTCTAGGCTGTCAGGGAAAGAGACCACACCTGGATCCAGCTCTGTGCTCGGAGAAGAGTCGGAAAGGCGGCTGCCTGGGGATGGAGTTGCCGAAGGTGGGGTGCTGCCTCCACCAACGTCCTGACCCTCCACCATGGCCTCTCCGTTTGGCAACAGCTCTGCTTTGACGTGACCTACAACACAGAGAAGAGATTCAGCAAAGAGCGTTCAATTATATCTGTATTTAAAAAGTCAGATTTAATGGTTAAACAGACAAAAAGTCGAAAGTTGCAAAAACTTTTCATTTTTGCATGTTAATGTATCTTGACTAAACAAAATCGTTAATAGGGGCTATGCATGGGATGATAGCCGGATTCAAAGGTCCCGTAAAATGCTTTGAAATGTGCATTTTTATTCAGTGTTTGAAGTCATCTCAACCGAAACACGAAGAGAGGGTGGGAAATAGTGTAGCTCCTTCCCTTTTTAAAAACAGCCAGTAGCCTTTTGTTTAATCACCGCTCTGCCGAGATTGGTTAAACTCAAGCACATTAAATGTAAAGCATATGTGAAGCGTCTTGAAAGGGGGTGGGACATGAGAGCATTTGATTGGTTATGATTTGTTGAGAAACTGAAGTATGGGTTCATGTGAATAAAACCATTGATCGATTTAGGCGGAAGTGACAAACTATTTTATTTATTTATACAGGGACAATGTACAACATGATATATTGTGCCAGAGTTATCTATGAAGCTAATTTACATCCGTAGTCGCTGGGCAGGAAGTATTAACAAGTTTAACAGTAAAAAATAATACAATATACACTTACAGTACATCACTGTGAATAAAATGCAATCAAATCAGTGGCCAAATTTTAAGAAGTTTTAAAATGATTAAAACTGGTACTCTCTCTAATATGCATATGAGCAATTCCAGCGTTATGGATGTGACATTTGCAGTAAAAACTCAACACATAGATTGACAGAGAAAGTATATGTTAACATTATATTGACAAATTTGATTATATTTTCTAGAGAAACTAGCCACAGAGTTATGGGAGCAGAAAAATATCAATCTGTAAACGTGTTTTGTACTTTAAATGTGGAAAATAAGCATGCGTTATGGATGTGACAAAAAAAGTCTGCGAGTTTACAGTATACAACACACTTTGTAGAAATTATGTGAATTAAACTGCACAACCCAAAAGAAATAATGCTAATCAAAAGGATTTGAGTCGGCTCTCTATAAAACAAAAATTATTGATTTTATTTAATTTAATATTTTCACATTTCTGATGAAAAAGTGTTGTTATGGATGTGACATCTCTCTGTTATGGATGTGACGCATGTGAAATTACCATTTGTGTGACTTTGGTAAATCAAATAGTAATAGTTTGAAAACATTAACAGATGCTTTTTGAGTATTTTTAAAGTACTGTAAAATACTTGCCTACACAAACAACCCAGAAATGGTTTCTGTATTTTGGTAAAAACGTAATTTTTTTTCATGGCAAGGTTGACATTTGCACGGAATTGCTCATATGTATTTTATTCCAGCTTTCTGCTGCTCTGACTGAAAAGAACTGATTGTCCAAAAGCAGTTCTCTTGAGTTTAACGGAACAATCACCTCTAACCGATGGATCTAGTCTGTCTTATATTGTCCTTGCAGACAATCACACATTGTTTGAGAGGTGGTGGTGCAAGATTGTTAAATATTTTAGACATTAAACACAAATCAGCATAAAATAAGAAACTGTGGAATGTTAGTAATTTATGTTGATCAATGCAGCTGCAGTAATGATCATTGGCTTTTTAGCTAAAATTCAGCCAAAAGTAACTGGTGCCTGATGTTTCTATAAGTCCTCAGGCTTGCTATAGCACTTTTGGATACCTTCTTAAAGTGTTTTTTTTTAATCAATAATTATACCTAAATATTTAAAATGCTCAACTATATTTATTACTTCTCTATTAACTAAAATGTCTGAGTAATGCTCCTCATTTTCCTTAATTGAAAAAAAAAAATCCCACAGTTTTACTTGCTTAACTACAAGCTTTAAATATAAATATATCAGTTGTATAGCTTACAAACACAAATTGTCACTGTTTTGGAGAACACTAGCTTTTAGATTATCTTAAAAACTAACAATATTTGTTTCATGGGATCTTTAGGTTTACAGTCGTTTGGAAAGGTTTTGGTTTTAAAACTGCAAAAATTTTCTGTTATACCAGTCCCCTATGGTACATGTAATTTTTTTAACATGTTTTTATGAAGATTTTATTTAGCTTTTAGGGCTTACTTTAAATTCAAAGAAAAGAAAGATATCCAAAAATCTGAGTTTTAAAAACTAATGAAGAAGTCAATAATTTAATTTAATTATTTAGCCTGACTATTTACTGTTTCAACATATTATTTATGATTCTTACAATACAATATATTGTGTTTGCTATGCATGTCATTCACTCTCGCCTGTAATTATAACATAACAATTACAACAACAATTGATCTTATTTGTCCATTTCCCTTTTCAGTTTTCTATTGGTTGAGGTGTTGACGTTAGCTTTTAAAAACGAACCGAAGCAGACTTCTCCCTCTCGCTCATTCTTTCATGCCACCACAGCTTCTTTCTTCTTCACCGCTTTACTGCTGTGTTTTCCTTTATACTTTTCTTTTGATATTTGTTTGGAGTGGGGAGTCCCAACCTGATTTAGGTTTCTTTGGTTGGTAATATTAAATCGTTAGGCTCTCCATAATTTGTCATTTTGGATTGTTTTGCTGATTATGTTATGGTAATAAATAATTTAGTTGGAGCACTTTGGCAGTTCTTTATTTATGTTACGTTGTCTTAGAATCACAAGTCATACTAAAGTAGTTACCGAAAAAGTGTTCAATGGGAAACTTTTTTTGTTTTTATACCCAGATATTTTAGAAGAACATATTTTAGTCGCCGCCAATAGCCTAGTGGTTAGTGTGTTGACACATTAGTGTGTCCGAGGTGCTCGCAGCGACCCAAGTTCGATTCCCGTCTCGAGGTCCTTTGCTGATCCTTCCCCTATCTCTGCTCCCCACACTTTCCCGTCTCTACATCTCCACTGTCCTATTAATAAAGGTGAAAACCCCGAAAAAATAATTATAAAAAATATATATACATATTTTAAAAGCAGTTATCACACGTGGTACCGTGAAACTGTGATATTTTTATCCAAGGTACCATAAAATCCTATACTGGCTCATGCCTAGTAGGGGCAGAGCTTTTTTTTTTGTGCATCATTCCTTCATAGCAAACTAACAATAATGGTATGTTTCCACAACATCTTGAAAACTGCACTTAGTGCTGCTCTAGGGCATATGAAATTTTAGGGCTGAGTACACCTGTTTTATTCCGGAAGACAGTTTGTTCACAGATTTATCACGTGCATTGTTTATTGCTTCAAATAATTGATCAATAAATAAACAAAAAGGCACAGATGGTTCAATATGTTGCGTAAGGGATACAATCTCAAAGCAAGTGATTTCAGCACAGCAATCCAGCAAACATTTGTAAACGTGTCAGAACCCTGCCTTGCCTACTTTTTACAGTGATTGGCATTTTTTTAGTTGACGTTTACATAAATGAGAAATCCCCAACATTTGTGATGCTGTAAGCTACTCTCCACGCTTCCTCTGTGCTGCTTTCAATCCCATAATGCACTGCATGAGCGTTTACACTTAAATACCCCAAGAAATCAAAACGAACCATAATATTTTGTTAGCTCACAATGCCAGTTTTGTGGTGAACAATTCATCTGTGCAATTCATCTGTGAACATTTGTTTGCATTTGTAATTTAAAAGTAAAACCTGAAAGTGCACTTCATGGTTTTTTTTTTCAGTTAAACTGTCAGATGACGTATAGACCAATTACCATGTTTGTAAACATTCAGGATGCGCGCGCAGGGAGGTGGCAGAAAGCAACCAGGAGCCCGAGCATTTACAGCGAGGGAATGACATCAGATGCGGTGCAGAGTTTTTTGTTGTCTTAGAAATAAGATATATTACTTACATATTATATATATTATTTACATAATGCTTACAGCATATTATAACAGTGACAAGCACAGTGATTCAGCAAAATTACCATCAAAGTGAGCGGCGTTCATCTGACGGCTCCATTTACGATAGCTCCCCCCCAATGGATATTGGATAAGACGAAATGACCAAGCATTCAGCCCGAAATATACAATCTCAATGAAGCTCCGAGTGATTTTACAAGAGAGAAGTTAAAGGTCTACAAGTCTTTGGATGCCAACAATGTTGTTCTTTAAGGTCATGTGCAATAAATATTGCTCCATGATGACCAGATTCAAAAGCTAAACACCGAGATTCCGCCTAGCCAAAGACAAGGAAACAAGACGGAGCTAACGTTATACAAGGCCTGGGTAATTAATCACCAACACGCAAAACAGAACTGCACCTGTACGGCAGGGTATGTGAACTTACACATAGAGGTAAAGTTGGTTTTATATTCGCACATTCAGACTTTCTCCTTAATAATATAATTTCATAAAAATATTATTTGCAAACTCTAAATAGCGAAATCATATTAGCAGCAGCCAATGACTATCAAAGTACAACATTGTTCACAGTCAAATAAACAGTGTTAATGTTGTTTTCAAGTCACACTTACAGGTTATTTCAGACCGAATATTCAAAGTGGCGTGGTAAACAATATAGGGAATGTGTCACAAGTTGTCACTGAATGAATGTGTGAATATAAAACCAACTTTACCTTAATAAACGTAACTTTCACTTTTCATTCTTAGCATTCAGTGTCAGCAGTTTAATTAACCACATGTAACTGTTTTTGCTGAAATCATTTCTGCAATCAAAAACGAGTAATGAGTATGATTCAGCATAGCGTGAACTGACCTGATATGACATGAGAACTGCAGAGTCCAACATTTCTAATTAGCTCCTCACTTCATTCAGCTCACATTTAGCCAAGACGTCTGCAGTCAGTAATAAAGTAGTGTGTGGTGTATGGTAAAAGTTAAGTTTTCTATTTTTGCACTCGAATTCGGCATCCTGTCTGTTTTTTGCAACATGATTAGAGAATGACCGCCACTCCACATGGTCACACTTTGATTGAAGACTACCAAAATAGACTTTTTTCAGTGTATTAACTTGCAAAATAAACATTATACATTTTGATTTTACACTGACTTTAAATGCCAATACACCTTAATTGAGAAAATGAAATTTCATGCATAAAAGATTTTAACTGATTAAAACCATTTACAGCAGCTATTAAGAATTGTTTTTCTCAGTCTGATTACAAATGAACAACTCAAAACACAGGTGTAACTGGGGTCTATGATGATATGAAATTGTTTGGTTTGTAAAGATCAACTACTCTGTGTCTACTGACTAAAAATGTTATTATTAAGGAATTTGTTCATTTATTCAGTATTGTACCAAAACACATGGCTTACAATTAGAGTCATGGTTGCAATCCATATCTTTTTCATTCAGCTCAAGTCCATGACATAGTTGTGATATATTCAACTTCTTGATTTTAATTTTACTAATATTAAATAATGTTAAAATTACCATCAATTATGAATGATCATAAATTGATAAGAATTATTATTCTGTTGGTTTTAACTTATGCAGTAAACAAATGTTAATGTTGTTTAATAATTAGTAATGATTAATTATACATGTGCTTATTATGTACTTGCTTCAGCTTTGAAGTACAACACAAAAACAACAATAGGCTGAATTCATATATAGGTGATGAGGTTGCAGTCTATAAACCTGACTGCAGTGCAGACCAGTTGAGCCTGAAATTTCCATTTAGGCAAGTCTTGCAAAACAAGTCAAACCAGTGACATCTAAAGAAACTGAAACTAACAGCGGGTGGAATTTTCATGCAGATAAAAAGCTTTATAATACTTCAGTAGATAACAAAAAGCCACTGAAATGAGGAAAGAACAGACAACTCAAAGCCAAAAGATGCAGTAAACAGCAACTGTTTACTTTGAAATCTTGCCAGGTTGGAAATAAACACAAACTCTCAGGCTCAATGAGCTCAACAGTAAATTCTGTAGGAGCTTACATTTTGAATTGTGGATTTTTAGGCTGTGTATATCTGGGAAAATATTAATCAGAATGAACTACATATGAACAACCATAAAGCAGATGAATAAAGCCTGTTAATGGCAACACAATGACAATGCATCAAATTAGAACATAAAAACAACACTCACCATTTGGGATTTTCTCCGTTACGAGTGATCTCTCCGGCTTCAGAGATTCTACAGTATTGCTGTTTGGATTTTTGCAGTGTTGGGCATCCGGATGCTGAGGGGGCTTGGCCTCAATTGAGACCATTCCATTATTTCCATTTTCCATATCTCTTGAAATACAGATGCTGCTCTAGCATCCATGAACATGTGCTGGGTTTCACAGGTGCAATTCACTTTACTTCATGCTCGCTAAACTTTGGTTAAGTCTGCAGGCTGGTCTGGATGGCACAAACAGCTTCAGTCCTGAGGAATGGAAAACCTTATATTAAATATTTAATATACTGAAAGAAGTGTTTAAGGTTTATTCCTCAAACAGTAACAAAAGCAATGAAGATCTAGTCAATTACTAATCTGACAGAGCAGCACATTTGATATGAGCCTTCCTAAAATCAAATGTCTTGATCAAGGCCACAACTGTATCATACTATCGCTAGTTGTTCATTGTCTTTCTTTCCCTATTGGTTGTATAAAATGCACCTAGGAGCTACATATCAGTTCCTCTCTGATAGAAAGATAAAAATAAAGCATCTTTCACAGTTTACAACAACAGGGTTTGAATTTACAATCATTCACATGGTAAATTCAGGTAAAATATCAAATTTATAACTTTTAACTTGACATGCGATTACTACTTAACCCAGGGGTGTCCAAACTCAGTCCTGGAGGGCCGATGTCCTGCATAGTTTAGCTTCAACTTCCTCCAACACACCTGTCTGAAAGTTTCAATACCTAGAAAGAGCTTGATTAGCTGGTTCAGGTGTGTTTAATTGTGGTTGGAACTAAAATATGCAGGACACTGGTCATCCAGGACCAAGTTTGGACACCCCTGGCTTAACCTGTCATGACTAGGGCCAGGCGATTTAGGGGAAAAAAACAACAACTTTTGTACACATATTGCAATTTGATTTGCAATCAAATTGTATAAAGTCAAGATTAAGCCCAACATTGTAATTTACACACTTTAAATAAAAGAAACAAGACTTTGTGACCTGAATATATAAACAGTGTGTGTGTGTAGTATGTTGGTATGCATGCATGCATTCTTTAACCTTTCAAAACTGCAAGATTTCCACTTTTGAATGGATCCGATGATCAATAGAGCGTTTTGACTGATAATGATGTTTATATAATGATTATTAACTAATAGTACTCCGACCACAGCTCAATACTTTATCTAAACTTAAATATATGAGAATCAATAATGTAAATGTGTCTTATGAAAAAGCAATAAAAGTATTGTTCTTCTATTGGGTAAATTATTCGTTGATAAATGGTGCTTGAAATCAATGCAAGTGTGATATGCACATTATGTTTTAGTCAACACAGTCAGCTGTTAACACATTGTGCTGTCAACAATAATGTTGTGCGTCTTACTAGGAGAAACTACAAATGCCTTTAAACTACAAACTGCTTTAAATTCCTTTCCAAGTACATTCATTCACTGAAGGGAGTGGGTTGTTTGAGGTGTATAGTTATGTATAGTTTAACATTTTAATTTGTGACAGATAGTGATAACTTAATTTAAAAAGTGAAGAACAGTGTAATGCAAATATCGTTCAAAGAAAATAAGAGATTAAAAATAATCATGTCGATTTATATGCAGTTGAAATTTGCTTTTAAACTTTTATTGCTATTTGTTGCAATAAAAGTGAAAATACTGAACCTACACACCCCTTAAAACACTTCATTTTAGGAGACAATTTCAGACGGCACTAAGAGGACTTTGCATCTAAACTCTTCATTTATACATGTATATTATTAGGATGGATTAATTTAGGATTAAATTAGTAGTATGCTATAGATTAGTGTCGTTATAGACTAGTAACTGACAGGACATTACATGGTAGCAGAGCTTCTTATAGTTCTGACACAATGTGACACATCGGTGAGGTAAAGTAATAGGATTTCTTTTACACAAAGCTGGACGATTAGTCTAACCATGCCCACTGCAGTTTAACTATAGACTAGTGTGATTTAAGACACTAATCAGACACGTTAACGAAGCGTACTTTACTATAGAATCAACATAAACACGAGTCATTTTAAAAGTCACACACAGGCAGATCAGGCGGTCTGTCAAAAGCAGTTTTGATTCACGTTACCTGTCACTTTCCCAAAAGAAATAATGTCTGTTATTTTAAATTTATGAAAACTAAAGCACAGCTATGCACAAACCAATCATTATAAACTGCAGTCAGGCATAAAGACAAAAATATCTTGGATATACAGTACGTTGTCAAAGTGAGTTTATCATAATAAATCTCTGATCTCGTTAGCATCAGCCTTTTAGCTACTTAGCCACAACGCACGACACCTCAAAACCTTAAACTTACGCGTGACACTGACACACGACCACGCTTATGTATTGCAATAACCACGTGTAATAGTAAATAATTACTGCAGTGATTAGAAGATACGATAAAAAGTAATTAAGCACCAACCTTAGACGTGTTCCTGCTTATACTACGTGGCTGTTTAGGTTCCGTCCTTCAGACACATCCGACTCGCAACAGTTTCCTCACCAATAAAGGTTCCGCATGGAGTTGCGTAGTTAACAAAAATACCCATGTTTTAAAATACATATAATTGTTAATATAACTTATATTATTTAATATTATCATTTTATTGTAATTAATGAAGAACACGCTAATCATTTTCAGCACTTATTATAAAGTCTTCACGAAATTCTAATTTACTCTAATATCATGTAATATGCTGCATTATAGCTCTGCATTTAAATCTGTGCATATACACGACATATTTAAGCTTCCTCTTGTAATCAGCAAAGCTATTTTATGGCTTAAGTCTCTAAATGATTCACTGACGCTAGTTATTTCCATCAAAACAACATTGCTCCATTAGGCTTTTAAATGGAAGCCAAACAGACACTAATGTATAAAAGCACCAGTCTTTAATTTGGTTTGATCTCAACCCTTTTACATGATGTATTAGTTAGCACTATAAAATGTGAGATTAATTCACTCATCATACGCCAAATGCAATTTAAACGACCCTGTTTTTTTATCAAAACCACTCAAAACTGGGAATGTGGAAAATTTGCTGTTCATCATCATCACACAATTTCAAAACAGCATCCTCTAAATTTTTTTACATTCAAAATAAAAGAAAAACAGTGACTAAAAGCCCAAATGATCATACATGCAGTCTTCATATTTAAGTTCCGACAAACTTTATGGAATGAAAATTGCATTTAATTAGTGATACAGTACCTAATATATTCACTTATCTTTCTGTTCTTAAAAAGCATCCCACTTTAAACCCTCCGGCATTTCCACACCAGAGAGAATTGTCAACCATTCTTTATATCTTTGTTTTACATATCTTTGTTGTACATATCAAGTCTATCTTTGTCATAGACTTCCATCAGTTAATCACGATGGAGCACATTTCATTAGGGATGCTCCAATCAGGACTTTTGCAGCCAACACAAAGTACATGGTGACCAATATGATACTTCAGTGCAAATCTCTTACCTTGGAGAATAAATGAAAGATGCTGTATATAATCCCTTAAACATGCGTCTTATAAGCATTTAGTGTGGACATGTCTTGGTCAGAATGAGCTTTGCAGAAAATAATAGATTCCTTTTTTAATTGTCATCTCAGCTCCATGATTTTGGGGCATTTTACCTAATTGTGGGTGTCATGAAGCTGTTGTATATAGTGGAGCTTACATGGTTGGATGACACCATAGGGGAGACTGCTTTACTTGCATCACAGCAGCTCAAAACACTGGATATGCATTGGCTGCAAGAGACTCAGACACCATCACTCGCCTAAGGCACGCCAACAAACTATAAACAAAGGCCGCACCACATCTGTATGTATTTTAGCTGCTGTGTTGGGATCGCCATGATCACTCTCATCCCTCACACATCATTTACCTCCTCAGGTGTTGTAGCGCTGTTGAGTGCATGTGCATCTATCTCTGCGAGGAAACCCGAGAACAAACACCTGTGATCGGTAAGTACTGATTAAGTTATAAAATGTGATTATCGGCCGATACCGATCTCCAACTGATCGATCGGAGCATCCCTAACATTTTATTTTCTTTCAATCCGCCAAAAAAATTATGCTACTCAAGCGTGAATTCAAGCCACAGAGAAGTCAAATATTCCTCGTGTGACTTTATTGTAAGGAAAAGTCAAAGATCTCAGATACTCATACTCCCTATCAACTCTCATACAGCCCGCTTTCATATCAGACAGTGCTCATCTAGACACTCGCAATATAACTCTTTAAAGTAAAGTACAAAAGAAAGAAAAAACAACAAAAGAGGTTACCCAATGTGGGAATCAATCAATAGCACAAGCCTTGTATCATTGCATGTCGTGTAAATACACAAATACATGATGACTGACGACTGGTCCACAATGTATGAGAAAATGAAGGGCGATATGGGAGTTCGTGAATGGGACAAAAGCTCACAACATCTTGAAGTTTGAGAAATGGACGCATTTAAGAGTGGCACCAAGGTCTTGTGAAGTCAAGAGGCCAAAAAGGAAAAAAAAAAAAAAAAAAGTGTCCAATTTTTCATTTTCAGAGTCTGTTGTAGAAAAGGGGAAAATGGCAAGTGGAGGATCCATATGAAGCGACGTTCCTGGGCTCATTTCTTCTCCTCAACAGCCTTCTCCTCTTTCTTCGCCTCTTCTTTCTTGTCCTCTGAACTCTTTGTTTTGTCATCGTTCACAGACAACTCCTCCAGCTTCTCTGCCACTTTGTTAGCGCTGTTCATGCTTCCTGTGAAATTAAATTAAAACAGTTCAGCTCATGGTTCTTTAAAGAGTATTGCAATGCAAATCTCACAATAATTTCAGAAATAAATGTCTGAGAAGGTACAGTCACCCTGCCAAGTGACAGGCAAGGCAGGTTGTAACAATCTTCAAGTTAATGTAGCAGACAGAAAAAGTCTAAGGCTGGAGGTATCTGCCTTACACAGAGTGAGTCTGCATGGTGACATGGCTGAAAGTGTGGTTTACCTTCAAGAAACTTCCTGACCTCCTCTTTGCATTCATCAAACTTCATCTTGAACTTCTGTGCATCTGCAAGACAAAGATAACAGGAGGAAAGAAAAAGTTATTAATGCTAATGATTTAGTTAATAAAAAGTAAACAACAGTCAAGTCAAATTGAGTGCAATGTAAAAAGCTACATTTTACAAAACCACTTTATATTATTTAATAAAATAATTAATTATAGAGCATTTTTGGTTGCCTCCATGAAGCTTAGTTTTTTTTAACCTTATATCTGTAATAAACTGAGCACCACAGTCAAACATTTCACTTTGGTAATGCAAGCCAGACTTCTAGAATCATCTGGTCCAAATAAACCCCACCCCATCACACAGTTTTCAAAGATGGATGGAAAGTCCCAACCCTGTTTTTTTGTTTCATGCACTAAAATGGAAGATGTATTGCTACTTTCACTGCAACTTTTCTGTGTTTGGCTGTGCTAGTTTCAGTGGTTAAGAGTTTTACTTTCATTTTCTTTGTGGAAAAAAAAAAGAAAGTTTCACGTTTGAGCTGAGCTATTTTTTTAATTATCATAGTAAACCAATTAGGAAATTGTTATAATTTACAACACATTTTCTTCCACGTTGTCGTCATATTGCATCATATTCATGCGCACTCAAACAGTTAAACACATAAGGTGAGGGTGAACACAATAGGCTATCCAAACCATGCTCGGGCACGTATCCCGGTTTGTTTGACAAGTGTAAGTTCTACGAATCGGGATTAGACAGTTCGGTTGGCTGGCATTGGCCAGGTTGAAAGACATGTGCCAGAGTGCAGTTTGGTTGAGCTTTGGCGATTCATTACATATACTTACTTTTCAATAAACATGAACTGTCAGTTTATTAAAGATACAAACCCCTGTTGATCGGCAGCTGCACCTTCAGCAAACCTCCTAATACGTGCAGCACGATGACTTTCATGAACATTTATGAGCATCACAAGAGGTGGATCCATTCACAAAATATTTGACCGCGTGTCAGAGCATCACAAACAACTAAAAATAATGCAAGACGATATAACTAAAGCAATCTCCACTGTGCTGAGCAAGAGCGCTTCTCTTTCTGTTAAACTGAACAGTCACATCATCAATGACGTTCTCTGGCACAAAAGGTAAAAGCAATGAGTGCAGGCTGTCAGGGGAGAGGGAAAGGGGGACAAGCATGCTTCGGCTGAGTTCAAGGGAAGTGTACCTAGTGTGAGCACGGCCTGATTCTCAGATGAGCTCTGAAGTTTAGATAGCACAACAGTCACCCGTGCTTGAATGAGTGTAGCAAATAGTGTGCCACTCATTCTTTCAGCCATCATATGTATTATTCATGTTTAACCTTTATAGACACTCGTCACATAACAATTTAATTCACTTGCATGCACAGTATCACTTTTTTATATATTTTTCTAAAATATCAAAAGTTTGTGCCTATATTACACAGCTAATTCTGTTCTTTACGACTCAAATGTGCAGCTCCATCATATCATCTTGCAGGGCTTTGTGCATAAACTTCCATTCTTCTCTGCCATGCAAAAAACTGAATTACAACCAATCTACAAAAGATTTACCAAGATTTCTGAGATTTGTTCAATTATACTCACTTTCTGCATTAAGGAATCGAATAGCCAGCATCTCTGCTTTGGGTTTTTCATCTGCAAAGTCGGCATGTGTATTCCACACCCAGGCCCTGTCACTGCCTGCATTGGGCTTCAGCTCCATCAGCGGCATAACTAGAGCAAAGGGTTAACAGATCAATTAAAGCCATATGCACACTGAAAAAAAATAAAGAATTCAAGAGATCACTCGCTCCACTTACTGTGGTGGTTGGCACAGATTTTGAGGGTACGATCTCTCCTCATGAGAAGGCGGATGGAGCCCTTTTCTTTGTGTCGCAGAAGTTTGACATCACCTGTCCCGCGCTCCTTCCACTCAGGAGGGTCGTTCTCACTGGCAAAACGATACAACTTTGCCCTCCTACACACAAAAATGCATCAATGGTCAAAGACGTATTTAATTCTTTAATTCTATAGCACTTTTACAATGTAGATTGTGTGAGTAACTAATATTCACGATATAATAACTAATATTTTCTATAAATGACCTAGTTTCAATGTATAGTTTGTATATATAACAATAAGTGCCTGATGGCTCTTGGCAAGCACTAAATACACTTTTACAAAAGTGTCAACTGTAATTTCAAGACAATATAAGTTTAAACCATTGAAGCACAAGACAACACACAGAAAAAAAAAAGATGCAGAATAAGTTCTCTCAAGTCACGCCAAACACACAAATTATGTAAAAAATAATAATAGAATAGTATAATAGCAAGTATACTTGAACAATTTATCCTTACACTTTACCGTAATTAGAAAATCAGATGTGTTAGTCCATCACATATTAATGTTAATCAATGACAAGACTGATGTATACAATAGTATCTGTAAATCAAAAAAAAAAAAAAACATTTGCTTTACAGAAGACCAGCATTTTAAAGCTGCTTTTAAAACAGTACAATTATGGTTCCAGTGTAAACCAACAAAAATATGTATTGGTAAAATCTTCTTGCTCAATGCATGTTTAGTTTTAGTTTACACAGACATATCACCCTGCAGCCCAAGACCGGTTACTCACTGAAGCTAAGCAGGACTGAGCCTGGTCAGAACCTGGATGGGAGACCACATGAGAAAACTAGGTTGCTGTTGGAAGTGGTGCTTGAGGCCAGCAGGGGGCGCTCAACCTGTGGTCATTGTGAGTCCTAATGCCCCCAGTGAAAATGAAGAGGACACTATACTGTCAGTTCGCCATCTATTGGATGCAACATTAAACTGAGGTCCTGACTCTGTGGTCATTAAAAAATTTCGCAGAATGACAAGCATAAAAGCCTTTTAGTAATCTATAAATATATGTGATTGACAACACTTTAAGCTGTCATCAAACAGTTTTTAAAAAAAGCAAATAAAAAAACTTTTTAGTGCATGCATAAGTAGCTATGTTTTTATAAAGAATGCTAATTAATAATGCACAAAACTGGAATATTGCATAAAAGATGTGTGAATAAAACAGTTTCCATCCAACAAGTCAAAGCAAACAAAATCGTCACTTACTAATTATATGGTGGCAACAGTAGAAACTGAATTGGCTGTGGTAGAAGAAGCTGCGTGAATCTTTTCTTCATTTAATAAATGACTTGCGCCTCAGAAGGCAATCCTGACACGCAGTGAACGAGTAGTGACATTAGAAGGCATAAGATGCGGAGCACAGATGCTCTTGATTCTGGAGGTTATTAATAATATAATAACAATAATATTGAAATAGTTAAGCCGTTTTAGAATCACCTAAACAACATGTCAGATGTTCACAGGGTGCTCAGCCAGCTGGTTTATTCATTCACATATTTTTATCATCACATGATCTCTTATAACAAAATCATATGACTTTAATGCATATACTGAAATATATTCGTTAAAAGCGTTTCCATCAGTTTATGCGCATCTTTTTATATCGAATAAAAAGTTTATCCTACAGTTATGCGCATAAGTTTTTATACACATTTTGGCGTTTCCATCAACCAGTTTTTTATGAGCATATCCATAATGCGCATAAAAATAAGTGGATGGAAACAGCTAGTGTGATATAAAGTGCTCTTAGAATGCAGTTACATGGGATTTTTTATTTATTTATTTTTTAATATATTAAAAAACTAGGGCTCCACGATACTATAAAAAAAATAGACATTGAAATATTTTTATTCACTGCGATATAAATGAATATAAATTTATATAATTTAAATAAATTTCAGCAGATGACAAATAGCTTGTAAAGAACTCAATTTTAGATCGACTGGGATGATTCTGTAAGGGAGCATATCTGCATAAAATATAATTTAAAAAAATTACAAGCAAAGTTAAATACAACAGAGAAAAGATGCAAACAAACGAGGATTTATAATTTTCTGGGGAGTCAAACAGTATTCAGAAGCCGAAATTAAATGATCACTGTATAACAACAACACTATCATTTTAATTGAGTAAATAACTACATAATGTCCAATCAGTCTTTAAGCTACAAACGTTTAATGTATTGTGCCAAAATGGCTTATATTTGCTTCAAATTCCTACAGTCAAGTCTTAAAAACAAATGCAAATAATACATTTTCATTCGAAGGTTAAAATTTTTAAACAACGCCACTATGTTGTTAACCGTATTGTCTGATCAACTACATTGCAGATCCCTGTGATGAGACTGTTGTGGACTCACATTGCGATATCAATGCTGAAATCATCTACTGTGCAGCCCTAATATAAACCTCAGTTAATGACTTACATCTTGAAAAGCTCCTCCTCATCCTCTTCTAAGGTCTTAACGTCCTGCTCGGGTAGTGAGACGATGGGCTCAAAATGAGGGTCATGGTTGGATTCCTCAACGTTCTCAGTGGATGGTTCATGCTCATCTTGTGCCTCCTGGAGGGGAAAATTAAAAGAGCAGCTTTTATTAAATCAAACTTAAACATGACATAAGCTAAAACAGGTATTTTTGGAGAACGCCACACATTTACTACAGTATTTGTTCTGCTGAGGCTCACAAGTCCTGATCCCTTCTGTGGGGATCCTGCTTCCACATTACTCATCAGATCAGTGGAGTGAAAGGCTGCGGGATTTGGAGGGATCATTCTCTGGAGTTTGGCCTATTGTCTCCAAATTTGCTGCTGCAACCAAACTTGCATCCACTGGTGCTTGAACTCGCATGCTGTGATGCTGGCGGAATCAATGCACTTGCTCTTCACTAATCACTGGTCTCACATTCATGAAGGCCTTGTAAGCTTTAATTATTGAAAAGCTTTCTGATCAACTCTGGCAGATCTTCTGCACATGATGTGATGCTCTGAACCGCTCCCAAGTTGATCACTTCGCATTTTCAGAGCTGAGCAGCTTACTTAGCTAAACGACTGACTTGACTGAAGACCGGATATCAGATGTGTATGAATTAATGTGGGAGTTAAACGAGTTTTCAAAAGTGGTCAGTCAGTTAAGTTAGCATCCAAGCTAGAAGCTGCTAATAAGCGGCCTAAAGGCGTTTAAGTGCTCGACTCGTAGTTTCGCAGCCCATATTTTGCACTGCTTGAGCAAATACAGTTAAATCACGTAATTAACCCCGGAAGAGTGTTGATAAACCGGGTTTGAACTTCACGTGCCGCAGGTTAGCAGTGCTAACACACAAGCTAACAGTGCGTTAGCATTTCAAGCTTTCGAATTAAAGTATGAGCCGTTTTTACTTGGAGCATGCGAGGAATATGTTTATTACGTTCCTAAAAATCAATATTTGCTTGTCCTTTGTGTTTAAGCAAGTAGCGAGTGCTAATCGACACAGAATAATGAATTTTAATAACGTTACTGGTGCTACTGAATGTAAAGCGTGATTGTAAATAAACAAACGACTTTGACAGCGTATGAAAAAGCAATAGTGAGTATTTAAAATGACACCAAGAAGTTCTAACGTCTGAATATCCAAGCGCACAATGCAAAACCGGGAAAACACCTGCTTTTTACAGTCTGTTAAGTAAGACCCTCATAAAACATTTATCGCCAACAAAACAACCAAAATAAGCATCTCTCGCTGTTCGAAAGACACAGAGGCTGAAGATGATGGCCCTCTTACCTTTGTGTCCGCCATGGTTTTTGCAGATGTTTTTCGATTAGAGAGAGTATCTGTTGGTTTTGATCAGTGCGAGCTCGTGAGATTTCACTTCGCTACTTTCGCGCGCGCATAACCGGAGAAGAGAGACGGTGACGTCAGCGCAGCCGCGCTACGTCATGGCGCACTTCAGCTACGCACAAAGTTCTGTTAAATCCTAAAAGAAATTATTTGTTATCACTCAGAATCTTCACATAAATCTAAAGAATTTATCTTTAACTTTTTTATCTTGTTTAGATTTTTTTAAACATAAGCAAAAGTGCATGGCTTCAGTCCCTACTTTTGGACATTTTCTGATTGAAGGTAACTCACTGCTCAAATCTTTCCGTATGTGTCAAAACAAAAAATGTGTCAAATTACTGGTTCTATATGAAGAACTGTTGTCTATTGACTCTGCGTTGAGTTAGATAGCTTTCCTAATGCTCTTAATTTATTTTCATACACTTTTTTTACAATTGTAATTTACTTTGTTTTGTTATTCTTTTTTCTTTCTTCAGCTTAGGTAGTTTGTATTTTTTTCTCTCCTTTGTATCTCTCTCATATCAGTCTCCTGATTGTGGTTGAATATTAGCATTCTTTAATAAATAAATAAAAAGTGCTGTTAAATACATGTTTAGAGAAATTCGGTTTTGGGCCCTTCTTTTGTAAGGGGATGAGTACGCTGTATGACGGGGGAAATAGCTCAGTGAAATGAGGACATTGAACTACACAGAGATTTCTATTAGAAAGAGGAATTCGGCAAGGCTGTCCAGCCTCTGTGTACCTGTTTCTCATAGTAGCCCAAGCCTTCTGTCACTAGAATCCAAATTGCTAGACGAAATGTTTTAATTAGTCAGTAAGCAGACGATACAGCCTTATTTGTAAAAGACTCAAACCAGGTTCATCAGGTTATCAAATCTATTCAGTTGTTCTCTAATGCCTGATGTTTGCACCTAATCTCCTCATAAATTGTGAAATATAAAAATTCTCCCCTATTATCTGTAGAAGGTATACCAGTTGAAGAAGCTGTTAACTATTTAGGTGTTGTCATTTCAAAAAATGAACAAGATAGAGTGTCTATTTTGTGTGTGTATTGTTGTTATTATTTACTTTCTATCACCCTGGCATTATTTTACTATACTGTCACATATTTGTTGTTTAACGCATATAATAGAAAAAAAGAAAAAAGAAAAAAAAGTTCTGTTAAATACTGTAACAACAATAAAATCAAATAAAATTACTTCAGAATCCTACATACAGTTTACCCATGTGAATAAGATCGATATGGATGATATGTGCTGCTTCTGTAAAGCGGATAGAGCATCTCACATTTAGACCTGTTTGAATGTAACTTAATTTTTGAATGTTGAATATAGGTGTGCCTAGCAAAATATGCCTTTAGACAATGTTTGATAATTATGATACAATAAAACATTGATATTTTTTCATATTACAAAAACAAATCTAATAAAGATCTGGATTTTTTTTGATAACCTCTATTGGCAAAATGTCATATACATAAACAAAAATGTGCTAAGTCATCTCCTATGTTAACGTTTTTTTTTATTTTCATTTCATTATTTCTTCTGTGAAACTGCTGAAAAGCAAAATATCTGAGATATGTATTAAACGGGCTACTGCAAAAAAAAGAAAAAAAAAGAAAAAAAAAGAAAGTATCTCCCCGATAATCTTTTAAATCACTGTACACTCTGTTAATTGTGTCTCTCTCTGTGTGAGTGTGTGTGTACCTGTTTTTATGTTCCTTGTATTATTTCTGAAACATTTTATATTACATAAATTAAGTTTTGCTGAATTAAAATGTTGAATATCCAGGTATGCCAGCTACATACACTGTTGTTCGTTTAATAAGCTTTTTATGAAATCCGTATGCTTTGATCTTCTTGACTTTGACATTAGTGATTTAAAAAATCAAAGATGAGAGGTGAGGAAGATGACAGATGATTACTTTAAATGTAATCTGATAATGAAGCTTTCATATCTCACTGCATATTTAAAAACATTTTTAGAGCCCTGAATTGCAGATGCATCAACTTTTATTATTGAAGTTTGCCATGCAAGCGAGAAGAATGAACCTTCGGCATATTCATACGAAGCTCTTACCTCTGACACTCAGTTGGTTACATGAAAACTATTTGGTATAGATGATCTATGGTTTATTTTAACTGACTGTAGGGGTTCTGTGGATCCTAAAAAAATATAAACATGCTCAGCTCTTCCAGTCTTAGACCTACAAGGTGCCAGGGATTTAATGCAAGTAAAGTACATTGTTTGATTACCTAAAGAACATTCATTCATTAATTTTCCTTCTGCTTAATTTCTTTATTCATCAGGGGTTGCCACAACAAGATCCACCAACTTATTAAACACATTCTACACAGCAGGGGGCTATTCCAGAAAGCAGGTTATGTGACATACACGGGTAAGTTTGAGAGTAAGTAGGTGGATAACCTCAACTTTGGTTCCAAAATCGGAGGTAACTTCTGGGTATGTTAAGTAGCCATAGCAACTTACTCTGTGAAGATAACCTGCTCCGGAGCAGGTTATGTTCAGAGAGTAAGTTGCTATGTTCCAGAGTTTGTCTGTTTCAGAGAGTTTACTGAGCATTGCGTGCTCTTTTGATGAGAATATTTATGGATGTGGACACACAGATACAAGTTTTTTCGTTGTGAGAGGGTTATAAGTGCATAGTTTTTTTCATAACCAAATTTATAATGTTAATGTATTTAACAAACCTTTTTGAAATCAAATGTGACAAACCGCGGGTCTGCGCTTACCATAAAAAACATTCAGTGCAGCTCTTTGTATTTGCGTCAGGGCATTTTAGGCAACTGTACAATGTGGCACTAGGACCACCTGTACAGTATGCCTGGCACTGAACTGTTTTTTTACACTTTTGTACAGTTCCTTGGTCATACATTACTGCGTATCATTACACAGATAATTTAGAGCACGGGAATAGCGTAGTGGATAGTGCGTCTATAAAGAACAAAGGAGCGCACAGCGGAGCAAGTTCGAATCTCACTTACAGATCTTGTGTTTTTTCTCTTCTTCTGCACCCTCACATTTTTCTGTATAATATTATAAGTGGCAGCTTTGTCTTTTGTAGGAAAATATATCTTTAATTTAAGATGTAGGACGTCGTTCTTATATATACATTCACGCACACACACCTACATTTTTTAATATAATATTTTTTTCAGGGTTTCTAAATGCTATTGTGTGCATTAATTGCAGCCGATTTTAAAGCTCCATCAGTCACTAAAGGACACTGATAATATAAAATTTGTCCAAAGTATAAGTGTGCAGGTGCAACTTAATTTTCTATCCTTAATCTTGGTGTGAACTTATTGCTGCTTCCACCTACCAACTCATATGTGATGACCCCACCTCATCACTATGTTGAGGCTAAATGGCTGATTTTCAGGAAGTAATGATTCAAGTGTATAACACAAATATAGTAAAAAAAACTATAAAGCAAATGTTGCTTTACACAATGTTTATTTTTATTATATTTGTATTATAAAATAGAATCATTACTGGGCACTACATTGTTACTTGCTGGAGGACAAAAGATACCCTTTTCTGCCTTATACGATGACACGTACCTGCAGCCTGACCCAGAGGAAATCTCAGTGACCCAAGCAGACAAAACAGATGGAAGAGTGCTAAAAATATATAATTAGTCAAAAAAACATGTTTAATCAAATACTTTGGTCTGTTCATTTCTTCATTTCCTGAAATAAAATGAATGATTTTGTACACTGCTTTATACACACCTTTCAACGTGTAACATATTTTTCATATACATTTCTCACCTTAAGTTGATGCTCATGTGACTTTATCTTTGAAGATGGACCTTATACAGCTACTTTAGAATTTAAATATGTAGATAAAAGATTTTGTGATCCAAGAGTAATATTCAAATATGGAAAAGTGCAGAAAATTCTTACACTGCTTGTTAGTTGAGGCAGAAGGAACTTCGTCTGCATGCAAAATAAAAAGAACCTAAAGCTATCTGACAACAATCACTTACAACAGTGACAGAGTGTGTGGTTTAAGTCAAAAACTCAACCACTGAAAAGCCTTTATTATAGGACACAGCAGTTAGACTAGCCTCTTTCTATTAGCTGCATGTCAGAAAGAATATTCTAGAGTGTTAAATAAAGAGCTCCAGTAATTAAATATTACCTTTTATGATAATGTTTCTGTGTTTAATGACTTTGGACAGAGTTCTAGCTCCAGAAAGATTACAATTTCTATAAGCCTTATTAGTCAATACACATATTGTGGCCTTAAGAAATTAATGGCAAGAAAAATAAATGCATGAATGGTTACACAACATACTTAAAAAGGATGTTAAATAGTATTTTAATTTATCATTACAATAAAATGGAGGGTGGCATGTGTAATTTAATGAACTAACAAACTTTCTTATTATTTATTTTTTCTTTTCTTATCTATTTCTTATTCTATATTTCTTTCCTTCGTTGAAGCAGATGTGTAATCTCTGTGTTTAAAACCTCCAGCTTCGCCTCTGTAAAGTGCGTTGCCCTTTTTTTTCTCACCGTGACTTTCTATGGTGACTCGTGAATTCGGCGATCTATTGAAAATGCCTTCAGGTGTGTGCCGTGCACGCGCATTAACCCGCGGTTATCTTCAGGAGGTTGATTTAACTAACTCTTGTCACCTGTTTTGGAACCAACATACTCGCGGTAAGCAGGTTTTGGGCAAATCAACCGAGAGTTTAGGTTTTAGCAGATGGTAAGTTAACCCAGCTTTCTGGAATACCCCCCAGATGCCCTTCCAGGTGCAACCCAGTACCAGGAAACACCCATGCACACTCATTCACACACATATAGTCGTTTTAGTCTATTCAATTCACCTAAATCTTAGATTTTATTTTTATAGAGTTCTTTTCTTTTGTAGGGTATTAAAATATAGCTTGATTTCACGTCATTAAATGTAGCATTTTTGTTTTCCATAACAAAACCCAAATACATTTATCAGAGATGCTATATAAAGAATTTAGATCTTGATTAATAAGAAAATTAAAACCCTTGCTAACTGTACCACCAGCTGAACAGATTTCACATTATACTTAAAAATCTACTGCAGTTCAAAAAATCTGGCACAACTGGTTTCTGAATCATATTGTTTAACGCCAATACACTAAAACATCTTTAAGAAACAAAATGGGAGAAAATGTCCATTTTCATAATAGTGGACACCATTAAAGCAGCAGCCAAGCTGATATTCTTCATGCCTGGACTCAAAAAGCTTTCATTTGTTTCCCAAAAACTCTGAGGGGGCTGCGGTTGAGCCCTCTTGGCACCAGAAGCATTTTTACTTAATTTCCACCAGCTTATTTCTTTAGCATGTTAGCATGTACGTTAATGGATTTTATTGATCATCCACAAAACATACAGGAGCAAACCTTGGCATACACAGAATTTTTGTCTTGTTTCTAGTCCAAATAATATTCGTAAATAGTAAAATAATCATTTTCACTTTGAAATACGATTATTTTGCTTGTTTAGAAGATGCAATGTATTTTTTATTTAATGCCATATCAGCAACAAAGGCAATTGTCATGGCAACATTTCATTAATAAACATACAATTAAAAACAAACAAATGGATACATAAATTGAATAATATTTCCTGGTGTCACTTTGTTAAAATTGTCCTAAAGAGTGCCCTATAGGAATATTTGGCTTAATTACAGATCCCAGCTTAGATAATAAAAACAAAAGTATGACTTCTTTTTCAACATTATTTGCTAGACGTCTTACACTGCTCAAATGAAAAGACAAATTTCCTCCAACTTTTAATTATTGGATTATGGATCTTATGTACCATCTTACAGAGGAAAAGCTTTGGTAGTCCACCAAATGTTGCAGTCGAAAAGTTTATCTTATTTGGCAGCCAGTGCTGACAGAACAAACGGATCCAAACTGAATATTTGCAATTTGACCGCTGTTTATTTGTTTCTCAAGTTTTTTATTCTATTTCCTATCTAGGTTATTTTATTTCTTTATTTTATATTTGGTAAGCCTATTGTGATTCATTGAGTACACTGTAAAACCCAACAGTCAACTTTATCAAATGAAATGAGTGTAGTTTACTCAAAATTTACTGAAAGTTGATTTTACTTATTTGAAAAAAGTTTTGAACTCCTTGTTGGAAGTAATAAGTAAATTTAATACCTCATTACTTTAACTTAAATGGAGTTAATTTTACAATACTCATATAGATTAGTTTTTTAATCACAAATGGTTTGTTGCAATAGTCTTCCTTATATGGTTTAAAATGGGTTTTACTGTGCTCAAATTGCTTCATTTCCTCAGATGAATTAAGTTCACAGTACTCATTAGGATACGTTTTTGAACTAAAATAATTTGTTGCAATCGGTTTCCTCAAACGATTTGGATAAGTTGGTGGTTCATTCCGCTGTGGTGACCCCAGATTAATAAAGGAATTAAGCCAAAAAGAAAATGAATGAATAAATGGTGCAGTGAGGTGGGGGGCTCAGCTGGAGCCAAGTTAATGTTTTTTTGTTTTTGAAATATTTTTTACATTTTTATTTTATTGGCCAAAATGGTAATAAAAAGATCTGGAAAAAAAAGTCCTTAAGAGAGCTAATTTCATAGAAAAGTCTTCCAGTAAATTGTGTTTTACAGCAAGGGGAATTGTGCAGTATAAATATTAAGTGGGGTCTTCGCTTGTTTTAAAGAAAAAACTGAACTTTTTTTTGCTCGTCTAGAAAATGCTTTTTGATTGTCTGTCTTGAAAACCTAGATTAGGAGTTTAAGTTCTGTGTTGCCCATGGAAGAAATGCGATATTTGATAGCAAATAAACGAAACATATATTTTTAAATCTGGAACCCAATTATGTTTTACATCAGTAATGCTGACATGTAACTCATTATAGGTGGGATTGGTTTGGCATATGTCAAGATGTGGAGCCTGTAAATAATTTATTTTTTATATTTAATTCAATTTTTTTTCTCCTATGCTTTCTGGATGATATTGTATTACGTTTTGTCGGACTGTTTGTGTATTGTGAAATGGCCTTTGTACTTTTTTGTTCTTGTTATTTTTTTCTGTTTATGTTATTGTTCATTTTTTATTGCTAAAACAATAATAAAAAAAAATTGATTTAAATTTTTTTAGATATTTAGACAAAAAAAAAAGACCAAAAAAACTTTTTGTTTTTGCAGTGTAGCTTCTTAAGTATCCCTTGGAAAATCACAGTCAGACGCTGGTTTCACCCGCAAGTCGCAGAGTTTAATCGATTTTTAAAATATACATAAACAACATTTTCTGATTTTAAATACCCCAAATACCCTCCCATTCCCTCCCTTTTTCTCTCCACCCCCACTCGCTTGGCAATCATTTCCCCCCATCCTAGCAGAGAGGGCACCTACTACCTCCACAAAAATGGAAATCACTCTATTTGTGCAGCATATTGCTTTCTTTTTTTAAGACATTTGCGAACATAAATACTACAGTTTGTTTTCTGCTCGGATGTTGGGCTGTTCAAAAGTAATAGAAACAGCAATGTCCTCCAAACTGCCTTTCCAAAAAAAAAAAAAAAAAAAAGTCCAAAGATACTGAGCTATTCTTCTCTTTACAACCCATGCTGAGATTAACACAATGCAGATACTGAATGGATGTATATTCAGTCCTCAATCCCACCGGTCCCTTTCTTTCTTTTCCATCTTTACTCCTCTAACGAGTTGGTGTCCACCCAATCTCCGTAGTCTCTCCATACTTTTCTGTTGTTCTCATTCATCTCTTCTTTGTACATCCAATCAGTCCTCTATAAAGGAGAAAGTCTGTATTTACCGATGGTCACCAACATTTTAGAATGGATCGGGTTGGCGAGCAAGTCTGCGACGTGTCCACAGTGGGCGGGTGCAGGCAGAGTGAAGGGCAAAGCTTAACTGTTTAACGGCACTAAAGGAAAAACTCAAATTAGTCACAAGGCATGCATGTTACACACTCAGTTCTAGAGTTTGCCCTTTCGAGAGGGTGTGATATCAGTGTGTATGTACAAACATCTGTCTGCGTATACATGTATGAGTGCAAGTGTGTCTGTGTTCAAGTGTACTGGGGCCTTTTTTTTGCCATCTTTATTAATGCAGTCTTTCCGCCCCGCTGCAGCAGGGCATCGCAATCTCACACTCTGGGGGAGTATTTGGGGTTTCTTGGCACCTCGGTGAAAGATTTCAGCTCGTAAGGAATCCCAGTGTCCACCTCAATGGACTTGCGGGAGAATAGCAGCCGGATATCATTGTGCAAGTAGATTTTTCCAGATTTGGAACTCTGGAATCTGAGATATGCAAACAGAGGATGGGAAAAACAAGTTTATTATGCTTCATTGCTTCCATTTTGAATGTACCAGTAAATTCATTTTTCCAGAGGAGGAAAATTGCTTTTATGATTATCTTGAAATAGAATGCATTAAATGCAGTGATGTAAAGTAACAAACTACTGTAATCTTGTAGTTTTTCACAGGAATTGTAATTTACTAAGTAGTTTTAAAAAAAATGTGTATGTTTACTTTCCCTTGAGTACATTTTAAGTGCAGTATTGGTACTTTACTCCACTGCTTACCTTCAACCTGCAGTCACTACTTTATTTTTTTATTGTCTATGGGGATTGGCTAAAATAAAAATAAAAAATCAGTCCTGTGATTATGTGCAATTTGATTGGACAGGAATGTAAATTTGAACAACTTCAAACCATGGGCGCTTAATAAATGCAGCAAGGAGATGTCCAAAATCTTTACACACAATGACCCAGAGACTGTTTATAGACTGCATATCACTGCTGAGAAAATGAAGGATGTCGACTGTATGATGACTGAAATAGTCAAACATCCTTTAATAATCACTTAATGGAACGAATGAAGAATGGAAGGAAGAGCCGAATGAAGGAAAAGCCGAACAAAGAATGAATGGAAGAACCAAATGAATGAAGAAAAGATGCCAGGAAGGACTGAACAAACAAAAAAACAAATAAATTATTAAAAGAACAAAAAAACAAATGAAGGGAGGAACAAAATAACAAAGGAATGAATGAATGAGTGAACAAATAAACGAAGGAAGGAACAAATAAAGGAATGAACGAACTAACAAACAAATGTATGAATGAAGTACAAAACATACAAACAAACAATGGAAGGAAGGACTGAAGGAACAAACAAATGAAGGAACGAAATAATGAAACAATGAAGGAATGAAACAACGATGGAACAAAATAACAAAGTAATTAAATAATGAAGGAACAAAAATAACAAAGGAAAGAAATAACGAAGGAATGAAATAACAAAGGAAGGAAGGAACGAGGGAATGAAGGAACGAATAAATAAATATAGGAAGATAACATTCTGTAGTGCATTTAGTTAAATCCTAAACAAACGCATCGGCTTTTCACAGTGTAATACTCACTACTCACTATACTCGAGTATTTTTTTAAAAGAGCTACTGTTTACTCATATTTTGAGTAATAATTACAACAGATACTTTTACTCTACTTGCACTACATTTTTGGGCAAGTAATGGTATCTTTAAACCACTGATTATAGGTATTTAGTTGTTGTGGGTTTTTTTTTTGGTTGTTGTTGTTGTTTTGCTAAATATTTGTGAATTGTAGAACTATGATATATATATATATATATATATATATATATATATATATATATATATATATATATATATATATATATATATATATTTAGTGTTTAACACACCCAATATATATTTTCTAATTAAAAACAAAACAGATGCAAAAAGCTTGGGCTTAGTAATTATTATTATTCTTTGTTGGACAAATTAATACTTTTATTCAGCAAGAATGCATTTAAAATTGACCCTGAAGACTTTTTCTTTATTGCTTTATACGTTGATGATAATCTTGATAGTTTTGAGCACCAAATCAGTATACTAGAATAATAGAAGGATCATTGAAAACCCCAGTAAAGAAGAATATATCATAATTTTTTTTTTCATTTTACCACATATTAAAATATAAAATAGTTACTTTAATTACTAATAATATTTCACAGAATATATATTTTTACTGCATTTTCAATTTAATAAAATCATTCGTGCACTGATAGCTTTAAAGAGCCTGTGAAGCGCTTTAAATGTGCATTATTTACTTGAATTTTGACGTAATCTTAACTGAAAAATGAAGAGAGGGCAAGACAGAGCAGCTCCTCCCCCTTTAAAAAACAGCCAATAGCGATTTGTTTTCTCAAAGCTCTGCCAGTGAGTGGTTGAATACAAGCGCATCAAATTAAAGCAAATGAGAAGCGTCCAGAAGGGGGCAGGGCATGTCAGATACTAAAGAGCATTTGATTAGTCAAGATTTGATGAGAAACTAAAGAATGATTTGACGAAAAAAAAAATGTTGATCCATTTAGGTGGAAGTAACAAACTACAAGCTTTACATGTTTATTTCAGGCTTATATCTTCTAAATGTGACTTGTGTCACACGCTAGATTATAGATATCCTTAAAGCTAATATGATACTAACATCTAAAAAAACTTTTATTTTAATTTTACAGAATCTTTAACATTAGTGTGCATCTTGTGAACGTTTACCTGAGGTGTATCAAGTAACAGAGAATCTTCTTCCTGTCGAACAAGGCGCCTTCCTCTGACCGCTCCGCCTCCTCCACAGGCACCAGGAAGATGCGATGGCGCAAGAAGGTCATGTGATTAACGGGCATGTCGCCAAAATTATACGTCACCAAAAACATTTTAACCACAGTCTTATTGGGGTTAAATAAGGTCTGCAAAAACACAACAACAAAATGATTTAAAAATTTTATAACAATTAGTCTTAAACTTACAGTAAATGTACACATTTAAAAATGTATATATACAATAGTCAACATTTGAAGTGAATCATCACCTTTCATTAAAGTACCCTTAAACCAGGGGTGTCCGAACTCGGTCCTGGAGGGCCGGTGTCCTGCAGATTTTAGCTCCAACTTGATTCAACACACCTGCTAGATGTTTCTAGAAAGCCTAGTAAGAGCTTGATTAGCTAGCCCAGGCATGTCTGATTGGGGTTGGAACTAAACTTTGCAGGACACCGGCCCTCCAGGACCGAGTTTGGACATGCCCGCCTTAAACTATTGAACAACAATCGTTCTCGTCCAAGCACTATTTTGAAAAAAGGTTTTTGATTCACTTCAAATGTTGACTACTGTGCATCTACAGAAATAGAAAGAAAGCCCACCACTTGAATGGTCCCTGCTTTGGGTACGCTGTATCCTTTTTTTCCAAGTGGTTCTAACAAGATCACTCCCTAAACATGGAAAATAAATATGTCAGTTCTGCATATTACAATAGAGAATTTAGGTAACACTATACAATATGAAACAGGTTAATTTTAGTTAATGAACAGTATATACTAACATAAACAATGTTTGTACACCAAATCATAATTTTTTATTAAATCATAATTTGCTAATGCACTCAGAGTTAACATAAGCTAACAAGAAACAACTATTTTCATTAACTAGTGTTAACAAAGATGAATAAATACTGTAATAAATGTATTGTTCATTGTTTGTTTAGTTTATTTATTTATTGCCACATCAGCAACTAATGGCTATTTCATGGCAAAATGGATATACATAAAATATTACAAGATAAAAACTAATTTGTATTACAATAAGAAGTTACTTGTACAAATATATAAAATAGAAATAAATACAATTCACACAAAAATATATTCCAGGTTTAATATGATTTTTTCAGTTAAAATTTGATGAATAATTTAAGATTCTTGCTGGCGGTACCTTTTGAAAAACATCCTTCAAAGTACTCCCCTTATAAAATTGTTGTCTAATGATTTTCAAACTTCCACATTACAACAAAATATGTTTCATAAGAGCAGCTTTTGTTTGTTTAGCTAGTACATTAACTAACATTAATTGTAAAGTGTTATCAAAATTTATACGCAAGATATGATAATACATGCACTTCTATCTTTATAAATTCAGAAAAATACAAAAGAAAATCACTAGTCGTGTGAACATTCTTAAAATAATTTTTCCAAAATAAATTTTTTGTGTTCCCAGAGCTGGGTTGTGGCTGGAAAGGCATCTGCTGCGTAAAAACCAGCTGGATAAGTTGGCGGTTCATTCCGCTGTGGCGACCCCGGATTAATAAAGGGACTAAGCCGACAAGAAAATGAAATGTACATTTTGTGTGTGATCTAGCGGTTTAGTGATTATATAAGGTCTGAAAAGTTTCAAAGATCAATTGCATGATAAATGGAGATACTACAGTCTCCCAAAACAAAGACCTGATTCAGCCTGAAACAAATAACGAATAATGCCAACTTTACTTCCTGCACAATTATACTGTAAAGCATTTGCATAATGGCAGCGATATACCCTGCATGTGCAAAATAACATCTCATTTGAATCTCAAAGACTGCAGTTGAGGCCTGAAACATTCTGGTTGTTGTCGACATATCAAGATGACTATGTTTTCTGCGCTGCAAAAGCAAACCAAATCCAAAGGATGTGCACTCTGGCTTGAATTAATTTTATAAATGTGACACCATGTTAGAATAACTGTGTGAACACAATGTACAAGTCATGAACTGAGAATGTTCCTGGATCTGAAATTCGGATATGGTAATTTGCTTTCATTTCTGACACAGTAGACTAATCACGGTCCATCTGGCCAATCTGAGGAGAGCAAGCTTTCGAAAAGGAGGAGTTTAGAGTGACTGGATCTTTGAAAGTGTTTTAAACCTTGAATAGATTTCAACTTTTATAAAAAAAAAAAAAAAAAAAAATAGGAAAACTATGTAGTAATGTGTGGTATTTACGATGCATAGTAGACTTAAGTTCATATATATACCCTTCCCCATTTTTGCTCGTGGTCCCAGTCATTGTGATGTCATTGTAATTTTATTTTATTTTACTTTATTTACTTTACTTTACTTTTTATTTTATTAAATTTTAATTTATTTTATTTTACTTTATTTTAGTTTATTTAATTTAATTTTATAAAATTTAATTTTACTTAACTTAATTTAATTTAATTTTATTTTATTTTACTTTATTTTATTTTATTTCATTTTATTTTACTTGACTTTTTAATTTTTATTATTTATTTTATTTTATTTGACTTATTTATGTATTTGTTTGAGTGTGTGTGCATGTTAAAATTGATAAAATAAACTAAAAAAAAGGTTAAAAAAAAAAAAAAGCATGATGCAGCACTTTCATGAATCAAGATTTTACAGCTACAAGACAAAAATAATCTACTTTATTAAGCTGAATGAATTTAACACACACAAGCAGCAGGTACATACCAGAAAGGGAGAAGGGGCACTGTGCTCTGAGGTGTCATAATAAGTCACTTGCACAGGTAAGGTGGCATGCTGTGGGCAATAGGAGCCGCTTGCCCCGATCTCTGCTGTAAAGCCCTCAATCCGTCCAGATGGAGTAAAACGACCCTTCAGAATGGACTCCTTCAGACACATCAAAACATCAGTCACTAAGGTTTGAATACACAGACTTTTAAAACATTAGATATCATACACTAAATGGCTAAGAATTAAACAGAATTAAGTCACACGGTAACACTTTAAATTAGGTCATCAGGTTATTAACTACTGGCTTATTGCCTGCCAATTATTAATATAGTAACTGTTCATTAGTAGTCATAAAATATGATCTTATTCCGCAACCTTAATCCTACATAAAATCTAAACCCAACTTCTACATTACTAGCTATTATTAAACAGCTAATTAGTGGTTTATTAAGCTAGGAGTGTTCGTTAATGGTTTGTTAATAGTGTGAATCACACAAAACATGCTTAAAGTCATCATGAACCCAAAGCTTTTATTTCAGTATGTCATTATACTGCTGACAGAATACGGAGTTGGAGACAGGGCTTTCTTTTGTGCATCGTTCCCTCATAGCAAACTAACAGTAGGAGAGGGTATTAATATATAGATGCTATGAAAGCCCTGACGTAAACAGAAGAACCACCACTCAAAATCTGGAAGCAAATGCTCAGAATTTGATTTAAGATTACCAAAAACAGACACATTTTTTTCTGGGGATTAATTTGCAGGGAGTAATTATTCATTTTAAGAATAACAACGTGAGGTAACAAACTATACATTGTAAATTCAGATTTCACATGGACTTCAATGCTAGAAGATGCAAACAAACTACAAACTGAATCAATATCTTGTTCTAAAATTGTCTTAATTAGGGCTGCACGTTATTTGACAAATCTTACATTGCTATATTTTGTTATTCTGCAATATATATTGTGATATGAATACAATATCACCGGATGACTTGAATATCTCTATTTGGAAAGAATTAACCATTTAAGACTGACTGGATTGATTCTGTACACTCAGAGAAAAAGGTACACGATGGTACAAATAATGTTCCTTGAGTAACAGTTTTGTATCTTTGTAAAAGTTGTACCTTTTATGGTACAGAAAAGTCCTCTTATGATACTGTTCTGTACCTTTTTTGGTACAATTAAAACGAAGACACACAATTGTTCCCATAAAAAAAGGTAAATAAGGGTTGGACAACTGCTTTATTACAATATCTATGAAAATAAGTATGACTGGAAAGGCAAAATGATTTTAAAAATAATTTCCATATTAAAACATAAATCATCATTTAAAAGCATATGTTTAAAGAAACTCATAAACATGAATTATTAAGTTCTATAATACAAAACAACTGGTAAAACAAAACTATAGCTATTGTAAACTAAACATTTAAGGCATTTCTAATAAACCTTTGGTAAGCATTTTCTGATAAATACAGTTATTTTGGCGTTTGCTTTCCACTACGCACATGAGCTGGCAGAAGTCCTGCATATGCAAAGTGTTCATGCTGACATTTTAGTATTATAAAACTAATCAAACATTGTGAATATCTCATTACAATACTATTGCATAATTCTATTTCTATTTTAAAATTAAGTAAATTAAATAATATTTTAAGTGATTACAAAGATATTGTGTGTAAACTTGAGAAAAAAGTTTTATATTGTACATGGGAGAATGAATTTCTGTAACATTTTTGTAAAAAATGTTGTGATTGATGGTAAAGTATTTTTTTATTCTTTATTGTAAAGGGAAAAGGTGCATTTACACACAAAGAAACTTTTTTAAATAATTGTTTAAAAATGTATTTGATTTTTTATGTTTACTTTAAATAAACTGACATTATATATATATATATATATATATATATATATATATATATATATATATATAAAATGCCTTTAAATAGTTCTTGAGGAAAAACTATTGACACTGTTAAGGTACAAAGTGTCTTGTCACTGAAGTTGTACCTTCATGGATCAGATTTGTACCTGTGCACAATATTGTATCTGTAGGTTTTTAAAAAAAACAAAGGTACATTTTGGTTTCCCATGGTGCAATTTATGTCCTGAAAGTTACAAACTGCAATGGTTCAAATTTGTTTCTTTGTCTTGAGGTACATTTCTGTTCCATAAAAAGGTACTGCCCCAGTGACAAGGGTTTGCACCTTCTTTGGTACAACATTGTACTATTTTTTTTGAGAGTGTAGAGAAGTGCATCTTCATTAAATATAATAAACCATCTACAAGCATAAGTCAATACAATAAAAAAAGAGATGCAATTGAAATAAACAGTGATAAATGGTTTTCAGTGTCTAAAGCCTTAGTCAGATCACATGATTTTTATTGTCGGTTACGAAAGCCACTATGTCCAATTTTGCTATTTTTTTCTTGATAAAATGTTGACTTGTCATGGGCAAGCAAATGTGCCAGACTACAAGCTCATTTGCGATCAGTCATCCTGTGACATCTACAACACCGTTATTTTCCAAAGTATAGTCAAAATTTATAACAATATTTCTCAATTTCAATTTTTTAAATCTTATTTCAGTCTCAATAAACACTGATGTTTGCAGACAACTCATAACTATATTATTTAAGGGCATTCCTTACAACATGGAAAGGATCAAACTTTTGATTACTTTTTTAATATTAAGATATTTCGTTTGAAATCTAACCGCCGTGAGGCGTCGCAAGCCTCACCCAATACCCAATAATGGTATTAACTATTGTTACAAATCCCCACTACACTCTACTACGTCAAGGAAATCGGGACAAATTTGTGTAATCTGACCGGTTTTCAGATTAAATTTGTGTAATCTGACGGTTTTAAGATTTTAAGTTTTTAATCTGTAACAGTTTTCAGATTATAATAAAAATAATTCAATAAAATTATTCATCATTAAAGTTACAAATGGTATAATTTCTTTTGCTTGATCGCTTTAAAAAACATTATACAATCACAGGCTGAAAGTTAAAAATATAATAGACTCAGCATTGCATATCGTGCGATGTGACTATTTTGAATGATCACACTGCGATATCGATGCTAAAATGATGTGCAGCCTTAGCCTGAATAAATTAAATTTCTTCCTTTCAAAAGAAAATAGTTTTTATACCATGGACTTACTGGATTTAATGACAAAAATATAGAAAACGGCACCTTAATCCATGTTAATTTAGCATTTTATTTACTTCGCATACCTCAAAGTTGCCAAGAAGAGGTCTGCTAATGGAGGATAAAGAGGAGACTGAACTGCAGGAGCGACTGGTATCTGTTCGGCGTCCACTGCGCAACTGTCGTCTAATAGGACAAACATATGCACATTTTAATATCAATACAGTATAATAGAATTTGTTTTGAGATGACTGAACTTACGCTTTGAGTCGAGTCCCAACTTTGAACCTTCTCCCTGATCGTGAACAGTCTGTAGAAGTCTGAAAAGGAAGTTTGAAAGAGATGTTTCAACAAAAATCTGTTCATAGGAAGTAGTAAATCTTGCTGTCCTTGATAGGAAATTTGTTACGGGCATAACCATATTGCTGCAGACCTTCCATAAAAACAAACAATAAAACTATACAAAATACAATAGTTACAATAACTATAATGCTAATTAAGATAAACTCGTTTAATAAGCCCACTGAAACGGTTACAAAGGATTTCTTATATCGGTTCAACCTTCACTTAGGCACTCTATCCTACCAGAGGGAAGCAGTTCATAATGTGGAAACAAAAAAATGAGTTGGATCATTCAGAATCCTTTCCACCTGATTAAGGACACAATTCTCATTTAAAACTTGAGGATTAAAATATTCATCACAATTTTCCATCCTGTCTTTAAGAGATGCAGCAACTTAGATTTATACTGTACAGATAGGTTGCAAAACCACACTGTGATACCATATCTAACAATGCTTTCACAGAAAAGCTTTATAAAATAACATCATAAGCTTCTTGTTAACTCCAAAAAGATGTAACCTTCATAAAAAATACAATCTTTGGTGTAAACTAGAATAAGCTCACTCTATGTGTGTTTTTCATGTAAAAGAACTGTCAATGTAAATGCCCAAGTACTTATAGGTCTCTGACTGAGTAATAAGATGGTGATGTACAACCACTTGATGATGGTCACCTATATACATCATTTTACATCAAATAAATCAAAAGACTTACATCAGTACATATCTCATTGATAGTGTCCATTTTATGATCCTACAAAAACAAGCTGCCAACAATGCCAGAATATATTAATCAGCAAAGACGTAATTTAACTATAGCAAAAATATAAAAAAAAGATTCTAATTAATGACATCAGAAATTTAGAATGTTGTACAATTTGAACTGAACCAAAAGACAACAGGTAATTTTCAATCTTCAAATGTCTTTAAATACTATTTTATGTACTTACAGATGAAGATGTGGCTTCAATATCACGGTTGTCCATAGTATCATTCTGATGACAGCCATTAAATATCAGCTAAACTTATCTATCGACTCTGCATCAGACTTTAGCATTTTTACCTAATCTGAACTTCTAAACTATATAAAAATCTGAACTATTTCAGACAATTCATTTCTATATTTTTCTATTTTAAAAATTTTCTCTTTGTGGTTGTCTTTCTGTTGGTCTGTTTCTATGCTCATTTCTCTATCCTTCACTTTCTCTTTACTTCTTGGTCTCTCTTCAATCCTGAGTTCAACCCTCAAGTACTGACAACGGCATGATGAAAGTGACAGTATATGAGCTTCTATAGACCGTGTAACCCCTCTCACCCCAAATTCACTCATTCTGGAACTGAATTTGGCCAGAACCTGTAAGCGTGTATGTGTTAGGTCAGGTGAGGGAGGTCTCACCTCTTTAACAATGGCTCTGTCAATGGGCTTTGTTCTGGAGTCCCAATGCTTATTGTAGGGCAATACAAAATTAAGCATACATATTCTAAAATCTCTCTGGTCGCTCCAATTTTGTCTTTTTTTTCTCCATCTGACTATTCAACTTCCATCATGACTCTGTCAGTAATAAATAGACCAGAACATCATCCCTGCCCCTTCACACTTGCACGTTACCTAGAAATAGTTTCTCCTTAAACTAATCAGCATCTTCCTATTAACACTCCCCTGTTGTCATTTTTCACAATGTGGAAACATCTGACATGTTTATTCTCATTAAATAAAGGTGCAATATGATGGTCTTCAGATGGTCCAGTTTCCTGGTTAAAAGTCATTCTCGTAGCAATCGTTAAAATTAAGTGGTCCAAATGTATTTATATCTATTTATACACTGTGGAAGGTTTAGGACCAAAAGAAGTTCACAATGTTGGGTCTGAATATTATGATAGGCTGTTCTACCTGCCTGTGAAAATATATATTTGCATACCTCGGTTCATACAGAGAATGACAGGTTGACATCATCAATCTACTTTCTTATTTTAAGTTCATTCATTTTTTTTTCCGGCTTAGTTCCTTTATTAAGTTCAGTCGGGGCTGGAACCACCTTGCTGTGAGGCGACAGCGCTAACCACTGCGCCACCGAGCTGCCCCTTATTTAAAGTTTCTTATTGAAATGACTAAATGTACTCCAATTAGCTTAATTAATAATATATTGTAGTGATGTTGTCTAGTGCAGTGGTCCCCAAGCCTTGGATTAGTTGGTACAGGTCCACACAAGAACTCACTAATTATTTCCATTTTATTTATTATCTGAGCCTGAACGATCTTTCATTTTGAAAAATCTTTTATTTTAAGAAATGACTATATTCTCGTTATATCTCGATCAATTGAGTGTAAAAATTAAACCCACATGCTAGCAAAAACAGACGTCTTTGGAAAGTTTCTTTGCGAAGGGGAAAAGGCCCAGTGAAGAACCCATGAACTGCCAAAGAAATAGATCCGCAACCCAATTGTCAACAAATCAGGTAAATCCAGCATGTCTGTGAAGGAAGATCAACTGCTGGAGATCGCAAATGATGGGGGCTTTAGGGACCGCTCACATATCGTGTTTTTTTCCTCATGCAAGTTCGTTATTTCCAATAGAGATGAGCGCTCCGCATTTCATGTAACAAGAACTGACAAAGCAGCTTCATACTTTACATGGAATATACACATTTCGGTAGACTAATTACTTCAGACAAACACAGAACCCCCAAACACTGCAGTGCTTTTCATGTTCTCCATAAATAAGCATTGTTTTGTCAGCTTGTCATCCTCTGAGAAAACGGTTAATGGTCGCCTAGCAATCTACATAGAACCCACCTAACACCACTGAGCCGCGGTAAAAGGATCAAGCGTTGACCAGTCTGCGGTAATACAAACGTTGGGGACCATTGGTCCAGTGTAGATTCTTGCACTCAAGAGGCATGACTTTGGATGCTGATTAGCAGGGTGGGACGTAGGCTTTCAGTGCTATCAGGCTAACATTAACATTTTCAAAGATCTCTAATTGCAACTTTAAGGGCACTTCACATGAATCACACTCAGCACGTCTCTCTAAATATGCCAGTTTGATCTGAATGTTTCAGTACTGTATATTACAATTGGACTGTCTTAAAGCCATGACATACACCCCCCCCCCCCCCCCCCAATTTTTCAATGCATGTTAGTTATTGGCTTTCTACATTAAGAGTCGAACATTTTGGGAGTTGCATTAGCAGATCTTCTCCCCAAAAAGAGTCTTCAAGGTTAGTAGAAAAATATCATGTGACATGATACCAAAGAGAAGAACAAAGGTGGTAATACTTTATTTTGATGGTCCATTTGTATCTACTCCATTTAAGTAGACTGTCTGCTTAATATCTGTTGATACTGCTGCTAAACAGACATTTAACTGACTATAAGAAACTTTGCAAGTACATGTCAACTTACACTAACCCTAACCCCGACCCCAACCTAACAGTCCACATTTAATCTAATCAGAATTAGTTGGCATGTAGATGCAATGGAACTTAAATTCAACAAACGGACCATCAAAATAAAGTGCGACCCCAAAGGTTTTTGGAGAAGATACCTCAGTATGGTGGATAATAACGTGGAAGCATAGAATAAATGGAGAATCTTGCCATTAATGTTCAAAATGTGAGTAAAAAGGACCCTTAAAATGTTTTTCTCCCATAGTTGTATAATAGAGTTATGTGAAAGGGCATTCAGTTTTAATCCTCCTTTATTTGCATCTCACCTTGGTCTGCTCTCTTGCAGAGGGTAGTAGATGGTTCCAAAAGGGCGCACCCTTGGCATCAGTGCTGCGACAGGATGCTAGTCCGAGCCCTGGTGCTAACAGTGCCAGCCGACTGCGTTTTGATGTAGATGGACCTTCATCCTCTGAGCAGGACTCTCCTGTATCACTGGAGGACAGAAGCCTTTTCTTCACTGGACAGGAATTGGATGATCCTGCTAGTCCGTTTGCTTCCACTGGTGTTTTCTCCAGAGAGCTCAGTCCGTTAGAGCAGGAGGAGGAGGTCCTTGTCTCTGATGGTGGAGGAGAAGATTCAAAAGTTGCACCCCATTCGACAGCTTCAGCTGGTGTTGAAAACGGGACGGGTGCCCAACTGCTCTCTGTGGCACATAATGTGCCTTTGATATCCACAGAGTTATGGCCTTCGTCTTGTGGCCCTTCACAGGAGCCATCAGGGGCATTTCCTGCTGTGGAGGCCTCTGTCCTGGGAGTAAGGGTGGGAGGACTCCTCTCACAGTGGCCCCAGGTGGAGTGAGGGGCTGGGGGGTCCACCATAGGGGGAGATTTTGGTGACAGCGGAGTGAAGGCATCTGGGATGGGTCTGTCGTGGTTGTGCTGAGCTGGGCGGCGACCAGGAATCAGTGGGGAAAGTGGAGGTGACCTAGGTATTTCTGAGTCTCTGTGCTCAAGGAACGAGTTGGAAAAAAGTGGTTCCACCCCAGACCCGCAAAGCACCTCTCCATCAGACTCATCACCGTCATCCTCATTCTGTTGGAAAACACGCTTGTGGGCGACAGGGGCCGGCGTTCCCTCAAGACTACGCTTCATGCCTAATCTGAGAGGCCGCAGAGTCTCCTGATTTTCCCCAAAAACACCTCTTTGGGAGAGGATGGACAACTGGTAGACCTTCTGGAGCCTTATCTCTTCGTCTCCAAAAGTTCTAGGAACTACTCGCCGTATTCCAGGTTCAGGGCTCTCGCTCTGAGTGCTAGGCAGAGGTAGATCCCCATCCTGGGCTGGAAGCTCAACGGCTGGCTCTTTACGAACCAGTTCCACGTGGATGTGACGCATAGTGACTTTGCTTGTGCTGGGTGATTGTTTCAAGGGAAGTTGTGCAGCGTTAAAGAATAAAGACACAAGCTCTAGAGAGTTCTAGAATGTCTGAACAAGTGCAACAAGGCTGTGAAAGTGAAAATAAGCTTCTCGTCTCATAGATGGAAAGCTCTAGTTTCCAGGGGTCAGTTGTGGAGTGCACGCAGCTGCTGAAGTAAAGCAAACAGGTATAAAAGCATTAGAAATCTGAAGACATTACACAGACATTACATGACAGATTTAGACTACACTAATCCAGCACATGTTAGTTAAAGGGATAGTTCATCCAAAACTGAAAATTCGGTCATCATTACTCACGCTTCATTTGTTCCAAACCTTTATGAGTTTCTTTCTTCTGTTAAACGCAAAAATATAATTATATTTATAATATAATATATTTATAAATATATTTTTAAGAAAAAAAGCTGGAAACATTTAACCATTGAATTCCATAGTATTTTTTTTTCTACTATAGAGGTCAGTGGTTACACGTTTCCAGCTTTCTTCAAAATATCTTCTTTTGTGTTCAACAGAATAAAGAAACTCAAAGTTTTGGAACCATTTGAGTTAGAGTACATTTTTATTTTTGGATGAACTCTGCCTTTAAATCAGTCTACACTGGCCTGGCTTCATGTATATAACACTTATGTAACATGGTCATTTATTCAGTAACTTCTCAGATTAGTGAATTGTTTATCCTCCAACTGCTAAACTATGGCTTGAAGAATTGATATCTACGAACCAGATATCTTTTAATAGGCAACATTGGACAATTTCAGAAGATTTGGGGCCCTTTCTTCTGTCACTTTATGGGGAATTCTTTTCCCAAAGTGCTGTATTGTAACTAAAGGTTGTTTTGATTATCATTGTATTGTATACTTACAGGCTGGGCTTGGGGTGTTCGTTTTTGTTTTCTTTTGTTTTTGTAAGCTTATGCATATCAGAAAACTAATCCTGGAATTTGTGATTTTTGCAAGTCTATTCAAAGACCAAATTAAAAAAAAAATTCACAAAAAACAAAGAAACCAAACCTGAAGTGGCATAATCATTCAAAAATTTGAATTTACACAAATCATTTAATACGGCATAGCTTCTTTACACTAAATTAAAAGCAGACACAGACCCACTCTAGGGCCACCTTAAAACAGCTGGGCAAAGATTACTTAAACCTTGCACATTATTTTTATGATTCACTAATATTATCCCTCCAGAAATAAAACCCTCATTTGTCACAGTTTTTAATTCACTAAAAAGTACAGCCTCTTACGAGTCATTCATCGGGAAATCAGGCATTAGTTGTGATATACATTTTGATTAGGTAGAAGAAAACCATTTCAAATCATTTGCTCATTTCAGCAAACAATTTTGAGTTTAATAGACATCTTAACGTAGACAGCTTAGCTAAAATAAGACTAATCTTGAGCTATCAGTAAAAATCTAGTAGACAATAGCCCAAAACTAGACTAGTCATCAAATAGATTAGGCAGACTTTATATGTGTAGTCATTCATTTCTGTTTAGTCGATGACTAGTCTAGTTTTGGCCTATTCTTAGACGTCTATTAGATTTTCACTGACAGCCCAAATTTAGCCTTGTTTTAGCCAAGACGACTATGTTTTTTTCATCTATTAGAAAAAAGCTTGCTGGGTTATTTCTAAATCAGTTTAGCCCTGTACACTACAACAAAAGTATGCTTCTTGCTCTTATTTCCCGAGAGACAATGTTTTTATCTCACACACAATCAATACAAACTGTAAACTTGCAGTCAGCTACATTTTTAATGCTGTGGTGCTATTCTTCAGTGAGAGAGCCACACTGCTATAAATTAGTACAGACAACACGATTATGAATGCATATAAACAGTGTGTGCAGGCTAGGACATTTTTGGTAATTACGTGCCTGTTGGTGCCTGCAGCTTGGCTACAGGCCCATCCACATCCACCCCTGCAGCTTCTGCGTTGTGTTGACCCTTGAATTTTGACCCTGACCCTAGCCCCTGAGTTCGGCCATCTCCAACCCTGCCCCCCTGACGCAACAACAGCATTCCCAGAAACACAGGCAGATAACAGGGGCCTGATGAAAGAGAAATGTGAAAAGATGTTAGCAAGGCTATCAAGAAATGTGATATAGTAACATTAAAAACACTTAGAAAAATTTAAATAATTCAAAATGTTGCACTTACACAATAATTATTTTTTGCCACACTCACCTGACTGTTTGTTTTTGTTTTGTTTGTTTTGTTTTGTTTTTTCACAAATTACAATTTGAGAATGAATAGGAAAACAAAGATATATGTATTTACATACATACATTGAGGAAAATAAGTATTATGTCAACCTTTTTTTCAGAAAACATATTTCTAGGGTACGGTTGACTTTAGTTTTCATTGGATGTTGGTAACAACCAAAGAAATCCATATACAGTATGCAAGAAAGTAAAATGAATCCGTTTTATATATACAGTATATGCATAAATGTATACATGTTTATGCACAGTGCATCCCGAAGGTATTCATAGCGCTTTATTTTTTTCACATTTTGTTTGTTACAGCTAATTCCAAAATGGATTAAATTCATTTATTTCCTCAAAATTTTGCACACAAACCCCATAATGACAATGTGACAACATTTTTTAAATTGTTGCAAATTTATTAAAAATAAAAAACCTGAAAAATCACATGTACATAAGTATTCACAGCCTTTGCCGTGAAGCTCTAAATTGAGCTCAGGTACATTCGGTTTCCACTGATAATTTTTGAGATGTTTCAGCAGCCTAATTGGCGTACACCTGCGGTAAACTCAGTTGATTGGACATGATTTGAAAAGGCATACACCTGTCTATATAAGGTCCCAGGGTTGACAGTGCATGTCAAAGCACAACCCAAGCATGAAGACAAAGGAATTGTCTGTAGACCTCAGAGACAGAATTGTCTTGAGGCACAAGGCTGGGGAAGGTTAAAGAAACATTTCTGCTGCTCTGAAAGTTACAATGAGCACAGTGGTCTCCATCATCTGTAAGTGGAAGATGTTTGGAACCACCAGGACGCTTCCAGGAGCTGGCTGGCCATCTAAGCTGAGTGATCAGTGGAGAAGGGCCTTAGTCAGGGAGGTGATCAATAACCTGATGGTCACTCTGTCTGACCTTCAGCGTTCTTCTGTGAAGAGAAGAGAACCTTACAGAAGAACAACCATCTGTGCAGCAAGCCACCAATCAGGCCTGTATAGTAGAGTGGCCAGACAGAAGCCACTCCTTAGCCTGGAATTTGCCAAAAGGGATTTGAAGGACTCTCAGACCATAAGAAACAAAATTCTCTGGTCTGATGAGACTAAAATTGAACTCTTTGGAGTGCCAGGCGTTACGTTTGGAAAAAACCAGGCACCGCTCATCACCAGGTTCATACCATCCCTGAAGTGAAGCATGGTGGTGACAGCATCATGCAGTGGGGATGTTTTTCAGCTGCAGGAACTGGAAGAATAGTCAGGATAGAGACTGGGGCGATGGTTCATCTTCCAGCAGGACAATGACCCAAAGCACCAAAATATAAATGGAGTGGCTACACAACAACTTAGTGAATGTCCTTAAGTGGCCCAGCCAGAGCCCAGACCTAAATCCTATTGAACGTTGCTGGAGGGATCTGAAAATGGCTGTACACCGTTGCTTCCCATCCAACCTGATAGAGCTTGAGAGGTACTGCAAAGAGGAATAGGCAAACATTCCCAAAGACAGGTGTGCCAAGCTTGTGGCATTATATTCAAAAAGACTTGGGGCTGTAACTGCTGCCAAAAGTGCATCAACAAAGTATTGAGCAAAGGCTGTGAATACTGATGTACATGTGATTTTACAGGTTTTCTATTTTTAATAAATTTGCAACAATTTCAAAAAATCCTTTTTCACATTGTCATTATGGGGTATTGTGTGTCCAATTTTGAGTAAATAAACGAATTTAATCCATTTTGGAATAAGGCTGTAACATACAAAATGTGGAAAAAGTGAAGCACTATGAATACTTTCAGGATCAATTGTGTGAGTGTGTGTGTGTGTGTGTGTTTGTGTGTGTGTGTGTGTGTGTGTGTGTGTGTGTGTATATATATACCTTGAATTATTTTAAGAACAATTAAATATGATTTTTATTGTCATTTACACTTGCTAAATATAATTCCAGTACGGATTCCAGTTTGATATGTAAAGTGTGAACAAGGCTATAGTTGTTTACTTACCAAGGGCAGAGCGTCAGTGAGGTGGGAGGGGCCTCGCAGAAAGTGCCAATGAATAGGTAATATCCCTCCTACAGCTCCACCCAGTAGAGGCCAGTAGCCAATCACGCCTCCCCTTGGCTCCTGAAAGGAGTGTACTGCTCAGCGGCTGCATCCTGAGCCAGGCATTCCAGAGACACGGTCTATCAGAGAACAGCGGATAATTGGCAACAAATCAGAAACCATGCCACACACTTCAACCTGTACATGATCTGAATCATTCACTGTAAACGGATTTAAAATCAAGTTATCTGGTAAACTGCTGTGTCAGCACATGGGCTGATGGGGTAAGATGTCAAAGCTCAAACTGATCAGACATCTAACAGCCCTTTAATAAAGCCATTGTTCTACTGGTTAATAAATATGTCAAACAGGGAACAGACACAAAGAGCAATCATATGACTCGCTACACTCGTTTTATGGCATCTGATTAGGACACATACTGGAACAGACTGTGTAATGCATGTTTCTGACTGGCTCTCTGTCTCTAGAGCTCAGGCCTGTTTGGGATCAAGACTGGCAGACAAAACAGGGAGACACACAACAGAACCTTTGTACTGTCTTTCATAAGAGAATGAGCACCCCGGCTCATTAAAAGACAAAAACAGGAACAAGCATTAACACACCAACTGGTGCAGCTCTGAGTATAGCTTTTTGAAAAAACATAAAATAAGTGATGATAATGTGACTAATCTTGTATGTAACTGTAATTTCCATATTTTCTTTTATTTCTCTGTCCAAACCCTCATGCTTAATCTATGCTAACCTACCAGTGTGAGATAGCACAGCACTATCCCTGATTGTATCACTCATTATTCACCCATACTTCCAATGTTATGAAGTGTTTTGAGAAATTTGTACCTGGAAAAAGAGGTAGAGCCACTCTTAGCCACTCATCACACAGATGTCAGTTTG